TTACGGGCACTGTCCAGAGTCTTTCCGACGGAGTTCGTCTTGAATTGCGGCTTAGAAGGATTTGAATTTGCCTGAGAAGCGGAAGATGTGGAAGCACCGTTCATGGCTGCGGGTTGGGCGGACATGGTGAGTGCAGTCAGGGGACGGACAGGAGACTGGGGATGGAGATGTTGGAGCTCGCACGCGCAACCAGAACAACCGAATGCCTGATAACGTAGTCGGGACTCGCAGTGTCGCGTGCTGGTCTAGTGCAGCAGCCGGAGGAAGTCAAGTAACAGGTCGGCGAGCAGCCCGACAACTGATCAGTTGATTGAGGACAGACTACAGCTGGGTAGATGTCGTGTTTCACTCAACTGCGATGGGGAGCTTGGCGGCCGCTCGGAAGGCGATCCGACAAGAGGGTAGGGCTGACCGGTGGGCGTAGACTTTTGGTAAGAGAGAGTATCACGTAGATGACCTGCCGGTTGCGCAGGTTTCAGAAAGGCAGAGGTGTCGACAACAGAGGCAGCGACAAGAGAGACCGGACAGCGGCAATGTGACAGCAATCGCGAATGGAATAAAGGCGGCTTGTGTCGCCGAATGTGAATGTTGGGCTTCGGGCTGGCACGTGAAGATGGCCAGACACTTGAGCAGCTGCTGAGGAAGCCGCGCGCCTTGATCGACGAGCAACGCGCTGGTCTGGACTGCTGAGCAAGCAATACGCAGTCCTCTCTGGGGCCGTGTCGTGTTCAAGAAGAGAACAAGGTAGCTCGTCGGCCTGCAACTATCGACTGACCTGTTGATCGTCTGCAAGAGAGTCACGTACGGGGTCGGAAACACAAGGTGCAGATCGACGCTCCGACTCGGCCAAGAAGCTCCAAGGTGGAGAGCCAAAGCATGCACCGAGCAGAAGCATCAGGAGCTTCTACCAAGTAGAAAGCAGAAATGCTAGCAGACAAACCGTCTTGTACTCTGTTCTGTGCTGGGTGATTTGCCAAGAGTGCTCTTTGTTCGTTCGCGTTGGAATTACTGGCGTTGTCGCATTGCTGTTTTGCCTGTCCTTGATTCTAAGGCGCCCACGCGAGCGCTGCCCCTTCTTTGAGCAGCCCCTTTAGGCGCCGCGTTGCGTTTCCAAACAGCACCCGTCGTCGACCTGCGGTACTAAGTGTCAAACGGCATGGCCAACGAAGACCCGAGTCTTAGGAGCAGCTCTGGCTCACGCTCTTCGGCCGCGCGCTCTTCGACCCGACAGTCGGCGCAGCCGCAGCAGCTGTCGACCATCGAGAAGAGCGTTACACATCTGCTTGTCGCGACCAAGCAGCTTCTCGAAACCTTGACCCAATGGTCCCGCAATGCTGCCAGCGAGAGCGAGGTCTCGGACGTCTACGTGCGCCTGGGATACGAGTTCAACATTGCCTGTCGCGCCTTCAACGGCATAGGTGTCGATACCCAGGACCTTGGCCCCGTCCCCGACCTTCTGCGCGCAATCCTCGAGGAAACTCTCAGCCAGGAAGCCAGCCAACAGAGCCTCGACCGCTTCCTTCCACGCATCCGCGATATCATCATCAACCTCCTGCATGGCCTTAAGAAGAAGCAGCAGCGCTTGCGCCAGCGTACCAGCAGCGGCAGCCAGAGCTCGAGGCAGGCCAGCGCTGCAGAGTCGGCTGCTGACGACCTCCTCGCTCGCCAGTCCGCCAGTCGAACCCAGTCGCAACGAGTCGCCAACGAGCTCCCTGCCCATGACCTTCCTCCACGCTCGGCCTCTATGCAGGGAGGCAGGTCGTCACCTAGGAAGGAATCCTTCCCTCCGGTTGTCTCGACGCAACATGCCCGCGACCAAAGCCGTGATACCACAAACTCCGACTCTTCGTCCATGTCGAGTACCGCTATGCAAAACATACCCGTTATTGCTCCATATCCTCAGGAAGACACGATGCCTGCCCAGCCACCAGCACAGTACGGAAACGAACCTGCCCCGGTAGCCTACCAGCAAGAGTCTCCACGACCTCCCTACACCGAACACAATCTACCTCCCCCACCTCCCCCACCGAAACAACAAGATGCCCTGGCTGCTTTGCAACGTGGTGGAGAGCTGGAGAGNAGAGCCTCGAGACGTTTCTCTGCCTACCAGATTTCGAAGCATCTGGGGTCTAGTAATGGAGTGCCTATGATACCATCGGCCCAGCACAGTCCAATTCCTAATCGAGGTCAAGACACGCGCGAATCCATGAAAGCTGTGCGCACTCGAAGCTTCCTTCACAACAGGCAGAAATCGGCTCAAAAGTCTGCCCAAAACTCGCCCAGTAGAAGAGAACGACCAGAAGAGCAAAGGCTTACCGAGACAATAAACACAGATGTGGCAGAGCTACCATCAACCGCGGGTCTGGAGAGTGCTAGTCCCATGCCCAAAACACCCGAAGATAAATTAGGAGCTTACCCATTCCCTACGCAACAATCGCCAGAAGAGGCAGACATGGGCGCCACCGTCAGCGGGCCGCTTCCCGAGGCAATTCTCGAACCGACCCCTGATGAAGTGGCGGGTGGAGAGTTGCAGCGCCGCAAGTCTAGGATACAACGGCAAACCACTCCTCCACCAAGTACTGAGAAGGCTTCTTCTCAGCAACAGTTTGTGCCCGAATCCTCGCCTCAACCTGGCAAGGAATTGACTCTTTTCCTCCAATACAAGAGCAAGATCAAGAAGTTTGTCCTGTCCGATGGTGGTGACCTATCTATAGCGAGGCTTCAGCTTGCTTTTATCGAGAAGTTCGCCTGGAATACACACAACAACGGCAATGATCTCCCTGAGATTTACATACAAGATCCCGTTTCAGGTGTACGTCACGAGTTGGAAGATCTGGCCGACATCAAGGATCGTTCTGTACTTGTCTTGAATGTGGAACAGCTCGACGAAGTCAAGAAGCACTTTGACGACAGCATCGGAGGTATCAAGAGCATGATAGAAGGCCTGAAAACTGCCGTCGATGACCAGCAATCCGCCATCCATCGAGTTTCTGAGCGACAACAAGAGGCCGCGAAGGAGATGGCCACTCTGGTGACAGCAGCTCCACGCGCTCAAACACCTAATGCAACACCTCCGCCTCTCCAGACCGCATCTTCCAAAGGCACACCTGCCCAACTTACTGAAGTCCAATCTCTTCGTCGCGAGCTTGCCGTTGTTCGTCAAACTTACACATCATTTGTTGACGATATCAACTCTTCCATGTCTTCTATCCGGACCAAGGCTGCCACTGTCAAGTCTGCAGCAAACAAGGCGCGTGTTCCTTCGATGCCCGCCGGCTCTGGTCGAACTTATGTCAACGGCGGCAAGAAATCGCTTTCAGATGACAGTGAGAAGCTTGTTACCCAAGTGGATGATCTGCAAGATACCGTAGAGGATCTCCGCAAAGACGTCGTCCAACGCGGAGTCCGACCGCTACCTCGTCAACTCGATGCCGTCGGCAAAGATATTTCTACCGCAACAACTGGGCTCAAGAAACTGCAAGAGTTCCTCAAGCGTGAAAAGCCCATCTGGACCAAGATCTGGGAGAAAGAATTGCAAGTCGTCTGTGAAGACAGAGATTTGCTCACCATGCAAGAAGAACTCTGTATTGACCTGGAAGATGACCTTGAAAAGGCGGCCGAGACTTTTGCACTCGTCGAGCAAGCCACAAGACAACAGAATCTGCAAAACACACCCCGCTCTTCTTCTCGTACACTCAACCCTGTAGCTCTCGACCGTGGCGGCGACCCTGCCAAGGCCCGTACAGGCGTTTTGGGCGAAGTGCGCGCTCTCCAACCGAACCACGAGTCCCGTCTCGAAGCCATCGAGCGCGCCGAAAAAGCGCGTCAACGCGAATTGGAAGAACGCCGTGATGGCGAGTTCCAAAAAGAACTCAGCAGTTTCGTCGAGGAAGGGAAACTCAANAAGAGCGGTGGCGTAGAAGAAGCGGAGCGCTTGCGCAAACTCAAGGACGAAAGAAGCAGGAAGGAGAATTTCGAGCTGCTTCAGCAGAGGGAGAGAGACAGAGCTGCGAAGCGGGCTGCTGATGCTGCTGCGAAGGCAGCCGCGGCCGAGACTGCTGCCGCTGAGCCCGAAGCTCCCGCTGAAGGTACTGAGATCAGCACAGAAGACAAGGACGCATCAACAGAAAATGCCACAGAAAAGAGCATCGAAGATACACCCGCACCTCTCGGGACTGGCACTGCAGACCCCACACCCTCCGTCCCTGCAGGCGAAGACACAAAACCAGACACCCAATCGTCCCTCGAACCGCCGACAGCAGATGGCGCAGTAGACTTTGACGAACCAAGTCCAGCGGTCGAATTTGTCGATGCCCGAGAAATCCCACCCACGCCTGCTGCAGAGTAGAAATCATGGTTGGCGGTTTGATTAGCATATAGTCTTTTGTTTAAGTGGTCAAACAAGGGAAAATTAATACTTCATTCTCTCCTGTTGAGAATATTGCAAGACATGTTCTTCTTTTGGACACTACCTGTTGTCTTGATTCTTTTGTGTGTTTTTATAGTTGGTATGGATGGTGAATGGTGGTGAGGGAGACGAGGCAGGAGAACTGATGTACATGTGCCTGATGTAACCTGCCTCCCACATCTCATGTCTGTGTATCAGTAGAGTATATACTGTCAAATTGCACGACGGTATTGATAACCATGACATTGTCCGAAGAAGGTACCGAAATTCCAACTTCTCACTGGACATCACTCTACTTTTGAATGGACAGTGCATTGCTACAAACCTACCAGATTACCACAACCTCACATGGGAAGCGAACAGCGTCAAGAACCACGGGCACACATCGACACAACAAGGGGGTTTTCAGAGCGAGTTTGATTGTGCTCTATATAAAAACACAAGAGGTCACCACACCCACAAAGGGGCGGGTACCTCGGAGAAAGAAGAGGAGGGAGACACAACCAACCAACCCTGTCTAGACACACAACAGTCAGTCAAAAGGAAGACGCGAAAGCAGAGATCTTCGAGACTTACCCAATACCCGGCCTTCTTAGAGGCGCTCGGGCTGGACGTAGGGTGGCCGCGTGCTCACAAAGGCACGCAGCGGGATGTCGGGGTTGCCCGACCTCTTGTGCGTAAAATTACGCGGGCCGCTCTGGTGATGTGTGTCAGTTGGATGTTGTAGGCCAACGCGAGAGAACGAGAGCTTACGATGGTGGTGGGGGTGGCCAGGCCCCTGTTGTTGTTGTTGCTGCTGTTGCTGCCGAAGCAACAAAGGAGGAGGCGGACGGCGGAAGAGAAGAACATTTTTTTGATGGTCGTCGAAGAAAGAGAAAGGAAGGAGAGCATAAGAGAAGTACACCCGCTAGGCGTCTGCAAGCAGCCTCGATTAGTCGGCGAGAGGGCTAGTCCTTGTTGGGGCGCGATCAACGAAACTCCAGTGAAGCTGAAGCCATTCTTCTAAAGGCAAGAACTGGTTGGTAGAGAAGTATTGTCCATTGAGAGCCTGTCTATTGAGCTTTCTTGCCCTTGATTGCCTTGTCTGACTTAGAGATCATCTGGCTCAGACGGAAGAACATATCAAGACCCATGAAGACAGCCAGTGCCAGGTAGGGTACATAGAGCTTTCCAAGTTCAATCTTCTCATTGTTCGAGTAACCACTCCAGCTGAGGTAATCGGCAATGCAGGTCAAAGTAGTAAGTCCGGCCTCAAGAGCAAAGACGAGAAGATGTAGTGGTACTTTCGGATCATCTCGAAGTAGAGCTGGTACAGCCCAGAAGCTCAACGGAACGTGATAAAGAGCTTCGAGCCAGATGTAGGTATCGAACCAGGCGCTAATACATAATCAGTTCATCGTCAAAATCAAGGAATGGTATGCTAACGGTGGAGAAGAGAAGAACTGATCTCTGTACGTGGTGATGTACCACGTTCTAAGGTTTGTCATAAAGGCAGGCTTCAGAGCTGCAGGATACAGCGGTGTCAGATCAACGCCTGGTGTGTGGGATTAGCCATCCGAAAGTTCATATGCATGCACGAAAACAAGTTGCGAGTCAATGTTTGCTCTGCTGTCTTCAAAGAGGTTCAACTTACAAAACATGATCGGGATGTGCGTGAGGAAGAAGATCAAGTAGATCAGATCATGCTTGCGTTTCCAGATCGGTAGAGCCATTGTGAATTGGATTGACGAGCACTGTTGCTTGAAATGGATGGAAGTTAAACAAGGCCTGATGTTTGGAGGAACGAGCGACGCTTGATGAGGTATTCTCAATTGCAAGAGTTGTGGGGATTTAGAAGGATCGAACAACGCATTGACCAGCCGTTCATGCAGGACAAGGGCAACATCAGCTGTTCCTTCGCAGAGTTTGCCTGCAATGGGACAGTGATCTTCTCTTGAGGTGACAGTAATGGAGGGCTCCAATGGGTCTCGAATACATCAAAACGCAGGTATGTATGGCTAATATGATTCATCCACTTAGACCTCTGGTTCGAATCGAGAACAGAAAACCAGCAGCTATACAAGCAGGTCTGGGTCAGAAGGGGCATTCGACGAAGATGTGTCTTGTCATGCAGCCTTGAGCAGAAGAAAACATATCCATCGCGAAGTCCTAGTTCTGCACAAAGCTGCAGAGCCACTGCTGTGACGACCATATTCCCGTTCCTAGGCAACTGGACCTCGATGACTCTTCCCTTAGGACGATATCCGAGTCGAACAAATTCGTCAAAAAGCCTGCACAGTCATCTCAAAATCTTGCTGAAGGAGACCAGTATCTTCCCCTTCATCGACTGTCGACATCCTTGGATTGATCCTGGTCATCAACTTACCCGAAGGGCTTGGAAAAATTCAAAAGGAAGTGCCGATGCAGAGAATCACGTATGCAATACTCCGGTGGATTTATGCCCGCTACTATCATGCTCAGGCACAATCGAGCGACAACGTAGTCTACTTGGAGCTTTCTGCCATAGAGCACCCAACAATGCTACGCAATCTCAGGTCTCGAGAAGCTGCGACACATGCTATTGTCGCGATGTGGGTGCACTCAGTGTCGTGCCTGTTGGGGTCTCCCAAGCAACAAAATTTCGCGCGATGATTATGCAGTCGCTCGAGCAATCGATTCATGCCACTCATGCCTTGGATGTCGTGCTTTGGAATCTGGATTGTCTGGAACATTAGGTTACAACTGAAACCCATCGATGATCGAGTTGGCTTTGGAAAGACACGAACGATGCAGCCGACAGCTTACCAGAGACTTCCCGAAAGACAACAACCGCACATAGCGACGATGGCGGCGCTCGAGAGTCCTGTCGAACACTACCTCACCCCATGACCGGCGTTGTGCAGCCAACCTTTATATACGATCGATTTTGGGACCTTACCAGCGGCAACCCCACTATTGTCTGGCCGCCAAGGGGATCCCTTTGGTGTGGTGGTTGGGAAGCTCACCAAAAAAATCTTTGTCAGCAGCTACGCTTCAGTAATACATGGACCAGACCCATGTACTAAAGCTCTGATAAGGATTTTTCTGTGTATCAGTTTTTTGCTGGCTTACAGACCATAAGCACGGCTCTTCTTTTTGGACATCTATCTCATTCAGGACTGCCAGTGTTGTGTATGATCTTGCAACATGTCGGGTTCTGAGTATCGATGTTCTGGACCGTGCTTTTCTTTACATCTTTACACTGAACTGATCCGAATGTCACGGTTCGATTCTCAGCCTGGCCGTCGCCTTTTTACAGCCCTATCAGAGCCGCCGTACTCGGACGTATTTGACCGTTGTCATATTTGGCACAGGGTTACATTCACATCTATCTGCGAGTAAACACCTTCCTACAGCCTGGATATCTTCCTGAAGATCACCAAGTCGCATTGCGGACCTTTGCAGTATACAGGGCGCGGCTTCAGCGACCAGGACTTTCGCGACACAGTGAAGAACAAGACCGACCACTACTTCGAGAGGCACAACACATCTTCTTAATTGCGTCAGCATTTGCTAATTTGTGTGTGTCTGTTTGCTGCTGAGTGTTTTGCTTGCTGTCATCTCCCGAAGCTATATATTAAAGATAAGTTTGGGCTCTATAAGAGTCAGTTGTGCTTGGTGGTGTAGTGGTAACACGCCCTTGTTTGTAATTCCCAGTTCGCGGAGGGTAGCTTGGGAGCGGTCGGGTTCGATTCCTGCCCTCGCATCAGACTCCTCCTCCCTTAGGGCCCCTACCCCTTCGGAGCCTTCTTTTTTGCTCTCTTTCCGAAGCTACGGTTTGTTTCTTGGTGTCGTCGATTCTGGCCGATTGCCTTTACCTTCTTTCTTCTACAATGCCATCGTATCTCGTACTTTTGTTTGCTCACGGCTTCCGTCTCGACACAGATTCCCTTTTACTCCCGCTTTTGCTTCCGCCACAATCATCATGTTCTCAGTGGTTGTCGCGTCTATACTATGGTTTGCTTGCCACACTCCACCTTTTGACTCCACGACTACGTTTCTCACACAGCCTGTTTCTTCGTATTGAGCTCTGATCAGCCCATGCGACCACCGAGGCTCGTCATATCGGAATTTTGTATACTCAGATTCAGCTCGGCCATTTGTTCTGGGAAGATGTCAGACGGGCGGTGTCAGACTTGCGCCATCATTCCCCTCAAGTGCCTGCACACTTCCAGCCACTCTGTCTTTCAGTAATCGTGCCCTTCTCGACGGATCCTAGCATGGTGCTTTTGCGCAGTTCTTACTACATGACCAGTTGCATAAAACTAGTCGGCTGGCAAGCTTGCTTACTTGAATGCGACAAACATATGTACTTGTGTCAGCATGTTGAAGTTCTTTGAGCATTGCGATACGGAGGACCACGGAGTAAAACGACAGATGTACGCGACAAGTACGATAACAACAGTAGTGATGTCTACCTTAGTGTCTTTCTCTCCAGCGTGGATCCAGGGGAAGCTGCGACATATAGCTCGGGCCGGTTGCGCGTCATCCAAAATCCGAGCGGGTCGCGTTTGCAATCACCAAAAGTACACACTCTATTCCTTTGGAAGCTTTCAAAGCAAGTGCACTCAACGATACGATATATTTCCATACCTTGCGTTTGGATAACACAGCGGGTGTTCGGCATTAGCAGACCTCCGACGGAGATAGCAGTTTCCTGATCCGGTCAAGCAACTCCTTACATCCTTCCGACGGACGAACATGCCACCGGTGCGAAGGTATATAAATACAAGATAGTCACAACAGTAAAAAGCCAAGTTCCGACACACACGCTCATACACAGTCGACATGCCTTCCAATACTGCAGCATGGCAGCCCAAGCCCGGCGTTCCTCTCGAAATCAAGGATACACCCTACACTTCTCCTCCTGCCGACTACCTTACCATCAAGCACCGTGCGATCGCTCTGAACCCGATCGACTTCAAGCTACAAGATATTGCCATATTTCCATTTCTAGCCTACCCGACGATCTTGGGCTTGGACGTTGCCGGTGAAGTGGTCGAAGTCGGCAGTGCAGTCTCGAAATTCAAGCCAGGCGACAGAGTATTAGCTGTGGCTGGAGGCGTTACTGCCAATACTCCTTCCGGCTCAGCTTTCCAACAATACAGCGTTATTTACGCAAACATGGTCACCAAGATCCCGGACAGTCTCTCCTATATTGACGCCGCTGTCATGCCTCTGGGCATTGCTACCAGCGCTTGTGGTCTCTTCCAGAAGGATCACCTCGCTCTGCATTCTCCTTCTCTCACTCCCAAGTCTACTGAACAGACATTGCTGGTCTGGAGCGGTGCTTCCAGCGTTGGCGTCAACACCATTCAACTTGCACGGGCCGCAGGGTACGAAGTCATCGCCACAGCCTCGCCCAAGAACTTTGAGCTCGTTCGTAGTCTGGGTGCCAGCGAAGTTATCGATTACAACCTGGATCCAGCAACTCTACTCGAGCAGCTCACCAATGCATTCAAGAAAAGAACCATCGCTGGCGTTCTGCACACTGCCGGAGATGCTCAGAGCTCCATGTCTATATGTGCGGACCTCTTCTCCAAAGTCGACGGCAACAAATTCTTCACGACCACTGTGACTCTACCCGTAGATATCCCCGCCGGCTTCAGATACAGTCGTGTCTTTGCAGGTACAATAAAGGATAGCGGTGTTGCCGACATTGTCTTTGGGGACTTTTTGCCCCAAGCAATCGCAGGAGGGAAGTACAAGCCGGCACCTCAGGCTGAAGTCGTTGGCACAGGGTTGGAATCTTTACAGAAAGGCCTGGATATCTTGAGAAAGGGTGTTTCTGCTCAAAAGCTTGTTGTCACTCTCGACTAGATAGACTACTGATCAACCTTTGTTTTACTACGTACCCACCCAAGAGTGCTTTTTGTTCGCTCGTTTGCTGTTCGACATGTTGCTATAAAACTTTTGTCGTTACCAGTACCAAAAAGTGAGCTTTGTCTCAACTCTCCCGTGTACTAAACACTATTTTAATATACTATAAAAATGCACAATACCGTTAAAAATAAGTCTTGTTCAAGAAAAGTTGTTATTAGGGATCATCTCTGTGGCCACAATCTGCTTCAATAAGTTACTGTGTATTAACATCGTACTATAGCACTGTTTGTCGGGGTAGGAGATAAGACAAGGGGTAACAGTATCCTTACAGCCCTAATTGCTTGAATTTCTGCTTGATGTCACGAAAGTTATCCCAGAGCAAACGTGCATGCTGAGAAAATATCGTTTGACAACGCAACTGCACAATCGGGGCACACCTCCTACATATATCGATGACACCATCTCCGTAGTCCTCTCATTGTAATATCTGGTAGAAGCACTGCAGCTTTTGACAATCACACCATGAAGACATAGCTATGATGCTCTTGTACCGCACCCCTGAATCTGTTGGAAGGAGTTTGCATGTGAATGAGGCTGTCTCACGTGAGTGAAAACCTGTCCTTACAAGGCACTCGACGACAAATCGGCCAATAGGACACCAGGCACAAGGGCGAGAGAAAAGTGAAAAACAAAAACAAAAACGTGGTGAAATTCGAACGCGCGACCTCAGTGAGCATCCCACGTGACTGTGATATAATAATTTCCCTCTTCTTCACCACCAAGATAACCTATTTTACACTGTATACCGCTCATCACTGCCTTCAACTGGTGCCAGAGGTCTCTCCATTCACAACGCTTACAAAGCGAAGCGCCGCGTCGGCCTGTGCTGGAATTCTCACTGCCACTGCGTCTGCTCCTCGCTTTTCTTTCTTCCTTCTACCACCATAAACTACTTGTTTTCTGGTGCCGGGTTTCTCCTCGCTCGCTCTCTGGGTCAGTTCGCATCTCTCGTCCGGGTTAAATTACCCCTTACTTTGTTCATGTTGACTGACACTTCAACTTTAGCAATTTTTCAATCATGACTTACACCAAGATCATGTACGACATGCCTCCCAACAAGGTTGGAGAGCGCAACGAGTACTGGCAGCTCAAGATCAAGCCCCTGGTGCTCTTGCTGCCTCTTGCGTCGTCAACAAGTACTGGGAAGACATCCACGCCGTCCATGAAGAACAATTCAACGAGGCCGTCATGATCTACCAGCGAATTATGGAAGAGGTAAGTTTTGCTGGTTTGTTCTTGCTCAGAGAAGAAAACGTTACTGATCTTCTCACGCAACAACAGTATCCCGTCAAGAAGACTGCACCTTGGCTGCGCAAGGTGTTTGACTTCTTCCACCTGAGCTTCCTGTACGAGACTGAGGACCTGACCGCAAAGGATCGTGCTCACATTGCCTATCCTGCGTTCGAGGAGATCTCTGATGAGGAGTGGATGCGCCGTGCCGCTCCCATTCACTACCCTTACCACACTCCTGCCTCCCAGAAGGCCTACGACGAGGAGATGGCCATCCGTCGTCGCAACAGAGCCATCAGATGGGAACAGAAGTTTGCCGAGTACGCCCACAATCACCGTGTTTTCGAAGGCTCTGAAACTTCGAGTATCAGATCAGGCGCCAGCGCTGCTTTCAATCCCAGGAATGCCACGTGCGAGGAGTTCCTTGACCACATCCAGCGTCTGATGGTCAAATGGGACAAGGCGGGCGTCTTGAAATCTCATCCTATCTACGCTCTTGCACTCCACAAGGCTGAGAAAGTTGCTGCAGCCATCGCCATGGATCCTGACTCGGACTCTTCCTTCGACTCCTCCTCCGACGGATGGGACTCGGATTCTGACACCGATGTTCATTCTGATTCGGCCTCTGAAACCCACTCCAAGGCTGGCACCAAGATTGAGAACAATTCAGACTCTGCTGCTGAGCTCAAGCCTGATGTCAAGGCGGAAGCTGATTCGCCTGAGCCGTCTGATTATTCTGACTTGTCTGACACCAAGATCGGCTCCCACTCGGACGCTCACATTGACTGGGACGATCTCTTGTCCGAGCTCGACTTTGACTCAGACTTCTATCTTGACCTCGACCTTGATTCCGACTCTTTCTCCTTGTCGTCCTCTACCGATTCAGATGCCTCTTCCAGCTCGTCTGAGGCTTTCAGCCTTTCCGAGATTGATTCCAGGTGGCGCATCGAGCTCAACGAGGCCATGCTGAGCACTCACATCCTTGACTTCGACAATGACCCCTTCCTGTGCAGCGCCGATGAAGAGTTCCTCCATGATGTCAAGTTCTGCTTCCACATAAGAAACATTCGCATCCATGACGAAGTTCTCAGAAGACTTTGCCACGAGCGCGTCCAGGATAATAGCAAGGAGTTCGGACGTTTGTACTCTCTGTGGTTGAGCATCAGGGTCAAAGTCGACCTCCCCTACGAGCCCAGCGTCCACTCCAACAACTCTGGCGAGGAGGCTGAGGAGGACGAGACTGCTCGCCACGGCGACGATGAGCACGAAATCAACGGCTCCGACTCCAACGAGGCTGATGAGGATGACCCCGAGACCCAGCCCGAATGGCTTCCCCACTGCGCCACCGAGTCTCCCGGTCTCACCGTCGAGGCATCCGACATGGATGAGAACCCTCGCCACGTCGACCTGGTCGAGATGTCCGAAGAAGAGGAGCAGGGCTATCTCGCTGAACGCCGCAAGCGCGACCAGATCTACCGCGAATACTTCGAGACCGAGCAGGAGCGCAGAGACAGAGCGGCCAGAGAAGTCGAGGGAGCAGGCAGGGGCATTCAGTGGCTGGTTACCCAGGATCTCGAGGGCTTCCCAGTCACGCCTCGTGTCTCGTCCTCGACCCATGCAGCCTCTCCCTCTGTTTCAACTGAAGGTATCCGTCCATCTGGACGTTCATTCGAGCAGGAATTCATTACCTGCGCCAACGAGAGCAAAATCCTCAAGTGCTTCTCAGCCGGAACCCAGCACGTTCGCGAGTTCGCCAGTCAGGAGGCGACTCCTGCCACTTCCTCCAGGAAGCAGTCGTTTGTCGCACGCGGTATGAAGAAGCTGAAGCATCTTTCTCACAAGCTCAAGAAAGGCAACGTTTCCGATGACTCCGGCGAGCCCAGCGAGTTCAGCGATGATACTGTTTAGCCGACAGCGCCTAAACTTCTGGCTTGTCTATCGCATCGTCATACATTCGCAGCTTCTGACTGAGGTAGAACGTAGACATCGGCATCACCTCTCTGGTGCTGGTCCACCAGTGTTGGTTGGCAGACGCGATTCAGATGCAGATGCATTTATCGTGCTTCCTTTCTTTCTTCCTTTCTTTGTTTCCTATTTCCTTTGTTTTCTTTCCTTTTATTTCTTTCTGCTAGATAGATGACAATAGGTCGAGCGACGACCCCATGGTTTTATGACGAAGATGAGGAACGAAGAAGCATCGTGAGATAGACTCGTGCGAGGAACGAAAGGGGAATCAGTATTATGGTCTGGGTCACATCATGTAAAAGCAAAAGAAAAAAAGACTAGCGTAGGCAGAAAGGAAAAGGAACCCAACCTCTGAACCCATTGCAAGTATCCGCCTAGAACCTCTCTTTTGCAGTAAAGAAGTGGAAAACGCCTTGAAATGCTCGACGAACGTTGAACCTCCCAATGTCGTAAATCTCATGATACACCTTCTCTTATCTAACCTTGGAAGAGCAGACCTGCAGCATACTCGACGTTACCGTCGGTGGCATCCAAAGCGGCAATTGCTTCTTGTCTAGAAAAGCCGAGACCGATGAGTTGCTCAATGGCCGCTTCAGGATGCTTGCTGCTTGGAGCAGCTTGTGGAGGTGCTGTTCTGGCAGGGGCGGAGGCTGCAGGTGTAGGATGTACTGCAGGTCCGCTAGTGGATGGCTCACCAACGGAACGACCTTGACCTTGGAAGTTGCCGTTAGGCTGTTGCGACGAAGATCCAGCTTGCGTCACAGTTCCCGTCTTGGTGCCAATCTCGGTACCGTTGGGGCCCTTGATGTGTTCCTCGTTCTGCAAAGCTTCTTCGAACGATCTAGGCAGCTCAGATTCGGGCAAGAAATCGACTTCGTTGTCCTCAAAGACCAGCTTGTTGCGACGGAGGTCAATACAACCTTGATAGCGTTTGAGCATGTCCAGACCGAGCAGAAGATCAACATCCTTTCCCTCCATGACGGTAAAGGAGCATGGCATGACAGCGTTACCAATCTTGATGTCTGCCGAATGCACGCGACCAAGGATCTGAGCGGTGCCAACGCCACGGGCAATACCAGAATAGCGCTTATCAATCAATCGCATAATACCGCAGTTCTCGGCGCAGCTGGGAGACATGATGGTGGTCTGGGCACCTGAATCGACAAACGCCTTGAGCTTGTGGCCGTTGACTTCGCAGTTGATGTACAGCATCGTCACACGACCGAAGANCTGGATAGATCAGTAACTGTGGCGTTTTGTGGCAAAGGAACAAATAGAAATACCTTCGGGATTGTGTTCGTAGGCATACTCCAGGTTCTCCATGACACGATCTTGACGGATGATCTCCTCAATCTTCTGCTGGGCCTCAATGTTGAAGGGGTCGTCGTTGAGCAGCTGCATTTGTTCACGTCTCTCACGCTCCCTGGCCTCGGCCTGCTGGATAGAGTCGACGTATAGTTCGCGAAAGCGGACAGGGTCCGAGGCGGCTGCGGCGAGCTCGGGTCTCTCCTAGCTGACTTGTTGCATGGCCTGGGGGTTGCCCAATAGTTGCAGGCGCAGGGTCTCGATCTGGTCATTGCTGAAACGGCCTTGTTGTGGCTGGGATTGCTGTGGGCGGGTCTGCTGACGGGGCATGTTGTTCTGTTCGCGGACTAGCATGTAGAGCATCTCCCCATTCTTTATTCCTGCCTGGTCGATAGTCTTTTCGTCGCCGACTACGGGGGCTCCGTTGAGGAAGAACTGGATCGAGGTGATGGGGAAGCCGGTCCCGTCGTGGACTTGAGTCTTGAGGTGGCCGAGAGTAGACGAGATGTCGACGTCGAGCGGGAGGAATTCCTCGTCGAGAGCATGGCCTGGGGCGTTTATTTGTATCGTGACTTGAACCCTTTTCGGAAGGCATCAGCATGTGTGAACGAAAACAGAAGTCAGAACGAGTGTCACGGCACTCACATGGTTGCTGAGATGGATCCGGCTGCCTTGCGTAGAGGCTAGAGGCGAGTGTTCGGGGTTATGCACGTCGCTGGAAGAGGTCGGGCAGGCGCGAAAAGGGGTGCAAATGTGTCTTGGACGTGTTGCACTCGGACGGCGATGAGTAATGAATGTGAGAGAGGGAAGGTACGAGCACTTGATACGTCCAACCCTGGCCGACGGAAGCTCGTCGAAGCGCCTTGAAAGCTTGCGGAGGCAAAGACGACCGGTCCCGTTCGATGCACACGTGGGATAGACCGCACAAGCATTTATATTCTGCAATTGCTGTTTCCTGCTCCTGCTTCCGCTGCCATCTGCCAAACCTGCACCATGCACCATGCAGCCATGCACGACGAGTCACTGGCAGATTGGCGGTCTGCCGTCTGTCTGCCTGCCATGGTTCAGAGCCCCTCATCTGCCTTTGGTCGTGCCGCCGCATTGTGATGAGCTTTTCCCTGATTGTTCTGTATTCTGGAAATGCACTCCACAAACAGAAGTCTTTCTTTCAATCAGTGTTGCATTGCTAACTGACTCTCGTTTGCCATTCTCTTGATCCTTCGAGAATGCACTGCTCTGATGCCATCGCCGTCACGCTTCAACCCCACCAAGACTGGTCCATGCACCTCTTTCACACGTCACTGCCATGTGTTGCCTTTCAACAAAGCACCTTGGGTAACCTGTTTTGCTTGTCCTACCAACGCTTCATCTTCATCCTGTGTTTCTAAACTACCACGCCAGGGGTCAGTCTTATTCACGCACTTGCTTCCTTGCCTACATCCATCATCTCGGACCTCCGCGTGCCACCAACAAGCATGCCCCGCGATCTGGCTGCCCTGATGAGAGGTGATGATGAGCCCAAGGACAAGATCTCCCGCGACATGGAGAAACAGGATCACCTCGCCGAGATCAAGCCTTACGTCCAAGCCCTCACCATCTCCGACATTGACAGCGCCGTCAAATTGGAGGATGCCACGTTCCCCCCTGAGGAACGTGCAACGAGAGAAAAGGTATTTGTACCACCATGTTTGCATTTCGTATCTCTTTCATTCATCCCCGACTTGTGATTCTGCTCCTATTTCACCACATTCAGCATCGCTGTGTTCGTTGCGAGGACACCATCTGCACCTCCCTTCATTTGTTCTCGGACTATACTTGGCGTCTCTACCAGGTCTTTACCAGGCTATGAGGAATTTCAGCCTTCGTCTTCACAATATTCTGAAGTTCGAATTGAGAGAGACAAGAGCTTCAAGACATGCACAACCTTTGTCTTATGTATAGTGCTGAGCCCTCATTGGATGCAAAGAAGAGCACTCGTGAATTTCCAACAGACATGTGCTTCACAGACCTAAGCAAATGGAAGGCAACCAGCGTGTCACGAGTATATCATCTGAAACAATCCTTCACCAACGATAGTTCTTTGATACTAATCCGGAAGCTCTTGCCTTGACTCACAGGCCAGCAAATACACCTATCGAGGTTGCGGTTCGATGTCTGTCTCGTACCACTGCCTAACTATAATGGAGCCAAACACATTTGTCTTGTAACAAGGCTAACATGCAACGCACAGTTCGAGTATCGCTTCACAAAATGCGGTGGGCTGTGCCTGGGTCTTTTCACTTCCGTTGATATGAGCGATTCGTCTGCTCCTCTTGCATCGGTCGAGACGGCTTCCAGTGCCCATCACGTGTACAGCGGTGCCCCAGCACGCAAGTCTGTCCTCCTCGCTCATTGTGTTGTGACCAAGACAACCAACCTTACCGTCATGGACGAAGACATGGAAGTTCCTAATGACTGGAAGACTTCGAGTGCTTCATCGAACAACATCGGCCACAGAGAGGAAGGTCGTACAATTGCTGTACACAGCCTTGCGGTCCTGCCATCGCTTCAGAACCGCGGACTGGGTTCGACTTTGCTGAAGGCATTTATTCAGCGAATGGAATATGTCCAAGCCGCTGACAGAGTAGCTTTGCTTGCTCATGGTGAGCTCGTCAAGTTCTACGAAAAACTGGGCTTTCAGAACAAGGGTCCCAGCAAGGCAACATTCGGCGGAGGCAACTGGGTTGACATGGTAAGCTCACCCACCGAGAATATCTATCCAGTATACTAAGCAAGACATCAGGTCCTCGAGTTGAAGAACAACCTACACTGATGAATTCACGGTCGAACGATTCACGACTTTATCCGCAGAGACACACAAGAAACAGGCGTAGTACTCTTTGGCTGTGATTCTGAGCAGCGACTAGCGATCGCTTGAGCTACGAGTGCTCGCTGTGGGTGTACATGCATCGCGTAGGCAGCATCAGGTCTCGTCGAACGCAGCCTGAGGACAGAGAGACCAGACAAATATTACTCGTACTCAATCGCCTGCATGAGGGTTACGGGGTGTGAACTTCAAAGCTGGTGGTGTACACAACTAGACTGCGGGACTCAACATATCTTGACTCCACTCCATATAATACTCTTGATTGTTTTGGTGCCACTTGTGGTCGAGCAGCTCTGGTATGGCTTATCACGCCACGGCTGTATGCATAGGAGGTTTAACACGCTTCACCCCTCGTCAATTAACCAGGTTTTGGATCGTGTAATGCATGCACGCCGATCACAGGGTTGTGCATGATGGATGCTCCCGCATGAGCACAGAAGTCTACGACTGGTCAGTCGGGGATAGCTTGAGGCTGGCGACTTTCCGGAACAAAGTTCGAGTATACGGCACGGTTTGTTGGTAAGTAAGGAAATTCTGATGGTGAGCATCCACAGACTCGATCAGATGTCGAGTATGGGGCTGTGAAAATGATACAATACTTCTTGAAATGCTTGCTGCAGGCTGTGTACTCTATTTAAAACCCAATGGTGTGAACAGTCGACCCATCTGCAACTAGCCCATCCTCCCGTCGATACGAGGTATAAAGCTACCTATTGGCATTTTGTGGTCAGGTGGCAATTGGCTCGACCAGCAATAGAGGCAGGTATGACGGCGAAGGAGCAAAGCTCATCCTCCTAAACCTGCAAAGGTAAGTGCGATACAAGTACCACCTTCCATGGCACTGGAGTCAACGTCCCTTGCTTCTTCAGCTGGAACCTCTTTTTGTCCTTCTCTCTTCTTCTTCAACATCCACAACATCCACAACATCAATTATCAAAAGCACGATCACAATCACAGCAATGAAGTCAACAGTCTACCCTCTGACCATCCTCGCTGGCTTGCTGGCCTCCACAAAAGCAAACCCTCTCCCTGTCCCTGTCGACACAAGCCTCAAGGAGTGCGGTAACCAATGGTACAGCCCAAGCAGCTATACCTGCCGAGTCGGAGCTGATAGTAACGCCCTCTGCCCGGTCGTTAACGGCGAAGCCATGGAGGACTGCAACGGCGCCTGCTACACACCTTACCGCTACAAGTTCGTATCTGCATCAACAATAGACTGTACGTCTACTAACTATAACNNCAGCTGCAGCGGAACGACTCTTGTTGAGAATCCCAGAAAGACCAGTGGAACCTTCACTCTTACTGCCAGCAATCCGGATCAGCCCTTTGACGGCGAACCTATCCAAGCTGCTGGTATGCACTTCTGGGTTGGAGGACATGCTGCCACCTACTGTCCATCAAACGTCGGCAGTATCTGCACCTCGTTTCCCAATGACACTACCCTCATCGGCAACGGCTACATGGTAAGCAAAGCTTGTGCTTGTAGATGACGCGTTGGCTGACCAAGCACCAGNGCAACCGTAGTTCCCGGTGGACAGAGCATCTACTGGCAGAAGGACGGATCAATGGCCTTCACCCAAGCACACTCGTCTCAGCAGTACAACTTGAGCTACTACGGCGGCGGCATTACCTACGAGGGTGGTGGCTACTTTGGACCCAACGGAGAGGACTTGATCACTTGTCCCGTCACGCCAGAAGGCAGCAACACGACAGCCTGGAAGCTCTTCGCACGTCTGTCCGGTGTTGGATTCCCAAGCTCGTGCGTCGGATTGTACGTTGTCGTCCACGACCAGAACATCACAGCAGGTGCTTGGCAGTACACCTAGGGTGACGGCTTGCAGGTGTATTGAAAGGAACAAGAGAATGAAGAGCGCAGCAGTTGCGAGACGGGTAATGGCTGTGGAGCTGCTCCCATGGGATGCATGACTAGGAGTATGAAGCATGTTTTACACCGGGATTCGGAGCAGGAGGATAATGCAGATGCAAAAGTCACTGCCGTGTAGCATAGTTTTCCCACTGCTGGAGTTTTGATAGTGTCAACATCAACTATTGTTCAGTGTTTACTCGTCTCTTGACTTGGTTTTGAATAGACAAGGGACGAGTTTCGAAAATGGAGAAGATGGAGATGAACGGCGGGACCGAGGGGTGGGCACGGACGCGATGACGCGCCATGGGGCAGGAGCATACGTGCATGAGTCTTGGGGGTCCGATGTTGGAGCAGATAGCGAGGCAGTCAAGCATTCTCCCTGCTAATCACTCGACAGCAACGAGCGATTAATCTGTCTTTCTGTAATTCGAGCCTTTCGAAGCTGTCGCCGTCAGTAAATCGCAGCAGCCTCTCCAACCGTCAAAGACACAAGGCTTGAGGGACCTAGGCAAACCAAAGGCCGAGCTCGTCCTTAGATCGTACACAAGCTCCCGGCCATTCAAATCCAGCAGAAGGACGAGTCCTGTCCCCATCAGACCACATGGTTGTAAGACGATGAGCTCGCGTACCAGCTCGACGACAGCACAGTCGTCGACCCTACGGCCCCGAGCTCCACGACTCATCTCCGGTCTCGACGATGAAGCCCCGGCCGTTCTGACACCCATGCCACGCCATGCCTCGCCGCTGCCTTCGCCCTTCGACTCTCGTGAGCCATCGCCCATGCCTAGCACCCGCTTGCCGCGCACCGCCTCGTCCCAGACCGTTCGGCCCGTGAAGAGCATGAGCCGCCTGAATCCCGATCGCTCTCAGTCGCCCGCAACTTTGTCGGCCTTCTTTGGAGACTCATGGTCTGCTATACAGGGCATGGCCTCGGATCTACTTACCCCCTCTCCAGTATCCTCCAAAGGAGCCCTCTCGCCGCGACGTCGCAAACCCTCCATCAATTCGACCTCTACACGGAATACAAGTGCCCCTTCGAAGCAATGGGGTGTGCCCACCACCATTCCGTCTTCTGCCATCGGCCTTGGCTCTCACGAAGAGAGGGAAACGTTGCTACGTGCTGAGAAGCGCAAGCATCTCATGAATGCCACNCCCGAACATAACACGATTGGACACTTCAAGCGTCGCTCGTCCGAAGATGGTGCATCCGCTTCTGCTCCTCCTGAAAACGGTCACGATCGAGACGCCCTGGTCTACGTTCACCACGTTCGTCCTGAAGATACGCTTGCTGGTATCACCATCAAGTACAACATTCATCCTTCAGCCTTGCGACGCGCCAACCGTATGTGGCCCAATGATCGCATACAAGTCCGCAAGACCATTCTGCTTCCTGTCGATCAATGCGCCGTCAAAGGTACTCGTCTAAACGGAAGCGAGGATCTTTATCAACTGACACAGGAGAACAATCCTTTTCCGACATCGATAGAAGAGGTCAAGACACCCATCCCCACGGGCAGGAAAAGAACCGAGTCTGTGTCCACAAATGGCGATCGCCCGTCGTCTTCTTCGTGTCGTTCGTCACACGATCCAGAGGCAACCTGGGAACATGATGCATGGGTCCTCCTGCCAAACAGCAAACAACCCACTGAGATCGCCCGCTCATCTCGTCGTAATCTGGCCTTCTTCCCACCCGCTAGACGAAAATCCCAGTCTTATTCTGATATCGATACGCCTTCTGCCTCCTTAGACCTCAACAGATCTGTGATACACGAAAACCCTCTGGAGTCCCCCAAGCAAGAGGTTCCCCAACGACCGCGAGGGACCAGGAGATTGTCCAATGCAAACAATGCTTATTTTCCCAGCTATCTAGCTGGACCAGGGGGTGTTGGAACCATGGCTAAGAATGTCAAGTCACCTGGACCTGCTCAAGATGGTCTGAACAAGATGTTCGCCAGTCATCTGCCAAACGTGGCTCCCCCGCCGAATCAGTCGAATCTATATTTGCCCGACATTCCAACCTATACGGATGATCCGACGCCCTTCACGCCCGGCCTAACGCATGCGCAATCACCTTCGATCAACATTGAGAACGTAGGCGCAGCGGTCGAAGGATGGATGCGCAAGATGGCAGCGAAGGCCAGCACAGCCATTCCACCACCGCAAGACAGAGGAGTGGCCAATAGGGGTGGACCTAGTGGGATTGGTGACTTGATCGAGATGGCCGAGTCTTTCGAGATAGGAGAGGAAGAAGAGGACGAAGAACAGCATAGAGGTCGGCAGGGTTCAGAGAACAATGGTCGTCCTGGTATGAGCAGTAGTGCTTCTTTTGCATATGCTTCCGCTCTCAAGGACAGAGCGAGGAGCGGGACCAGTGCTGGCGCTGGCATGAGGAACAAGGACGACTAATCACGAGTGTCTGGTGTTGTAGGTTTCTGAGAGGCACGGATCTTGAGTACTGTGATAGAGGAATGTCCAACCAATACCTTTCTTGTGAAACAGTGATAGAGGAATGTCCAACCAATACCTTTCTTGTGAAACAGTGTCTTCAGTGCCTCGATCAATGGATTGTGATTTGTGCCTCTCTGCTATTGCTTACTGTTCACATGCTGAGCTGCGGCGTGCAGCGATACGAGATCAGCGGGGTCGATGGGCTATGCCAGACTTGACGGCCACTGCCTTCCAGATTGATATACCTACTCCTTCAGACTTTTGACCTTTACAAAAATTCACAAGATGACGCTTGCACACAAGAACGGTCTCGCGCTCGAATATGCGACTGTCGAGGACGCCGAAGCAATCGCGCCGCTCTTCTTCCTCTCATTCCACGACCATGCCTATTTCAGACGTATGATGCCCGACTCTGCAGAAGGTCGAGATGCTTGGGCAGACTTGTTTCGCTTTGCATGCAAAGATCCATATACCGTTTGCTTGAAAGTCACAGATGAAAAGACTGGAGAAATAATCAGTCATGGGAGATGGGTGAGGCCTAAGAAACGGGTTGAAGATGAGCAGCCAGGACATGAAGAGCAGAGATGGAGTGCTCTTGATCCGTATCTGGACACAGAGACTGCGGATGCACTTTTCGGGTCTTTTGCCAGGAACAGACAGGAGATGATGGAGGAACGGAGACATTATTGTGAGTTGCCATTGCTGATCGCGATAAATGTCAACGTGTCTGAACTGACACCATGAATCAAAGATATGGAACTCCTCATGACTGCCGGGAAGCACAAGGGCCGTGGCGCAGGTGGATTAATCTTGGAATATGGTACTGAATTGGCAGACGAGGAACAGGTGGAGTGTTATATTGATGCTAGTCCAGCTGGAAGACCTCTGTATGAGCGACACGGCTTTGTGTTCAGCAAGCAAGAGAAGCTGCCCATGGACTATCACTACAATTTTGGCATCAGAAAGTCAAAGGCGGAAAAGAAGTAGAAAAAATAATGATAAAGGAGAGAAAAAGTAGCTAATTAAAGGGCAGTGCTTGTGAAACCTTCTCAGGGGCGCGGCTTTGCGGCGATCGGGAGAGGCGCTCCAATGGCCAAGGCTCAAGGTCGTGTCGTCGCATCCATCACAGTGTGTATCTGCATCTTCAACCCTGATCCCGTAAACCTCTGCCCGACCATACTACCTATCTCGCCTCCTGTCGCCGCCGCCGCCGTCGTCTCCGACCATTATCCGCACCGCGTAGACGATCGTCACATCTCTATCGAAAGCCAGTCGTCCAGCCCAAACATTTCCCCAGGCGACCATCTCGCTCGAAACCGCGCGTCGAAGAACACACAACACACGGCACAACAATGCGCTGCCACATCTTGACAGTGCTGGCCACTTTGGCCGCCACCGTCGTCGCCGACGTCAAGTTCTCGTCGCCTGTCGCCGGTCAACAGATTGCGGGTGGTACGGCTTTCACCATCACCTGGACCGACGATGGAACCACTCCCACCATCGACCAATTCGCTGGCTATACGCTAAATCTGATGGCTGGTGGAAACACGGCTGGTACTTCTGTATGATACCGAAGCTCTGGAATCTTTGAATCAGTGCTGATAAGGACTGCAGCAAGTAGTNNCGTCCCCGTCAAAGCCGCTGGTGTTTACGCGGGCAAGACTGGCTCTCTTACCTTCACTGTCCCCATTACTCTGGGAGCGACCGCGAAAAATGGNATAGTATGTCGCCCTGTATCGAGGAATCCGTACATACCCTGTCTAACTGTGTCCAGCTACCTACAAATGATCTCCAACGGCGTTGACGGTGGTACCGATATTGTCTACAGCTCGCGCTTTGGTATGACAGGCATGACAGGCGTCTTCTCTGCTGCTGTCCTGCAAGGTGTCACTGCCGCCGGAGCTGACACAACATACACACCTCCTGCCGCTCACGACCTGGCTGCAGCTGGTGCTGCTGCTGGCACTACCGCCGCTGCCGCCGAGGCTGGCATGTTCACCATTCCCTACCATCTTCAGACCGGTCTCATCAAGTACGCACCCATGCAGCCTATGCCTGGAACAAAGATCACCGCAAAGACTCCCTCCATGATGAACCCGAGCTCGAGTTACACCATCTACAGCACATATGCAGCTCCTGCCTCCATTACCTTCACCGTGACTGAGTCTCAGACTCTGTCTCACACGAGTAGAGAGAATCCCGTAAGTTCTGCTTCATGTATCATCTTTCTTGCATTGTGCTGACTGGACCACAGNGCCGGTGCCGCTACTCAACCTACAGCTGCCGACATGAAGAGATACCTCAACCGCTGGAAGGACTAGATCTCTCCTGACTTCCTTCACAAATGATGTTTCTATGGGCGTTTCAGTGTTTCTTCTGGCTTCCTATTACACGTAATTGCATTATCCTCAAGGACGGCGTTTCTTGAATTCTATATCTGGTTTTCACACCTTTGTCAGGAGGCGGGCTAGCATTGAGGCAGCGAAATTATGTATATGCATGAACAATTCCCAAAACTTTTACCTACACAAATTACATCTTCTACATGCTTGAAGTTCTTGTATAAGCAACATCTCGGATTCCAGCTGGTATATAGCCAGATTAGGCAGGCGATCACCGAGGCAGCTCCATGCCTTGGCGTTTCCCGTATCCTTGTTCACACCACACAATCTCCGTGTTTTTGTTATCAAGGACGCCAAACCTTGAGCAACCTTGATTTCGAACCTACTTCTCTCGACGTATACTACTCTCGATCGGAAAAAGGACAAGAAGATGGGTCTCGCAAATCACGACCTTCCACCCCCACCATCGGGCAAGTACCCCGCCAAGGCACACGCCAGACGTGTGGCTGCTTTCATTGCAGAGAACGGTGGGCCCAAAGATGGTGTCATCTACTTGGAAGCGCAGAAGACTGCTATGGTTGAGGTATGCGTTCGATCTCTCCTCTCTTCATAAACCAGAATGCAACAAGTTTTGTGGTTGGAGCACTAGAGATGAATGGGAACAAGAGAGAAGCCATTTGCTAATTGATGGCATGGAAATAGNGATGATGACCAGGCTGCACACTTCCGGTAAGTTGGATGCTTTTTCTCTTGACAGAACACTAGTAGAGACTAATTTTCTTTTCCAGCNCAACGTAGATTCTTCTTCTACCTCTCTGGCTGCGCTGTACCAGACTCGTATCTTGCGTACGATATCAAAAACGACTACCTGACGTTGTTCATCCCTCCCATCGACGCTGAAGATGTCATCTGGTCGGGCTTGCCGCTGCTCGAGAAGGAAGCCATGGAGAAGTCAGAACCTGATTCTTTGTCTGTCGTGCTACAGCTGACTTGATCTAGATTCGATATTGATGCATGCAAGCCATCAACAGAAGTCAACTCGTACCTGACCTCTCCTGAAACTACCCATGGCACTATCTTGGCTATCCCCAAGCAAGTAGCAGACCACATCACTTTCCTGGCATTCAAAGAGACCAACTGGGATCTACTCAAGAACGCCATCGAGAGATGCCGTGTTGTCAAGGACGAGCATGAGATTGGTCTCATCCGTCACGCCAACGCCATTTCCTCGCACGCTCACACCGAAGTCATGCGTATGGTCAAGAACGCACGCAACGAGAGAGAACTAATGGGCACCTTTGTAGGCGCCTGCATCAGCAACGGCGGCCGCGAACAAGCCTACGGCTGTATCTGTGCTTCAGGCCCCAGTGCTGCCACTCTCCACTACGTCCACAACGATTTGCCTTTGTCCGAGAAACTCAACCTGCTTATCGATGCTGGTTGCGAGTATAACTGTTACTGCTCAGACATTACACGCACTTACCCCCTGCAAGGCAAATTCACCAAAGAAAGCCGCGAAATCTACGATATTGTGGATGAGATGCAAGCTGAATGTATGAAAGCACTCAAAGCCAACGTCACTTGGGAAGACCTTCACACTCTAGCCCATGAAATCGCCATTGATGGTCTACGTCGCTTGGGCATCCTCACCGGCGGCAACAAGAAAGAGTTGTTCGACAGCCGCGTCTCCACTCTTTTCCTCCCTCACGGTCTGGGCCACTACCTCGGCATGGACACCCACGACTGCGGCGGAAACGCAAACTACGAAGATCCAGACCCCATGTTCCGCTACCTGCGCATCCGCGGCCCCGTCCCTGCAAACTCCGTCGTCACAGTGGAGCCTGGCATCTATTTCTGCCGCTTCATCATCGAGCCGGCACTGAAGGATGACAAGTTTGCCAAGTTTGTGGATAAAAAGGTTTTGGAGAGGTATTGGGATGTTGGTGGTGTGCGTATCGAGGATGATGTTTTGGTCAAGGAAGATGGGTGTGAGAATTTGACTACGGCGCCGAGGTCGTGGGAGGAGGTTGAGGCGTTGATTCATTCCGTGTAGGCGAGATCTCCTTGCTTTGCGTAGGTCAGGTATTGCTCTTGGACGCTTCGTTGAGAGTACTACAAGTCTTAAGCAACAAATCTAAACCATCGGCACGTAGGATGCACTCCTCAGTGCGCTAGAAACCAATTTCGCTGCTGTGTCTGTGGAGTTGTTTCTCAGGGAATCGTTCTCGATAGACAGCATTCGACGATCTGCATGTCTTCAGCCTCGAGGGAGTATCGGTGCTTATTCACCCATCACTGCACCCTAGATGACTTGCGTAAGTGGAAAGAAAAAGATATACACTACGCGAGGCAGGTAGTTGAATAGAGTACAAGAAGAAAGGAGAGGAAACGGCAAGACAATTGAGCTCTAACAACAGACTTGACCTGCACATATTTCTGATCGCATACATGGTACAGTATAAAGTCGCTCTGACAAACTGCCGCTATGCGAGAGAAGAAAAAACGAAAAAAGGTATGATCTCAATGTTCTGATAACCATCAAAGGGTAAAGGAGTACTTCTAATCACATACACACAACATTACTCATTACAATAAATAATACAAACAAAAAAAACTCCAGGGGGGTATCGAGACAAAACAACCTTTCAGATCATGGCGGATCTGCCAATCTTCCACGATCTCAAGTCTTCTCGCCATGGATTGTCAAACTCGTCAATCTCGTTGTTCGCCGGTTTGGGTTTGCGTTTTGCAGATTCGAGTTCGAACTTCATGGCTTGCTGGTGCAGACTGCTTCGACCTCCGAAAGTGCCGTGCTTACTCAGATTACTGGTGGAAGAGGTGTCCTTGGCCCAGCCGTCAAAGCCTTTGCGTCTGTTGGATTGGACGCTTTCTTTGCTGATGTTGCGCTGGTGGCCGGGCAGAGGACTTTTGGACCGTGGTGACCTGGTGAAGTTGTCTGTTGGGGTGAGATTTGCTGAACGGGATTTGTCTTCGTCGCTGCTGGGGTTGACATGTAGGGTATGTTGGACGTGGTCGAGATGCGAGCCCCAGCCATCACCACCTGCAAAGATGTCCTTGATGCAGTCGTCGGCTCGTAGTTCCTACGTAAATAAATCAGTGGTCCGTTGTGTAGATTGTATAGAAAGATTGTGTTACCCNNCTGGCTGAGCTACCCAGGATGCGGCTAGCGTTCGTCGGTACATGTCTTGTAACTCGCCGTTCTCACGGCTTTTGTTGGACAAGGTGGGCATGGTGCTGCCTTCTTCGGCTGCTTCTGCGACTTCCTGAGACATGATGCCAGCAATACCTCCGAAGACGGGGGCAGTGCGCAACGGAGNGCCTAGACTGGACTTTAGGAAGACGATCTCGTAAGGACGGGTGCGAACTTACGCGTAGTAATTCCGATCGCCCTCGAGATGCTTGAGGTGGAGAGAGACCTTGAGAGTGCTGTTTATCTTACTGTCCTGCATAAGATAGCGTCTGGTGACGCCTTCTTCGGAGTCGTGGCCATGGTCGTTGGTATCGACGTATTCGGCAAGATTCAGCTTGATGTGACCCAAAATGATGCGCTCTCCTTTGCCGGCGCTGGAATACTCCTGTATAATCTCAAGATGGATCCACGACTCTTGCAGCATCTGGTCCTTGCCAATGACAAGACGCACGGGAGTCTGTTTGTCGTAGTCAAAGACGACCTTGTGATCCTTGATGTTGCATTTTGTTGTGCGGCCGCGGTGTTCGGCGGCGCTGGACGTGGGAAGGTGCCATTTGACGAAGCAGGTGCCGGATACCAAGGGAACGTTGTTGAGGTCGAAGATCTTGAGTTTGAAGTCGAAGCGCGGCTGTGTTGCAGACAGAGTCAATACGAGTAGTGGTGGCTTGGATGTTGGGTGGTAGACATACACGACGGGCCTTGGGGACTGTGAAGGTCAGCGTTTGAGCCCTCAAGGCGGCGGCCATTGCACTGGTCCGGCCTCACCAAAGGTCTGCATCTCTGGCGTAGGCGGCAGGGATGGCTTAAGTAGATCCGGCACTTGTGTATCCGACAAATTGTGAATTTGTCGTCGTGAGTGCCTGTTCCTGCGGAAGGAGCGGCTCCCTCAGCATGTGAAAGATGACGACGGCGCGTTCGGCCCGTCGTTCGGGGTTAAGAGAGCCGGTGCTCGGCTATAAGATAGGCTTCGACGCCAAGCTGCCAGATTCGAGATTGTAGATCGAGTGCTGGATGAATTTAGGAACGCTCCTTCCTCGCATGTAGATTGTCTTGATGTTACGCCCGTCGTCAGCGAGAGACGCAACCACATGTCTGCGATGCAACCTGCGCCTCGTGCTCCGTCAGATCCAATACCGCCGCTACCAATCTTCGGATGAATCGCCTCTTCCAACTTCGGATTTTGCTGCTTCCACGCCTGCGCCTTCGCCTCAAACATCACATCTTCGACTCGTTCGCACCCACGGATACCATGGAAGGATTCGTGGCAAGAAGGGCGGCCAGAGGCGAGTCGAGTCGTCAGAGGCCTTGTCCATTGATAGTCTAGGACAGAGCTCCGAAGTCATTGTTCTACGCGACTTGCACGAGCCCCGTCCAGAAAAGAAGAAGCCAGAGGAACACGCCCAACACCCAGACCATGTCGAAGCCTCCGAGCCCAAGCCGCCTGTCCTGACCGGAAGGGACATTGAAAATATGTCAGGCAGAAGAGCAACTCGTCCGAAGCCTCAAGAGGTCTTCGAGTCCATCGATGCATTGAGGCCTGAAGAGGGTGTCCATATCTTCACCGAAGATGAATTTCGTCGCCAGATTCAGAATCTCCGTAATGGCTACACTCTAAGTCAACTGAGAGGTTATTTGCTTCACAAGACTGCCCCTGCTCAATCCGCTGCCTCTAATGTCAAAAGGTTGCGTCGTGGCTCGCGTGCCTCCAACGAGACTGCATCTACCGAGATTAGTAGCGGAGAAGGGGAATTGCGGCATCTCAAGCGAACTGCCTGGCATGCCGGTACCACTCCCATCGCCAAACGGCTGCCCACGGTTGGCCTCTCCATGCATCTGGGTCGCAAGATGGACAGCAAAGACGATGTCATAGAGTCCATCTTGCGTCAAGTTTGGGCACTCGGCATTGAGGAAGAGCAGACAGCTATGGGCGAGATGGAGTTTTTGCTGTCACCTATACAGTTTGGTCTGCTGCTCACGAAGAACTCCGACACCTTGCGGCCCCTGCTCGAGAGCTCCAAATTCTACAAAAATTCTCGATTCCAGCTATATCAAGCCGACAACGTTATTAGGATCGTAGGCCCGAGGGCTGAGTCCGAGGCCATTGCCCATGTTCTGGCCGAAGCTTTCGCCCCTGCCAGAAGCGCCGATATTGACCTTGAAACCTTTCGCGCTGCTCTGCAAGAGACTTCCTCGTCCTCCACCCTGCGGGACATATTGACCCCTGCCCAATTAAACAATATTATGGCCCTGACAAGGACACACATCCACTACAGTGTCAATTCCAACCGCCTTCGCATTGCTAGTTTCGTCGATGTCGCCATCAATGATGCCCATCGTCTTCTTATCGCTCTCTTGCCCTCCAACCCGCCAGTCAGAGTCACACACCTCTATGATTCGCACGAGGCTGACAGCTGTCGCCTTGAACCCCTCTCAGCAACTAAGGACCTACCGTCACATGTTAAGAATCGACAGCTCGGTCGCTGGGTCACCTCGTCGCCCAGGTCTGAGCGGTCTACTGCTGATGAGAATTCCTTGGGTATTGAATATGGCAACCCCTCGCCAACCTGCCTTCGNAATGTCGAGCTACCAAATTTGCATAGTGACAGCCCCATCATTCGAGAAGCTATTGCCCTCATGAATTCCAAGCTCGACACCTCACACGAGGGCACATCTGAGATTGTGTCTGAAATATGGCCACCGAGGACTCTGTTCGCATCTTGGAAAGCGAATATTGGCCTGTCGTTGCATGATCTTCAGAACAAAGACACCTATCCCGGCGCTGCTGCTGTTTTCTCGAGTGTCGAAGATCCCGCAACATATCCCAAGGAGGTTTTTGCCTCAAAAGTCCAAAGTCTCGTCAGCCTTCTGTCTTCTGTTCCTCAGAAGAAGTCAGGCCAAATAGTCAGCGAAGGATTTATGCTCACGGCTCACCTAATCCCATCTCCTCTCGAGCAGACAGGTATTCTGGCTTCGACCATCTTTCCAACTGTGCAGCTTCGCTTCTTCCTCAAAGAGTCTACTCTACTATCTTACGACCAAAAGCGTACGTCCGCCATGCTTCCTGATGGCAAGTTCCTCAGTTTCAAGGATATGCGCGCCGTACTCAGTACTGAAGCTATACAGCTCAACCTGCCCTCGCATAATGCTGACATACGGTTTGAGCGTGATCACGATCTTCTTTCACGACGCGCCATGCGTGACCCCGGCATCAGGTCATTCATTGAAGCAGTAATCGAAAGTATGACGAACGACGCCACTCTACGTGCACCCCCTGCTCTGCAAATCCCCATTCCTCGTGCGGTTATCCGTATTATGAGTAAATCACATTCAGAGAAGCCGGGACACGCCGCTCTCAACCTTGAAACTCACACCGAGTCCGAGGCTGAGCAATCAATTCGTGTCAAATATCTTTTTGCTGGCTTCGAGTATCGTGAGCCACGCAATTTCAATCTCGGAGCGCTTGGACCAGACTATAGAGCAACTCTTCACACTGTCGAGGCGGGCGTAACAGGCGGACGTCGTCTCGCACTTGGTTTGCGGTACAACGACAAAGGGGAGCTTCTTGTTGAAGATCCTACGATTGTGGAAGGGCTTGCGAATGCATCGGTGAATGTTATCAACGTTCTGGCNGACTCCTCCCGACGAGAACCTTGATCCCGTGAACAGAAAATTGCCCGCGACGATTCGCTCAATCGTNNTCGACATAAATACAAACATTCGGCAGGAATGGGCCCGAGTAACAACAGACCAATTGAAACACCTAGGTCTACTCCGAGGTTCGAGCCGCGNAACAAAACACGAGCAAAGCTTGCTGCCAGAGAAAAGACGCCACAAGCGCAGGTCACCNNTAACGACAACAATCTGTCGGTAATGGAAAAGGTGGCCAAGCAGGAAAGAGGTGTCGAGCTAGACAAGGACCAGGATTCTCGCGTCGAAGAGGTGGCGTCGGGTGAAGCAGCTGTGCAAGAGACTATTGCGATCGAAAAGCTGCAATCGCAAAGTCGTGCTTTTGATGCGCCTGTAGAGCAGGATCGCACCGAGCAGAGATTGGTTACAGAGACGGCTCCCTCGACTTCAAGCACGATCGAGGCAGACACGCCTGAGCAGACCACTAAGAAAGCAGCGGCCGAGTCTGAGACTCGAGAAGTCAAGGCTGAAGAAGCAAAGACCCCTGAAGAGGAACCNCTGAGTGTCCGTCTAAGACGCATGATGGGTGGTGCCTGAGTCCTCATCCAACCTCTCATCTCATAGACGAGGAAGTAAAAGCATTTCACTTCTTGTAAAACTATACATATATCTCTTGTAACAATAGAAACCATCCTCGTAACAAATACACAGAACAGAAGATACGAGATGTGGTTCTGAGGGATCTGAATGTTTCTTTATATATCGGGACGATCAAGATCCTGTCCTGTCTTTTCGTCCTTGCTTGCATCTTTGTATGTAAGAGAAAAGATGTGCAGGGGGGGCGCAGAAGTTCGGGTAAGCTTCAAGAAGGTGCGCTTTTTTTGAGCAGTGCGGAAGCAAAAAGCGATCCGTCTCAATCCATTATTGCTCTGTCATGTCAGGCAAATCAAGCCATCATCCAAGTTCCAGATCGATCAAGCACAGAAGACGGTTGAGACCAGCGCTGGTAGAGGAAGAAAGAGAACCTTGCGTTATCGAGATCATTGGATCCTCAAGCGCTTCTCGGTAGCGGGAGAAGCGGTGTCGTCAGAAGCAGTGGCCGCATTCTATACAGCACTGACACGCGGCCTCTTGCGACCACCGCCGATGGTAGTCTCTGATCTCGCAGTCCTCTTCTCCTGGTTATCCAGCACCAAGCTGAGGACATCGAAACCGAACTGAGGGAACTCGAGACACATGCTGCGGAACTCCTTTTCTGCCTCGTGGCGCAGGACGTGTGATCTCGTGGCCCAAAAGGCGGCGACGGGCTTGCGTATGCTCTCGTCCGAGACCTCGGTGTGGCCGTAGACGTAGCGGGCGTACTCGATTTCGCCGCGGGCGGTGCTTTGTGTGAGGTGAATCTTCTTGTGGGCGAGGGTTGCGAGGGCGGGGACGCCGAAACGCTGGGCTAATGTGTAGACGCGGGCGTGGCGTAGGAGGGCCATGCCTTCGGTGTCTGGGACGGGGATCTCGGGGTCGGTTTCGAGCGAGGAGCCGCTGAGGGTGGGGAAGTAGTCGTTCTTGTAGAGGAACTCGAGGAAGCAGGCGGTTGCGGTCAGGTCCTCGTCCCGGAGATCAATGCGACNGCTGGAGGGTAGGGTCAGCAATTGCGACTGAGAGGGTAGGAGGTCCTTCAATGATCTTACGTTCTCGGCGTCTGCCATGGCAGCAATCTTCTCCTCCAGGACGGGGCTCTGCTCCAGCAGACGCTGGTGGGCATGCAGAACGGTAACATGGTCGTCCTTGCCAACGGAAAACTCGATGATGGGGGATTTGAGGTNAGCTGTCGCGTCGCATAAGTACTCGACTTGGGGACGCGTCTTGGTCGCGACAGCTCACTCTAGGAAAGTAACGCGGGCGGGGAGTTCTGGCTCAATGTTCTCGAGACCGCTAGGCTCGACGTCTTGCTGCTCGGTGCTGGGGTCGGCGCTGTTTTCGGGCTGGGTGCTCTCGTCCTGACCTCCCATGTCGACATCCTGGCTCTGGGCGGGTGCGGGAGTGTTGTTCTCGCTGGCGTCGATGACAACCTCGGGGTCGGCCATTGTACCGATCTAGTGTCTGTATAGTGCTGAACGAGCTGTGGATGAGAAGATAAACACGAAAACACGCGTCGGGAAAAGCGATTGAATTGGCGATGAGCTAAAGGTAAAACTGAAAGATGGAGTGCCTTGCAATCCGTCTTCCTGCCCGCCAAGCTCGCGACAGACCTTCAGTCCAACTTTCACATCTATCTATCACATGTTCATTACAACACGCAGCACAAACCTGTCAAACTGAATATCTATCTACAAATGATAGCCTAGCGATCTGTACCTCTTGCCTGTACTGGGAATCGGCCTCTCTGCACGAACCGCCCAAAACAACCAGTCCTCGANGGGAACAAACACACAAAACACCTTGTTGCTCATGAACGCCGCCAATACGAATATCGTCGCAACCACGGCGTCCAGGAAATAGTGATTGGCTGTTGCAATGATACTCGTCAAGATTATCGTTGGGTAGCCGACTCCGAGGTCAATGTAGAAGACCTTCCACATCCAAGTCTTGCCCATCTCGCCATGCTCTAGCGTTCCAACGAACATCCCTGAGTGGTAGACCATCGTGCAGCCGATACAGAGAGCGTATCCAAAGTGCATACTCGGCATGGCTGCGAGGCTATTGACATACTTACCACTCATCCACACCGACTGCCCATCATCATGTCTGACTGTGTCCAAGAACCCGTATTCTTTTGGCAACAGCCGCGGAGGCATGCAAGGGTAGAAATCGTACGTTGTGAAGGCCATAAAGTTGGTCAAGTTCATGGTCCGGCGTATCGTTGCGAAGGTTGAATGCGACGGTGCGGCGTAGTAACACCATGCAATGAAGCTGACAGTTCCAGGTATGTGAATGTACGCATACGCTTTGTTCAAGAGGCTCAACGCATCCTGATGGTTGTGCATGAGCCACTGCTGTATCGCCAGCTCACGAGGGAACAGAGAACTGAGGAACCCGTGTTGCTCAAAATCCAGGACAGCAAGCCCATGACTTTCGGCAACTGTCCAAATACCTCTGCCAGTAAAGACCTTCTGCGATAATATGGCTGTCATACGGTAGAAGGCATAGTTGATGAGCCAATAGAAAATTTCTAGCAGAAAGGGAAAGCGCTGTAGCACTCGACTATGGAAGTTGTTCTTGAACCTGGAAGTATTCGGCGTCTTGAAAGCGAAGTTGTGCAATCTTCGTGTCTTAGGTAGGTGTTTGGTTGAAGCCATGTGTTCGTGGGTGTCGTCTTCGCTGCACTGGTCTCGACTCAGAAGCTCGTCCGATGAGCAGGTCGTGTTGTCGGTATCCAGAGCTGACATGTAGATACCTGACTGGCTTTTGATTATCCGGTACCCTCTTCTCCTGGTCAAAATCATGCTTTCGAAGAGGATCGTGACGACCATCTGCGAACTTCGATGTCAGCTTCTTTCTTCCCGACCAACAGCATGTGTCCGTACCAATGGCTCGGCCCAGCCAGGCAACTTCCACGCTGGAGTGCTATTCCATGGCGGCTCGTTTGTCGTCAGATTCCTGGACACGATATCCATCGCTAGACACGATCTGGTCGAATGCTGCAAAGTTAGTTAGGCGTAACGACAATTGCAGGTTCCAAATTCTTAGGTCGCGTGACAAAGAAATATACAATTGGAGCGGAGTAGTCTTCGAAAGTCCGGTGTATGCAAGGGATTTGTTCGTCCAAGCATGCCAGTCTCGCTGCAAACAAGTTGATAGGACCGCAGGTGGGACAGCGATGGTAGGGAGCACGGGTGATACAAGAACAAGGAGAGAACTGACAAAGGCCTGATGGGAGCCGATGGAGCTTCTTTCGTTCGTTCGTCCTTTCCTGAGCATTAGGACACCTCGGCTGTTTTTCGTCATCAGCGTAAGTCTGACTTGCGTGGACACTTGGTTTGCACCATATCAAAAAATCGATTTGCAGGTGCTATCGACCTGCGATCTGGACCCTGCAATCCATTGCCACTCCACCTCGATGTGAAGAACTTCATTTGTCTTGGCTGACATCTCTTTCCATCAAGGAATACGAAGTTGACATTTCACGTTCCGACAGTCACTTGATGGACCCAGTTGACTCGCTCAAGATTTCATCTTTCAGATAGGTGGACTACAGCACATCTTCCAAGGTATTAAATTGAAAGAAGACTTCGATCATGCTGTACTACTTCGTGGGGCACTTCTCGCGAGATTCTGTCCCTTTTTCAATCGTACGCAGGTAGTCTTCTCATTGAGCATCACACGGAGTAGAAAATATGCTCTTCTTCATAGCCACGTCGTTCCTCCACATACCATCCATTCGCAATCGGCAAGGCCTTGCGAATCTTGGTCTCGGCTCGCCCTGCCGTCGCTCCTCTTCGAGTTAGCCGCCGACCCCACTCGAACTCTATCACTATCACATTTATCTTTGCTGTACAATAAACTTCATGTTTTCTGATACATGCCGCAACAAAAGAGACCAACTCGACCGCCTGCCTAGCTCTGGGTTATACAATGCAATACTGCTTGTCTGCCGTCCTTCACAATACTAACATTCGTGTGCTACTCGAGTAGGTCCTGTTTCATTGGCTTTGATCTAATACTTGTACCAAGGTCGACTGTTTCCTTGCTCTGGGTCTTCGAGTACTTTGTGTGATCTAGCTGTATCTGTTTCTATATTCTGACTCGGTGTCGGGTTTCTACTGCACCCAACACCATGAGCTGCCCTCTAACAATCAAAAGTCTGCCACAAACGTAGTTGACAAGAATTCAACTCAGATTACGGACGAGAATAGCGTGATTTCCAGCTCATCTTCTGCTCCGTCTTACGCCCGACAGAACAACGACATGGGCAGAGACGAAGATTATCCGAACAACAGCGAGATGAGTCAGTCAATCTGGATGGTCGTTGATGAGGACTTGCATGCGGAGCCTGGAAGAGTGGAAACTGCTTCAAGCGAGGTTCGTTCTTCATCTGACTGAAGTTCCAAGCTGAAGAAATCATCTCGTCTAGGAGGTGGCTGCAAACTTTGCGGACGACACACAATCAGGAGCCCAAACACCAAGCCCGTTCTCAAGACCATCGGAATCAGACCAGACCACGAACTCAAAGAATGGAACAAAGAATCTCAAGTCATACGACCCAAAAGATCTGATGAGCAAACCAACACTCCCTCCAACAAGATGGGGCGGCATTTCAACATGGCCAGGAATGATCCTCCGCTTCTTCCTGTACTCGCCATTGAGAAATTTCTTGTCGGGACTTCTCGACTTCATCCATCCACCCAAGACCCACCTTCTTGGTCGGTTTGGACTTGCGTCACGTCGTTATGATGCTCCTTACACTCCTAGAGTCAAGTACGATCCCGATGGCAAAGCCTACTTTGTATGTTTTACCTGCGGAGAATGGCGGCGAGCCGGTCGTACATGGCGACGGGGTTGTGTTACTCGTTACGCACCCAGCCCCCGCCCAGTCCCCCACCCAGTCCTTCGCCTGCAAGGAATGGTTCTAGACAATGCGCGTGTGGTCATTACGTTATAAAAGGAAAACGATGTCCACGCGACGGAAAACAGAATTGACATACAAGAACCATCGATCAACGGCTGACCTGATATTCAGGCTAGAGTAGCTGCAAACCACGAATCTGTTCGTCATCTAGAGTATCCACCTTATGATGGGGAGCGTTCTACGAATCCTACTGGTGGTGTCAAGTATGCTTCCAATGGCATGGGCTACGTTGTCTGTTCCGAGTGCGGCGACTACAGGAGACTCGGTCACTTCTGTCTACACGGCTGTAGACCCCTTCTTTGGCGTGACATACCTTACGTGCCCAAAACATGTATTATCTGCGGTCAAACAATTGCACACAGTGGCGACAGATGTCCACGACACACTCTTCAGAACTGAAAATCAAATTCAAGACCTTTTGTTGGCGAACGACACAAAACAAACTTTTATTAGTCTTTAGTCTTGAAACAACTTGATGTAAAAGTGCTCTCCGGTCTTGACGACCTTCATCTCTGCTCCCACCCTAATCTCCTCACTACCTTTGGCATCTTTGAGTAAAGGCACCATCTGCATACCCAACACTGGATGTGCACCTGCTCCCTTGTCAATGTTTCCTCTTGTTTGTTTGAGAGTTTTGTAGGGCTCTGCGCGGTCTTTGATGCCGGTTTGTGGGTCCACGTTGGGGAGGTCGCAGCGAGTGGTGCGACAACTGACGTGGTAGTCGAGGTTTCCTGAGCGGATGACTTTCCAGTCGTCTTCGGCGAACGGTGGGATGCCGGTTACNNTGATCTGCTGTTAGAGAGACGTCGAGGTTGATGACAGTTGAAACTGATACGTACGATAAATGTTTGCGCGAAATCGCAGGGCATTGAGATGGGGAGTCGGCAGGTTCTTGACTGTTTTGGAGACTTNTTGCACAGAAGGAATACCCATGATGGACAATGGATNACTGTAAACAAGATCAGTGATTGCTATTCAGATTCAGGAGTCAAGGCAACTTACAGCATCAGCAAATCCCACACCAGGTTGGTAGCCGGCTTCCTCTGCCGTGGGAGCGTTCCTGAAGACTTGACGATGGTTGAGAGGATCTGCCATGAACAGAGCAAGGGNGTTGGAGACACCGAGAAAGTATTTCAGCTTTGCCAGTGTTTCCGCCGTTATCTCTGACGTGATGTTGATGGCGGTAGGTGAACACTTCCAGATCTTCATGACTTCTCGGTTGTACTTTTGTGACCGCTTCTCGTCAGGGGCAATGGGAAGCTTGAAGGTGAGGCGTGGTTCCGCGCTGATATCGCGCTGTGCAATCTTGGTCTTGAGAAGAGATAATGCGGTCTTCAGGCCGTCCAGATTCCAAGACCATTCCGGGGTGAAGGGAAACGAGCAAAGGATACAGCCCTTCGATCTGACCCATTCCGCATCCGAAGAGTATGAAGGAGATGTCGGATCCGGAACCCAGACTTGGATATCTACTTGGCTCAATCGAGGCACGTTGCGCTGAGTGATGAACTTCCAGTTGTGGACCCATTTCATGCTGACGCTGAGGTCTCCCTCGTCCTTCTCTGCTTCTTCTGTCTTGAGCTGTGCGAAACAAAATTGACGATCATAACGTAGTCCGGTCAGGATGACATCGTTATGTTCAATCTCCACGGGCTTGCAAGACTTGATGGGGTAAATGAACAGAGCCTTGATTTTGCAAGTGACAGAAGAGTCCAGGTTCTCTCCATTATGTTCGGGTGAGTACTGATCGGCCATGTTACTCTCTCCGACGAGACCAAAGCGACGGCATCCTGGCACTGTTGATTCTGCCTCTTGCTCTTTTAGGAATTGTAGGCTGAGGATAGCAAAACAGGCAATGGATGCGGCGAATGTAGCGGTGATTAGGGCAAATGCGCCATTCTGCAAGAGGGCGTCCATGTTGACGGGTATAAGCGAGTGAGATGGTGAACAAGTGCGCAGAGATGGTCAATTGAAGGAGAGACAACTCAAGAAGTGAAAGCAGAAAGACAGAGAGGCGAAAGAGAGACGGAAAAGCACAGCATCGCGTCGTACAGAGCCGGGCATGAAAAGGAAGCAAAGCAGACTACCTCAGGATCTTCAGGTACGGAAAGGAGTGGTGTGGTATTTGAGCGTCTCGAACCGGGGCAAGGAGCTGAAGCAAGTCATGTGGAGCGGGCCGTAGGTAGTTTCGGCGAGGCCGAGGGCGGTTTGGCCACCCATGGCGTACAGCAGTGTACTAAAGCAGCAGATATACAGGCAGATCTGTGCAGACGACGACACGAGCACGAGATTCAAAGGCGAGATGGTGGGTAAGATGTGCAAAAGGAAGACTTGGCTTCAACAAGTGCTTTTCGTAGAATTGCTATCTCCGGCAGTGTAGCTGAGAGGTCAAAGTCATGTGAGAAGGTGGGAGTCTTGCTACCGAGCCGGGGAGGCCGACGGCAATCGATAGGGACGGTTGCGCGCAGTTCGCGCTTCGTACGTGCGTACCTTCTCTGCTCCCTCCGAACCGCTCGCAATTGGACATGGCCAGAACAGTGACATCCGTATAGCTCTTATATGTCCTAGCAGCCTCATCTCCCCATGGCCTGTGGCTGCCGCTGGTGCCATCAACATGTCTGACCTCTCGGTCCCGCTGCCGCCCCCGTCGGCTCCTCGGGACACCGCGCGAGTGCCTCCGCCATCTTCGCGTAGGTCGCGTGTGCACCGGCTACCTATATACCAAGTCTGACCCCTTGTCAGATCGCCTCCCTACCGTCTCAGCCTCAGAAGCACTTCTCGCTCTACAATCCCGCGGGCCCCGGTCCATATCCACTGGCCTCAGCCAACTCAATGCGCTTCTCGGTACCTCCAATCCTGGACTCGGGCGTGGTAACATCACCGAGATCTGGGGCCCGTCTGGCTCGGGCAAGACCTCTCTTGCGTGAGCTCAAGTCTGCTTCCATGTTCGATCCATGCTGATTGATTTGTAGNNCTTGCAGACTGCTACACACGCCTTGAACAATGGGAGCTCGGTCATCTGGGTGNNGGTGGGTCTTCCTTTGTTCTGCCCTGTATGTCTTGTCGACGCGCCGGCTGACGCGAGACCAGATGCGACGACAGCCTTTGCAAGGTCCCGGCTGAATGACTTCCTCGCCACGAACCCCTCCGCCCATGGCTCCGAGCCCGACCACGACACCAGGCTAGACCGCTTTCACGCTTACTCGACCCCTACCGTTGCCCATCTGTTAGCTCTCACTCTACATCCTCCGCAATACTTCCCTCCGCCAGGCACCGCCTTGATGGTTATAGACGACCTACATGCCATCTTCGAAGTCTCATATCCTCGCAACCGCGCAAACACTTTCTCGAGTCACAAGTCCGAAGCTGCTAGATGGGCCGCCGGTCGTCGCTATGGAATCATGGGCACTCTCATTTCTGCTCTGAAGAAACTGGCTGCGCTCAACGACATGGCCATCATAGTCACCACTGGATGCGCCACACGTGTACGCCCCGCCAGCGGTTTGGGCGCTGTCTTGGTGCCCGGCATGGGAGGAGCCGAATGGGAAGCCGGCATTTCCAACAGACTGGTCATGTTCAGGGACTTTAAGCTAGGAAGCTGGGCTCAACAGCAGCAGAATCCTGAGAGCGCGAGATATGTCGGACTACAAAAGAACAGCGGCATGGCCTTCTCTGACGAAGGAGAAACTGGCCAAGTCGTTCCCTTCATCATCGATAAGGACGGCCTCAAGGATGTTGCCACCAAAGACTCGACAGCAGACGTTCCTGTCGTTAAACTTGCCGCGTCCCCTTCGAGGGTCCGCAAGCGCCCGTATTCTGAAATTGCCGATGGCACCGCAGAAGGTCGCGACGAGTACGGATGGCTGAATGGAGACGAAGCAGACGCAGAGGGCCTCATTGATGAAGCCGCGCTGCTCGAAGACGACGAAACTGCAGCACTCGCTGTCCCCGACGAAGGCAAACCTGCTACCATCGTCATCGATGACTGAACTGGATCACAACAACTACCCCACAAATGATCTTGCGGCAGAGCAACCCCTGGCCTCTCCGGCTATTACCAGCCGCCCATCTTATACAGCCTGTCAAAGCGGTTCACAAAGCGGCTAAACTCAAAGGAACCCCCTTTGTTCCACAGGAAGAAACTCCGGCAAATCATCAACAAAACCCCCCCACGTCGGTGCTCTCCGCCATTCTCCACAACATCATCCACATTCTTCTGATTATGCAGGTTCTATTTCCAGATCTTTGTCATGCGCATCTCAGGACAGGATGAAATGACGAGTACAACAGATCCCTGTTGACAGCAAGAGAAAAATCAGTCACCTGGTTATCCTTTTGGCATGTGAAGATCGAAGGGGGCGCTGTTGTTTGGCTGTGTATCGTTGGCATGTGACGGAGGACACACATCATGCAATATGCACGCAGCAGCGGCTCCGCGGTGCAAGCCACCAGATGATCGGTCACCAGGGCTGTGTATCTTGATTGGAAACAAGAAGGAGATGCCAAAGTGCTTCGAGATGATCTTGTTGGTGGCTTGTTTGATTGGAAAGATGGTTGCCCACGCCCCTCCTGCGCGACACCACACACACTTGAGACATACAGATACCTTTTGGAGAAATCGACAGCTGATAAGAAGCCGTGCCTGTAACTCACTCTACGAACCACGTGCTTTGTGGTATTGGGCCAGACCTTGCATAGCTCTGACACTTCTTATCTTCTTCAATCAGTAACATGTGCATGTTGCCCAGTCACCAGATCCTCTGTGCCAGGCTGAAGAGAATGTCGAGATAACCATCCGGTATTCGACCATCTGTGTTGTAAGGTGTTCTTTAGGTGCCCAATCATACACGCGACTCCTTGTACCATGAGAGATGCACAAGTCAACTGACTGCTTGAGAGCTGCCATGGCCGAGCAGCCCCGTGGAACGCGTGTCTCTCGCTAGTATCAAATGCGTGTGAAACGCCAACCTTACAGAATCACAGCCAAGGGCGTTGCTTCTAGAGCACATCATCGACGGCCTCAACAATAAAAGGGCGGTCAAACATAGGGAGGCAACAACACACAGGCCATGGAGGCCTATCTGCACTCCTTGAAAACATGCATAGCCCCAATATGGCTATCGAACAGGGCTTGCATGAGGCCCCATCAGTAGTTCTCTCGAGGCATCCATCGGTCCATGCGAGCATCAAAACGAGAATTCCCCTTGGGTAAGGGAAAGCAAATACGAAGGTGAGGAGAAGTTAAGATAAGACGTCCAAGCAAACACGTTCGCTCGGTCCTCTTGATCAGGAACTTACGAGATACGGTCGAAACAAGGTGCGAACTCCCAAAAGCCGAGAATTTCGCCGGAGCTGGGTATCGAGGCTTTGTCGTCGGAGTTTGCACCTAGATAAACTTGCGGGGGCATGTGTGTGCACGATGAGAAGGACAAGGAAAGCAAGATTCGGTGTGTCACTCCTTCCTGTTTCTTCCCCCAATGGCGCATAAGGCTGGAAAAGTAGACAGGTACCTATGTCTCTTGGGTTGGTGGAGGTCTGTTCTGTCTTTCATTCGACGCCATCATCCTGGGGAAATTGAGGGGCAGAGACAGGTGGCTTGGGCGGGTAGAAGCGGCCCCGGACCCCAGAGAGAAGGTGCGGTGGAAGGATTGAGGAATTAGGTACTCACAGCCGTGTACCACTTTTGTACCGCAGTCCCCGTACATGTACCTATTTTCTTAAACCAGTCGTAACGTCTGCTTCTTCTGTTGCTCAGTCCTTGTCTCTGCCTGCTTGTCGGCTATTGAGAACGAGACAGAGAGTGTTCTCGATGTCGCAGTCAGCGATTCAGCCGGCTGCTTCGCGCCTGTCGTTGAGTCGATAGTGCCAATATCATCACGTAGTGGTGACGGGTACGCGGCTTGCTTGTATCTTATCGGTCTGAAGTGGCACCCCACGTCGTCTTGCACGATTCGGAACCCTGATCACGTCCACTTGCCCGACAAGGGTTTATGCTCCAAGCCATCGTCCTTTTTCATATCACATACGAGGTTATCGATCGGAGTGCATCGACCTCGATATCTTCAGTGACGTAGCCGTTTGAGCTGCGCTTTTCGACGGCAAAGCTAGGAGGGGATTTCTCTCCCGGTGGTCCACCCCGTTGCGCCAAATGGACTTTGGGGGGTTAAAGTTCGTTTGCCTTGCTGATGCCAAGTGGAGCCGGGTGGGCAGGCAGTTTTGTTGAGAATGCCCAGTCTACAACAGTGTTGTTGCGGTGAAGGAGAAGGCAGTGTTGCACTGGTGGCGGTAGCCATGCGATAATTGGCGTTTTTGCGATCTCTGACGACAAAGTATATCTTTATCGTATACACAGGCAACGATGTGAATGAGCGGACGACTACGGCCGTGAAGAACAACAGAGCGGTTCAGGTCCACCTTGAAGCAGCAGAGTAGAGACGGAAAGACGGATCTCTAGCTCCTTGACACCAGGATGAAGCTTTCTGTCTGGTCATCCTGTCATGCGCTTGATAAGAGGTTGTGGTCGCCTCTGTTTCCCCGCGATCCCCGCAAGAAAGGAACTTTGGGGAAGCTCTTGCTTATTGCTCGATTCGGGAAGCCGGTCACCCCGACTCGGGACATGGGTCTCTGTACCTGCCAGCCATGCCGAGCACCCTAGAGACAGGCTTGGGGAGAAACGCTTGTGGAAACAGATGGTGGCCAGGAGACGATGGCCCTTCCTTGTTTGCTTACCTGTGTGTAAGAAAGACCGACGAGAAAGGCGTGCGACGACGATCGCCATAGACTAGTCATGTCGTTTTTGTATGCAGTTCAGAAAACGTAATCCCGAGTCTGGCCGAGAACAACGTGCGCTTCAGGCAGTGCTTGCGGCCATGTGTCCACCGTCCGTACGTCCATACGAGACAGTCGGAATGCGTTGATGTTGTTGCAAAGTGCCATGACAAACCAACGTCCGATAGAGCATACGAATGTGGAGAAAAGAGCAAGACTTGCAAGACAAGCATTCTCTCCGTTGAATAGAGGAGAGAGTCAGCGGCCAGAGCGACCTGTGCCTCCGTCGATCAGGGGGCTTTATTCATGCTTCGTACGGACGTCTTGAGTCTTCATGGCGTGACTTCGGCGTAGTGGCGATCATGTCGGGGTGAAATCTGCAGCAGGTCTGGTGCACAACGACAAAAGGGTTTGTGTGCTAGTGATGACTCAACTCGAGGGGGGGTGGCTCGTTGGCAGAGAGGGCAAGACAGCGAAATGAGAGGCGTCGATCATAAGCCCACTAAGCGCCGAGTGGCCCTCTCGTACGCAAGTCCCATTCCACCGACTGCGGATACTTAGGTGAGACGCTCATCCTGCATGATTGTGCGTTTCTGTAAGGGCCCGTGGGGAGGCTTGGAGGACGCTGGGGCAAGCATGCGGACAGAAACTCTGGAGAGCCAACACCAACGGATCTGCATTGACGCGCAACACGCCTGATTGTGTGGAGACTATGTGTGGAGCTGGAGATGGTAAGGGAGCGATGGATCATCAAGCGGTCGTCTGAACAATGTGTTGTAGCTGAGAGTGAAATTGAATGATTTGTGTATTTTGGGAAACAGAGGATGAGTCTGTTTCAAGGGATTGAGTCAAGAGGGGAGCAAGAAAGCGTCTATCTAGAGGAAGGAGCCACCCAGGCTCCAGTCATCCGCATTAGTTGTAGTGAAGCAAGGCCGCTAAAATCGCAGAACAGAAACGAAGTCATTGGGGTTCTCGAAAGCAATAACAAAACAATTGGCAATCTTTCTGATTGCAGGTATCCTCCGTAGCCACAAACCCGACAAGGGACCTTTCCGTGAATCTCCTTCGCGCTTCCCGCTCAATGATACTATCAAACCGACTCCAGTCCAGTCTATAGGGTAGTGATAACGCCGTCCCGAAACGTAGAATGACAGAGACTCCGAAAATAATTTACCAGAACACCCAGGCCATGATGTCGTGCCATAGCCACAAGTCCAACTCCTTGACAATAATTTCAAACAAACGAGTTTCGAGGAGTACTTAATTCGAGTTGTCGCCGGCTATGCTGCCGGTAGTGCTGGACTGACCGCTGCTGAAGCCATTGGGGTTGTTGAGGAGATCGTTGACCTTGACAGCTGATGGCACCATCGGGATGGGCAGTTTTCGTTGAGCTCCATCTTCGCGTTCCATGATCTCACTAATACGTAGGCCGCTGTGGTGCGTCGGGATGTACGGCTGTTGACCGTCAGCGGACGGCTCAACAGGGGCAAGGGCTGGCGGTGGTTGGTGCTGGAGGGAGAGGTGGTGAAGCGTGGGGAGTTGCACACCGTTATGGAAGTACTGCGGACGAAGCCGAGGAGAATGAGAAGGAGTGGCCAAAGGTGTGTGGTCGGGAGTTGGCGAGGTGGATTCGTGAGAGAATGAAGGCGACGGTGGCGCGGTCGACTGAGGAGAGCCAGGACGCGACTTCTTGGTCATGCGGTGGGAGTAAGGGTCGTCATCCTCGTGCGAGTGCGAACGCGACATTGGCTGAGAAGTGGGGTTGGAGCTGTAGTGATATGCCGAAAGAGAAGGAAGGCGGCCGGTCGAGTAAGGGTGGTGGCTGTAAGGGTGGGTGCCGTATGTGTGTCTGCTGGCAAGACCCATGTGGTGCGAGGGAAGCGAGTTTTCGCGCTCGACTTGCGAGGCAGCGGTGGCCAGAAGGTTGATGTCCATGGGATGGTTCAGGCCAGCAGGGCTGAGATCGCCGCTCACGTTGCGCGTCAGGTAGGAGCCAGGGTTACTTGTGTAGGCGCTGGCGTAAGAGTGGGGAGGAGAAACGTTGGGCGATGAGAGCTGAGAAGAGGGCGCCGAGTGAACCAGGCTGTTCATCTTGGGCGGAGGAGGCATCATGTGGTTCATCTGCTGCATGACCTGGTGCTGAGCCTGGTCCATGATTCCGGCCTGAGCGGCGGCGGCGGCGGCGGCAGCTGCAGCGGCGGCAGCGGCATGTTGCTTGTTGCCACGTCTCGAGTTGGGGTTGTTGTGGATGCGCGAGTGACGAGTCAGCTCATCGGAACGGCTGAAGCGCTTTGTGCAGCCCGGGAACTGGCAGGCGTGCGGCTTCTCGCCAGTGTGAGTGCGGATATGACGAGTCTGGTGCTCGAGGCGATGGAAGGCCTTGTCGCACAGAGGACACTTGTAAGGGCGCGGCAGGTCAGGGCGCACATCCTGCTGGGAGGTGGTCTGGGTAGTCTGTTCCTGGGTGGGCATCTGGGCGGCCATGGCGGGCACGGTGGCAGCAGCAGCCATGGAAGGATGGGACTGGACACCGGCGTCGACGTAGGTCGAGGGAGTGCTGGAGTGCGAGGNGGGCGTGTTGGAGGCCGAGTTGTCTGGATTCAGGAGGCTGGAGAAATCCACACCGGACGAAGTGCGCTGCATTGACGACGTGAAGGTGAAAAATCTGGAGAATAGGCGGGAGGGGAGAGGGCGGGAGAACTGGTTAAATAGCGAGAGCGTGACGCAGACGAAGGGAAAAGGCGTGGGGTGAGCTCCAACTTTGACTGAGAAAAGATCCACCGCCCGCCAAGCCACAGCCTTCGTCGCGCCCGACGTTAGTCACTAGCGCACCTGTGCTGCTGGCCCAGGGCCGACAAGCTGGCGAGGACATGCCGTCGGGACGACACGGCCACAGATAGCGCAAGGTCTCTCTTCGGCCCCCGATCCCAGAACCACCTCGCCCGCTTGTGCCATCTGTCCCTTTTTGTGCACTGCACACGCACACACGCGCGCTGCCAGCTAGTTGCCAACCTCCAGGCCACCTATTTCCCCCTCAGAGATCGCTGCCCTGTCGCCGTCTTTCTGCGTTCCAAATCTTTGTCTGTTTTTCGGAGCGCCCACCCGATTGTCGCAAAACAAGACTTTTTAACCTTTTCCGTGACGACCCGTGGCATGTGTTGGGGATGCCTGTGTGCTCGTCCTCGATATCCTCCTCTGTGTGCAATTATGACGATGCTGCACGGTTATCCCCCCCCCAAGCGTTGGCCTCTTTGCAGCCGGGTAGCTTTTTCCCTCTGCGCTGCCTCCCCTTGCGTCTCTGTATCTTTTTGTCTCTGCGCTACACCTGACACGGGCGTGCTCCGGAAATGACTTTGTGGGGACCCACATACAAGATTTTTCGAATTCTCATGGAAGCGCCCCCCAGAGGTAGGCCCGAAATAGCAGTGCGCCCCTGGCCGTCTTTTGTTTGTGCTTTACAACAGTGCCAAGCGCCAGCAAGAGAGCCGGCCTCATCGGAATCTGAGCTCTCTCGATTTGACCGTCTTCTTGCCGAACTCACCATCGTCTGTCCTGTCTGGAGCCGGCCAGATGAAACGTGGAGCGCTCACTTCGACCCCAGGCTCTCGCTTACGACGTGTCTGTTTCCTCCTCTTCGCTCAGCATATGGATACGATTTCTCCGTTGGCGGTCCTTACGGGAGGGCTGCGGCGGATAAGTTGTTCCTGCTTATCTCTGCCCTATCTGCCTGACACATCCGGAATGGCAAGCAGCGCCATACCTAACCTACATCCTAATTGGTCTTCAACCGAGCATTTATCCGCTGGTGGCTGCAGACATCTGCTTTCACGCGTGCATAGATTGTATGATCTCTCCAGATCCTGGCATGTGAAACACTCTGGAGTAGCAGTCCGTCCGGGGAACAGCGAATTACGTTGCTTCATGCTGCCCGTGATGTGATTTACAACTCAACGATGTTACTTCGATATGCGCAGCTCGTCCAGCGGAACGAGCCCTCATTACGTTGCTCCGCTTTCACACTGCCATTCTTGTCATCCAATTTACTGCACGTTGACCATCCGCGTTCCAAATCAGACGCGGATCGAGTGGAGGGGTTGAGCGACATGCCTCATATCAGGCGGGTAATTGCGCTCCACACTTGGATTGTCNNCAACTGTCCATACACACACGGGCATCTGTTTCTTTTTTCCGATAAGGACATTTCCCTCTATTCATCCATGCCTAATCTCAAGACCAAAGGCTCGGTTGGGGTAGCGNNCGGGGGAGGAGTGTCGCGGCCATTGATAGAACCTGGGGCATCAGGTGGACTCGTTAAACTCGGCNNTGAGGACCCTTTGGAGTTCGAATGCCTGTGTGCATTTGAGCGACACTTTCGGCGCCTGGCAAAACCAAGACGTAATCCTNNTTTCCCTAATCATTAGACCTTTGCGCGGTCGTCAATCACGCCATTGTCTCCTCCTACATCGCTGGCNTTCTCTCGCACGTACTGCACAGAGCTCGTCTCCTTTCGCCCATCGCGATCAACACAGCACCCACCCCTCATTCAGAACTGACTTTCATGGCATCACACAGATCCGGGGAGAACGCCAAGTAACCTGGAGCTCGCAAGCCACATTTTGCACATCCTCCACCCTCTACCATTGCCATGGGTCAATGCGGCATTCCCGTGAGTCTGTGGCCAAGGTTCTCGCGCCGGCAGTCAAAAGACTTCACTCTCCCCAGGTTCTAGATTATCACACCATCTTGGAGGCTTCAAACGTCTTGTTGGTATTACATGATGGCTTTATGGCTGTAAGCCGCTTTGGATCGCCTTGGATCGCCTTGAGTCGCGTCTATCAGAGCGCGGGTTGTTCTACGAAAGTTGGAGACGGGCCAGATTGACAGACCCACCATGTGATCGAGTCATTGTTGGTTTCTCGCTGTGATTGCGATCCCCACATACTTGTTCGGCTTCCAGATGCTCGAACACAAAGCAACGTTACCTAACTACTCTGACGACAATTGACTCGATTGCAGAGTCTTCATAGCGAACTGTGTGCCGGCCCACCGACGAGAAGAATTGTCATCGGGTACGATCGGGCTCACTTTGCGGCAGATGAGAGTGGTGCGAGGCTCCACAGCGATATGAGATTATCAGTTGCAACGCCTAGATCCGCCGCTGCCATCGGGGGAGCGGTTCAAGCGACCTCCGCCCTTGGACGTTGGCTTACAGCCCACCAGACCTTACCCACACGTGGCCGTAAGCCCCCAGAGCCAAACGCCAAAGGATTGATGCAGGTCCCAACTCCAGAAACCCATCTTTGGCCTGCCTCTCCGCAAAATACACAGCGCCACCAACAAACAACAAGACTCCTCGAAGAAATTTTGTCATTTGCGCGTTGTTCAGTCAACAGCTTCGGTGCGCACCCACCCCCAACGTTTGGAGAGTGCAAAGAAAAAGTCGTCTGTTATCTTCTTGGCAGTAGAATTTGCTCTCTCGCACCGAATTCAGCATGGCGTCCGAAACATTGCCGTACAACCATCCCCAACACATTTAACGAGAGAAACACGTTCAGGGAAAAAAAAATCCTTACCTGCGTTTTTTTCGCGGCGGATCCACGGCGTCGTCATCGAGTTCTATCCCCGGTTCCCATCAAAACATTCACGATTCAGTGACCAGGCAGCCTAGTTTCGATATGCTCGCTTGGTGAGTTGAGCCCCAGTGAGCACTGGCTTTCACCGCTCTTGGCTCAACATGGACAGCACTGTGTCCGGAGTTTTCTCTGTGACTCTCGCTCGTAGAGCAATCGCCGGCCCGACTCTTGAGTGAGATGCAAGCCTGAAGCCAGCCTCCCAGGTCCCACCAATTTGCTAGGCAATCATAGACGCGATTCGCTTCGAGCTCAGCTCAACAAAGTGTTATCTGCCACTCCCAACAACGAAGAGGAAACGTTTTCGTAGGATGATAGAAAAGATGCAAGCAGGCTGTCAAATCGCAAATTGTTCATCTCCATCTTGTTCCTGCAGCTCGACGTCGATGGTGTGGGGAGACCCGACCCCACGACGAGCATTGCCATGTGCTTCCAAGACCGACCAAGCCTCACCCACATGTGCAAAGCCACCACAACTTGACGAAGGCGGCGGTTTGTGGATGGAACTCTCAGCGGTTCCAGAGCAAGAAGAACATGGGCAATTGAGCCATCGTGAAGTGGCTTCACTTTGACATTGCAAGCCATGTCGATGTCTAGATCCACGCCAATTGCGCACTGATAAGCACAAATCGCACTATCTTGCTTTTGTGCGCTCGGTGAGGGCTGACAGTCTACTTTCATGTGATTGTCACATTCTGTTCACGCAAAGCAAGATAGGAGTGCCGACAGGTTTCGCCGAAACGCGTCGCAGCAGGTTGGGCGCCTGCCCAACAAAACCTCGCAGCCTAACCACGATTCGTGCTCTCGCAGCTCACAAATAGTGTTGGGAAATCTATGCTGATGCCTTCGTTTGCTTTTTGGAAGCATGATTGCGTGATCCAGACCCTGTGCGATAGCCTCGAGTAAAGACACCAACAAACTGCGAAAAGACGCCATACGACGATGCGCAGATTGTTAGCAGATACGGCCTGTCGTGTACGAATATCCCCGCAGAAGGACGTGGTCAACTGGGGAGATTCCGGGAAAGAAAAGGAGGTTTTCTGGAGAACTCGTTCACCAGCTGACAGCTCTTTTGCCTAACGTTTTCACCCTCGGTTCTGACGGATAAAGGAATCCCGCAGCACGCAAGAGGATTGCCATCTTCATAAGCCGGAAACTGCGGCCTTGTATGATATCGCTCTTCGTACTCGCCGAGTACACTAGCCGATGTGGAGATCCACCGCTTGTTGGCGTTCCCCAATATTCCCCCACTCGGGAGCTGCATATCGTCCCTTGCAGACTAACAACAGAGTATATTAGCATTCCTGCGGATCAGCGCCTTCTCACCCGACCTTGTGGAGTCTGGAGCAACACAACAATCAAGCGTTTACGACCGGGGCGGTGACTATTCCCAAGTCGAAACGTGGGTGGGTGGTTGGACGCCACATTTCACTACAGTAGCGCTGGGTTTGGCAAATCGCCGTCACTGTGATAGCACGTGCGTCGGAAGAGTTGTTGAACATGTCACTTATCATTACTCAAGACAGCTTGCTGAGAAAGAATTCGACGCATCAAACAGGAGCGGAACTCACAGTGGTGGAGATGACCGCGCGACGGAACAGAAAGTCGCGCTTTCCCTCATGAGCTGAACCTCTTGCCCATACTCTCAGCTCGAACGACACACGGGCCCATGAGCATTTTCTTGCCTACCTTCAAACACATCTGTGGACTTTCCTTTTGTGGTCTCGGTCGCGAATGTCGCTTCGAACGCCGACTTGTTTGAACGTGGTGATTTTCTTTATCTTTACCGTTGACCATAGCCACACGACATGCCCTGAGTGGATCCTTCTGCTTGGTTGTAGCTCCACAGATAAGAGAGAAGTTCGGCGCAATCCGCTTCCTTCTCGCACAAGAGTATGTATGTGAGTGCTCCAGCTCGGGACAACAGGTTCTGCCAATTCCTCGATCGACAAATCCTTCATCTGGCGTTTCTCATCGATATGCTGTTGAAAGACTTGTCTTGCTCCAGAGTTCGAAGTGCAATTAGGATGATCCGAGATACATAACAAGGTCTTCAAAACAGCGTAGACGCGAAAGAGCAGTTCTTTCTAGGTAAGTCATATTGAATCAAGGTTGGTGTACTTTCATGGCAATTACAAGACATGCGTCTTCCTCACTTGCTAGAGCATCCCTGTTGTTTTCACACCCGTCGGAATATTGCATTAGGCGGTAGGTGGGCTGTCAAGAGACAAAATGCTCCCCAGAAACAGACCGACGTCCACTGGCGACCATCCTCGGTACGTTTCTGATTCATAGACGGGTGCGCATTCTCATATGTACACATGTGAGTTTCGTCATTAAATAGGTTGCTTTGCGAGAGAGTAGGTTCTCATTTCTGTCGAAAACAGGAATATCAAGGCGTCAGTAAGCAATCAGATTGAGCAGAATTCTCTCAGAAATCTCGCAAACGAACTCTTCTTACTGCCACCTCGGATTTCTTCTCTCTTCTATGGCACCATGGACTCTCCGACGCGTCTTCCCTTGATACTCGTCGAATCACATATCATCTATACTGGACGAGATGGCATCGACATCATCACCACTAATGTCCGACTTCACCGACGAGCCATGGGAGCGACGATTATCGAGGAGGCACACGAGGATGGATACCTCGTCCGAAAACACATATCTTCCACGTGCGAACCAGCAGGCAAGGAAACGCAGAGCGGGTTACGGACCGATCATGTTCTTCGCCGCAAAATCATCGTTAGTGCCTGTGTGGGTAGCGTTCTCTTCCTAGCACTGCTTGGTTTCGTCGTCAGTATGTTTGTGGCCTAGAGATAGACTCTCGGTCCGTTCTCCAGGGTATATCGGCCTTTGCGCTTTACCTGAAGCACAATTGCTGTTTGATTTGGTAACCGGTTTGATCTAGCTGCACAATTTTTGGCCAGGGTCGTAACTGCAACAACTATCCATCAGGGTGAATATCATATTGATGCCACAATACGCGCTCTGTGGTCTTTTGCTGATAGTTACAGGTAGGGATCATATATTTGGATGCCATCGATGTTTCAGGAATCAAATTAGATGGAACGTTGCGCGGTTCTTCGTGTTTGTGTCGTCTCAAAGCTTTCGCAGTGCACATCAGTCGACAAGAAACCCCGAACTATAGCACCTTTCTATGAATCTAGCACAATATCATACTATGTCAAACTGCTTTAATACAAGACTGTCCCAATCATCTGCGTCTGAGAGTTTTCGAATATACGATTTAATGTTCGAGTGGGTGGTTGACGGATAACTGGTATCAAATGTTGAACCCACACTACATGCATGCTCATATACACAGGCATTTTGATACTCAACAAATGCAACGAAAGGAACATATCTCGCTGTAGATATGAGACTTCACTTGTGTGGCTCAAGACTTCGAGAAGGAAAACTGTATACAGTGCTCATATGGTTGTACGTCTGTCAACCCCTGATATGGTCGCACGCATCCAGTGTACGATTGGAATCAATTGAAAAAAGGATAAGATGCTAGATGCACAACCGATGATGGGCGTACCTTTCAACTTAAAGTATGGACCATCCTCAATTGTTCCATGTCTATGCTGCTTGTATGATAGCCAGTTGAGGTCTTCTAGGCATTGTATCCTCCTGACTTGCTCGCACTCACGAACCAATATTTCGACGGAGTATTGCACGCTGCGTAGAAAGCTTGTCTCTGATTGAGATATCATTAACAGTGCCTTCAGTTGTGGCGTTCGTTGTCGTTTCGATATTGTTGTCGGTGATGAGACGCGATAGTTTGTTGCGGATGTATCAATAGGGGCACTGGAGATGCTATTAGCGAGGCCTTGGGTTTGGAATGTATAGAGAGTGATACAATAAATCATAGGGGCGAGGAGAATTGTGTCGACAAGATGTCTGTTCCTTCCTCGTAACCACTGTCGAAGTTGATATAAGACTCGTCGCCTGAGTTGTTGATAGGGACACATTCGTCGTCGAGAGTCAGGTCGATAAGCTCGCTGTAATTGGTGTTGTTGTTGTTGTTGTCGGAAGAATCGGAAGAGATAAAGTCGTCTTCGAGAGTTAGGTCAATAGGCTCTTCCTGGCTACCAGGCCCGAGCCGAGTCGTGACTATGAGTGTGGATACTGAGGTGGTCTCGGCGGGTCTTTTTCCCTCCAATGACAATGCAACCCGCTGTTACCTTGTTCTTGTATGCTTCCCTGATAGTTCGGAGTTCTGTCTGGAGCTCAAACAATATCCTGGCGCGTAGCTCGGCCCGGATCTCGGTCTGGACCTCTACGCGGCCCTCTGCGACCTCACGAAGAGAATCCCGAGCACACAAAAGCGAGGCCAGTGCCATGTAAGCGCGAATGTGGTAAGATCGTGAGAGTTCGCTGTAGCCGACGACGAGATGTTCTGCAATGACACGGGACTGCTTCCTGTCTGTCTTGTCCCTAGACTTAGCGAACATTTCCAATTGAACCCAAAGCTCCTCGAAATCTGCTTGCTTGTCGGCGTGTGCCATTGTCGAAAAGACGATTTGCTGCTGTGACGATAGTGTAGGAACGAAGATGCAGTAACCAGGTAGATGTGTGCAGATGGAATTGACCAAGAGACGCGTATAACAGGAGTAGCGAGCAAAACGCAAGTCTTGTCTCATCTGCTCACTTGTGAAGTCTCTCACTCTAGTCAACCTGTGTACACGCACACTCACCCTTTGAGAGACTCACCTTCCACTTTCACTCCACTCCGAACGAGGAAGAGAAAACGACGCCAGTCTTCGGCGGTACTTGCTCTCCGTGTACTGAAGGCTGTCGTAATCTTGCCATAGAACTTCATTTAAGATACCCTCAGAAGGAACTGATATCCACAATGGGATTCACTGGGATGTGTATGGCTACGCTTTTACGTGCATGGCAGCTGTGCATTTCTGCAGCTTACAAGATCACTGTAAGTAACCGCGAGGGAGAGTACATCGTACGACCATGACAAGTTTTGACGCATCAAGAGGTCAATGATAACGATATATTGCAAATGTTGTTAACATAGTGCCATGTCTTTCGAGAAGGAGACAACTCTCTCCGAAGAGTCCGGGTTGGAGTCCCAGAAGTCTCTGGAAAGAGTCAAGACGTACACGTAGCACCTTCGGTCCTACAAGGGTCTTGGTTGGCAGGTGAATCTCGGTCGTCTTTTGGTACGGTGTGTACGGTCGGGAAAATTGGTCAGTTTACGTTGGTGCCCAACGTCGAGAAACTGATGCGTTGTCCAGAATCCGGATATCCTGCCCAGTGAATTTCTTCTAGATATTGAAGTTCATGCTTGTTCGCTTACCCTGAAAAGCAAAAGGTTGCTAAAGAGTGCATACAAGACGCTATAAGCTCATCGAAAAAGAATGACCCGCTGAATGGTGTTTCGAGAGTCATAGCAAAACAAACTTGTTTGGGAGAAGTCCTGCCGTGTGATCCACCAATCGCTACTGGATCACCAGCACCTATTAGCTAATGGCGGGTTGCTTGGAAAAGGTACTTTGATCAGCTTTTAGCCAGAACTGCTGGTTTGCTATTCGTGAATCAGGCGTGTTACCGTGTGTAGCTCAGGTCAGACACAGCCTTAGAAGGATCAAGCTGTATCGAGACCCCCTTGGGCCTCTTGGCAACAAATGGCGTATAATCGAAACCTCCGCGTGGGCCGAAATCTGTCACATCTGGCTGTCTCTCATAGTGGCTTGTAGCAACATGTTGCGCAAATGTTCCAGATTCAAAGATGCGCCCCAGAGAGCTTGCCAGGTACCGTCTCTATGCTTCCACTCAAGGTGTTGTGCATCTGAGAAACACATGACTATTTTTTGCACATGAAGAGAAAACAAGGCGTCGTTGCACACTCAAGTCGAGTTTGGAGCTGGGCCTGAGATCGTGCTCTGCATCAAAGAGGCTCGCCCATATTCCCGTAGCTTCTTTCCCTAATGAAACTGATCAGTCGTTCCGGAAACGATCGATTGATTGCAGAGTCCGACCATAAGGATCGGCCCTGCTCCAGAATAGCGGACTGGTGCTTGCTCCAGTAGTACATGCATATGCATACCCCTCAGAGAATGTTGTCGGCGCTGATGTCCCAAAACATAGCCCTTGGGATACATGGCGCGGTCATGATCGAATCTGTTAGAACCGTGCATACTTTACCGAGCCTCCAAAGTCGAACTGCCAGTTCCTAGAGCAATAGCGAGAGACATGCAGGGTGGAGAAAGGTAGTGTGGAGACGACGGGGAAGTACCCGTAGCCGTTGGACACCCTGCATTGTTCCAAACACGAGGTTGTCCATTGATTTCCCGTGCGCAACAATGGCAGTGCTTCGACAGCTTGAGCCTTGAGATGCCCGGAAGACGAGATAGAACTCAGTCTCAAGCGTGACACGAGTTTCGAGTCGGCGCATGAACAGGTTTGAAGGTGCTTGCAACATGCATTCCGCTTTGTAGGGCGTGACAGAGGCACATGACGCGACTTTCAGCATCAAGAAATGCAGCAGTCGCGGAAGACGGCGCGACGGCAACGCGCCATTTCAATCCAAAGCGACGGCTTCTCGTGGCCGCAGAGGCTTCGACGCCATCCAGCACGCCCTTGGGTCGGACTGTGTGCGGAAGCTGCAGGAGTCCTGTTAGTGGCGGTGTGGAGGGAAGGTGATTGGGTTGTGACAGGCCCGACAGGTCGAGACGAGGTTGGACGCTGCGGTCAAGGTGTGATCGAAGCGTGACGGGCTTGATGAATCGTGTCACCACAAGATCCCATGTGCTTAGAAGGGCCACCGTCCTTTCTCGTCTCGCTAGGTTGACAGCTATCTCGTGCCTGCTGATTTGATTGTCGTTTAGAGGGTCGCGATTGCCATTCGCTCGTTAGGTTTTTGCTATTCCCATCGGCGCAACATCACCTAATCCTTGCCGTCCCCACGGCCACCACGTTACCCAGCATCCCTTCCCGTGATAATAAAGGTTACCTGCTCCTCCGCTGCAGTGCTTCCTCCCCATAATCTACCACACCGCCTTCCTTGTACCATGCATCGCCACCACCACGCCGACTCTGAGAGCCTACGGAGTCGCAACTCCAGCTATTCGAACAGTGATTTTGGCAGCAGCAACCAGTCTCGTCAGTCTCACAGTACACAAGGTACACAGTATACCGGGCCTTCGTCAAGACCTCCGTTTGTACACTACGAGACATGTGAGGGAAGGCTTGAGGGCTCCCGGCTCGAATATTGTCACCAAATCGAGGATCCCAGGTCGTCCGTAGAGACCTATGCCTCGACCGTGCCTTCGGAAGTCGAGGATGACGAGGAGTCTTTGTCTGACGGACCCCGTCCATTGCCTCGCCCAGACGTATATCAAAGCAGTGCGATCCCATCAACGCCGTCAGATTTCGCCGAACTGTTTCCATCAGAACGCCTCTTGTCGATAAAACACGATGACTCCACACCTGACGGCAACATGAACCTCCGGGTTGACACAGTATATGAGAATTCACGTTACAGCCCAATCGATGTCACTCTGTTTCACCTTCGCATGCACGACCTGAAAACTAGGCAATTCTCGTTGAGGAGATATTGCAGAGAATCTGGCCGGGAGGTCTGCCATTCCATGCGTAAATGTCAAAAGAGCACTGCTGAGCGAAGGCTGGATATCCAGAGGTCGCTCAGTAACGCCTTCGCATCTCTTCGCACGATAGCAGAGCACAAAGCATCCACACCGTCTGCCGGACTCAAGAGATCAGATTCTGGATACGAGTCGCTTCAGTCGTACAAAAGCTTCGAGCCCAACCAGCAAGCCGTCACACCAACCGGCCTTCTCAGCAGAGGACATGTGCCTATTCCCACTAAGACCATCAAGCTTGAGTTCTCGAATTATGCACAGATGGAGGTGAAGCGTCGTGGTGCAAAGAGTAGTAAACGATATGAGTTTGAGTATTGGGGAGTTCATTATGTCTGGAAACGTATCACGAATCGAATTGGCTCTTCGAAGGAAGTGTCCTTCTGCTTGTTTCGCAACAACGAGGACTGCGCTCTTGCCCGGATCAAACCTGTTCTCATGAGTGGTGTGCAACAACGCGAAGAGTTTGCGAAAGGAGGTTGGGTTCCGCCGTGCACTATGGGCATAACCGACGAAGAGATCCTCGAGAATCACAACGAAATTACAGAGTAGGTTTGGTTTCTGGCGACTTCAAACTCACCGCCTTACTGACCGTCNTCTAGTGTTGTTGTTGCCGCTGGTCTGATAGCGCTGGTGGACGACTGCATCAAGCGCCGGTTTCACACCAGACAAGTTCGTGGGATTGTCGTTCCAATCTCTAAGTTTCGATTAGACATGGAGTACACGAGTACCGCCAAACGTTCAGGCGAAGAACAGGCCCGTCGACCTTCAATCAGGGGCTCCACTGCAAGTCGCCGGCCCACACCGCTTCGTAAAGGGAGTTGCGACGTATAACACGACTTTTCGATGGGACGATGCCACATTCGCCTGTCACCGACACATCTCTTGGTACAGGAAGTGTTGCGATCACCCGAAGTTGACTCGTCTTTCGCATCTCGACTCTGTTTGATGTTCTCTTTTCTGATTCAAGTTAAAGCACAGTGACGGGAACTTGTCGGTTGCGTGGTGCACTTGCATGCTACTGTAGTCTGCACCACACAAAGAATTTCGGATGTTTTCAGAATGTTTGTATCGATTTGAGATATGTCATGTCTCCATGGTCGCTATTCCAAAGGAATGGATACATAACCTATCATGCGCTCGGATCATATAATGCCCACCATTTACGATAAACATAAATATACACGTTCACGAATCTTGAAATATTCATACATGATCAATACACTTTCAATCATGGTTGTACAAATCTCTATTCTTCACCGCTTTGTATATCTTGGAGATTTAGAGTAATCGGGGATGCGATGTTGTCCCACTATCCCTGTATCTGATCACGCAGGTACCCGAAGGCATCCGGCATTCTTGATGCACGACGATGTCGTCGAGAAGGTGACTTCTCATAACTCATAGCGCTGGAGTTGGTTTTGGAGCTTGTGCATTGGCAGTGTTTCTTCAATCTCCATTTCGAGGGATGACGTGGCTCATCGATTGAGTCAGTGTCCACGCGACTCTACACAAGTTGGCCAGCATGTGTTGTTGCGACTACAGCAGACTGTACAGTACAGGTCCTGGTAGTTCGCTGCCCGACCAGCTGGACTTGACACGACGCGGCAGTGTTGCCGAATGCAAGCCAATCCAGGTTCTGTAGTAAATAATTGATCTAAAGTGGAGTCTATGTGACTGCCACTTCATCGGGCCTTCTTCTCCCCATATAGCGGCTCGGAAACCACTATCATGATTACCCATCATCTTACTGTCGGAGGCAGATCATACGCAAACAAACCTGGGTATTACACACGGGCGGGACGGCCCTGCGAAGAGCTCTAGCGGATAACCACTGTTGTTTCGAAGACCCTTTCGACTTCTCTCTGCTACTTGCCTTGTTTGACAGCACACAGCACATATCCTACCTATCAATTTCATCAGGGCTGAGGCCTGCCAAGTAGGACACGAAGCAACTTTCCGTTCTGCTGTCCAGGATATTGGGAATGCAAAGTGACATGTCGAAGGTCGAGATTGGAGTTCAAGGACAGGAGCACAGTATAAGAACTCGTTCGACGAAGCTGTGGGTTGTCAAGTCATACTCCAATCCACTTTACGATCTGTGACTACCAAAGCCCTTCCGAAATATTTCTCGTCCACCAATCCTGTTCTCATCCAGATTCAAGATGGCCTTCATGACTGCTTCCAGAGTTCACACCACCACAACCCCAGCCCACTCCACTGTCTGGCAGAACAAGCTCATGAGTATGTACAGCTCACCATCGGGTCGATGCCAAGAGGCTGATCAGGTATACNNAGATGAGTGCAGAAGCCGTGGCCTTCGTGCTCCCAACTTCCAGGAATGCTCTGATAGACGTGGTATGTCTTGGAGAATTCGACCAATTGAGGTCAACAAACACTGACATCTTCCAGGTGGCCGCACTGCTTGGTCCAGTGTGGTTGAAGTCAATGGATGCAAGCACCAGGCTCGCTACTGGTACGACGGAGACTGGGTCAACAACGCTCGCGAGGACGCCGCAGAGGTTGCTCTTCAGCGCATGGGTGTGGTCCCCATCCCTCGCGGCCCCCATGCCCGTCTCCTTGGATCTATCAGCGTGTAAGAAGAGCAACATCCGCCATGCCAGACGTGGCGAGTCTCGCCGTCTCTTTTCGTTTGATCATCATACTTGGGTATTGCTTTGAGGAGTCAGGAAGGGGTTTATCAGTGGAACGGTGTCTCTTGCTATCGGGTCATGTTTCATAAAAGGCGCGCATCGGGGTCCGGACCAAAATACAGCTCAGCTACATCAGCAGCATGGCGAAAAGGCGTTGTCTCTTATAAAGGAAGAACACCTAGATAGAAACACTTGGGATCTCTTTTGTCGACTTGCATACTACGCTGAATATCTGTATTCGTAAATGACGATCTTTGAGTTCGATATCCAATCTCAAACATAAGCACCTTCAGACGAATTTAATCAGGCACATAAAAGCTGTGGACGACATGTGTCTAATGTGTCAAGTGCCGGCAAGATTGGCCGAACGCGAATGTGGAGAGAAGAAGGTGGAGGCGGAAGCGGAGAATCCTTTTCTTATCAGTGCCCAAACCCTCTCACGAAATCACATCGAGCAACAGGGCGCGTCTGGTATCTTTTCCGAGAGTGTCGTTGTCTCGCACGGCTCCGGCCTCCCTACCAGCCATGAGTAGCCTATCTTCGAGTGACTGTTTTGGCGACACAGTGTGTTTCTCGAGTTTGCCCGGACCCATCGATCGAGTAATTGATTGACGTAAATGGTCATCGCCGACGACCGAACCGTTGATCCTTCCCTCCATGTACATCCACACGGTACAGTGAAATCTTCTCTTGACCTCAGTCGCATACCTTATCTTTCATCGATTGCTATATGTATTCAACATCCCTATCTTCTATAAACACATTCAGTATATCCTTTAACTTACAGAAATTGCATCCTCGCTTTCCTGTTCTGAATAATCGTTTACTTGTACCTTATGAGATTCCATTTCAATATTGCACACGATTGGAGATCGAACCAACAGAAGTTTTAGATTGGACACACTCCAGATTCTTCATCCCTCAAAACCAACCGAGCTTGCAAAATTCACACTTCTGGCACAATGACCGACAACTACAAGGACGACAGTCCAGATACAATTGGACCCGCGAACACACCAAAGAGGTCATTCTCCGAGAAAGGCCGTCGTTTGGTCAAAGCCTTTACCACCAAAGAAGGCCTTGTAGGCGACTATGACTATGCCTTTCTGTTCAAACCTCAGCTACCTTTCATGAAACGGGCACGACGAGCAGGTCCCTTCTTCGGTCTTAACGACAAAATGCCAGTCTTTCTTGCCTTGCTACTAGGGTTCCAGCATGCTCTTGCCATGCTGGCGGGTATCATTACGCCTCCCATTATCCTTTCAGGCAGTGCCAACCTGATTCAGGCAGACCAGCAGTATCTGGTATCAGCGTGTCTCATCATGAGCGGTATCTTGAGCATCGTCCAGATTTCACGCTTTCATATCTGGAAGTCACCTTACTACATCGGCACTGGCTTGATATCGGTCGTGGGAACATCTTTTGCAACCATCCCTGTTGCTACAGGTGCATTTTCGCAAATGTACGCCACCGGTTTCTGTCCATCAGACGCGGATGGTAACCCTCTGCCTTGCCCTGATGGATATGGTGCCCTGATTGCCACTTCTTGTGTTTGTGCTCTTCTTGAGATTCTGATGAGCTTTACTCCACCAAGAATTCTGAAGAAGATCTTCCCACCCCTCGTTACTGGACCCACTGTCATGCTGATTGGTGTATCCTTGATCAGCTCAGGCTTCGAGAACTGGGCTGGAGGTAGCGGTAGCTGCCTGTCTCGCCCCGAAACTGGTCTCTATCGTCTGTGCCCCACCATTAACGCACCTCACGCCCTTCCTTGGGGAAGCGCAGAGTTCGTCGGACTTGGGTTTCTTGTCTTCGTCAGCATCATCTTGACTGAGCGCTTTGGCAGTCCGATCATGAAATCGTGTGCTGTTGTCATTGGTCTTCTGGTCGGGTGTATCGTAGCTGCTGCATGTGGCTATTTCGACCGCAGCGGGATCGATGCTGCTCCCGTTGCAAACTTCATTTGGGTTCGCACCTTCAAGCTTCAGGTCTATGGTCCCCTGGTCTTACCGTTGTTAACGGTGTACATCGTCTTAGCCATGGAGGCTATCGGCGACATTACCGCATCTTGCGATGTATCTCGCCTTCAAGTGGATGGACCTATATTCAACAGTCGTATCCAAGGCGGTGTCCTCGCCGACGGGCTGAACGGACTTATTGCAGGTCTCTGTACATTGACGTAAGTGACTTTGATTTCACCGATATCCCCTCCTGTGGGACTCTGATACTAACTATACCATTAGNNACCGATGTCTGTATTCGCGCAAAATAATGGGGTCGTTGTATGTCCACACATAGAAGTCTCTGTGAAAGGTTAGAGCTGACAAAATTAAAGNGCCTTGACCCGATGCGCCAACCGAAAGGCCGGATACGCGGCCTGCTTTTGGCTACTCATCATGGGTATCCTTAGCAAGTTTGCAGCTGCATTGGTAGCCATCCCTTCTGCTGTACTCGGTGGCATGACGACGTTCCTGTTCGCCTCTGTCGCGACTAGTGGTCTTCGTATCATCTCGACCGTCCCATTCACTCGCCGTAACCGTTTCATCCTCGCCGCAGCATTCGCCCCTGGATTTGGTGCTACTCTTGTTCCTACGTAAGTGTAGTCCTCATACTCGTCGTGTTCGCAATAACTTATACAATCTGCAGTNTGGTTCAGCTATGTCTTCACGTACTCTGGTAGCAACCAAGCTCTACAAGGCTTCTTCAATGCCATTGTACTGGTTATGGAGGAGGGTTTCGCCCTAGGTGGCTTCATTGCCCTCATTCTCAACTTGATCCTGCCTGAAGAGATGGAGGATGAAGATATCCCCGAGCTGACTGCCAACACCATCGATGCACCGGCAGACGAGGAAGAGTGGCGACACATTAGAAGAGAAGACGAGAGTGAGAAGATTTCGCCTGTCAAGAACTGAACTGGATGGCCAAAATTCCTTATTCACGAGATGACGATTGTGGTATACAGTACTGGATTAGGAGGTAGAGCGAACTGGAACATCAAAAGTTGGGTCTCAATGCATTATTGTGTTTTATTCAAGACTGCTAGTATGCTGTATTGTGTTACTGTGTCTATTCGAGTATAATCCAGCAGAGAAGGGCCAAGATATCGGCCATATGTCATCCATACTCTGCAGTATTTGAGATCAGGTCATTAATATGATTGAGACACAAGCGGAAGTTTGAGGAAAGAAAATGTGTGAGAGAATCGCATATCTACTTGCCTGGTTGGATGTGAACCAAGTGATCTTTGTTTTTCGAATTCTGACCAAGAATCCGTACGTGACCCTGGCGTACGGAGAATGCCGTCCACGTTCAGCCCTAGGAGCATCTCGGTGCGACAGTGCGCAGCCGTGTTCCTGCATACACAACGCCGTGGTTTAACTCCTTACAACCTGCAGGTCCCGTGCACTTTATCGCCAACTCGATAACATCAGCATGAAATCGGGCACACGATCTGATACCCAGAATGGCATCTAACCACGGCGAGGCTTCGTCCATGAAGCAGGCGGCGAACACTGAAGATCTGATTGCACTTGCCAAGTCAGCGCTTGCGGAGACGGAGGAGAAGCAACTCGCTGCTCTAGATGGTGGTGCGCAACTGCCTTTTGGCTATGGCACCCAGCCCGGCGACACTCTCGATCTGAGCGACAAGGGTGTACGGGTGTTGCCTGTCGAATTGATCAATCTGATCAAAGAGCGGGTGGAGAGGTAGTGAATTGGCCCCCTTTTGTTTAACTGAGAACGCTATACTGACTTTATGCANAGGCTCTCGCTCGGACACAATCGACTTACTGAAATACCTGCCGATCTTATCTTTTGTTCCAATCTGCTGTATCTGAACCTTCGTCACAACAAACTCAATGCCTTTCCAGAACCGGTACGANNAGAAGCTTGCAGCATATTGACATTGCTTCAGTCTAACAATGCCAAGGTCTTCCATCTTAGGAAACTCCAGATCCTGGATCTCAGTCACAACAACATCACTTCAGTCCCGGATGATGTTGGCCTTATGTATTCACTCATGTTCTTGGCAATCGAATCGAATCAGATCAAACGTCTGCCGATATGCATGGGCGAAATGTCGCGTTTGCAGAAGCTGAAAGTCGGATCCAAATCAATGGAGTTTCCACCACCGGAAGTGTTCATTCCCAATCCTCTCGGCACATCACCAGGTGGACCTCTAGTGGAAGAGGCACGTCAAGTGTGTTCGCAGGTCAAACTGTTTCTCCGCGAATACAAACAACGCGAGATCTTGGGGAGAGAGACTCCAGACTTCAAGTAACGAAGTATCATTCCGAAGGCATCACGAAGACAGACTGACAATCGGTGTAGCGAGACTAGCCTGGAGACTCCACGCCCTCCCAAGAGGTCGATATCTGGCAGATTTCCTGTGAGACCGAGCATGAGTGGCATCGATGGGCTTGATACACTTAGATCGGGTGACGGACTCGGCCTGAAACCACCACCACCGATACCGCAAAAGTCTCGTGCTAGGGACTCTCTCATCAATCCTCCAGTAGGTCGCCGGTTCGATCGTCCAGGCATCGGACCTCTTGCTGCTGAAGGTGAGAACGGTAGAAGCCGAAGCGAAACTGTCACCTCTACTGGTGCGCGATCCAAACGACTTGGCTATGTTCCTCGCAAAATCTCTGGAAGCTCGCATACAACAGTGACAGAAACTGGTACGCTAAAAGCCTACCATCACAGAGGAGCTTCGAGCTTGAGTCTTGCTGCCCACAGTGGCAATGAATCGTCTTCTGGAGCAGTCAGTCCTATGGAACCTTCGAACCGTATGGTAGTAGCTCGCCGTCGATTGTCCAGTCTGCCGGAAGACCGCCGAGTATCGAGACCAACCAGCATGACTGTCAAACTTGCAACCAGAATTTGTTTTGCTTTATTCCAGCTGAATGGTCCCATTGGCGACGCGGTACGAGTCATTAAGAGTGGAACGCCCAGAAAAACGACAATGGAACGAATTTTCTTCGAATCAAGTGCGAGTCTTGAAGAGCTGGACAGACGGCTGAGTCAGATTTCCAATGGAACTGGAGAAAGCAGAGCATCAGAAAACGACCCCTGGATCCAAGCAATCCGCAGAAAGTGTGCCCATGTTCTCCAAAGCTATGCCACCCTCGCTGCAGAGCTCCGTCTTCATGCTCGCAAGATTGCACTGCGTGGTGAAGGCATGTACATTAGAAGTCTCATGCTTCACATCTATGGCACTCTGGTCGAGATTCGTAATACCCTGACGTTCCAGGCTACAGAAGTCAAGGCACCAACAAGAAGTGCTCGTGGATCAATGGCGACCGTCAGTCGATCTAGCACACCCACCCAGCCCAAGCCAATTGCTCCGAAGAAGAGGCTACGAGGCGCCACTATACTACAGCCTTCACGCCTGACAACTCCTGGAACCGCTCCTCCGCCTGTCCCTCTCAGCACGAGTCGAAGCAATACCATGACGAGTATGAGTGCTGTAACGCCACGATCGGGAGAGTCGTTCTCGTCAGCCTCTGGTATACCACGATCCAGCGCAATTCAGCCACCAAGCGAGGAGAGCGAAGAGCAACGTCAGTTCGAGTCGATCTTCTTGAAGCTTCAAGGCGCCTGCGAACTTGCAGCCCAAACACTCCCTGGTTGCAGGGTCGACTTCTATAGCCGAAACGAGTCGGCGAAACGAGGGATGCAAGGATCCATATCACGTCTCTGGTGGTTGGCTCTACAAAAGTGTGATGTCGCAATCAATGCTTTGGAGTCGATGAGAAACCGGCTATCCAAGGTCAAACTCAAGGATCCTAATCTGCGTACACAGCGAGACTTCTGGCTGTTGTGCGATAAGTTCGTGCGAGTAAGTCTTACAAACTGTTATCTAGTTTGATGTTCACGGCAGCTGACGAAAGAACTANNGACATGGTTGGATCTCGCTCTTGAGATCAGAAATATTGGGAATCAAGGCTACGACACGGACTCGGTGAAGGTAGTCATGCGACCAGTGCAAAAGGCCGTCAAGGAGGTCAGTATTGCGGTCAACGGATCCCAGCTCTACCAGGCAGCGCTCCGATCAAATTCGGTGTCTGGATATGTGACACCAGTCCCGGCAACTCCATTGAGCGCAGCACTTGGACCAGCGGCGCTCGCGACGGTGCCTTCGACGCCAAGCTCGGTGGTGTTGCCCTCCGAGTACATTGCTTCAGGCTTGCAGAGTGCGGCCGAGAGGCAGTCAGATGCTCCGAGTCTGCGCAGCTATCCTCGAGGACGGGGAGTGTAACGGAGTTCCGGCTAGGGAATGTATATGACAAGGTGAAAGATGAAGCAATTACAGCGAATGATACCATTGGGAAAGGACGGGATAGAAGGTGCATTTCAAGGCGAATATGGCGAAGACGGGCATACATTCCTATGGCTTTCCTGTTTTTGTAAGAGATATAACGAGGACTGGCATGGCATGGCGTGGTTGAGATCAAGGGAATATGGATGATGGAGCCTCATGACATGCGCATACAGAGAGCTCTTTGCAACCAGACAAAGTAGAGCACGCGAGACAGACAAACAGACGCATGGATTCAAAAGCAAATACAATCACTTCTTTGCACAGTCGTGACAGTCGTGGAGTTCTTTTTTTTTTGCTTGAGCCGGTCCATTTTTGAATAGCGAAACGTTCGGACTATGAAAAAGGCGAGCAGAAAAAAAGCCGCGCGGGCGAACCGACGAGAAGCAGCAGAGAAGTGCATGATCCTCCGGAGCCGTAAACTGTTCCCAATAGCCTGACCGATTCCACCACGCTTGAAGATACACGGAGGGAGGTTGTTTTTTTGAAGGTGAGGGTAGAAAGCGAAGTGGGGACGAGACGCTTAGTCGAAAAGACCGAAGCCCATGTCGTCGTCAGACTCCTCCTTCTCCTCGGCCTTCTCCTCGGCGGGGGCGTCCTCAGCGGCGGCACCACCGGCGGAAGCACCACCAGCGGGGGCGGCGGCGGCACCAGAGCCGGAGCCGACGTTCAGGAGGAGCTCCTTGACGTCCTTGCCCTCGAGAGNCCTGTGGGACACGCGACGAGTCAGACAAAGGTTCCTTTGATTCTTGTTTTGCGGTTGCTTCTTTCTTCAGTGGGAGCGCAATGTGCGCGCTTCCTGCAGAGCAATTCGGGGGCAGTGTGATCGTACCTTGGCGAAGAGCTGAGTCCAGATGGGCTCAACCTCGAGCTTGGCGGCGGAGATGAGGGTGTTGAGCTTGTCGGCNNCTGGTATATCGGGTCAGTGAGGAGTCGCGAGAATGGTGAATGGTGCGTCGCATACGGTGATCTCAATACCTTCATCGGCCAGGATGAGGGCAGCGTAGGAGGAAGCGAGCTCGGCGGTGGACATTTTGATGGGTTGTAGGTAAAGAGATGCCTTTCTGTTTTCTAAAAGGGTAACAGACGGACTTCTTCTCGTTGCGGTTGACGACGAATTCAGAGTCGGCACCACGGCAGGAGAAAAGTGTGCGATGGAATTTGGCGAGTGGGCGCACAGACCTACTTGACTCTTGGCGGCGTCTTCTTGGAGGCCGTCAGGTGACTTGCGCAGCTTGTGCAGTGGACACAGAGCGACACCGAGCTGTGAAAAGGTTATGCAGCTTGTGCACGCCGAGTCGGGTCTTTGCTGCCCGCTGCCAAATACGTCAGTGAAGCGACCGCAGCGTCGTCCGCCGCTCATTCGACACTGCCAAATCCACTCAGCCGCATACCACCTATCGACGCCGTATCTTGTCCAGAGACACCGTCTATCCCACTTCAGAATCCAGCATGACCGACTCGCCATTTGTGCGCTTCCCGCTCGACCCCAAGGAACAACCCATCCTCGACCGCCTGCTCGGTCTGCGCGACCAGCTCTCGGTCCTCAAGAGCGACCGCTCGTCATACATCCGCACCCAGGATGTCTTGGACCTTTACAAGAGATTGATCGGAGAGGTTGAGAAGCTCAACGAGCTGCGCACCGACAAGCGTGACGAACAGAACAGGGTCGACACAGTCCTCGACGACTGTTTCCAGCTCGTCTCCCTATTCTTCCTTACCATCGGGCGCAACCAAGAAGCTCCCGCTGTCTACTCTGCTGTGTCCACAGTAAAGGTAAGCCACATGATGCCTCGCTGATTCCGTCCTCGTGCTCATTCTGCTGTANNGCGTCTCCTGGACCACCTCAAGGAAGCCGGCTTCTACCTACCCCAAGACCTCGAATCCATCGAACACAACCTCCGAAAATGGCGCTCGTCAGTCGAACGTGGCAAGGACGTCCACAGCGACTCACTGATGACACTGCTCGAAGCACGCATCGATGTCTGCTACCAAACCCTCAAAGAGCTACAGGCTTCGCTGTCCCAACTCGACCCCGAACTCATGGGCTACTACGAAAAGCTTGTCTCGATCCTGCGTTCTCTCTCGGCTTGCAACACACGATCAAAATTCCCGGTCAAGGAGGTTGAAGAACTGGAGGAGCAGCTCAAGCAAATCCAAACAGAATTGAAAGATGCCGGTGTGTCACACGAGGGCAGGACGGCCGAAGAGGCATACGCCGAACGCCTGCAACAAGTTCATATCGGAGAGAGCCATGTTGAGGAAGGCAGCAAAGTTGTGTCCTTCCTGCTAGGCCGCTGTTTGCTCTGGGTTGAGATTATCCAGAAGAAGTGAGTCACCATCAAGCTATCTTACAAGTTGAGTCCTCGACTAACAATACTACAGNNGCAAGGCAAGGTTGATGAGCGTTTCCGCGACACATACGACAAACTCGTCAAGCTACGCAACATTCTCGACAACATGAACCTTACCCAGGCCTGGTCGTTGCGCGAGACAGACTTGTACAGCTACCAACGACAACTCGACCGCATTGACGAATCTCGTGTCGATGGCAACTTCCTCGACGCCGAAGGAAAGCCTGCTGATCTACATTCGCAAAGGGTAATTCCACCTCATCCCACTGTTCTTGGTGCCTTACTAATACCTGACTCCACANNGACACTACTCTACCTGCTTCGTAAGAGTTACTCATACATCTATCACTACATCATCTCGTCAGAGCCCGTCTCAGAAGCCTTGCTGCCCATCTACAACCAACTTCTCACCCTCAAACGCTGTCTGCTCGAGGTAAAGCGCTCGGGTGGTGTCGATTCTCCTCGCGAGCTGTACCCATACAGCATGAAGGTACGCCAAACTTACTCCTTGATCTTTTTGCACATTCATACTGACCACGGCTCANNGCTTAATTCCATCGACAACATGAAGAAAGACGGCAAATTCATGGTTGGCGACGACATTCCCGAAGGCCAGGGTAGTGTTACATCATTGCTCGCCGAATGTTTCGACATTGCCTACGATCTCAGAAACGAGGCCGAGGAGCGTCAAGACGAGGCCGAGTTGGCCGAGACCACCGAGTCCAAGGAGTAAAGGTCTCTCTGTGACCGAGTTCACTCCATCTTCTTCGTGTATAACTTCAACTATGGGTGACAGTAGGGATATATGTCCTCTTGCCTTTTTTGTTTTCTTGCAAGGCGTCAGGGGCTTGGGAGTCTGGGTCTTTGTCACTTGGGACGGTCACAACTTGTAGCGGACGGAAAGGTGGAACAGGAAAGAAGAGGCACATCTGCGGACGCACGAATAGGGAACACTCTCCACAACTCTCAATATCATCTGATTTCTTGTATGCGTGCTGAATAAACCAAGGTTTGCCTCATATGTGACAAGCATTAGACTCCAGCACATTTCGCAACTGGAAGAGCCACGAGTGCTCCGATTGGCATGCACCAATAGTATATCACGAGGTTATATGAGTCATTTTACTCAATGGATATTTGAGTGCCCAAAATTGAACACGACAGTCTTCTTGACGGTGTTCTGAGTCCACGCAGCAACACAAAACTACTGAGTAACGACAAAGTCTCATAGAACCGTACTTGAAATGTCCGCCCGAAGAGTGTCACATTCGCACTGGACTATTCGTGGCCACCCCCTGGCTGCCGCACCAATCCGTGGTTCAGATACCATTTCTCCAGCTCCTTTGCGTATCGGTGCTGGGCAGTGCGGTAGTGTGTGGACAGCATCAGATGCAACTTGGGTGATCAAAAAGCANGATGGGTCTCTACACAGAAGCCTCTGGAAGGAATACTATATCCAAAACCGCATCCTCAACCACTGTTTGGAACTACCTAATGCCCTGGTACCCACGTCGTTTTGGTATACATTGGTGGATGGGTGTTGGATCATGTGCTCCGAACGTATACCGCCACTTCCTGATGGATTCAGAGATATGTTGGTGGATACTTTTTGCCCAGAGGAGCTTAAGGAAGCAGTCAAAGAGAAAGATACCGTGTGCATCGCTAGGATATACCTAGGAAGGCGACGACGTTCAGGGCGACCATCAAAGTTCTTCTCACTCAACAACTATAATCTCCTTTTGGATTCGATGGAGCAGCTGAATTTACCCGTCTTCGAGTATGCAGAGGCCATTGCAGATACACTGGCAGCATTACACTGGGACGCAGAAATCGATGCTAATGATGTCGAATTTGTACTGGGTACACGCCGTCAACTCAATGTTTCCTCCATACAGCCACTGTCCTCGGCGTATATAGCGAATCAACCATACAACTACCCTACACGCCGTACCGATGACCCCTCAAGACTAGAACCCAGCACAAGCCTCAAAGAAGAATCCACAGATCTCCAAGTCTGNGTCCTCGATTTCGACTGCTGCGATGCCATTACAATGGACACCGAAGGCGTCGAAAAAGCAGCATTATCAGCACACACAAACGACCCCTATTACCCTAAACCCAGCACACCAAGTTCCCAAGACTTTGAACTTTGGGAATGTTTCCGAAAGGGGTATATCGCTACTGGTATTGAAATCATGCAGAGAAAAGGGTTTGATGAGAGGTTACCTGAGATGTTCATCGAGAGGTTAGTAATGCTTCAGGGGGAATCGCAATCTCAGCATCGTCAGTTTCCCAGGGGTCCGTATTGTGCTCTTCATAGTGGGGAGAGTTATTAGAGATCTCTGATTCCAATCAACTTGTCTTCATGTACTTGCAAAAATGCACAGCATTTGATACTTTTGAGATGTGACCATGGAAACACCGCAAAACGATGCTCTCTCCGTGGAAATCATCCCTTTCGAGACACTATTGTGCATTTCTATAGCTGAGAAGTACCACTGCGTCTCAATTTGAAACCTCACAGTTGTTGGACAAGTTCATCAACCCTGGTCATGAGATCTCGGGCCCGTTCAAGGGTGCGTTCTTGAGGCTTTGAGACGCAACCACTCACCCGCCAAAGCGAGCCATGCGGGAAGGTGAGTCCCATTGAATAGGTTGGTAGGAGCGCCGGGTGACTACGAAGTTTCCACGTGCATGAGTCTTTTGTAGCCACCATCTCCAGTGGGTGTTCTGGGCATGATGGCATCCACACTGCAGATTCCTTACTTTGGAAGCGGTCTCAACAGGCAGCGTCACGGGTTTCTTGGTATAAGGATCGATGTACTACGTATCGTTAGCACCTTCCACGATTGAAGCGAGAACATCCGACAGGGCGTTGACAAATATCTTCATGTTGATCTATGAGAATGAACCCTCTCCGTGTCGACGAAGCTCATTGGATAAGTTTTTCCAAAGGGAAAGGTTAAGGATCTGCTCGGCCACACCACTGTGGATAGCCGCAAAAGGATGAGCTTAGCAGACACGTGCAGTCTGGATGTTCCAATACAAGTCATTGCAGTGGACAAGCTGGAAACAGATGGCACAAGTATGGTGCTCCTCTAGGGCCTGGGCTGCCGTGCAGTCACAAGAGGGTATTCTTGAGTAATATCTCCGTTCATTTGGTCTGCAGCTTCGACAGTGGCCAGCAGAGTGAGCCTGGGATCTCCAGTGGCAACACATTCTCTGTAGACGATATCCAGGGGCAAAGCGATCGTCGTGCGAAAGAGTGAGCGAATGGTAATCGCAGGAGATTCGAATGAGATCTGGACATCTTTGGCAAGAAGCGACCCGATTCCTGAGTAGCGAACACGTTCCAATTTGATACCCATTCAGAGCAAATGCCGGACTGAACTTGTGATCATTGCCTGTAGAAATACCATACTTCTGCTTCCGATAAAGGTAGATTTCAATCAAGCCGTTCTTCGGTAGCGTCAATACCACCCAATTCTAGAATGACGAGATACACGAACCTGACGACCAATGCATGAGCCTTGGCCTACTGACCTTCGGGCAGAAGATTAGGGAAGACTTGATGGCCATTGACCGATTGCGTGTCCTTTGATGTAAGCCTTGGATCCGCCTTGTACCCAATCAAAAAGTACAACATATTCCGACAAGTCGGGTGCCTCTCTAGCATACTTGAGTACCGCTGTCATTGGAAAGAACCTCATCATCTGCCCCATCTGCTTCTTTATCTGCCTCATTCTTACACCTCAATCCCACCCAACACCTCCAACCCATCACCCTCATCTTCCTCCTCCCCCACATCCGCATCTTCAAACCACAATCTATCACCATAAGAAATACACAATTCTTCTCCTTTTTCCACCGTCCTCAAAGTTTTGTACACGATGACTTTGTTGGCGACATCTCNTTCCCAGCCCACGTTTTGGTGGATAGACGAGTGGTTGAACATGCTGCCTAGACCCAAGATTACGGCTTGAGTGGTGATTTGTTTTTGTGTTTGCGGGTCGGTGTAGGGCCAATTGCTAGAGGGAGTGTGTCAGCTTTTATGTGTGGAGTGTGAAGGCAAGTTGGTCACTTACTAGGTATAGTGATATAACTCGGTCTTTTCTATGTGGTCTTTGTTTTCTGTTGGGTCGAGGACTAGTACCGGACATGTTTCTAATACCGTGTGTGCTGGTATGCGTGCTGCTGCAAAGACTCCTCTGCCTGGTTTTCATCACACAAAGTCAGTCAATGCTTGTCAGTCACCAAAAAACAAAGCAAGAGAAACCCAGTCTTAGGGGAAACCCCAATGATGAGAACGAAAGCAAAAAAGAGTTGAAATGAAAGAAAAATCAACCAGAAATTAACAAAACCGATAACCCAACCACAAATCCTCATGCGTATGAACCAATCTGAGGCTGATACCCACCGGATGGAGCTCCGTGGTATAGGCTTTTATATGCTTCTCCCTTCTTGTTCAGACATTTCCTTCTCTTTTTCTTTTTCAAATACTATATGCAAAGGGTGTTGCAGTAGAAGAAGATTGCATCAACATACCTTTCGGCGTATCCAACACCAACTTGATATCACAATGCCGTGTCAACGGAACCGCCTCCTCGGGCAAGTTTTCATACTTCTCGAGACCCATATTTCTTCTGAAAGTTTTTGGCCTTCTTTTTTGAAATTGATTTGGAGAGGGAAAAGAAAGACGAGAAGGTGTCTTGCAGATGTGTGCGACTTGTGATGGCCAAAGCAGCTGTCCTGGTTGGAATCGGCGGCGGAAAGAGAAAAAAAGAAAATTATGATGTTGTGCCAGGGTTACCTGTGTGGCCATGACTTTTTCCGAGTCCCGATTGCGACCACTGCCCTTCGAGTGTATGCGCTATTTGGTCTGCGTCGTGGGCTTACAATAGACGTTTGGAGATGTGGTGCTTCGAGGAGAAAAGGATAGCTAAAGCTCCAGAGACTACTGTCGTATCAAAAGATCGTCGTGTTGGTCCTATTCAATCATATTTCTTGAGCAGCAACGCTCGCTGCAAGGTACAATCATGAAACAGCAACAACTTGGCAACTCACAACTTTGCTGAGCACAGGATGATCTTCGAAGAGATGTTTCAGAGAAGAGATTGATCGTTATATACTTTTGTTACAACAAGAGTCAAGTGGATACCCCAAATGATCTTTCTTTCGTGAAAACCCCTCGCTGGGAAAGAAACAAATGCAGAGGAAGAATGATGTGATAGAAAAACAAGAAAAGGCGCTCAAATAAACACAATCTAAAAGTACAAACATCACATAAGGCCGTAATGGACAAGCCTCGAAACATCCCACCACATCAAACTCCGTTGTTTTGGTGAACCATGCCTTCCTTTTTCCTCGATAGCAATTTTACAAACAAAGCGTACAGCGATGGCAAGGCAGCGCGGGACTCGTCCAGAAGAGGAGTCGCACAGAGAACTGGTCGTGTGAATGTCGGACCAGGTGGGAGGAATATGTATACAGAGAAGTCGGAGGGGGTATCAGGAGGTCGAAGTGGTTACTTCGGATCCATGGTTGCGAAAAGGGAAAGAGAGATGTCAGACAGAAACCTCAGATTTAAGGCTTCTGCTCACCCTCGCCACCCTGCTTCTGCTCACCCTCACCAGACTCGGACTTCTGCTCGGAGCGGGCGCGGTGCATCTTGTCGAAGAGAGTAAGGGATGCAGACTGGAGCTCATCGGTCTTGGCCTTGAGGTCCTCGGCGGAGGCGGAGCCCTCACCGGTCTGGTTCTGGGCAACGAACTCACGGAGGCTGGCAATCTTCTCCTTGATCTGGTCAGCCTCAGCCTTGTCGAGGCGGTCCTCGAACTCCTTGAGGGCCTTCTCGGTGTCGTTAAGGACACTGTCGGCCTTGTTGGCGGCCTCAATGGCAGACTTGCGCTCCTTGTCAGCGGCGCCGTACTTCTCGGCGTCGTTGACCATAGACTCGATCTCGGAGTCGCTCAAACCAGAGCCGGAGGCAATGGTGATAGACTGGTCCTTGCCGGTAGACTTGTCGGAAGCGTGAACGTGGACGATCGAATCGGCGTCAATGTCGAAGGTGACCTCAATCTGGGGAACACCACGGTGGGCAGGGGGAATGCCAACCAGTTGGAAGTTTCCGAGGAGCTTGTTGTCACGGACGAGCTCACGCTCACCCTGGTAGACCTTGATCTCGACGGCGGACTGGAAGTCAGCAGCGGTGGAGAAGACCTGAGACTTCTTGGTAGGGATGGTAGTGTTGCGGTTGATCAGGCGGGTGAAGACACCACCGAGGGTCTCAATACCGAGGGAAAGAGGAGTGACATCGAGGAGAAGGACGTCGGTAACCTCACCGGAAAGAACGGCACCCTGGATAGCGGCACCAATGGCAACAGCCTCATCAGGGTTGACAGACTTGGCGGGGTCACGGCCGAAAATGCTCTTGACCGAGGTGGTGACCTTGGGCATACGGGTCATACCACCGACGAGGATAACCTCCTGGATGTCCTTGGCGGTCATGTTGGCATCCTTGAGAGCCTTGCGGACGGGCTCGACGGTGCGGTCAATCAGGGGACCAACAAGCTTCTCGAGCTCGGCACGGGTCATCTTGCTGTTGATGTGCTTGGGGCCCGATGCGTCGGCAGTGATGAAGGGAAGGTTGATGTCGGTCTGGGGAGCAGACGAAAGCTCAATCTTGGCCTTCTCAGCGGCCTCACGGATACGCTGGATGGCCATGCGGTCGCTGGAAAGGTCGATGCCCTGCTCGTTCTTGAACTGCTGGACGAGGTGGCGGACGAGGGTGATATCGAAGTCCTCACCACCGAGGTGGGTGTCACCGTTGGTCGACTTGACCTCGAAGACACCGCTCTGGATCTCGAGGATGGAAACATCGAAAGTACCACCACCAAGATCGTAGACGGCAATGACACGGTCGCTCTCCTTCTCGAGACCGTAGGCGAGAGCGGCAGCGGTGGGCTCGTTGACGACACGGAGGACGTTGAGACCGGAGATCTGACCGGCATCCTTGGTGGCCTGTCTCTGCTGGTCGTTGAAGTAGGCGGGAACGGTGACGACGGCGTTCTTGCAGTTCTTGCCAAGGAAAGCCTCGGCGGTCTCCTTCATCTTTCCGAGGACGAAACCACCGATCTGCGAGGGCGAGTACTTCTGGCCCTGGGCCTCGAGCCATGCATCGCCGTTGGTGTGCTGGACGATCTTGTAAGGGACCTGGTTCAAGTCACGCTGGACCTCAGCATCCTTGAACTTGCGACCGATCAGACGCTTGGTGGCGAAGAGAGTGTTTTCGGGGTTGACGACGGCCTGGCGCTTGGCGGCGATACCGACGAGGCGCTCGCCCTCCTTGGTGAAGCCGACGACTGAGGGAGTGGTTCTGGCACCCTCGCTGTTCTCGATGATTCTGGGAGCAGAGCCCTCCATGACGGCGACGGCCGAGTTGGTGGTACCAAGATCGATACCAATGACCTGGCCCTTGACCTTCTCCTCACCGCCATCGGCGTATCCTCTTCTGAATGAAGAGGCGGTGGGTGATCTGAAGACCGGCGAGCGGACTGAAGGGGTGGCGCGAAGCTGCGACGGGTGTCAGTAGGGAGCTCAGTGAGCTGCGAGAGCTGTCGCATGTGCACTTACGCCTCTGGCGAGTCTTTGTGACAGCATTGTGATGTGATTAGAGCAGAAAACCAGAACGCGACAAGAGAAGATAGGGTATCCTGAGCAACAAACAAAACTTGCTCTAGATGGATATGGGGGATGGGGATGGCGAGGTTAATAACTGATGGAGCAGCAAGAGGAAGTCATGGCGTCGTTGCTCGAGGAATTTTGTTCTTAGCGTCGAATCCCCGGTCCCGGCACTCTCCGCCACGCCCATCGAACATGCTGGAATCTTGTCCCGACATCGTAACTGCAAGTCGTTCTGGGGTCTGCTGCTGCCATCACTCTGACTGCGCTTGCGCCGACACATGCCCGTTCGCCTCTGCCAGTGCTTCTTGTTCGACTCACCTCGCCTTTTGACTCATACCACCGGCCGATTGGCCTCGAACACCCACTGCACCTACCGTCTCTCGCGAGCTTCACGTCGGCAGCTTGTTTTGCCTCGGCTGCGAACGTTGAATGGTCCTTGCGCAGGTCAACCGGATGACTAGACACACAATGTGCTGTTTGAAGGGATCTGATATTGATTATTTACACGATATGAAGAGAAAGCATGCCATCAAGTGTAGCATCCCATACGCCAGCAATGCCTTGTTCCCAATGCTTTCAACGCTCCATTGCGCCATGTGCTCAACCCATTTCTTGATGCGCCGTAAATCACAACCTGTTCGTGTCTGTTCGTTATTTCATTTCCACTGCCGGGAACATCATTCTCAGCTTGACCTGCAAGTCGATCTCGAAGATGCCCTCCTCACATGCCGCCCACAATCTGCGTCCATCATGACTGATGGCTAGCCCTGCCGTTCTGACTCCTATCGTAGCCTCACGTCCAGTCCTGCGCATCAGCATCTCGTAACCATCATGGAATGCTGTAGGTCGAGTCGATGTGTAGCCTCGTAGTGAGGTGAGTGTATCGTACAAGCTCTGTGCTGTATCTGTTCCGCGCTCGAATTCTTGTCGTAGTCCCCGAAGCCGCTCACGCTGTGCAGTCATTCGGCGGAGCTGTTCCGTGCGCACCATAGCCTCGCGCTCACGAGATTGTCGCGTGCTGGCGTCTATCGATCGAGGTGATTCGAATAGCGGTCCCCTGGCCAAGCTCATTGCGTTGGATATAGTACGCCATGGGTTATCCTCATCTGCTTCGGTTCTGATGGTCGTTGTTGCTCGCGTCGCGTGTGGAGGAATGGTCGCGGCAGTGCTCGTCAAAGTAGGAACTGCCCCTGCTCCAGATCGGCGGATGCTAGTTCCACGATCCGTGTTGGATGCGGACGACGCTTCACGCTCTCTATCTCGGAGCAGCAGATACTCCTGTATCGAATGGAGTGGCGGCAATGTGTTGTCTCCTGTAGTTGGATCCCTGTCCCGAGACTCTGTGGTATCACGCTGCGACGTCCGAGATAGCGCCGGGAAAGCTGCGTAAGGATCATTATGGTTGACCAAGACGTCGCTGAATGGGCGAGGTGCCTCGTTTGTTCGTGCAGTTGCTGAAGTGCGCCTACTGGTATGTGCGCTGAAGAGGCCGGCGCTTGTATAGTTGATCGAGCGAGGAGTACTTCCCTGGGTACGAGCTTCTTCGCGTTGTCTGGTTGTTCGGAGTGCTTCGAGAATCTGTTGCTCGTGTGCTGTGAGACCTCGGGGATCATCTCCTGGCGCCGATGCTGTGTTGGACAAAGTCGGGAACATTACACGGGCGCGGTCGAGATGTTGGAAGCGTTCACGCTCTCGAGCTTGGAGAAATTCTGTAGCAAAGTTGCCTTGCTCGGCAGGATCTCGTGCCTCTCGGTAGCGATCTAATGTTTCCTGCTGCAGATCATCCAAACGGTCACCTTCAGTCAAATACTCCGTCGCAATATCTTCGAGTTCGATCTTCTTTAGACCTTCTTCGTCGGGTTTCAATTCTATCACCTGTTTGGTCTTTAGTCCGGTACGCAGATCGCCAATGCATATGCGGCCTTGATCTTCGGCCCATATAAGCAAGTCCCAGGGTTCGGGAGAGAAGATCATGGATCTGACAGCGCCAGGATGAAGGGCGGCAACAATGTTGGGTCTTGTCGAGGGAACGGTGGCGACGATGGCATCTTCTGCCTCATCGGAAGCACATTGCGCAAAGATGTCCATATCAAATACCGTGATGTAGCCACCTTCGGAACCCAGAGCGGCTAAGCTGCCATTTGGTGACCATGCAGTGGTGAAGTAGCCCGGCTGTGCAGTGGGATCACCAGCACGGAGCTGAACGATGTTTGCTAGGTCCCATGTGACGTTCGTTGTGTTCAGGCGATTGTGAGGTTTTGGAATCTGCGGGGGAGGTTGCGACACGGTGCGTGTATAGAAGAAGGCCTGGTTGGAATCGCCAACGGCAACAAGCGTAGTGCCATCAGGAGATATCGAAGCGTGATTCATTGGAAAGGGCAGGTCCAGGACTGAGGTTTCCAGAGCTTGAGGTAGCGAGTAGATGCGAACAGTCTTGTCGTTGTTGGTCAGGACGGCAACGACATCGTACAGATGATTCTCCTCGTCGTGGATCTGGTGGATGGAGATGGAGTTGACAATCTCTTGGCCTATACGTTCGAGCTTGACGTTGGCGGCCCTGGGAGAGCCNNCCCTTTGCGGTTGCCAATAGTCCAGAGGCAGTGGGGCGTCTACATCGACAGAGCGGACGGGCGACGAGCCCTCCAGCTTGATTGCGGCGAAGTGGCCATCCTCCTCACCTCCAACACAGATCCAGCCGAAGCCAGAGGCGGTACATCGGGCCTCGAAGGGTAGTGTGGCGAGGTATTTGCGTTTCCGCGAGAGCGTATCGAGGTAGTAGACTTCGTTCCCGCTGGCGTAGTAGATGGCGTCCTTGTCGGGCGATGAGATGTAGTGTCGCAATTGCCAGTGTCTAGTGTTTTCATATCAGGTCCAACTCTTGTGTGTCTGCCTCTCCTGCACTCACGAGACGGGGATCTTGACTGGGTAGAAAGTCTTGTCGGGGTGGGCCAGGCGATCGGTATCAGGATATCTATCTTCCGCTTAGCACCGAGCAGCGAACATGCAAACATGGTGCCGAGGGACTTACGGTATGCTGTCGATGGCCATGCTGTTGCTGTGTCGAACTCAAGAGGAGATGCGGAAGTTTAGGGATCAGAGGTAGAGCAGGCACCATGCGACTTGGGCGATTCCAGGCCTGCTGCGATGACAATGGAAAGACGATGACTGCGCTTGCGGGGCTTTTGAAATGACGCACCGCTCGTCTTTGACAACCTACACCATCACTCTTCGACATCATGTTTCACTTCCACATGCCCTGCCTGCCACTGCACAAGACTCACTCGGAAAGCACATGCCTTGACCGATTCTGAGTCTGATGTGTTTGGTACCTTTGCACGCGCCATCTCAGACCATATAGCAGCCACCAACACCAACACTCAAACTATCAAACAAAGACCATGCCGTTCTTGAACGTCTAGATCAAAGACACGCTGAGTCTCCATAATCAGTCACGTCCAAGCCAATAAAGGATGCCAACCATGTTGAAAGAAAATACGCTCAACTGTTTCCAGGAGCTGTGTCAATTTCATGAATCCATGCTACCTGCTGCTAACGCCCGTTTCCTGATATAGTGCTAATCCTCCCATGTCCCGAATCCTGAACACCAATGCCATAAATCCAATGCTGCGTATCTCGTGGCTGTAGTCGCTTCGTTCAACGTTCAGAGACGCTCTAGCCCCTTGCGATTACGGGGAGCGCGCTGCTGAGGTAGTCAAGCTTGTACCTTCCTGACGACTTCCTCGACCGAGGAGAAGAGGACATGCTCGCGCTCAAGACCAGTAATCTTCTCGGTTGCATCGCTCGAAGAGTTCTCCTTGAGGATCTTGGCCAGCTCGAAAGATTCGTCGTCACCCTCAACGTTCTGGAAGCGTAGACACATCTCGATACCACCAAGGAGAGCATCGTACTTGGCTCCCATCTCGGCAAGATGGGCAGCAGGACCAATGAAACGCTCGTTGCGCGACAGCTTGCGGAGGGGAGCGCGACCAACACGCTCGACGTTGTCCTTGAGGACAGGGTTTGAGATGCGCTTGATGATCTTCTCGACGTATGCATTCTGGTCTTCCTCGGTGATTTCGTGCTTGTTGACGATCAGATGAGCAGTCTCCTTCAGTGTGTTTCGCACAATCTCGTTCAACTCCTTGTCTTGGAGCACATCGTGAATGCATTCCTTGCCACGGTTGTATCCGAAGTAAGCAGCAGTAGCGTGGCCAGTGTTGACGGTGAAGAGCTTGCGCTCGATGAAGGGGCAGAGGTCTTCAACAAAGTGGACGCCCTCGATCTTTGGTGGCTCAGAAGGAAGGAAAGGCTTGCTTTCAACACACCACTCGTAAAACTTCTCAATCTTGACGTTCAAGCCAGCGTTCTCGTCCTGCATGGGAACAATGCGGTCAATGGCGCTGTTGGCGAAGCGAGCCTTGTCCTGGAGGTTCGACTTGGTCGAGTCTGAAAGCTTCTCCTCGATGAACTTGCGAAGGGTGTCGGTGGCTCCAATGGCATTCTCGCAAGCAATGACAGCAACTGGTGAATCCTTCTTGCGGCTCTCAATACCCTTGGCGATGACGGGAGCAATGAACTTGAGAATGTTGGGTCCAACAGCACAGGTGACAATGTCGGCAGTGGCAATCTCCTCGACAACCTTGTCCTCATCGGTCTTGCTGTTGATGGCGCGGTAGTTGTCGATCGTCTTTGACTTGGTCTCCGTTGTGCCGACTTCTGTTACAGTATATGACTTGGTTTGTTGCAGGGAGTTGATAATTGCGTCCATGACATCGACAAAGACGACCTCATATCCGGATTTGTGCAGGAATTCGGCGACGAAGCCTAGCGAGAAGGTTAGCCCTGGTACATCCGTCAAATTCGAGATTTACTTACCACGGCCGATGTTACCACCACCAAAGTGAATTGCCTTCAAGTCGGACATTTTGTTTGTTGATACAGAGAGGAGAGAAGAGGGGCTGAGACCGAATATTAGCTGTATGTTCAGGACTCGATATCTTTTCTAGCGGCTCGAGGACAAAGAAGCAAGACAAAGCTTTGTCCCAAGGAATCATGATGACGATAGCAGTGACCCTCGAGCGCATCAGAGAAAGGTATTGTCTACTAACCTTTGTATAGTTGGGTGGGTTCGTGGTGATATACTTCTGTCCTATAGACAAAAGGTCAGCAATGTGGTGGGGTATTGCGGAGCGAGGGCAGATAGCACGAACCTAACCGATGGTTGGCTCTAGGCGAAGGATAGTATTGAAGGGGAACGAGGATGTTCTTTGGGTATAGAGCGAGATATGAGATGAGAATGACAAAACGAGAGGTCGAGGGATACCTAGTCTATTTAACACTCTGGGTGCAACTGCTTAATGCCTCGTTGCTCCCTAGTTGTCACTGATCAAGCGCCAACCCGCACCTTCCCTTCCTCCCCGCACCATGACGACGTCGCTGCCGCACGTCACTCAAACCTCCACTTCCTGTTTGGCTGACGTTTGAGGCTTTGGGGCTGGAGGGCACGGCCCCGAGGGCGCTTGTCGCTTCGTTCTCAACCCGTAACCATCCAAACTACATCGACGTTTAGCATCTCGGCCTGCTAGCGGACGCTCGTCGGAGAATCACATGCTAACCAGATCGAGCCGCTTGTCACGCCGTGGCTGGCTCCGTGGGCCGATCGTGAGTGACCACCACACTAACATGTGTGCGGCATGGTGTCACGGCAAGATCTGGTACCTCTATCTTACAACGGATTTCACGACATGCGATAATCGAATATGCAAAAGACTCTTGTGTGCTGCTATTATGTATTACTGTACTGCTGCAAGAAAGCGATCAAAGTGTGTTATTAAGAATTTCGTGGGTTGGGTATCGCTGTTGTTCCGTCCTTCCTGCTCCGATCCCGATTGACTGTTCCTGATTATCCGTAAACCCGAGGCCTTAGCAACAGACCTATTTGCCGCAACAATACGCGAATCGACAGGGGAGCGTCAGGTTTTCCCCAACAAGAATAAACGGGTGTCTTTGACTTGTAGTGAATTGTTCCGCGGCCAAAGCTGCTCGGACTGGCGAATGATTGCGACCAGCTTCTTAGGCATGAATGGCCTGCTGAACATGAGGGTATGTCGACACCATCTGGGCGTACAAGTCCGGGTGTTCTGTGATCATTACTTGCGGGTCGAAGGCTGCAGCAACGAATATAGTGTCGATGCCACTGCTAAGCGGGGTTGTGAAGATATTGGCGATCTGTAGGCCAATCAAGAACGCGAACGCAACGACAACGGGTGTATACTCGCCGCCGCTGTTGTACGCAGGCGAGGTGAAGATGAGGTACAGGTAGGCCAAAAGAGCGCACAGGTAAGCGATGGCCGTAGCGCCCTGAGTCAGTACGGGGCCAATGAGGCACTCGTTAACCAAAGCGTCAATACCGCGATCCTTGATTANAACTAGTTGTTGGTCTTGTCAGCCGAGCCCTCGTTCGTATGGATGAGTTACTTACGTCCAAGTGGCCTTGGCGGCGGGGACATAGCCCTTGCCGTACAGCGCGATATAGCTGAAAGCGTATCNTCTGTAGTTTCGTGAGCTGTCTAGAACTTTCGAAATTGCACCTCGGATATCTTTCCCACTTACGTTGATAAATTGGACAGCCCAGTCCAAGATTCCGATAAGGCACTGGAGAACGCAGAGCGCAATGTCGGCAGCGATGTTTCCAGAATTTGCTTCTTGCTGTCGTGCAATACTGCATGCCTGTCTGAGCATGTTGATGATTGCTACCACCAAGCTTCCGAGACTGATACTTCCAAAGCTGTAGGTCAAAGAGCGGCGAGCGGCTCCTCGGGTAATGTTCTTGGGAGGGTTGTGAGAACAGAAGTACCACGAGCCGTAAACTCCAGAAATGATGACATGAATCATGTTCTTAAGGAACTCGGAGATCCAATACATCGCAAACGTGATGAAGACGAGCAGACCAATGACTTTGGCGCTTGAACAGCCACCAGCGCCTGTAGAACAGGCTGGATTGGCGCCTGGTTCGTATTTGACATACACAGCAACGAAAGTGACCGAGAACCAAGCACCTAGCGCAGTTGCGAGGATGCCGCCAACAAGCGAAACGATATAGACGTGCCCGAACTTCTTCGAAACGTCGATGCTAATACATGGTCAGTATCTCCATCGGCAGAATCAGCAATCAGAGAACACATACCTTGTTTGCAGCATGACCACACTGAAAGGAATTCTGGGGATCCACGAGATGAAGCAGACGACGGTGAATATTGAGAAGAGGAGGAAAACAATACCACCCGACCAATACTTTCTCGACAACATGTAAATGGCGGTCGCAAAACCAGCGATGATGTGGATGATACCGGTGATCCAGATAAATTGCTGTCGCATGTCAGTATTCGTTGACACTACAAGTAACGCGTGTTGTTCTGAAATGTGGATGGTGCAGTATCCAATGCAGAACACCATTGCCTGACACCCTGCGAATTCTCGACACGGTGTGTTGGGAGTCGTACCTTNTGTGAATGCGCGGGCTAACCAGATGTAGGCATAACTCAGGACCATTGCCATGGCAAGACAGAAGGCGAAGAGAACAATGGTGTTGGTGTCAAGGCCGAAATCATTGTTGCTGTCGTAGATGCCGCCGCCATTGAAACCCTTGGTCGCAGNCTATAGGTCGATGGTCAGCGCTATTCTCGTCAATTGTTCCAGTCATGCGCAATCCATGATTCGCAAGCGCATACGATCTGACATACCGTAGCCTTGAAGGGAGATTCCAGAGACAACGATGTATCCTGCAAAAACAGCGAGGAAAAGAAGACCAGCCCACCAGTCGTTCCACTTTGGCTTGTCGATCTTGAAGGCCTGCTCAAAGGTAGGCTTGTTGTCGTAGCCATTCATGTCAGGGCGGGGATTGAAGTTCTGGCCATAGTTGGGAGGCGGTTGCGAATAGCCCTGACCATTCTGGTAGGGCTGTTGTTGCTGGTCATTCTGGTAGGGCTGTTGGTACTGGCCATTCTGGTTGTATGCCTGCTGGGGTTGCATAGGATAGTCCTTCTGGCGATCGCCATCCGGCATCTGGTAGTAGCTGTTTGCTTCACCGCCGGCCATGGTGATAGCAAGACTGTGCAAGGTTCGATAGAGAAATGAGTTTGCGCGCAAAGCAAGAAATGCGACCGACAAGAAGTGAATGTTTTTGTCTTCCTGCTAGCTCAGCTCTGCGGGTCAAAGCTTGGTTCGGTGATGACGCGCCCCTTGCAGCCACAAGAACACCAAGGCCGTAAAACAGTAATAGAGATCGTCACAGCAAGGAACGGCTCACAACTGCTGACTCTGCCATAAACATGTAGATATGTACACGCCACGTCTCTGACTTGCTCTCGAGATCTCCTCGCCCATTGGCCTTCTAGAGCACTACGACCTGGTTTTGTGGATTGAGGTCTGGAGCCTGGAAGCTCGAGGCGTTTGCGCCATCATATAAGAATAAGATTAGAGATTAGCTTATATTGGTGAAGGGAGATCTTCATCACGCGCATCTACCAAGCTCCTCTCGACCAGTGCACGAGCATGCTGAGTTCTGAGAGAGGTCGTGTAGACATTTTATGAATAGCTAGGTAGCCTGGATTATGAGTATGTGCCTCTTACAATTCTCGAATCTTACAGGCAACCGTGATGGTAGTGCAGATTGGCGCTTCGGTGCAAAAGGCTGAAAGTATGTACAAATCTAGACTTCGGTGTTTCTTTTCACCCTAGCATCACAATGACAAGCACGCGATAGCCGCACGCTCGAGAATCTTCTCCTTGATAGAACACAATATTCTGGAATAGACAGACATCCAAGCGCGGTGTCACGGACGCCCATATAGTCGGTACAACACCAAGAAAGATGATGCCCAGGGTCATACGCCCGGCAATTCGACTTCGAACCCCAGTGTACGTCATTGCTCTAACCCATACCTACCAAACCTCGGATTATGTGGACGAGTGGTGGCACACTGGTAACAGCTACGGTTATCGTACCCAATAGCCCCATGCTAAGACTTGAGAAAGCTGCCGCTCGAGGATCAGTGGTTAAAAGCAGTGCTGTCGCTACAGCAGACGAGTTGGCGCCCAATGTGATACCACGCGTGATGTAATCATCTGGAAACGAAGTCAGCCAAATGAGAATGCGAGTCCTAGCGGCTCAGACAAGAAAGCCCATACCTTTTGGGATCCTGAGCAGGTCCAGGCCAATTGGACCTACGATGACCCCCGCAATGCCACTGAAGATGCACAGAGGTGCAATGGTAAAAGGATCACCACCCAAATTCTTGGTTGCTGGCGTTGCCAGAGCAAGTGTCAAACTTCGAGATGCAAAAGCAAGACCACGCGGTGCAGTGATCCCGATGTGGTAACAGAATATCGGGTATGCGAACAGCGATCCGATAGAGACAACCACGTTGGGAACGATGATAGTCATGAATCGAGCCTTCAACTCATTCCTGTACCTGTACATAGGGAGACTCAGGGCCACGATCGAAACATCGAGAACGCTGCCAAACACGTCCCCTGCTCCTGGAGGCTTCAGACCTTGGTTGTCGTCCCAGAGCTGCGTGTATTTTGTGTTTGTAGTGTATGAAAGCAATCCATCTCTGAGAGTGTTCTGTCGAATCAACGCGAGAATCCATATGCCAAGGATAGTGAAAGCCGAGGAGACCAAGACAGGATGCAGATACGTCCTGTACGTGGGTGGCAACCGAAGAGCGGCGAAGTAGAAGACAACGTTGAGAGAGAGTTGAGCCGGCATAGCATAGCCTAGGCCGTAGTAAATGGGTATACCCACGAAGAGGAACAGAGCTCCATATGTGAGCATGTCGAAGTTGACACTGACGAAGGCAGCATAGCGCTGAGGGCGGGTTAGAGGCGCAGCATTGTGACGAACAGAAGCAGGAATGATTGAGGAGCTCGTAGCGTTGGTGGCCACAGGGGGTCNCCCGGTGCCAGTCACCGAATTAGGATCCATGGCCTTGGAAGGTGCTTGGATATCGGCAATTCCATTCGGAGGAGAGGGCGTAGATGTCTCGCCCGAGCCAGTCTGAGTTGAAATGGATTGGATGGTAGGCACTTCACTGGCGTTTGAATCATGCCTCGTCTGTGTTAGTGGAATGTTGTCGTCTTGACGCCCAAGTTCTTCAGCACTTTCTGTCATTGCGCGTTTGGATGTGCCGAGAACAAGCTGAAGACCTCGGACCATATATGCTGTAAAAGCAAAAACTACAACATATCCGATGACNNTGCGGGAAGTTAGGAATGAGACAGAAGGATGTGGAGAGCACTGACTGAAGACGGCTATGATTTTCGCAACCTCCACACCACTTATGGAAGGACTGAGAGGCAAGGTGACGAATGCAGGACAGAAGAAGATGTTGATGTATCGTAGAGCGAAGCCGCACTAACAGCGATAAGAACCAAGCACAAAAGATGAATGCGGAACAACACACTCACCGGNGATCTCAATTAAGTTGACTATCCGTTTGGTCTGGCGATCACCGAGGACACCTTGAAGTAGGACCAATATGAGGAATAGAAAAATCATACATGCCACAGAAGCTGGAAATGATACAGAGCTCAGCGAGATGAGAGAATGAACACCAAAACAGACTGCGAGGATACAAGTCACGCCTAGAGGCACATAGAGCCATGCGGCCAGAGTGCGCTCCCAAGACGACTTTGCTACCTCGAACGATAGTTAGCGATTGAGAGAGGTCGATCATTGCGATGCAGTAGATAGCTTACAAGTGTGGCAGCCTGTCCAACATCATTGATAAGAGCAACGAACTGCTTAGTATTCATGATTCAATATTTGAATATCATATCACAGGTGAGGTGCATGTGTTCAAGATGGAAGTTTTAAAGGTCATGGAGCCGATGACTGTAGATACGGCTCTTGCGGTTATGGCGGAGAGCCTCGCGGGTGGATCTTGATTGTCGTGAACAAACAGAAGATTCTTATGATATAGCAAGAAGAGAGTGATCAGAGCATAGTCACTGAATGAATTCCATAGCTTAGAAGGACATAGCTGATATTTATTCAGTAATGCGAGGATCAATTGTAAGACAGAACAAAGATGTCGAGTTGGCCAGATTTGCCTTGAACGGCGGCGTTGGGTGTTGGACCCTTTCACGCACGCAGGGGCCCAATACTCGCAGTGCTGTCTTTAGTACACGCTCTCGCACTCGCACAACGTAACCCCTTGTCTATTTGTTCAAGCATCTGCACGTCAACATGGCCGCGCTTGCTACTAAGACGCAGTCGCAGAAGGTTTTTGAGAAGCTGAAGCAGAAGCAAGCCAACAAGGTAGGCAGCCCGTCACGCAGAGACTCGATGTGAGCCACAATATTGATGCCATCCAGNATCTGCTTCGACTGCGGCGCCAAAAACCCCACCTGGTCGTCGGTCCCCTTTGGCATCTACCTCTGCCTGGACTGCTCGGCCCATCACAGAAACCTCGGTGTCCACATCTCCTTCGTCCGCTCTACCAACCTCGACAGTGCGTAATCCGACTCTCCACATACCCCACCCCACTCGTACTGACACCACATGTCCNNAGTCTGGCAATGGGAGCAGCTCCGCACCTTCAAGGTCGGCGGTAACGAGTCGGCTACTAAATACTTCCAGAGCCATGGTGGCTCTGCCGCTCTGGCCAGCAAGGACCCCAAGACAAAATACACTTCCAACGCCGCCAACAAATACAAGGAGGAGCTGACACGGAGGTGCCAGGCCGATGCTAAGCTGTAAGACTGCCATGTACTATAGCCTGCGCCAGACATTGACGAGTTCCAGNNATACCCTGAGGAGGTCGTCATTACCGACCTGCCCGACGAAGCCGGCGCAAGCGGCACAAGCACCCCTGCCGGCGACGACGACGATTTCTTCTCTTCTTGGGACAAGCCAACCATCAAGCGTCCTAGCAACCCCCCATCTCGTACCGGTACACCAGGCATCAACCGAACCAACTCGCCCTTCCTCAATACCCCAGCCAACGGAGCTGCACGACCAAAGTCGCCCCTGACGGCCGACGCTGCCGACCCTGCACCCACTACCGCTCGTGCCATTCCCGCTTCAGCTGCTCGTAAGACCGCTGTAGGTGGCGCAGCTCCTCGCAAGACCAACATCCTAGGCGCAAAGAAGAAGCTTGGAGCAAAGAAGGTTGACCCAGCAGCTCTCGACTTCGATGCAGCAGAGCGCAAAGCTCGCGAGGAGGCAGAAAGAATCGCAAAATTGGGCTATGACCCTGAGGCTGAAGCAACTCCTGCGGAAGCTCAGATCAGCTCAGCACAACCAGATTCCACCTCGAGCATCGTAAGCCCGCAACCCGTCAGTCCTAGACCAGGTGTTGGCTTTGGCGCAACCGGAAAGGCCAAAGAGAAGGATCAGGGCGAGATGGAGAGACTGGGTATGGGTGTCCGCAAGCTCGGGTTTGGTCAAGTTGGTGGTGGTGCTCCTGCCGCTGCAGCGCCCAAGAAGATGGGCTTTGGATCCACCACGAGAGCAACACAGGGTAAGAAACTACATAATCTGATCTGCTCATCGAAGCTAATGCCATGTCCTNNAGATGAGTCAGAGAAGTACGCTCGCCAGAAGTTTGGAACCCAGAAGGGTATCTCGTCAGACGAGTTCTTCGGAAGAGGCACATTCGACTCGAACGCCCAGCAAGAAGCCAAGTCTCGTCTGCAAGGTTTCGAGGGCGCTCAGTCCATTTCTTCCAACGCATACTTTGGACGACCCGAGGATGAGATGCCCGAGGGTGAGTACGGAGACATTGAGACGGCAGCCAAAGACTTTGTACGCAAGCTTGGAATTACTGCAGGAGACGATCTTGAGAACCTCACCAGTCTTTTGGGAGAAGGAACCAACAAATTGCAAGGTACGATATATGATCTTGACGGGTTGATCGAGCAGTGGCTAACAGAAGCGACAGGTGCTATCAGAAACTACCTCAACGGATAGATTGAATGAGATCCTGTGGAAGATATGGACGGGAGTCGATACGTGTAGAATCAGCCATCAAATTAGCACTAGTTGTTGAGCAGACAAGAATGAAAGCGAGGATATTAGATTTAATTATCTTGTCTTGGGTGCAAACAAAAGCTGGCCGTCGGTAGAGTGAGAGCCGAGGCGGCATGGAGAAAGGGTCCAAGCGGCCCCAGTTGCGTCATGTATTTTTTCCAGAAAAGTGCAGTGATCTGTTCTGGTCTTCGCGGCGCGACCACCGAGTGGACATGGCGATCACGACCGACCAGCCATGCACCTGACCTCGCCAACGACGTGTATACACTTTTCGACTTTTTGACCAACGACCTGCATCATGCCGCCCAAAGGATCGCGCGTCGTGCACCACGACAACGACTCGAGGTCGGACGGCTCGAGTTCCAAGACCAACCACAACGCCGCGAAGAACAAGCGCCCGAATGGCACAAGCAACCTGCGTGATGCGAAGGGCGTGAACGACGCAACCGCAGCACAGAATGCCTCGTCTAGCAATGGAGTGAGTGTCTGCGTTAGCCTCAAGCACCGTGTCGCAAGTTCAGAGACTGATCTCAAGGCACAGTTCACATGGGCCCAGGAAGACCTGTCTCTCCTGCAGCAATACCGCGCCGCACATCGCATGGACACGCCTTCGGCATTCAACTCGATCCGTAACCAATTCCTACTTTCCAACCCGGGCATTGGCAGACAGTCGCCGACCATGGCCAGGCGCAAAGCAAAGAGGAAGGTGCCCAAGGAACAACTCGCCATGGCAGTGAGGAAAAACTTCAACGACGCGGCCGTCAACGAGATTGACGTTATGGTCGATCTGCTGTACAAAGTGCGCAACCAGGGTATGTCGTCCTGCAACGTTGCTGCCTCCTTGTCCCAAGTGCTGACGCGAAGGCTCCTTNNAGACAAAGCGTTCCGACTTCGATCGGCACCTAACAAAAGCAACAAGTAAAGAAGGGCATCACGGGCCAGACAGCATATGGGAGAAACTCGGCGTCCTTTGGGTATACCACATGACAGATTGAACGGACATGGCCAGGCGGCATCATCATCATCATCATCACCATGCGGAGTTCTGGCGTTTTCTTTGTTAAAGGTCGAGCGACAGGTGAGGGACGAGATAGACAAAGGACAGTAGGCATTGGGTGCATCATCTTCACCAACACGCAGTAATCAAACATCAGTTTTAACACATGTTTGCAAACGAAAACACAGGCCATCAGGGTTCCCCGGCGGTGAATTCTGTCAAGCATCTCGAAGGTTCGGCGAGCATCGGCATCGAGCGCTGACCGCACGCCAAGCCGACGACATATGCCTCCCGCCGCAGTGCCAAAAGTTTCCCTGCGTCCACCATCTTTCAAGTAGGCCAGCAATTGTGATACTCGACCTGTCGCTGTCAGCTTCTGCACTCCTCGCTGCAAGATCAACACTTCCACGCACGAATCAGCATAATCGTCATGAGTTTGGCCGCTCCAGGCTTGCTCCCAAAGGCGGCCACTCCGCTCCGCATCCTCGCCGCATCGAGGCCGACCTGTCAAATCCATTCCGAACGCTCCCAGTCGACCCTCCATTCTAGACGTCTACACACGGCTCCATCGACCAGGTCTGCCCGTCAAGCGCCCCGCCAACCTGCTCAAGCTAGGGTGAGTGCAACCATACTTCTACTGCTGAACTTTCCTTTTGCTAACTTTCCTCGATCTGCANNGACATTCCATGCCACCGCTCCGACACTGGCCAAGGACCCATATGCTACCCTTGGCGTGAACAAATCCTCCTCTACCGGTGAAATAAAAAAGGCCTACTATGGACTGGCCAAGAAATACCATCCCGACACCAACAAGGACGCCGGTGCTAAGGAAAAGTTCGCCGAAGCCCAGGCCGCATACGAGACTCTGTCAGACCCAAAGAAGAAGGAGGCATACGACACCTACGGCTCTGCCGCTTTCGACCAGAATGGAGGCTTCAATCCCGGTGCCGGCGCCGGCGGCAATCCCTTCGCAGGTGGCGGCTTTGGTGGATTTGGAGGCTTTGGTGGTGGCAGCGCTGGAGGCGCTCAAGGCTTCGGCGACATCAACTTCGAGGACCTTTTCAGCGCATTCGGTGGAGGCAGCGCGCGAAGAGGCCGTGGAAGAGCCTCGCCATTCCAGGAAGAGATGTTGGTCGGAGAGAACATTGAAGTTCAAACCAACATCTCCTTCCTTGACGCTGCCAAGGGTATCACCAAGGACATCCACATCAACCCGTTGGTCAAGTGCAAGACATGCGAAGGAAACGGCTTGAAGAAGGGCCAATCGAGATCGACGTGTAAGAGTTGTGATGGCTCTGGTACACGGGTACACTTCATGCAGGGCGGCTTCCAGATGGCGAGCACCTGTGGTGCATGTGGAGGCCAAGGCCAGACCATTCCCAAGAACGGTGCTTGCGGCAGCTGTAAGGGAGAGGGTGCACTTCGCGAGAAGAGAACAGTATCGATCGACATTCCTGGAGGTATCGAGGATGGCATGAGAATGCGTGTGTCACAAGAAGGAGACTACCCACCGACAGGCCAGGCGGCCAATCCCAAGGCACGAACAGCAAATGGCGATCTCTACGTCTTCGTGCGAGTTGCACCCGATCCAAAGTTCAGTCGCAATGGATCAGATGTTCTCTACACAGCATCGATACCGCTCACAACAGCCATCCTCGGAGGAGAGATTCCTATTCCCACATTGGACGGCGAGGTCAAGGTCAAGGTTGCGACAGGCACAGCAACTGGTGACCGCATCACATTGTCTGGAATGGGCATGAGAAAATTGAACAGCCGACGTGGCAACAATGGAGACCTGCGGGTGGAGTACAAGGTGCAGATGCCCAAGTATCTCAGCGTCAACCAGAGGACGATTGTCGAGATGCTCGCCGACGAGATGGGAGACAAGACAGCCAAGCGAGTGATGAACCTCGGAAAGATGGCAGAGGATGCCAAGAAAGATGCGACAATGAGCGAAGAAGACTTGCACAAGAACGAAGGGTTCATCAAGTCTGCATGGCACAGACTCACACACCAGCATGACCACCTGAAAGAGAAGGAGGAAGTCAGCAAGCAAGAAGAGGAAGACAAGAAAAAGCCAGGATCGAGCTGAAGAGGACGAGGAGACGATGTCTAAGAGAATTGTACATTTATGTATATCATAGCGAGCTGTTGGAGCATTTGAGCAGAGGGTGGATTTGAAGTGGGCGGCAGGCACATTGTACTTGGACTGGTTCATGTAACAACAGTGAGGTTGATTAGAGAAGACAATGATAGACTCTCCTCTCGATAGATGTGATGTGCAATGCTTAATTGTGCAATAGTGTAGTGGGATATATGAGTGTTATAGATTGGTGTTTCAAGTGGATGGCGTGGATGCGGGACGATGACGATTGGGCACTGGCGTTCGTGATTGATTAGCTTTAGCCATCTAGCTGCATCTCTTGCACACTCACACTCTCTCGAGTAACTTATCCTAGACGATTGCGCGTTCTGGCCTTTGTCGACTACACATTGAAGCCTCGAGTCTCAAGAAGGCCTGGAATCAAGATCGAACAGCAGCCGACGGCATCAGCAACCACAGCGGCAAGCGCGATCGACCCCACCCGCGTGGCCATGGTATAGCGGCCGCCTAGACATACAACAACGACAAGATGATGCAGACTCCGATGCTGTCATGCCCGCTCAAGGCAACCAACGAGATCGACTGGATCGCGCCGCTCAAGCAGTACATCCGCACCACGTACGGCGACGACCCGGAACGCTATGCCGACGAATGCGCCGCCCTCAACCGCCTGCGCCAGGACATGCGAGGCGCCGGCAAGGACTCGGCCGCCGGTAGAGACCTGCTCTACCGCTACTACGGCCAGCTGGAGCTGCTGGACCTGCGCTTCCCTGTCGACGAGAACCACATCAAGATCTCCTTTACCTGGTCCGTCTTGTCCTCCGTCCCCCACCTGCCGCCCGCTCTGCTGACCCCTTGACCTCATCAGNNGTTCGATGCCTTTACCCACAAGCCCACATCGCAGTACTCGCTTGCCTACGAGAAGGCTTCCATCATCTTCAACATCTCGGCTGTCCTCTCCTGCCATGCCGCCCACCAGGACCGCAACCAGGAGACAATGCTCAAGGTTGCCTACCACTCGTTCCAGGCTTCGGCCGGCATGTTCACCTACATCAACGAGAACTTCCTACACGCCCCCTCCACCGATCTGAGCAGAGATACAGTCAAGACCCTCATCGCCGTCATGCTGGCCCAGGGTCAGGAGGTCTTTCTCGAAAAGCAAATAGCCGATGGCAAGAAGGTCGGCCTCATGGCCAAACTAGCCAGCCAGGCTGCATACTTGTACACCCAGGCCCTCGAAGGCGTGCAGGACAATGTCGCCAAGGCCATCTTCGAGCGTGTCTGGCTGCTCCTTGTGCAGTTCAAGACGCACTACATGACCTCTCTGGCCCACTACTACCAGGCCCTCGCCGATGACGACGCCAATTCTCACGGTATTGCCATTTCTCGCCTGGAGATTGCCATGACGCTCGCCCGCGAAGCCGCAAAAGTCGCAAACTCGTTCCCCTCGTCTATTCCTGCTACTTCGAACTTGGCTGGAGACACCGCTTCCATCCTCACAAACATGGCAAAGACTCATCTGACTGCATGCGACGAGAAGCTGCAGCAATTCAACAAGGACAATGACTTCATCTACCATCAAACCACTCCCCCAGAGGCCGCTCTCCCTGCCATTCCCAAGCTACCTGCTGCTAAGCCTATTCCGGTAAGCGAGCTCTACCAAGGTCAAGACATCCACCGTATAGTTGGACCCGACATCTTCCAAAAGATTGTTCCTATGGCAGTCACAGAATCTGCCAGCATGTACGACGAGGAGAAGGCCAAGCTCGTACGTGCAGAGAGCGAGCGTGTCGAGATTGCCAATGACGAAATGGCCGCTTCACTGGACTACCTCAAGTTGCCCAACAGTCTGAACATCCTCAAGGGAGGTCTAGACCAAGACATGGCCGTCGACTCTGACTTCCGCAAATGGTGTGAGGACTTTGTTGGCCATGCTCCGTTTGCCCAAGATTTTGAGCAGCTCAACTCTAGCAAATCTAGCATTCATGGCATTCTCGACCAATGTCAGAAGAGCTTGGACATGGAAGAGAGTGTTTGCGAGAAGATGAGAAACAAGTATGGTGCTGAATGGACCCAACAACCAAGCTCGCGCCTTACTTCGACACTTCGCAGCGACATTCGAAACTACCGCGGTGCTGTCGAGGAGGCGAGCATGAGCGATGTACAGCTCTATAGCACTCTCAGACAGCACGAATCGGACATGGAGGAGATGCGCTCTGCAGGTGAGACTGATGAGGCCGACGTACTCTATCAACGGGCTATGATCAAGGTTGGTGCTGCAAGAAAGACGGGTGGGAAGAGTCCAGCAGCAGAAGGTAGTCTAATTGATGACATCGATGATGATGAAAAGGCGAGCGTAACCGAACAGATTGCTGCTGTTGAAGATTTGCTCAAGAAGTTGACTCTGATCAAGAGAGAGCGCGAGAAGGTGCTCAAGGACTTGAAAGAAAAGGTTTGTGCAGTTTAAAGACCCACCACTTCGAATCCGCGCTAACCTGAACACAGATCNCATAACGATGACATTTCAAGCGTCTTGATTNNTTTGAACAAGAAGGCCATGTCACAGGAGAATCAGTTGTTCAAGACCGAGCTTGAGAAGTTCCGACCACATCAACAGCGATTACTACAAGCCCAACACAAGCAGCATAGCTTGATGAAGGAGCTCACTCGGACTTACAGTGATCTGTTGTCGGACAAGCGCGTTCGCCAAGAGCAAAACAAGTACGAAGCCTTCTCACGTCAACGTGGAACCGTCATGTCGAAGTACAAGAAAGTGCATCAAGCACTCATGGACTTGCAAGCAGGTCTTGAGCGCGCCAAGAACTTCTATTCCGAGATGAAAGATACCGTCGACAGCCTGTATAAGAACGTCGAAGGCTTTGTCGGCAACCGCAAAGCAGAGGGCAGTCAACTGCTCAACCAGATCGAAAGTGGAAAGACTTCGTCGGGAGCTAGCGGCGCAGACCGAGAGCAGCAGCGTCTCAAGGAGATGATGGACCGCATGTCAATGAACCCTTCATCCTCGCCACATCAACAGCAGCAACCGCAACCACCTTCAAGACCCTTGCATCCGCAGCAACAGCATTCATACAACAATTACAACCCTGCAGCCTCACCACCAGTGACGCCAGGCTACGGCATGCAACCCACACCATCGCCCTACATGCACCAGCAGAACTATGCTCAACAACCCCAACACCAGCAACCCCAACAACAGCCAAACTACCAACAGCATCAGCAACCCCAGCAACCTCAAGGCTACAGCTACAACCCCACCTCCTACGGCATGCCCACCTCCTACGGCATGCCCACCTCCCCACCCGCCGCCCAGAACCAATACTTTTCGCCCCCGCCAAACCAGAGTCAAGGGCACAATCAATACGGTCAGATGGGCCAGCAACAGCAGAATATGCTGCCTCATGGTTATGTGCCACCGCCTCCGCCACCCGGTCCCCCGCCGCATCAGCAGCAACAGCAACATCAGCAGCAGCAGGGGTATGGTCAACAGCCTCAACAGGGTTATGGTCAGCAGCAGCAGCAACAGCAGCAGCAGGGGCAAGCCGATCCTTGGGCTGGACTTGGTGCTTGGAAGTAGAGAATCGCTGTATTGAAAAGTAGTGACGTGCAGTACATCAAGGTTAAAGGCTCGGCTGAAAAGTGTCGAGAGCATATTGCGTTATGTACATCCTGAAAATGGTCAATATCAAAATCATCCTTTTCGAGGTTCTTCAATCAGAGTATTATATGAAATTTTTGCAGGAGCGATTCAAGGAAAGATCTATCGATGCTGATTGATGTGGATGCAGGATCCAAACAGAGGGTCGAGCAAGTGTGATTCGAATTGAAACGCTGCTTTCCATTCTATCAAATGTCATGACTATTGTAATACAGTAAAAATATCCCTGTATGGTAGGAAATATATATTTCAAATGAATCGTGTCAAAGAAGCCCACTTATACAAGCTCAAAATCCATCTCCATCTGCAGCACCATTGGCTTGGGCATGGTCTTTCGATGATTGTTGAGTTCGCCATCCATCATGCCATGAACATAGCACTCACCCAACATACGATACAACTTTGCATCGCCTCTGTGCTCTGTCTGGTGCCTGTGCAACACAACGGGTACATTGCAACCATACAGCAACGCTATCAAATCTCCCGGCTGAGTGTTCTTGGGTACCAGACACAAAGTCACCACTCCAGTGTGTTTTAGTGTGATTCGCGCTAGACGTCTGTTCCACACCACCTCTTGCACTCGGTGCAGGAATTCTCGGACCGAAGAGGCGGGGTTGCCGCTGAGTACGAGAGAGGTCTCTAGATCGTCGTCTTTGGGTGCTTCTTGGAAGGCTTCGGAGCAGGCTCGTCGCCAGTAGAGCGGAGGCTTTCTGCCGTGTGTGTTTCTGTTGGCGACCAGAGTGCGCCAGAATGGGTCTGGAGGGTGGTTCTGCTCGGGCGGCATGGTTTCGTGCCATTGGGCTGCGTCGCGCCAGTCTGCTGGTATGGTGCCCGAGGTGGCATTTGATTTTAGCTCTGTGGGTTCGATGGTATGCAGGATTAAGCCTTTGATGAGGAGGCTTCTTTCCCGTAGTGGGTCACCGTGGAAGAATTCGTACTTCTTGTAGACGGTGAGATTGTGTGAGGCTTTGTACGGTGGACCGTTGGAGTCGAATCTACCCAGCAGAGGGTTTGCGTTGACGCGTTGGTACTTGCCTCTACGATTTGGCTTGAATGCAATTCTGTTGGTCAGCCTTGGGATCCAAGAGGGAAACGCTTTGTCATGCGGGTCATCTGGCGCCCAGGGCCGACATAAGATATCCAGTGTAGCTTCAGGTCTAGACATTGCAAATTCGAGCACCTCGCGGCAAACCTCGAAGATGGATTTGCTGTAGTCGAGGTAGATCCTGCGTTGCTGGAAGTTGTTGCTAAGTCGCGCGACAATCTGTTCTTTGTCTACTGGGCTTCTGGCATCCGAGAGGGTTCGCCTACGTCCGTGGCTCATGAAGGCGGCCGCTGCGTTGATGGGCTGCAAGCTGTCGACGATACCATTGTTTCCGTTCTGATGCGGGTGCTGAGTTGAAATGTGCTGAGTTGCCGTGTGCTGTTGTGTGTTCGAATGGTCAGNGAAGGGCGATGTCGCCGAGCTTCTATCAGCTGGCGGTGAAGAGCAGTAAGGAGCGTCCGCGATCATCGTTACTGTTTGTGCATTGTTATCTCGAAGAAAGTGCTGACCTGCACCTTCTGTGTTTGTACCAGCGCCACTGATTTGGATTGACGGGATATCTTTATCCTCACCCTTTCTTCTTTTGAAGATGTTGTCGCCGTTGGCGCTTTGATGGCCATCTGTCAGGGATCTCTTGAGCTGAGCGTCTATCGACAATTGATCAGAAACGACAGGAGCGATCGCAGGTGATGGAGGCGAGCTCTGATCGCGCCGTAGTCCCGCAACACCAACTGCGTCGTTTGAAAGCCATAGGATTGCATAGACTATGTCATGAGCAACCGAAGCTTCAAAAGCAGACATTGTCGACACTAGTGCCTCGAGCGAGAAGTTTTTGTCGCGGATCTTGTTATCTTCAGTCTTGTGGAAGAGGTCGTCCGTCAACTCAACCAAACGGATTGCTCCTAGCTCAGAAATGTCACCCAGGTAATCGGCGTGATTGTGAAATTCAGGCGACTTTTTGACNNAAAGCGCCTTCATCTCGAACAGTCTGGTCGACAGCTGCGAGATGACATCTGCAAATTCGTGCCACAGCAACACTTTTTCGCCGCAATGAAGTGTTGCTTTTTTGGCCACTGCGATTTCTTGAACAATCCACCNTTTGACAACCTGGTCAGCAATGGGTCCATTGACGTGTGCAGAATTGGGTGTTCCGAACCTTCGACTAAACCAAGGCCTCTTCATCAAGGAAACCAAAGCTTTGATATCCTTGGACACGTGTGGATCGCGCATAGCTCTGTCGAACTCATCGCTGGCAAGACAGTTTCCCACAAACTTGAAAGCGAGTTCAGAGTCTTCATCCTTGGGCCCTAGCCAAACACGAACATGCGTTGCCGAGTTGAAAATGATCGACATATGCGAAATCTGTAGACTCTTCTCCTCTTGATTCTTCTGATCGATACACAAGGCGTCAATCCATAATTTCCGTTTCTTGAATCTAGGTGCTCGCAGTGCTCGTAATGCGGAAGCCAGGTTGTTTGTGATGCTGACCGTGCCTCGATCGTGTATGTTGACCACCGGGTCATCGTCCGTGACCGATCCCCAAGTATAGGACAAAGCCTCGTAGTCGCCTGGGTCAGCAGCATCGATGACCACGGAGCTGGTGGTGGGTTTCTTCAAGCGACACGTCACGATATCGCCTTCGAGTTCACTGTCCGGCGAGCCTGGGTAAAGGATGAACAAGCGAAAAGCGCGTTCTCTATAAGGTTCTTGTGAGAGATTGTCGAAGCAGTACGCTATTTCTGGGACCGGGATAGGGGCCATCATTGATGAGTAAACCAATGGTCCTGGTCCGTTCGGTGCGACGTCAGCATCTTAAGATGTTGTCCTGAGGACCCCGGGGAGTTTATCAGGGCAGAGGCTGAGTTTGTAAGAAGTTTAATCAGGCGTCCTGATCCTTCCACTGTTCGGAGTGGGCGAGGTCGTTGAGCATAAGCACAAGTGCGGAGAATCAGCCAATATCGATTGACGAAGCTGAGCCGTCCATACTGTACGATTGAGCCCTGATGAATTCCACTCCCCACAGAGCGCTTGAGCATCCATACCAAGAAGGAGAGTGTTTTTTACTAGCATACTTGCTTCGCGTAGGGAGAAACTGCCAGAACTCTCCCATGAACATGATTCGACGTGTAGAAGATGATACGCACTCTGGTGGCATTTTGCGAGACTCGGCTCTTGTGGGACCGTGGCCCTCGTTTTATTGATTGGAGCTTCATCCTGATTGGTTATTGCGTGCTGATTGTATATTACCTTGCATACAAGGCGTTTTTGTGGGGGCGGTATGAAGAAGCCTCGCTCCGCCACGCCAACAAGTCCACATGTTCATGCATCCAGGCAGGTCGGATTGTCCGAATGTGTCTCGTATATGTAATCAAGCCATTTCCTCCTCAGGCGGCCAGTCTGGTCGTAACTGCGCCATCTGTCAGTTGTTCTCCGCCACCAACTAAGCAAGGGCTGTGTAGAATGCTTCGAGAGCTCATAAGCAAGATGTATATTCCACAAAAGGTTGGTTATTTGACATTCAGGTCCAAAGCACAATAATTGAAACTCCCCTTCAGCGAGAAACATCAATCATCAAGGAGCATTGGAACATGCCTCACGTCACCCTTGATGCCGCTGGAATTGTTGCGCTTGCCGACTTGGACATCATTGCTCGGCGCACCGCGTTGTCCGGTACCTCGCGGTTTGCAGATGCTCTCGTCCTCTGCCCAGGTCTTCACACACAACAATCAGCCAGCAACTTGAATCGTGGGGAGTTTCCGGCATGCGCTGCGATGACGACTGGTTACGCCTTTCGAGTCGAGAATCCAGCCACAGTGGCCTTTCTCCAAAACGTAGGACGGACGGGACAGTTGACCAATGTCAAAGTCGAGTACGCCAAAAGCCACTGTGAGGAATGGAAGACCATCAAGATATTCTGCAGAACTTTTCCATACGCCTTCTGCTGCGTCCTCACGATCTCCGCTCTCATCGTGTTTGCGTTGATCCGAGACCGGTGGGCCGTTACGTCCATCAGTATCTTGATGTTCGCACGACTATGCAACGTTCTTGTTGTCAAGAAAAGGGTCGAAAGGGCGGGCGAGTGGAAGGGTGCTAGCGAACCAGGCGTACAGGGCGATTTGCTTGTGCTTATGAGTCAGGACCGCTGGATTCGCATCACCGGTGCCGTCGATGATCTCAAGGCAGTGACATCTGGACAGTGGCTGGCTGAAATGACACCGCTGGAAAACGCGGTGTCGGCACTAGCGACGGTGATGGTGTATCTGGATGCTGCATTGACGAGCAATGCCACCCAACTAGGGAAGATCTTGCTTCTGGTCCTCCTGATAGGCTCTGCTGGCTTCTTGGCCATAGCCAATGAGCAGACTGAAGCTCTGCATATGCATGGTCGTGTACTTCAAGTTCAGACACAGCGAAAGGCCTACGATCGAAGACTGTCCATGGCAAAGGAACTGATACAAGCTTCGGGTAGATCCGACTGGGCTCTGAAACTTGGCTTGGTGAACGAAAAGGACTGCGATGAGAAGTGTGCCAGCGAGAACTCCTCGGTGATCATGTGAAGGAAACAAAGCCATATCAGATCATGATAGATGACACTTACGGCAAGCTTAAGGGCTCCTCAACCGATGACCTCTTACATGAAGAATTGCCTGAGAATATCAGTTCGAAGAATAATGTCTGAGCCCAAAAATCCTGCTTCGAGTTCAGTGTCCGACGCCCACGCCCAGTGAAGAAGTTGTGTGGTGCGTAGAACGGTACCAGGACCCGATCTCGGAGCGCACGACACAATAGCATTGCTGAACGCTGTTTGGTCAGCAGGCGTGACAGCACCTGTACCAAGCAAGAAGATCGGCCACAAAAGAAGCGCAGATGCACCCTGAAGAAGATCCATCTGTTGGAAGACCTTGTGGCTTTGCCGAGATATGACAACAAGATCCGGATCGAAAGGCCCAGTCGACGGGTTCAATAGCTTGTGTGAGAGGAACAGACAGCCATAGTACCAAGCCTTTGCTGAAAGCAGATTCTTCATCATAAAAGTGTCGGCTGTACCGGAATCGACGTCGAACAAATCTTCTGGAGCCTCGACAGGTGCTCGCCAATTCATGATCCTGGTTGAGAGAGAAATTGCATCGATCAAATCTTTGCCTTGGAGAGGCAGCCTATCCCTCAACCAACACAGCTTGAAGGCCATGTCAAATAGTGGAGCGCACATACCCACCCAGGGGCACTTTCTCCATTGTCTGACCATATCTTGTCGAGGACTTCCTGGGAGACACAGTGTTTCGAACAGCCGCTCGATATAGTCGTAAGGCAGCGAAGGGAAAGGCTGGAAGAGTCGATTGTGCACTGTGCGGAACGAATACGCCTCGAGTAGGAGGACTTGGTGCATCGATGAAGGTGCTCTATTCATCATGCTTACCCGAACCAGGTTGTGGGCACCGCTCAGATGGGCGACTCGCATACTAGCAGGCTCGTCGGTCCTTGGGCTCATCGANNCTGTTTGACCATGAGTTAGCTTGGAGGTTGTACACTCTAAAAGAGAAGCTCTTGCCTCGAAAGTATGTAACAGAAGTGTCGCAGCCACCTTCCATTCCGGAGCAGTCAGGCCAGTCTCGGTCAGAGCAGTAGCAAGCCCCTTGACTGCTTGTTGATAGTGTACAAGAGCCTTCTGGATACCTCCTGGTTGTGCCCTTGTTACAAATGCAGTACCGCATGATAGCCAGGCATGCATAAGTGATGAGTTCTGTAGACACAACGGCAGACAGAGTTGAGATGCTGGTTGATCAAGACTGCCATTGTCTGGGGAAATGATGGCCTTGTCGAATGCAGTCGTGATTTGAATAAGTTGACTAGATGTTAATTTCCTGGTTTCGTTAGTCAAAGTAATTCATTACCACGAGATGTCGATATAAGGTTCATACGGTGATACTGTCTTTACTCCGCTAGGAAGGCTGACAGTGATACAATTCTCTATGCTGTTCTGTGGTGAGGGTGGTTTCTCCCACACACGTCCCATAGTGTTCGGAGATATTATGCCGTGGTTGCTCCTTCCCTTCTCGCGAAGTACCACTGTAGTTTGGGACGAAGATCCAGGGTTTGCTGACAGCCGGATTGGATCTCTACCAGCATCGAGGTCAAGATGCGGTTGATATCTGCCGCCATCTTCGGAGGCTAGCGACGCTGCGTGTGCAGGCCATTCGCAGACAACAGATCCAATGCTCTTCCGGCAGCGCACACAAACAGGCTTCGCAAGATCACACCTCTTCTTCTTTCGCCGACCTGATATTAATGCTGTCAGTCGGAGAGGTCATTACCGGCACGTCTGTATAGAAGCCCCGCAATATAGAAACTGATCCGAACAGGCCCGTCGCATTGTGTAACAGGAATAGGGACACGTACATGGTAGACAACCCTGATCTGTACGTGTTCGCTTGGGCTTGACGTCCGCTGCGACCAATCCGCCGGAAGACAGCTCGAAATTAGCAAACATGACACGCTTTTAGCAGTTCAGAACGGGCGCATCGCGGAGTGTGGTTCGCCATCCGAATCTGTGGGAGCGGCTCGCTCAAACTGGACAAGTGCCAAGCCCCTGCCCTTTTCAGAAGACTGGACATATATTGAACATCAGTACGTTGCTGATCAACCACGGCATTGCTTTTGGCAGAACAACCCAGGTTTGATGTACATTCTTTGAGATGAGCAAGAAACTTGGCCAGGAAATTAAGAGTCAAACATGAACTCAAATCAGAGAGTACGATGATGAGGAAGTTTAAAGATTCCATTAACCGTATTTAAAAGAATAATCACATAAAATCTAGTGGCAAGTCGGCCTCTAGCATCGAGATTCGTTTGCCTTGTTTTCATTGCTAGCATACTTCTTGGACACCTTCCCCATAGGTTTTGCTGGAATTAAGGTGTATATGTGGAAACGAACGGATTTTCCCTGTTGATGCACCTAGAAAAGATACTATGAAAAAGCGAGATATGGTGTTTTGCAAATGTCTCTCTACAGCAGGTCATCAATACCACGCTCGGAGTCCTTCTTAATAAGATCGATCATGCNCCTAATATTATATCAGCATCTAACGAGGTCATGTGAAAAGAACAATTTACGTACGTCGGGGAAGATGGGGTTACCATCCTTGTCAAGCACATAGCGGAAAGGCATCTCAGTGCTCTCATGCTCGTCGACCTTGATCTCCGGGTGATCAACGTATTTGATATTCTCCAGCTCGATGCGATCTTGGACCACAATTCTGGTGGTGCGCACTGCTGTATCGGTAGTCATCTGGACTGGTCCCAAACGGCGTCCCTGGTAACCCTTCTTTCGAAGCTCCGAAGTGCGGTNCTATCAACGCATTAGCCATGACCGTCAAAACATGAATTTCGAAAAGGTACCTCTAGGTGGGTCGTCTCCAAGGATACCACCGAAGAGGAAGATGTCAAAGTTGTCGCCATCCTCGGGACTAAGTTCCTTTGTTGCGGCGGGATCGAGCAAGCAGACGCGGTCCTTCTTGTCCGCGTAGATCTCCTCAATACCACGGTGCTCGACATTCAATTCAGAGACATTCTTGAGAGATTCGGGTAGTTGGAGCTCGTGAGGAACAGATGTGAGGTAGAAGGCGGATCCTGAGGCTGCGGTTTCTCTGGCGATGCACTTGTATTCGAGAGCCGACCATTGCTCGAGCTCAGGATCGAGATGCTCGACGATGAAAGTCTTGTTACCAGACATTTTCTGTGCTTTATTAGAATGGTCATGTTCATGCCCAGACTTGAGACTTACTGCAGACTTACGATCTGTTACTTGGAGTTTGCTTCTAGGTTTTTGGTTTACCAAGACTCGAGGTTCAGGAGATCTCTATGTTGATGTAAGAACGCAGGATAAGAGGTTTGGTTGTGGGATGAGAATTGAATGCGGTGGTTGCTCTCGTGGATTTTTCCAAAACTTTTGATTCGAAGCCGAGACTGACGTGGATTTTGCGGAGAGCAACAAGCATCGTGGGGAAGTAGCGAAGAGACGCCAGCGGTCTGTTATTTGACGTGACAGATGAACATCAACCAATCACTTGGGTGATCGACCAGACGTGCGTTGAATAGCTAGAGCTCTGATGCTCTTTATTCTACTCTTAGCGTTACAGCATGCAGCTGCATCAAGCCTCAGATGCTCCGGATCAATGAGCAAAGAAAGGAAAGCACCAGAGAAGCACAAAACGCAATGAATTTCTTCACAAGCAAACGAGAATCGTCTTGCAATCTCTGCAACGGATCAAGGGCATGTTGCATGCCTTGAAACAAGCTAGAGAGCCAAGTCTAGGATGAAGGCTGCGTGACTGCGAGCAAAGACGGCAACGATCAGAGCTGAAGGCTAAAACCTCAGTGAGAGCTAGGCAAACGTTGTAGAAAGGGACAGAAGACGGTGACACCAAGCTTGGAAGCTCTTCGTACGTACCGTACCCCTCTTTCAACCACGCTGCTGTCATCAGAAATACCAACAAAACCTCGTGCTTTCGATCTCTGAACATTAGTAGACAAAGCAGCAAGTCAATTGCGCGCCAAGCACGATCTCCCAAGCTTCGAGCAAACGCGAAACGCACGCAAGCAAGGGCATCAGCAGCAGAACGTGCGTCACAGTGTGCTTCGTCATACGTTTCACACGACCGCCTTTTGACCGAGCAGCAATTGACACTTGGGCAGCAGCGAGCATCCAAGAAACAGCGACAGCACTGCGAACAGCGAAAGCGGCCTCCCGTCGTATCAGATCTCTTTGTCCCGGAGCCGAACAAGGTACCCCAGCTTTCGTAAGAGCCGGGCTTAGTCAAGCGACGACATCACCCTGGTGAACAAAGCCCAAAGCTATCTATCCACCCACGCCCTGGCCCAGGAGTCTCGACTTCTTTGGCCTGCTCCCCGACCGCACTTTTCTCCCTCACGACACCACTTTGCGCACAACCAGAAACGCTGCTTCAATTCTTCCTGGCGAAGACCCGCGCTCCTCCTATCCACCCACCATCGCAAAGCAAAAGGTCGACCGCTTTGCGACCAGCCCCCATCATGAACCCCCACCAGAAGAACAAGGTCGACATCAACGTGAGATCTCCGTCCGCTGCCGTATGCTCCTCTCGACTCATCATATCCCCACAGGCCATGTCACCCGACGAGCAGCGTCTGTTCCGCATGTACGGCAAGCTGCCCGACAAGAAGAACTTGCTGCAGAACAAGCTCAAGGTATACATCCAGTCTTCCCCTCCTACAAACCACCCATCACTCACTCGCAACCCCACANNGGGCCAAGAGCGCAAATACTTTGACAGCGGCGACTACGCCCTCAGCAAGGCCGGCAAAGCAGGCGACGTGGGCGTCACCAGCATCGGCGTCGAACACCCCTCACCAGACACCATCCCCCACCTCTCGTCGTCACCGAACACACAGACCCCTGGCAACCCTAACGGCAACCCGGGCCTCAACCTGCAGCCCACCCAGAGCCACCAGTCGTACGTCTCGGGCAGCCCGGTCAAGGAAAGCAGTATCCTGCAGAGAGGCATGAGTGTCGACGACCAAGACGGCGACGTCAAGAGCGCCATGGAGAAGCGTGCCCAGGCTGCTTCGTCTGGCCTTTCGCCTTCGTCTGAAAGCGATGCCGTGCCCATCCGTCAATAGGAAACATCCACTTTTGCTTTTGAACCAGGCATTGTCGGAGCATACAAACCTCCGAGTCTGGAAATTGGCGAGAAGGGATCGACAAGGCGACGGAGCCAGGTCAAGGTGGTCAAGGTCAAGGTCAGGACAGGCGTTGGACCGGCAGGGAGTGCAGGAGTTGTCTTTTCTTGTCATTGTGCTTTTCTTTCTTCTCTCATATCTCACCCCTTTTGATTGTCTTTTTTTTTTTGACGAGATCAACCGGACACTTGAGGAGGTGCCTCAATCCCATCCATGCAGCACGGTTTTCTTGTGTTTTTTTTTTGTCTGTACGTTCATGTCATGGATGGTTTTTACCTCTTCCTTTGTTCACTCGTTGCACTTTTGCACAACCATTCTCTTCGGTGTAGCTACTTTGACATGGACACTGGATTGTCGTTTCACCCAGACAAACACATAAAAACTTCTATCCTCTTCAATGTCTGAAGTACGTGAAAATTGATGTTACAAGTTTGATGCTCTCTCCCAGAGATGAAGAGAAGAAAGAATATAGCTACATGAAGAACCCCTTGCCTCCTTTGACATTTAAATCCTACATTTTTACGCGTGGACAAAGGCACCGCCTTGGGCATTCTGACCTCTCTTGCTGCCAGGCACGCTAGGCTCAACCTCATCCAGAGCAGACAAGACATCCTGGTCGCTGTCGACATCCAAAAGCGCATCCTGGTCACCGGCTTTGGCCGACGCGCCCGAGAGCTGCTTGATAGCCATGATTTCCTTGGCAGCCCACTCGCGCCATTCTTCATACTTTTGGTCTTCGAGCTGCATACCGATGTCCAGAGGTGAGGGGCCAAACTCGGCACCAGTCCAGAGGGCTTCTTCGCGGGCGACGCGGCGCTCGATGTCCTGTGTGTGGCGGACATCATAGAACTCCTTGCGGGCCTTGTCATAGGCGCCTGCCTTTGTGTAGGCTTGGTATGTGTCTGGCTCTGCGCTTGGGAGGGTGGGGCTGAGGATGTCGGTGGTTTTGATGTTGAGGGTGGTTGCGAGGTGGTTGAGCAGGGCGGGAACGTTTGCTGAGGCGTTGCGGTAGTAGGAGAGAGAGATTGGGAGGACGTTGAAGGGGTCTTCGGCGAAGGGCTTGATGGTGGCTTCGGGCCCGAGGTTCATGACGACGTTATATTGCTTGCCGATGGCGGCGAGATCGATGCCTCGTAGCGTTTGTGCGACAGCGTCCGAGTGCAGCAAGGCAATGTTGAAGGAGCGCCTGTTGACAGAGGAGGTGTCGAGGCCTTGTTCGGCAAGCATCTGATTCAAGTGTTTGAGGGCATCCTTGAATTGGTGAGGGTATCTGGGGTGGTATGTCATGTAAAGGTTGACGGGAACGCTGGCATCGGCGTCGGTGTAGTCGGTCCTTGATGGCAGCTGGCCGGATTGCAGGTCGACGGCATAGTTTTCGTTGAAAAGTGGCAGCATTTCGTCCTGGAATACGTCGGACCGTAGGTAGTCGAGCAGTTGTGGGGATGCAGAGAAGTCGAGTTCATGGCGGAGCAGGCCCATGAGCCATGCCTGTCTTTGGACGACACNTGTAGAGAGTCAGCAAGGGAGCGGCGCATGCGGACTGGCAGAATGTACACACCTCTCTCCGTCGACCTGCTTGGTGGGCTGGTCCAGCTGGCTCCAGTCGAAGTTTTGGTAATCCTTGCCGTCATCCTCGAGGACCTGTCTAGGTCTTGCCAACTCCCACGGGTGGTCGCCGAAGAAATCGAGTCTGAGTTGGTCCTCCTGGTACTGAAGCTTGACGGGCTGGAAGAGCTTGCTGGCCTTTCTGCCCTTGCGCTGGGCGGGTTGCAATGGCGGGCGCACGAGACGTTCTGATGGCGGAAGATTGCCGATGACAGTGTACCACGGCGGAGGAGGTTGGATTGTGGACGGGCTCTTGGGGTTGCGGACCTGGAGGAGACGTGTGGCGGCCTGGTGCACGCGCTGGGGCGCAAAGTTGTATCGACCCATGGCTTGGTCTTGTCTGGCAGGAGCGATCAAGATTCGCTCGTCTCGTCAATAATTCGAGATTCGAGCAGCGGAGCGGGAGAGAGAAGCTGCTTGGCGTCGGCGGACAAGGCGCGGCAGCCAATCAGCGGGCGCTGGATCCGCGTCGGTAATGCTGAAAGTCGCGGACTTTTTGGCGGCTCTCGACAGCAACAGAGGCCACTTTGGCACGCCATGTACTGAGTGTTATGCCCGGGGAATGTCGATTGCTCGTCTGACACAATGCTCGCCGCTTCATGTCCCTCCTTGGCTCCTTCTCCCGCACCCAGAGCGGCTCCTCTCTGCACAAGAAGCCCACGACTACGACTGCCTCGATCATGACAGCCCTGTGCCCACGCCGCAAGCACCTGTCCGCCTCCAATCCCTTCGACCACGACTCGCCCCGCCATCGCCGCGACCTGCACATGCTCTCTAGGCGGCCATCTCCTGCTTCTCGCTCTCTGACCTCCGAGTCCGCCGAAGCCCTCTTCCTCGAAGCTCTTGCTCGTGCGAGCTTGTGCCGGAAACATGCCCGTCAATCATCCACCATCACGCGACCCTCTCACCCGACTAGCGCCTCCTCTCCTTCCTACTCCTCCTCGCGCTCTGCACGTTTCTCCACAAGTTCTCCGACCAACAAGCCGCCTCAATCCTCCGCTGTCGAACTTTCATCCGACGAATCAACCCATCCCGCACCTATACCCATCTCACGCCACGAGTTGCGTTCCATAGTTGACCAATACGACTTTCATGGCTACCAGGAAGATCCTCCTCCGGACAGGGATTCGCATCAACACACCCCTCCGAGCATCCATGTTCACTACGCCAGTCAGATACCCGACAGGAAGCCCCTGACCGCCCAAGCATTTCTCCAACAGCAAGCCATTGACTACTTCAATCTCGTTATACAAGACAACCATGCACCCAATGCCCTGCTATACAAAGCCTACACGGCGATACCGCAACCGCGACCACAATATCTTGAGAACCAACCCATCCGGCAACTGATGCATCGCCTAAGTGTCGTCGAGTATAAAGATGAGCGGACCATGCAGTGCTACCTCTCTGTCGTCGATGACATGCTGAGTGCCGACATACCCATGACGAGGACAGAATGGAATAGCGCCATGAGCTTCGCCGGCCGCTATCTTCGCAGAGTTGGTGACATTCAGGTCGAAACTGCAACTCAGATTTGGTTGCGCATGGAGAAAGAAGCCGCTCTCAGAAGCAGCCCTGCCACTTTCAGCATTCTGTTTGATATCGCCACCAAAGCCGGTAAATTCGCCCTGGCCGATATCATCGTCAAGGAGATGATGCAGCGAGGTATTGAGCCCAACCGCTACTTTCGCACAAACATGATCTATTGCCACGGCCTCAAACGCGACGGTGCTGCTGTTAGGAAAACCTACCAGGACTTTGTTGATGCTGGCGAGATCGTTGATACGCTGGTCTTGAACTGCGTCGTTGCCAGTCTGATCAATGCCGGCGAACCGTCTGCCGCCGAGTACATTTTTGAGAAGATGAAGACTCTCGGGACAGAAAACGCAACTGCCGCCAAGATCAAGGGTTGGAAAGCTCAACGAGATCTAGGAAAAGTTCTGAATCGAGCAGGAAAAACACTGCGCAAAGAGCCAGCGAGACGCGTTGTCGTGCAAAACGTCACTCCGATCACGCCAAACCTGCATACATATCGTCTGCTGATCAAATACCACGCTCACGAGTCTGGCAACATAGATCGCATCAGCCAATTGCTTGATGAGATGCAACAAAATGGCATCGACATTCATGGATCCATCTTCTATCAGATCATACGCGGGTTCAGCATTCATGGAGGCATTCGCTATTCTTCATGGAACAAAAAGAGGCTTGATAGCTTCTGGGAGATTTTCTGTCAATTCGTTGAGAGGGACAAAGAGATGGAGCAGAACCACGGCAATTGGGTGTCGGAAGAGGATAGAGGCTGCTATCTCAGTATCTCGATGGTCAATATTGTCCTGAATGCATACCACAAGGTCACGGGTCCAGAGAACACAAGAAAGGTGTGGCAGGAGATCAAAGAGATCTGGAAACCCAACGAGCAAGATGAAGAAGCTGTAGCTACAGGGCTTGAATACCGCCTGGCTAGTAGATGAAAACTTTCCGGGAAGGACTGTAACACCAAATGTAACCTTTCATGTACAAACGAATTTTTGAAGAATAAAGAACTTTTTCAAGAAGACATCGACACTGACGTTTGTTGCTTTTTCGTGATGTGGAACATATTGATATCTGATCGTAGCTACCACTTTCAACAGTACGAAACATTTGCTCTACCTTCACATTGCTCCAGAAAAGGTATATAAAAATGTCCGTGCGCCGACGCGACTTGCATGTTGGCTCTTGCCTGAACATCTCATCACCTTCGTTTTCGTTCTGCTTTGATTCTCAATCTTTTCAGATCTAGATGTCTCAACAAGTTCTGTGACGCGTTAAAAACTGCGATCAATTCACTGACGAGGATGTTACGATTGTCAATAGGTCCAGTGTTGCCTATTTTGCCATCTGGTTGAAGCCTTGGAAGCCATCGATCGCCTCCCACAACTATTTTGTGTACAACATACTCGACCGACCAACCATTGAGAATGCCTATTCAAAGGCAGCGCAGTAAGCCGGACCTCGATTTCACCCTCCGACAAGTCTTTGGCAAACCCTCTTTCAGGTGAATATTTCCTACTGTCTGCTTTGCTCGGCGAATCTGACCAAGTTACATGNNTAGACCCATACAGCGCGAAGTCATCGAGGCCGCTCTAGATGGCAACGATGTTTTTCTTCAAGCTGCTACTTCATTTGGCAAAAGCTTGTGCTTTCAACTGCCAGCATGTATTGACCTCGGGAGTGAGCAAAATCGTAAGCGAGACGAATTGCTTGCAGATTCTAACATCTCTCANGTCACGATCGTCATATCGCCTCTTCTTGCACTCATGGTCAGTTCCACGTCCCCTGTTTTGTTGTATAATGTCGCTGACTATCTCGTANNGAACAACCAGGTCGCTGCTCTGCGTACTGCAGGGATTCGGGTCGCTACTATCAATAGCACTGTTTCCAGGCACGTCCGTGATACTATCATGGCTGATCTCAAGACTGGCCATCCTCTCACTAGACTACTCTACGTTACCCCCGAGTTCTGCGCTATGGACCACTTCCGCCGGGTTCTACGTGTGGTCCATGAACAGAAAGAACTCTCCCGGATTGCAATCGACGAGGCGCATTGCATCTCTGAATGGGGTCACGACTTTCGTCCGAGTTTCAAAGAACTCAACTTCTTCAAAAACGAGTTTCCAGATGTACCGATAATCTGCTGTACAGCCACGGCTACACAGCGTGTGCGAGACGACATTATTGCCACTCTACATCTCGACAAGCGCAAGCTGAAACACTTCACCATGACCACTAGCCGGCCAAACTTGCACTACGAAGTCAGGTACAAATCGGATGAGGAAGATCACTACGATGATTTCCTCGCATGGATCAAAGCCGCACATGCCCGACGCAAAAGCCCAGAACGAGCAGCGGAGCTGGCAGCTCGCAAGGAACGGCCGACGAACGTGCCAGGCATCATCTACACCTTGTATCGACGAGATTGCGAGATTCTAGCTGAGCGTTTGACCAATGATGGTATCGGCGCAAAGCCTTACCACGCTGGCCTGACCAACGACCAAAAAGACGACCATCTCTCTGGCTGGGTAGCCAATCGCGAAGGTTACGACGTTATTGTAGCGACCACAGCTTTCGGCATGGGTATCGACAAAGAAAACGTCCGTTTCGTGGTGCACTGGCAGATTGCAAAATCTTTCGAAGGGTACTATCAAGAAGCAGGGCGCGCAGGCAGAGATGGAAAAGCCTCAGTCTGCATCGTCTACTACTCCCGCGAGGACCGCGACCGGGGTGCAAACATGCTCGCCAGAGCTCAAGAGCAGAAGATGCGGCAAGAGATGAATAAAGGTCGTAACAAGTCCGAGTACGATAACATGAGCACGCATCCTGACAGCCACGGCCGTGCCAACTCTTTGCTGTACCTGACGAAATACTGCGAGGCAACAGGAGTGTGCAGACACAAGATGATAGCAGAGTATTTTGGAGACAAGACTGTGGTACTGTGCAACTATGCTTGCGACCACTGCAAGGATCAGAAGGGGCTTGAGATGAGAAAGAATAATGGATTGGCGAGCGAGGAGTGGTGTTTGACGCAGAGACAGTCTTATTCCTACGATGAGTACGACTAGGAGCGTACATTGTAATGAGAGGCAGAAGTAGCTGCCATACAAATGAGATTACTCGGTAGCCATGGGGTGAGTATGGTCTGCTATTCGTAAAGCTAAAGGGAATAGAAGTTAGTTGCTTGTTACGGAGGTCGCTCCGGGATCCCAAGAGATTTGCAAGCGAGAACAAAGCGATGGCCATCAAAGTGAGCAGCAGCCGCGGTCCAGACAAAATATTTATCCACACAGCAACCACCAGACATTAAACCATCGATCAGTCGCAACCATGCCCAAGCCCAGACGCAACCTGCAGGCCACGGCCGAAGAAACCATGACCCCTCCCCAATCTCTCACCGAAACACAATCCGTCGCTCGCGTCCAACAAGCCGCTGGAAACAACCTGTACCGCGTCGAGCTGCCAGACACAAAGGTGCTGTTGGTCGAGCTGCCCGCTCGCTTCCGCTCAACCATCTGGATCAAAAGAGGTGGTTTTGTGCTCGTCGATACAGGTGCCATGACCGAGCGTGAAAACAAGCTGGACGGCGAGATCATCAATGTCGTCAGAAACGAGAAGGAATGGCGCAAGGAGAAGTACTGGTACGCTGCTCTGTTTTCACATAGGCGCAATGCAGTCGCTGACACATACACAGGNCCCAAGGAGTTTGTGCCAAGAATCTCGTATGCCGATGAAGACGACTCGGATGAGGAAGAATCCAACGTCGGCAAGATGCCGCCTTCCGACTCCGAGGACGAATGATCTATACCCCGTCTATCGTTTTTTCGACGCTACTCTACATGCTGGTGCTTCTCTGTCAGAGTATCCGTGGCCTCCTTTCTCGTTCCGTACCATACACCCGCCACCGTCGCAGCAAGCACCTGTACCACAACCATCGAGCTGAAGTTGGTGCTGGGGAAGACGTTCCAAGCATACTCTTGCGCTCCCCAGAGGGCATACTGGAGGATTGGGTGGTATCCCGCACGCCAGAGAAGAGCAGGCGTCGCCCACACAATCCAAGAATAGAACTGGTAGTGGAGCGATCTTGCGCATAGCATGCCAATCGCATTGGCCGAGAGGATGGTCGTCAGGATGAATCTAGGCGTCACTCTTGCCGAGATCTGTGCTTGCTTCGCCTTTGAAGGAGGGTTGAAGATGGAGCCGATTATTTCTGGCAGTGATTGCTTCGAAGGCTTCAGCCAGCGGGTCGTAGCAAACAGGACAAGTAGAGACACATGAGCAGCCAGCAGTGTCAATGCAAATTGTCTCGAGAGGAATGTTTCCTCCCNCACGAAGCGCCAGTTGACTGTCCACTTGAAGAAGAACTGTCGTGTGAACTCGAATGCTCGTGAGAGGTAGCCTTGCGGGTTGTGCAGTGTGAATGGCAATGACAGCAGGACCTGTGTTTGGTCAGCACGAAGCCGCGAAGTACCATGTTGAGCACATACCTGTATCAATACAATCAACGAAGCATGGCCAATTGCATCACTTGCACCGATTGCTTGCAGAAGCACAATCCCGACAGAAGGCAGTGCCAGCAATAGACTCATCTTGACTCCCAACCCAATCGAGTAGATCGCCGAGCCAGCAATCCACCATCGCTTCTGGTAGCAGTAAATAGCCAAGAAGAAGAAAAAGACAGCGAAACAGTCATTGAACAGACGCAGCGTAAAGATTGAATGCATGCGCTTGGACAAGATGAGCATAGGGAAGACGTAAGGTGGTATNNCTGTCTGCAGCATCAGTGATCATGTCTGAACCTTGGTGAAAGCTTTACCAACCTTTGCATTACGGTAGCATGCCATAACCACAGCAAGCGTCATGAGGTAGAGGACGCCAAAGATGATCTGTGCAAACGGGATATCGGTTCCTTGATCGGTGAACCGATATAGAACCTGGTAGATGTACACATGAGCCGCAGGATAAACCAGAGGCCCGGTACCTCCCTGGATCTTGGTATAGTCGCGCTCTCCGGCAAGATATTGTGTGACCTGTTCCACATAGGCCGTCCAATCGATCTCGGTGTCTAATTGCAGCACATCAGAATTTGAGTTGTGGAAGTTTGCTTGCTTGCTGCGAGGTTTCTCATACANTGGAACTTTCCACACGATCAATGCCGTGAGGCCTGTGTCAGCTAGCAGCAGCAGTGGACAGATCCATCTGGTATGCCATGGGTCCTTGGCAATAGCCAAACACTTCTGGAAGACGTCCATGACCAGTGACATTTTTGTGTTTGTCGCGAACGGCACCCCACCGTTTGATATTCCTGCGAAATGGTCAGCTGAAGGAATAGCCGGGTCTCAGCTGAAGGATGATGCTACGTACTCAGCGATACCCACGTGCTGGATGTCGGAGCTGGTCCAAGAAAAGGAGATGTTTGTTGGCAACAGAGTTGCGGCAAGCACCCGCGGCGCTGATCTCTCCCCGCGTTTTTCCTTCCCACGCAAACTCTCGCAGCTTCCTTCTCGACTTCTTCAATACCATATCTGTTGCCAGCGACACGTCTCTTGTGGTAGCCGGACGGCCGTTCCACAGCTCGAACAGCCACCACACTCCAAACGACGTAAGAGATGATGTTATAAAGCAACACAGTAGATCAAAAGTGACACATTGCTGTCCCAGCTACAAGGACACTCTGAGATGTCATGCAGAAGTGGCTGGCTGAACAGCAAACAGATCGAACAATCTGTGCAGCCCTATCGATCGCCGAGCTGCGCCATCACCTACACCTCTCCGACAGCTTCATGCACCTATTACCCCAAACAGTCCAAGAAGCCAAAAGAAAAAAAGCAATTGTCAGCGTCTTTGCCATGTGGAGGCTTGCGGTCTAACCACAATCAAACGACTGTTTGCGATCCGTAAAAGTATCGTTGTGCAAACACAGACACAGCCCGCGGCATCATGGGCTGTATAGCTATTTTGTCCTGCGTGCTGTGTCTGAGGCGCCCATGCAGCTATTGTAGGTTACGGGTAGGTAAGCAGTTAGGTACCTCGTCATAAAGGCTGTTTGTTTGTATCTGTTGTCGAAAGCAACGACAGCGCAAGGTTCCATGTTCTTAATCATTGTCTCGTTTGGGGCTTCAGCTCCGGACTACCTTTGGAGACTGCCTGTCTTGAACACGGTCCTATTGTCATCTTGTTCGTCTGAGTTCGTTTGAGACAGTCGTTCTTGAAGCCAGTCATATCCTGGCAAAGTCCTGCAATCCTGCTATTTGAGCACATTCTTTTGGAAAGACTCATTTTGCAAAGAGTCACCGCCAAGATCTCTCTTGCAGTCTGTCTTATATCAAGTGTTGTTCTTTCGGACTCTCTTTCCTTAAGACAACTTGAAAGTACAACATGGCCCGAGATAAGACACAATACACGCTCAGCATAGACGCTCAACCTACAGACATGGATACCACGCATAACACACCAGACATTGAGATACCTCTCGCACCACCCTCATCACCAGATTTGACCCCTAGACAATCACTACTCGCAAAGTCTCCGTCTATATGGCATCTCTCGAGTTTAGAAAGCATTTTGGAATACAAAGAAGCTCTTAAGCAGGAGAAGAAGGCTGGCTTGTCGGTGACCGTTTCGGAGGTCAGCTCGTCGTACGCTGCCAGTATCAAAGACCACCGAGGGTTTCGGTCACTCGCCGCCGAATGCGCGTTTGTCTTTTCGATGGCGTTGTCGCAGCTCATCGCAGTAAGGATGACCACCATTACAAACTCTTGACAACTGCTGACTCGAAACAGNGAGTACATGATTAGTGGCTTTGCAGTAGTGCTGCCAACGCTACTATCGCAGTTCACGAACGGCGAGACTTCAGATTTCTGGCCAGCGACTGTTCTGTCGCTGCTGCTTGGCTCTACCCTGTGCTTTACTGCACGTCTATCAGATAAGTACGGCGGCTATCCCGTCTTCATGATTGCCATACTATGGCTTTGTATTTGGTCGGTCGTTGCTGGGTTCAGTAACAGTCTACTTCTCATGAACATCTGTCGAGCCATGCAGGGCTTGGCCATCGCCGCCTATACACCAAGCAGCTTTGCTTTGTTCGGTGCCATCTACCCAAACGGTCCTCGTAAGACTTTTATCATGGGCATCTACGCAGCCTGTTCACCTCTTGGTTTTTTTGTTGGCATCATGGCCGCTGCTGTACTCCCAACAGAGCATTGGAACTGGTGGTTCTGGATTGCGGCCATCATGGCGTTCGTGGCTTTGGTCGCTGCTTACCTCTCAGTACCCTCGGACCGTCCGGAAAGGCAAGAACTCAACCTCACCATGGATTGGCGTGGCGCTGCCTCCATCACTTCCGGCTTGATTCTTGTTGCTTATGCCCTGGCTGCTAGTTCTAACTCGCCAAGATCCTGGCTCACTGCCGGTGTTTTGGCACCTTTCATCATCGGCCTTGTATGTCTAGCAGTTGCGCTCTACATCGAGGGCTGGGTTGCTACATGTCCATTATTGCCAAAAGACTTCTTTGCACGCAAGTCCGTCAAGCCGCTCCTCATGGCATGTGTGTTCTTCTACGGCAGTTTTGGTTCATGGCTCTTTACTGCCACTAGCCATCTTGATCTGGCATATGGTGTTACTGGTGTTCAACTGGCACTCTGGTTCGCACCAATGGCTCTCGGCGGCATAGTCTGCGGCATCGTCACCAGCATGGTCATACACAGAATTCCTCCGATCTGTACCATGCTCATCTCGAGTGCGGCTTGGGTAGCAGCCCCACTACTACTGGCTCTCGGTAACAATTCTATGGGATACTGGCCCTTTGTGTTTCCAGCCATGGTCTGCTGTACAGTAGGCATCGACGTCACTTACAATTTTACCAATATCGTCTTGTGCAGCTTGGCTCCTCTGAAACAGCAGGCTCTCGCTGGGGCTGTCAACAGCACAACTGTCAATCTTGGTATTGCTTTCTCGCTTGCCATCACACAAATCGTGCAGAGCATGACAGAAGGCCAGAATCCTACTCTTGATGACCGTCTCCGCGGACACCGCAACTGCTTTTTGTTTTCTGCTGCTAGTGCCGCAGTCGGATTTGCGATCACGGCTACTTGCGTTCGAGTTTCGATGAAGTGTGTTCAAGGAAAGAAGGACGATGACGAGGAAAAGTCAGAGACAGTTTAGAGTTGGTACTTATGGTGTTGGTCCAATGTGAATACATTTGCAAGCATAAAATGAGGGACAGGATGAACGCAGATACCCACGATGAGAGTCTTTTTGCCAATCTGTATGAATAGAATTAAAAGTATGATAGCAAATGTCAAAAGATTGTATGTACTATTTCAGATTCTTTGGCTCACTCTTGAAACCAGGATTCTTGTCAGGAAAGGCAAACCAGGTAAAGCTTGGGTAAACATACCTGTCCATATTGGCGGTAGCTACAATACATAGCACGAGATGTTGCACAAAGCAAGATTTGATCCTGTAGCTCTCGTATCTGACCAAATGATCGAGAGATAAGCAGTTAGACAAGGCGAATCGAGAAACTGGGGAGTGGACCAAGAAACGGTGGTGAGAATGTCCAGAATAGAAATGGTAGTTTTGACTGAAGACAAGGTGTATATGAGACAAGACTAAAGCAGAGACTAGCTCCGTTGGTGAGAGAAGGATGGGATATGAAAACAGGAGAGGAAGGATCCTGGGAAGGTTTATGTATACGACCTAACAATAGATTCTGGAATATGCTCAACAGTCAGAAGACAATAGAAACCCTCATTGATCGTCAATGTGACTTTGTTCAATGATAGTATGGGACCCCACAATGAAGGACATTGACATCGAACCCAACAATATCAATATCAACCAGTAGTTGTCAATAGAAGCTGCTTGATTGTTGGTATTAGCAATCGCACAGCCTACCGATCATGGATGCTGATCAATCATCTCTTTCATCTGACATTTGATACACTTCCTGAAAGTTTGGTGGTTTTCCATTGTTGCGTGCTCATGTTACGAAAAGGAAGCCAGAGAAGTACTGCTGCAGGGTAGCTCGAGATCATGATGGATTTTGTGCATCTCACTGGTTTGACGGGGCTCTCCTTCCGGATGTTGAACAAAACAAACAAGTGGGCTAGCAACAGAGGTGGTCGAACGAGGTCACCGGCGTCCAGTTTCTGCAACAATTTTCCTGTCACACGTAAAGTTTGGCCGTTATATACCTGCCTTTCCAATCAAGCTTTTGCGACCCATGTCGAAGTGCGAACAAAAGAACAAAACGTACAGCATCAGGGATTCCCACGTGGTCACCCACCGTAGTACTAATCTGCCGTTCAACTGCTTATGTATGGCAGAGCGGACGGGATGCCCAGTTTTCAGCTGACTGTGGCCGTACGTGTTAACCTGGTGTTCTGTTTGCAGTATGGCCCTCCGACTTTTAGTCACGGTTCCACGCTCACTGTCTGCTGCCGTGCTGCTCAGGCGCGTCAGAACGACCGCAACGCTCTAGTTACAACGCTCTGTTTGGCGGGTCCAGCACGCAGGCTGATGTAGTGATGTTTCTGAGTGGCCCTGAGCATAGCATGGAGGAGTTCGTGTTGTGCAGCAGAGGACGGCATTTGTAAGGACTACGGTCGCTGCCCAGAACATGATGCAGCTCGAATTGCGCTGGGTTGAGGCCTCTGAAGATTTGTCTTCCCTTGGCAACTGAGCCGAGAAAGTCCGATCAAGAAGTCCCACGATAACAACGTGAGTTACGCAAGCAGTTGATCTAAACTCAAACCTCCCCGAACCCTACTGTGGTTCGCTTTTCTTTGTAAACTTCCTCTCTTTCACCAATCTTCCTCGAGTACGGGCTATAAGTCGTCTTTCTTTGGGTTGCCTGTCAGCGTCGCCTCCTAGTTCTGGATTCTCGGTACGACGTCATGCGGTGTGGTTTCTGGGCCCCTTCTTTTCACGCATAATTCGCCTTGGTCAGATGCATCCAGTCTTCCGGATTCAATGGGTGCTATCGGCTCTGTTGTTTGCGCTATTGTGTTTGACTTCGGCCTGCGCAAATTCGCCAACGAGCCCACGCGACGAATTTGTCAAATACGATCAAGATTATGATACGAGGACTGTTGAGAATACGATAATACCGATCGAGGATGTAGCGACTTCCGAACCCATAATCAATCACCAATATCACAGGCATGAGACTACACCGAAGACGTTATGGGCGCGAGGTGTCTTCACGAACATCTCCACAGCTACTACATCAAATCCTGCTGCCTTATCTTGCTATGCCACTTTCTCGGAATGGCGAGCTGGCTCGATGAGTTGGGCCATGACCGCTATCGGTAACAAAACATGGCCCACGATGGTTACGACCAGCACCATTACACAGATAATCGACACAGTGGCGACAATTTATCCATCTGTCAGCCTGTCAACATACAAGCTCTGCGACGGCTCTCCACGTGTAGATTTCGAGCCCTTAACTCTGACCTCACAGGTCACTTCTATCTCCAAGTTCGACGCATATGTTACTGTTGGGCTTCCTACCTATTCTTTGACCAAGCCCTGCGAAGCATCTTCCGATGACTGCGAATATCTCTACTACCATAGTGGATTATCCTGGGATGATATCACATTGATGGGTCTTTGCGGTTCGCCTGCACACCTCGGTCTAGTAAGATATCGTCCTCACTCTATATACCCTTCTGTCTGCTAACCGTATCGCAGNCCATGCTTGATAATGGGAGGTCCAGTTGAGCTTGCCTACTTCCCAGTCACCACGGTTGGAAGTGACAAATGTCACAACAACGGATCTACCATCACCAACACTGAAGGCCCAACGGCGATCGAGGCACTGGGAACCACTCTTACTTCTGGTTCTGTCTACTTATCTTTCAAAAGTTTATATGCCTTTCAAGAAGGTTTTGGTAGAAGAATTGGTCCCGCATTTACCGACTTTATTCTACCCCTACCGTCCAGTGCTATCTCAACACAATGTGGTGGATGGTTTTCTGCCCAAGGCCCTGGAACACCTCTGAACTACGCAGACCTGAACTTCCCCTGGCCAGCAAGTGCTTACAACTGTATGAATCGATGTCGTACTGATTTATCATTCACCATAAATAATGGCACCGGGGTCAGCTGGACCCCTCCTCCTCAATGCTCTACTATCTGGTCGGACTTGAATCCTATCCTCGCAATGCCGACGGAAGTTCGCAACTTAGTTCCGGCGTGGTCTACGTGTAGCATGTGGGATGCGGCGCTCCCCAACTTCGTCTTTGACCCCCCTCGTGCCCTTGTTGCAGGCACAGCGGTAGCTACACCGACACCTGCTTGGATCCATCAAGACTCTACTACTCCTGCAACTCCAGCAGCTACCTCATATACCGCCTTACCGGAGACTCTAGCTTCTATGTCAACATCTTCTACCACTGCTACCTCATCTGTTGATGTCTCGAGCACGGCGTCTGACTTGATAGCCTCTGTTGTGGCAACACCGACCAGAGGCATAGGTGCCACAGGTATAAGCATAGAATTCAGTGTTGACGGCCACACATTCACGGCATCAGCAGGCGATAATGCCTTTTCCATCTTAGGTCAGACCATCTCGGTTGGAGGACCTGCTCAGATTGTGGAGGGTGAGACCATCAGCGTGGGGTTGTCGGGCTTCGTCGTCAATGCGACCACGACTATACCATTCACTTCCACGCATCCGATGACCGCTAGCAGTGATTCGCGAACCTCATCGCAGAAATCGCATACTGCCGGCAAAGGATCAAAATCATCTGGAGGGTCAACAATCGTGGTCTCTTGGGCAGGTATCTCATTGATGTCTTTGCTCGCTATGGTGCTGCTCTAATGTCAGCTTTCTTCGTTTCTCTTCAACATCAATTGTTCTCGTATCCAGCATCATCATGGGTCGGGGAGTTTTGAGGGTGTCATTTGGCGAATCATATGTCTGCGGGACCTGTTCCTTCAAAATGTATACATGTTTTTGTAATCTTACATTATCATTCCATTATCGGTCTTGAAGATCAGAGTTCCCATTTCTTGCTAGATTCAAACCAATATATCCTGCTCTTATGGTTCATACCTGCATGTTTGCAAATCCACAGTGCCGCCCCAAAGATTCAAGCTTTAACCACTCAAAGTACTCGTACTACTCTACCAGTGGCGTCTTTTCTATAGATACTCCGCCCAATTGATGTGCTTAAGCTTGTAGACTAAGTGCATCCCAATTTGAGGTTGGTGGAAGAGAATCGATAGGCATACGTGATTTCCCATGACGGCGGAGATAGCCACAATCTCCAGACGATCTCGAACGCCTGGCCTGTGCACGCTCTACACCAGCGTCATTGACATGGCATCAACTTGAGTCTCGAGTCTGATGCGCCTTCCCTCTTCATTAAAGTCATACCACACTTTCAACTTTTCTTCTCAGATTCCGTGCCTCAAACTCTCTGGCACCGTCCAACTTCTCTTGTCGATCGCTCTGTCTGTTAATCATCCTACGGCCCGCTCTACTTGCCGCTGCGACCCTCTGTCGCAACTGGCGATTGAATACATCTGCACTCCTTCATTTCCAGAAGCCAGCCAGAGCCTTACTAGCCATGGCTCCCAGAAGAACGCGCGCAAGTGCTGCTGCTGAACTTCAGGTCGAAAGCGGCGAACGAGTTTCGAGCCCTCCGCCTGAGCCTGCTGCCAAACGTCAGACTCGCAAGAAAGCTTCTGCAAAGTCAGTTCAAGTCGAGGATGAAGCCAATGTTGAAGTCCCAAAGAAAAAGATGCCCACGCGCAAGCGCAAAACTCCTGCTCCCAAAGAAGAATCTCCAGTCTTCGGCGATGAGTTGCCGCACAACCTTGGCTCTCTACCTACCCCCGACACTGATGATGTCGACGAAGCCNNAAAGAGTCACCACCTCCCAAGAAGAAGGCCAAGCGTGTATCAAAGGCCAAGCAGGTGAAGGCTGATCCGGAAGAGGTCGATCAGCTCGCCAAGAAAGCAGCTGAGATTGCCTCGCCTGATGCAGACGTCAAGTCTGAGGTCAAAGACGAAACCACCTCTCCAGATGGCAAAACTGATGGCAAGGCCAAGAAGAAGACTTCCAAGGCCAAGAGCNTACAAACTCACTCCTGGCGAAACACCTTATCCTGACTACGCTCACCCCACCACAGAGGAATGTTACGAAGTTGAGCGCATCCTCGCCAAAAAGCACGGCAAAGTCACAGCGCCAAAATCCATCCCGCTACCCTCACTGGAAGTTACTGGCTGCGGTGAGGTTCCTTCGGTCTTGGACGCCTTGATCAGAACCAGGCTATCTGCTGCGACGACTGGTAAAAACTCGTCGAATGCTTTCAAAGGTCTCGTCAAGACTTTTGGTGTTCTGAACGAAGGTGTTGGCAAAGGCAGTGTTGACTGGAACAAGGTGCGCCTCGCATCTCAACCAGAAGTCTATGAAGCTATCAAGAGCGGAGGCCTTGCCAACGCCAAGAGCAAAGACATCAAGGCCATCTTGGACATGGTCTACGAGGAGAACCAAGCTCGATGCGCTGCACTGAAGAAGGAGAGAGAAGCCAAAACCGAAGGTCCTGCTGGCTCGGAGAACGAACCCGCTGAAGAGAAGAACACCGAGATACAGCGCGCCGAATCCGGTGTGATTTCTCTCGACCATCTTCACCTACTCTCTAGCGAAGACGCCTTCGCCCGACTGGTCAAGTTCCCTGGAATCGGTCCCAAGACAGCCTCATGTGTTCTGCTCTTCTGTTTGCAACGTCCCTCCTTCGCTGTCGACACTCACGTCTTCCGCCTCTGCCAGTATTTGGCCTGGGTTCCAAAAGAAGTCCAGAAGGGTCAGCCTCCCGTCAATCGCGAAACCACTTTTGCTCACTGCGAAGCACGTGTTCCTGATGATCTCAAATACCCGTTGCATCAGCTTCTCATCAAGCACGGCAAAGAGTGTCCCAGATGCCGCGCTGCTACCAGCACAAGTAGCGAGCGTTGGGAGGAGGGATGTCCAATCGAGCACTTGGTCACTCGTCATGGTGCCAAGAAGGGTGAAGTCTCACCTGCAGGCAAGGCAGCTCCCAAGACCAAGAGAGCCGCTGCTGCCAAGAAGGGCAAGGGCAAGAAGATGGTCGACAACGACAGCGAGGAAGCTGAGAGCAGCGGTCTCAGCGATGCCGAGAGCGATGAAGACTACGAGTAGGCTTGCCAAAGTGCGCAGCATGCTCTTGCGGAACGACACGCCGCTATGATGACCTATTGCTAGCCCGAGGTTCATCTTGATGCATGAACGTCATGCAAAGGGCTCGATCATTTGATATTTGTGTTTTGCTATCTTGACACGGGGATTGGGCGTCTTTTTGCTATCTACTCGGAGGAACGATTATTGCTTGGAAGGACTTTTACAAGAACTCATGCATGAGAATTAGCGATTATGATATTACGAGGGTATGCTGCTTAGCTTATAACAAATGTATGAGGATATTGCTTCTGCTTGAACCTTCCCCGACGACGAGCAGGACGATGAGTGAGCTTGATCTTTCCGCCTGCCAACATGGATGGTTGATCGTCTGAGGGAAGTGACGAACGTCAAAGGTGCAAATGAGTGTTGGCTTGTCTTTCGTGAGGCAGTACCTTCGTGTCTCCGGAAGGCGTTCTGTGTCTCTCCTTCCTAAGTTACTGCTCCAGAACATCCAAGCTTCCTTATGTGTCTACCACAACGCAAGAAAGCTACTATCATCCTCGTCATCATGTACGACTGTAGACAACTACCAAGCGCGAATCTGCTAATCTAAACCCAGCATGGAGAAAGCTTTCGCTGAAGCAAACGAAAAGGCTGTCACCGCCGCTGTCAATAAAACTATCAACGAAGCCGTCAAGACAGCCGTCGCCGAGGCCATCAAGAAAGCCGTCCCTGTCGCCATCAACAACGCCTTCAATAGACAAGCCAATGCGGACATGGAAGAAGCCATGAAGGACACGATGAAAAGGATCTCCAAAAGACAAGAACTCAAGTCAGAAATCGAAGCAGTACGCTTAACCCGCTCTACAGCCACTTGGCCAAGACAGAGATTAACATCCAGGGCTAGACAAGAACTATCATCAGAGATCGCGACAACTTGTTAGATTCCGATTATCCAGCCGGTAGTACTCATTGGCGTTATCCTCTCAAGAATCAAAACAACTTGGCCCGTCTCAGGGTCGCAGCTTATGAAAGACAACTCACTGAGATGGCCAAGGAGGATGGACTGGAGGAATAGGTCCAGCGATCAGAGAACGTTCGAGCATGGATCAAGGAAACTGCAAACACTAAGCAAAGTGACCGGTTGTCGATGATCATGCTGATGGCTTCTCACACTCAAAGCTATCTGTACTGTATCAAACGTTTGCTTTTTGCTTCCAACTCTTGGCTTTCCAACTCCTGATTACCATGCGACAATTCATCGATGCAAAGAACCTCAACGACTTCAAAAGAAGACAAAACTTCAAGTCATCAAAACAAGAAGGTGCGACAGGCGTGAGTGCAAAAGAAAGAAAAAAGGAGAACAAAACCAAGACCAAGACCAAAAGAGAACAAAAAGAAAAAGGCCACTAATTACCGACTTCCTGAGAGAAGTTCAAAGCAAGGAAGAAAAAGAGCGGAGAGTGCTTCGAACCGAACCCAAAAACGGAAAGAAAGACAAAAAAAAAAGGGCAAAGCGAAGCGCGCAAGAACAACCAGAAAGAGAGAACGGAGGAGGATGCTGAGATCCAAAGGGCAAGCCATCTCTCTCCTCAGCCCAAGAGTAACGACAGTGTGCGTACGAGCTGCTGAGGGGCAAGTGTCGTTCGGTCGGGGCAAGAAGAACCAAAAAGAACAAGCGAAGGACCATGCTGAGAGGATCCAAGATGCAACCATCTCGTCTCTCGGACCCAGAGTAGCGACGGTTTAAGCAAAAGCTTTCCACAGACAAGTGCAAGTGCGACTCACTCCTCCCTCAAAGCCAGCACACTGCGGTTGACAAAGCGATACCAACCAGCCTCTCTGAGACGAAACTTGCGCACATCGCACTCGGCACAAAACAGATCTTCCTTGATGGCCTCCTTGATCTTTGCCACAAGCTCAGCAATGCATTTGGGAGTCTTTGCATCATTGTCAGTGATGTTGAGGGCATGCATAGCGTTCTCGACTGAAACATCGAGAGGAGGATAAGTCTCGTCCAGCACCGAGAGGAGTTTGGTCTGTAGGGCCATACGGGTGGAGTTGAGTTTGCCATTGACGTCGGGGTGGAAGGCTTTGTTTGCGTTCATGAGGCTGGCGAAGGATGGGTTTTCGGTGATGGGTGTGGCTGGTGACATTGGTGATGTGGGTGACGTGGGCGAGGCAGGAATGGGCTCAGAGTCATCACTATCGGTACTCTGGCTACTGCTTTCGGGGGCGTTGGTCGAAGAAGATGAAGCTGACGAGGTGCTGTTGTTGCGAGAGGGCGGGTGCAGAGCGGCCTCGACGACAGCTACTTCGGCTGTGGTAAGGGCATCTCCTCCTCTCAAGGCTTTGATGCGCTTTTTCGCCTTCTTGCGCTCTCGCTTCTTGAGCTTTGGAATAGTCTCTGGGTCGTTGTCGGCGAAGGAGGAGATGGATGCTCTTTTGCTGGTAGGGGAGAAAGGCGAGCCTGAGCAGCCGCTGGGCTCGATGCCTTGTTCCTGTTGGAGCTGGACGAGTTGACGAAGGAGCAAGGCGAGTTGTCTGTGGCGCTCATTGTGGGCGCTGTTGTTGCGGCGACAAGTGTCGCAGTTGTGAGCCTGGCCTGTGTTTATCAGCGTAAGTCTTGTGGTCTTTTTCTCTTGCTCAATCATTCCGGAACCATGAACCAAGAGGGAAAAAAAACATTGATGCTGGATGATATCGAGCATAGGACATGTTGACTTACCAATCATGAAGAAGTGTTGATGAAACAACCGACACACCTCTACATGCTTGAGGTAGCAGGTATGTTTGGCTCTTGGGTTGTTCAACGGGGTCTGGCACTTGGGACAGTGGTGCTCTGGACAGGGTCAGGGGCTATGATAAAAATCATGGCAAGAGTTCAACTTACCAAGACCAGGGCTGTCTTCCCAGCGCAGCAGTTCTTTGGTCATCTTGTTGGTCATCTTTCGTGTTCAAAAACTATCTTGAGTCAGTATGCAAGAGGTGTTTTGTTGACGATTTTGCTGTACGCACTGATTGTGGTCCCAAGACTCGCTATGCTCTCCTGAACGCGGAGAATCGTCGAAGGAAAAGCAACGGTAAGGAGAAGAATAGTCTGGCAGGAGAAGAAGCCGGATGTAGCGTCTAGACAGCTCAAGATACGATGTGGTCAAACAAACACCGCTTAGCTGATCAGGGGTGACGGAAAATTTCTTCGGACCCGGAGTTCCGTCACAGTGACCGGATTGTTGGTCGAGTTGGCGGTGCTAGTAATCCGACGAGAGCGAGCAAACGCATGAAACAAACAGAGTGTAGATAGAAATTCGGGACCAACGTTGCAAGAGAAGAGTCTAGGCAGCAAAAATACCATACAAGTTGCTTATACGATTATTGAACAATAGACACTTTCCTGCAGACATGAGAGAATATCTTGCACCTACAGAAGCTCCAGGATAGACAGCGTGCCGCTCAGGCATCCTTCACCATGCGAGCACCCGCCCAGACGAAGGGGTAGTTTCTCTGATACCAGTTGACGCTAGAAATCGTCAGCGATCATATCAGGCTCGAGCATGATAAATCAACTTACAAACTCTTACGTCCTGCAATACGCGGGTGTGTTGCCCAGGATCCACCAAGCACGACGTTGTGTTTACCATCGAAAAAGTCGGNCTGCGGGATATGTCAGGACGGATTTAGCACGGATATACCAAGAGCCTTACCTGTGTAACCTGGATAGAGGGGCATGGCCTCAAAGCCCTCGTGTTTGTCCAGCACCGTACTGGTCCATTCCCAGATACCACCCATCTCCGATTGACCAGCAAGCTTGTTTCCGTGCTGTGAGACGGGCATGGGATGCCAGTGTCGGAAGCCGACATTAGCCCCAAGCAGGTCCACGAACAGGTCGTTCGGGTTCGGACCTGCAGAGCTGGCAGATGTGGCCTTGGATGGTGGTGATTCTTCAACGCCGTCATTGACCAGATGCCTGTACCCGAGTCAGTCAAGTTTAAATGTATGTTATAGTTGTACTGACGCGTTTACGGCAGGAATGTTGGCTCCAAGCGTTTCATGTGCTTTAGCTTTTGCTTCATCAACATAGCGGTAGATGCTTCGAGCTTCCTCCATAGTTGGAATGCGGCCACCCATCCAGCGAGCGCAGCCTGAGATTTCGTCGTATGACGCGCAAACAGGCCAGTCGAGTGCTAGCTTCAGCGAGATTGACCCATATACAGTACGTACTGCTTTGCCGTGGAGAAAAGCTGATGACGACCCATTAGTAGTCTCTTCACCGTTGGTGCGAGAAAGAGTCTGCCAAGATGCAGGAAGAGTATCAATGCTGTTTTCCTCAAGGTACTTGGCGTACTCTCTGTTGGTGATAGGTCTTCCTTGGGCTTTGAAGGCTGGTACCTGAACGGTGCGCTTAGGCTTCTCGTTGTCCCATCCGAAGAAGTGCTCGGGACCGGAGTTGTCATCAGGATCTTCGATACCGATCTCCACCTCTTGTGGTGGAATTTCGAACCATTGGTTCTCTACAGCACCTTGTCTTGCCTGCAGAGCCAAAGCCTGGAAGTCCGGCATCACTGTTGTAGGTGGGGCCATGGTCTTCTCGCTCTGTATGAGCATGTATAACAGCGTCTCGAGATGCATAATCTCGTGCTCGTATGACAGCCACAACGCTCGTGAGACGGCACGGTCCTTTGTTGCTTGACCAGAAGCGTACAATTTCTTGACTCGAATCCGTACCTTCGACTGGAAATCAAGGATTTCGTTCGCTGGTGGCCATGAGTCTGGAATCTCGCTGTGAGCATGACATTGCTCAGGGTCATCGACATCGGGGTCGATTCCTCGCTCGAAGATACTAGGGTAGGAGCTTGGCTCTGTGGGCTTGCCGTGGGTCGCACGTGTGAGGTGAATATCCATGAAGGTAGGAATGTGACCGAGGTAGAAGATGCAGGCATTGCGCAGCTTGATGGGTTTCTCCAGCAGCTCCTCCTCTGGGATCATCTCCAGGGTAACAGCATCCCAAGCAGCCCAGAGTTGATCCCACTCTTCGAGTGAAGGAACGGGTTGGGCGGCGTATTTCTCTGCGACCAGAGGATATTGGACCTTGGGTTTGTTGAGCAAGTGCAGAGCTACATCACGTAAGTCTACGAACCTGGGTTTTGGATGCATAAAGGGGTACTTACCATAGTCACCGTCAGCGTTGATCCACTTTGCACCTTCTGTCAAGCCAGCATCTGACCAGAGCCGCTCGCTCTGAACTGGGTTGTACTTGTAGCTCTCCTCAATCCTGACTTGCTCTCCTGCACGAATGAGGGCACCTTCTATCGTCACATCTTCTTTGGGNNGGGAGACAAAGGCTTCGTGACGGTCAGTCTCCTTGTTGTATCGACCAATCACCTCCCATTTTTCAACGTCGAAGGCTTCGTAGCCAAGTAGTTTGTTTGCTTGCCTCAGGCCGCAAAGAATGAACTCATGCGTCAGACCTTCTCGATCATTGTAAGCGTGGTATACTTTGTCTGCATCCGTGCAAGCGTCGACACCCAACAACAAAGTATCGTTGGGGTCCAATGTCTCCGAGAACTGAGAAAGAAACTTCGCAGCCTCGTCTCTAGAAAAGTTTCCGATGCTTGATCCTAATGATAGGATTGTTTTTGATCGATGGGCGTTCTCTGGTTTCTTTAGCCATTCGAGGCCTTCGTCATATGTCCCTAGGAGTCCATGGCATTGTACGTGGTTGAAGGTGCCTTGCGGGACCTCGGCCAATGTGCGTTCGAGTTCTACCTCCGAGACGTCCAAAGCGTAGTAGGACACATTCTTGCCTTTGCGATCGAGAGCGTCGAGGAGGATACGGACTTTTCGGAGATTACTGCTTGATGGTCAGCGATCCGCAACCAGTATCACGCAACATAGTGGTTGTACATACCCACTGCCTAATTCTACTAGCATAGAGTCCGACTCCAGAGCAATGCGATCCGCGATACGATCAGCGTATGCTTCTAAGACTTGTATCTCCTGGCCTGTAGGATAATACTCTTCTAGGTATGTGATCTTCTCGAATAGCTTCAAGCCATCCTCGCTGTATAGCAATAGTGTAGGCAGCTTCTTCTCTTGTCCTTCTCTCGCATTGAGGCCTTCTCGGATCTGAGGCACTAGTGGCGTAAGACCTCCGCCATCTTGGCGGATATCGATAATCTTTGGGGCTGTGGTGGTATCCATGGCTGACGTGGTAGCGTTGCTATGGTGAAATGGCGCGATTTTGCGTGCTCAAAGGGAGGGGCAGACCGAGGGTATATAAGCCGCTGCACAGGTCTTGCTTCCCCCTCGTTCCTGCAAACACTTGACCCCACATCCATGTCCAGCTGTGTCATCAATGATCAGAAGCTCAGTCATCCCATTCGGAACCGTTTCCGTGCCGCAGACAGCCCCCACTTGAGGCTTGAGAGGCCAATCGGCTTGAATGAGGCTCGACTCGATCGAAGAACAATAGCCTTTGTACCTGAATTTCGCGGGGCAGCATGCGCGCTTCCTCAAGATCCATCTCTTGTTAACACTTTGGTGCCTAATGAATGATGCGGCATTTGTGCCAGGCACTGCCTGCAAGTCGACCTCGTGTGTTCTATGTCACCACCTGAATGGTGGCTGGGCCAATAATCCAGTTTGTTCGATCGATCTTGCGCACACATTTCCGCGTGACGTCAATATCGGACTTGATCTGGAAGGTCCGAGGCTTCGGCAGTCACGTTCACTTACTCGCCAAGCCGATCTTTGCTTCGAAGTGTTACCCTGGACATTACTTGCACACGGTGTGAAATGTTCTGTGACGATAACTCAATTACATCAATTTATCAAGGTCGCTGTGATACCTATCTGATCCTCTTTTCTTGAGCCTTCTGAATTGGTTCCATGTTGAGGTGAATACCACGAGCTTGCGCGTTTCGTTGCAAGCCACAGCTCAGCAAGAGACAATCAAAACAGAACAGCAACAATCTATCTTTCCCTCCTTGCGTTCACCCCCAAATTTGACTGCCATGTTCAGCGCATGGAAAGGCTACTTCTGGAAGCTCTGCTCTCGTCAAGGCTCTTCAGTTTCTTGGTTAGGCTGTTGAGCCTCTCCCTCAGTCCCTCATTTTCGCTTTGCAGTACTGCAACGTCGTGTGTCAGACTCTTGTTCTTCCCTTCGAGCTTGTTCGCGAGAGCGCGACGCTCACGTCTCTCTTTCTCCATTATGGATTCCAGACGTTTGATTCCTTCTTCCAGGCTGCCATCACTGAGCCCGGCCTTCTCTTTTTCGAGCTTCAGTACGCGTGAATCAAGTGCTTTCAGAGTGACAACATATGGTTCCTGCTGCGTCTCTTGTCTTGCAACCGGCATGGACTCCAAGGCCACTACTCTGGATTGCACATCTTGCCAGCAGTTGTGCGAGCTTTCCAGTTGGCCGACGCGCTCGGTAAGGGTTCCATTGGCGGACTGGAGATTACGCACAAGTTTGTCGTGATTAGAGAAGTATCTGCTCAGGTCCTCGAAGCTGCTGCTGCCGCCTTGAGTGTGTCCGATCGACGATGATTGGTTGTTGGTTGGCGCTTCCGAGCTCATAGGCTGATTGCCTCTAGTATCGCTCCTGTTTGGATGGGTGAGATGTAGAGTATCATCTACGTCTGGCTGTGGTACCTCGGCCAAGGACTGATCGCCCTCAGCTTGGTTCGGATCCAGAGAACCCTTGTAGCTGTCCTCACCGCCCTGGTTGTCGAATGCCAGCGCGTAGACTGATCCTCTCCTAGATTCCAGAGGCGTGTGGTACTCATCGCCATTGTCTTCACAAGCGGGCAGTTCGTGGAAATCGAATGCCTTCCCATTCATGGACGCTCTGGTACGCTTTGCAGGAGGCTCGGTGCCTTCCCTGTTGTCCACCTTGTTGAAAGCGCGTTTGTGTGCGTGGCCGCTTGGTCGGAACTGTCATATTGTCAGTGCCTATACAGCCAACAATCTGTGTGTGTGCCTTGCACATACTGGAGGATCCTTATCTTTTCGAACAACGGTGGCAGTCTTCTGGACGCCGTTGGCTTGAGAGCACTGAAAGTGCCTGCGGATACAGAAAGCACAGCCAGTGGTCTTGTACTTCTTGCCGAGCAAGGACATGCAAGCCCTGTCCTCTTTCTCGCACAAGTCGCACCGAGGGTTGCGCTCTTCGCCGTAGTGGAGACCCAGTCGTAATTTCTCGTCCTCACGGTTGTTACGATCGAGGCCCTCCCAGTAGTAGGCATCTTTCAACTTGCGGTTGTTGAAGTCTCCTGCATACAAAGGAGGGTGTGGCCGGACGACCTCGGCGTCGTGAGGGACTGCTTCCTTTCCGGGGCGGTAGAGCAAGACAGGAGGGAGAGAACGAGGCGAGTCTTGCTCGCCCAGTTCGGGAGAAAGGTTCATCATTGGATGGGACGTAAGAAGGTTATGAAAGAAATACGAAAGAGATTATCCGATAAGGTGAGAACGGGAACGGGGCGGAGATGGAACACGGGATATAATGTGGAGCGAGGGAAGAGAGAGCTGGGGCGAGTGTCAGGCGTTTTTATACCAGGAAGGAGATTCCAAGAGTCACGCTTCCCATCCGATGGGCCCGCATAACAACGCAGGTATGACCCATCTACGGACGTATAGACCAGGAAGGACCCATTCCCTTTGGTCGTCTCCTCTTAGAGCCAACTGATCGTATAGTCAAGTGAGCAGATTTGCGGCACATGGTTTGGAACGAAATCGATGGTGGAACTCTTTTGAGGAAAGGACTTGGGGCCAGAGAACGTTGCGGCGAATTATGGAGGACGTGTGGTTACTCACGAACATTGCCTTCTCCTCCTTCCTATGTGCTAATGGTTGTCACAGGTAACTGTAAAAATGCAGAATACTTCCTGCGAGTACATTGATATCCACTAAGACAGCGTTCTCCTAGGGTATCTCTAGGGCCATGCGTCTATTTACGAAGCAACTGTACGTTTCTATAACTGTTTAAGACAATACACAACGCGTGGAGAAGGAGAGTTGGGGTTGTGCGTCACTGCGCAAGTTATCGCAGGAAAAGCAGGAGGTGAGTCAAAGGACTGGCATCGTCCCTTTCGAAACTCTTCTTATTGCGGCTTAAAGCCTAACAATCTCCTTCTTTGATTTCACACTCTTCCACTTGAGTCAAAGCCCTGCCTCCTTGAACACAATGTCTGCTTCCAACTTCCACGAACGCTCTCAGATAGCTCGCAACTCTCCTGAATACGTACCGAGCGAGGCGTCAGTACGAAACTCGCCGCTCCCTGGCCCCAATCCTGCGATGCGAAATAACCGACCGGCCTTGCCTCGAAATGCTGTCATGAACCGAGAACATCCTCCCCTTCACGCCGGAGACTATAACAATAACCTGTCTAAGGACATGTACTGGTGGGAAAAGCTAGATGTCAACGACCCTGAAGAGAATAGGGTCCTTCTGGCCATGTACTATGGCGAGGAACGTCACCCTCGCTGCAATGTATGCGAAAAACAAAACCGTGCTTGCATGTGGTTTCTTGGGGAAGAAGATCAGATCAACAAAAGCTGCGTCAAGTGCCGTCGCGTACATGCTACATGCAAGACTATCGGGAGTCACGAATCGAGTGACGACCTGAGACCGAGTATTGAAACTCGCGAGAATACCGCCCAGCGTATATCCTCTCACAAACGCAAAGCAACCGAACCTGACGTAACGAAATCTGCCAAGCGCACCCGCTCTTCTTTGAGAGTCTACTCAACCAGAGAGTCTACTGATGACCAACCGGAAGTCATCTGTGTAAGATCTCAGGGGAAGCAGGATGCTGAACATCTTGAAATCAACCACCAAAACGGCTTCGAGACGCCTTCGTACGGTGAAACTCAAGTCAAGACCCTCCCTGATCAATCTTCCACTGCCGAACGTAGAGATGATCGTCTCTCAAGCATTACACTAGGAGCAGACGTGCGCTACCTGCAAGACACACCCAAAAGCCTTCTTCGTGTACGCCCCCAACATTCACAGGACAATACTCTGCCTGGCGTCACTCAAATCGGAAAGGGGCTATGTGCGCTCATTGACGAGCGATACAAGAACGAGCTTGACGGTCTCAGAGCCACGGTCAAGAATCAGGCAGTCGATCATCAAGCCCAACTTACGACCCTTCGCGCTGATCTCACAAGAAGAGACCATAGTGGAGAAGCGATTGACGAACATCAGATAAAGGAGTTGGAAACACAGATCGAGACTGAGAGAGTCAACAGACGCCGTCTAGAAGATGAGAACACCCGTTTGAAGAACAGGATGACCCGACTAGAGAGTGGGCAGAAAGCAGGGTTGAACGACCTTCAGGAGCAGATTAGAAAATTGAGGGAGGAGTTAGGTGTTAGATACTAGAAAGACAGTCACAGTTTCCTGTACAGTTCACCAGTGTGATGATTGCTATAAACATGCAGAGTTGCATACGGAATCACATGAGTGACCATGGAGATAGCTCCAAGATGATTTCTCTCCTTGGACATTGCTTCGTATCAAAAAGTATTGTGTATTCGTATGGTACTAGAAAGCTCGAGCGGCCCGAGAAGGAGAACGGCAGGGGAGAAGGAGCAGGGGGTAGGACCAGCCAGGAAGTAGGAGTTGACTACACACTCTCGATCAGCCCCCATGTATTGTCATGAAAGTAGTTGATGGACTTCCACCCACTAAGACTAGACGATACGACAGCAATCCCTCTCCATTCACGGGTTCGGGCCCTGTTACTTGCTCATTTCAACAAAGGTGAGCTACAACCAGCGAATCAGAAAGTCCAGAACAAGATCAGGTGGCATTTGACACCAAGACAGAAACTCAAAAGGGACCACGCAGGACCAATAGTCAACCAGCAGGGGATAGGGAAGAGACGAAGTCCGGTTGGGCCATCCCTCGTGGCTCGCGCCACCGGTAACTCCTCTATCAAATTGACTCATTGTATCGAACAGAGAGGCTATAAGAACCTCTCACCTGTGAATCAGAACCTTCCCTCCAGGTCTTGCCCATCCGATCAGACTTACTCCAAGCCCTTCCCTTCCTTCTCTCGACAGGGCTTATTCGGTCCCTTTCAATCATCATCAAGATGCCTACACTTAGGCCCATATACTCGAAGCCGCCTACGCCCGACCTCTCCAAAACTTCCTGGACGCCTCCCTTCCCTGGAGGCTACATCAACGCTGTACAACGAAAGCACCCAAGTCTCAGATCGGGCGACTACGACCCTATCACGGGCCTGTACTACTGGCAAAAGAAACGATTCGGGAAACTTGCCACCGCCCCTGACTGTCCCGACACAAAGAATACTAAGCGAGCGCTCACAGGCTTGTACTATGGTGTTGAAAACAGTCCTCGCTGTGGTCCGTGTGAGAAGTTTGATCGATTGTGCACATCGTCTGTCTACTCTCAAAACACGTCATGTACGAGATGTACATTGAGCTTTCACAAGTGCCCCTTCGCCAATGGGGGTGAAAATACGGTATGTACAAGGTCAGCATGAACGTGACAAGAGTCTATGCTGACACCACCAGGATACTGCTGTAGGCTCAACGCGCGTAGAGAATCGATCAAGCAATCAGCCACCTGCAATTCACCACAGAGGCCCTATAACATACGACAGGAACGCGGGAGCAGTGGAACAGCCGGAATTCCAACCACCCACAAACCACCACAGAAGCTCCGATCTAGGACCTCAATCCATTGGTCAAGAAGACTCGGATGACGAACCGCCTTCCAGGAGGATGCGGAGCCGTCGTACTTCTAACAAGAGGTATACCGATGTGAATATCGTCCAGCCACGACCAGAAGGTCCTGATCCTCGTGACAACATACAAGAAACCAGTAAGAGGACTAGCGACCCTCGACAAAGAATGATCTCGAAACTGGCATTGCCTCCCTCTTCTTGTTCCAAAAGAGTTGGTGGAGCAACAGATGACCCAGACTTCCAACCAGCCGCAAAGCGTCAGAAAAGCTCTCACTCAAAAGCAAGGCCCATCGATCAAGAAGACTCGGACGACGATATCCCTCTCAGGAGAATCCGAGGCCACCACAGTTGTGATATCAGGCATGATGCAAATGCCATCAAGCCACGGTCAAGCGCCCCCAGCCCTCACGACACTGCACCAACAGCCAACATGCAACCCGAGAGGCGCCGACGAACAGTAATCGAGTTACTGAGCTCACCACCCCCTCACCTCCCTCCTCACCTCTCTTTTGTACCCCATCCAGGACACCCGAGACCGAGCAAGACCCTTTCATCAAAGAACAGTTTCAAACGAATGAAGAACCTACCATCGAAGAACAGCCCCAATCTCAAACGGAAGACTTCTCAAAAATCACCACCGCGGCCGACAACATCCAAATCCAACAACGTCTTCGAGCCCTAGAAGCCGAAAACTACCAGCACAAAGCACGAGCCCGTCACGATCGACACCAATTCCGCAAGCTGCAAGACTAAATTAGTAAACTCAGAAAAGAGCAAGATCGCAAGCTTGGAGAAGGGATGCGCGAGATGCGTAAGAAGATGGAATTATGCCATCAATCAGTTCATGATACAGCAACCAATGGAAGCCAGGGTGGGGTGCTAAAGCAGATGTGGAAAGTCGTGGTGGATTGAAGTTTTTGGATGGTGTTGGTAATATAGATTGAGGTTGATGGAAACAAAACAGGACTGGTGCAGTGTTTCTAAAGACGATAGATTGTATCATCTGAGGTGAAGCGGTAATATTCTGAACGAGGTCGCGGCAAGCAACATCAATGTGACGATCACTACGCGAGGCAATGTAGGATGTGAAATTTGAATATCGTGAGAGGGTATCATTCATATATACGTACGGTAACAGAAAACGAGTCGCAACTCGAGAAAGCAAGTCTATGTTGTGAGAAAAGAAAAAGAAAAAATAGAAAAGAAGGCAGAGCCATGGCCGGAGATCGATGATCCTAGATCAAAAGGAACAGCCGAACCAGACGCTCAAAACAAACATCCCAAACTTGATGATTCGCTATGCAAGAAGAAGAGGAGGAAAAACGGAGAAAGACATTAGTGCCTGAAGAATACTCGGCAAGAGTGCAGGCCAGATTTATCGATAGGGGACGAGAAGATCAAAACATCTCGTCCTCGCTGAACCGGTATGCACCCCGTTCTTCGGCAGGAGTGCTGTACAATTCATATGGAGTTGGCGGCTCAACACGGTTGTGTTCATAGTTTGGCGGCGGCGTCTGGCGCACCGAGCTGCGAGGAATACTCCTACGCCCACTATCAAGAACGCTACGGTGGCGAGAACCGTATTCGCTATCTTCACCAGAGTCGCCGGAAAAACGACTCTGAATTCGAGCGTCGGGCCTGTCGAAAGCACGCAAGTACGCGGTAGGTGGAACGACAGTAGCCGGTGATGAGAGAGCATTATATGCTTCCAGACGCGAGGCGCTGCGGCCACCATCTGACTCTGCAGGTGTGCGGGGTCGTTGTCCTTGTGGAAGGCCCTGTGCCGTGTAGCTACCCCAGCTACCACGCGAGAGTTGCAAGCGGGTAACCTCATGCTGAAGGTTGCGGACTTGATTCTCGAGAGTTCGGCGGGCGGAGCGTTCTTCAGAGAGCATGTTGTAGAGGGCAGTGAAGGTTCCATTGGCCGTGGCAGCGGTACTGCGAAGAGTGGGAGGGGCAAGGTTGGACCGATCGCCATTTGTGCTGCCATGACTGCTCGGGCCCCATTCGCGTTCCATGATGTCGCCAGCATCTTCATAACCTCGAGCTCGGGTCTGCAGGGACTCGACAAAGATACTGGGAGTTTGCTGGCGATGCGATGAGCCCGGTGGCTCGGTCGGAGCGACAGCTGAAGGGCTAGAGAGAGCGAGATTAGACAGCGAGCGCTGGAAACCAACAAGGTGCGCCTCGAGTTTGGCAACACGAGATTCCAGATCAGCAGGGGTCTCGGTCGCAGGTGTAGTTAGTGGACGGCTGAAGGAGCGGAGAGACGTGTTTTTGGCAGGGACAGATTGGCCGCGCGTTGAAGGAAGCGAGACAGCATCAGAGCGCGGCAGAGGTGGATGTGCTGACAGAGGAGTTGGCGCCGAGACAAAGTCGGGTTCCCTAACGAAGTGTTCAGGAACTTCGGGCACATCAGGGACATCGAGTACATCTGGTGCATCGAATTCGGCATCGGCGGATGGGTACTCGTAGACGGGGGCTTTCCCGGTCGGACTGAGAAGGACGCTGGCATAGCTCCGGCGCCAATACTCGATCTCGCCTGTGCGATCCCGCAATGGTTGCTCGGCTACCGCGGCTTGCTTGAGATCATTTGCACTGCGCGACCTCCTCTTGTCCAACCTCGAGGTGACAGTTAATCCAGTAGGGTTCAAGCTTGTTTCGGCAGCTCTTGTGCCCTGGCCCGGTCGTAGTGTGTTCGAGATGTCGACCGCCTCATTGGCCGTCATGATCAGACTAGGCAGGGTGGCTCTCCGCTTCGGACCATGTTCGCGGGTATAGAATGGATTGCCCAGGTCCAGGGGCTTCAGGCGAGCGCTTTTGGGAAATTCAACGGCATGGACAGGCGATGCGCGCGCCGAGTTGTTCCTGTGATTGGGAAAGGGTGGTTGTTGCAACTGGAAAGGAGCGGAATGCGGGCCCGCAAGCGGAGCGGACAAAGGTGCCGAGATGATGCGTTGGTGAATGGCATCCGATGGGTGCGCGTGGATGGTTTGTGGTCGCTTAAAGTGGCCGGGGTNCCTGTATCACTGTCAGTGCTGTTGCGCGGTAGAACCTGGCATGTCCTAACGACTCACGCTTTTGTGATAGCCATGTCGCGAAGCCTCTGTCCGTGGTAAGGCGGGCACTTCGGGAATGTCGCCCTTGGACTTTCTCCCAAACAAGCGGCGCACCGCGTTGCGTATTGAACCCTTTCTCTCTGCACCTTCTGCTCCTACGCCATTGCCAACAGAGTACCGCGCTGATTTGCGTTTGCGGGGCTTGGGGGCCGTGTCGGTGCTGCGTCTTCCGTCTGCCTGAGGTTGTTGTGCTGTCGCCGTCGCCGTCGCCGTCGCCGTCGCCGTCACCGACGCGAAGTACTCTGCCGAAGGCCGCCCATACGAGACATTGTCGGCTCCTACTTCGGGTCGCGCCGGCCGGATTGGCGGCGAGCGAGTTCGTTGCGTCGTTACTGGTCCGTCCATGAATCCATGCAGCAAGTTGATATCGTCTGGTCTTTGTTACGTCGGTGCCGTGTATCCCAACGAGACAAGAGCGGTCAAAGAAGACGACGATGGAAAGGAAAAGACAGACGTGGTTGAGTGTAGCGAGCGACAAAGGTTACTGAAGGAATGGACAGGTGCAATGGCCGCGAGAAAGGTCGGCGTTAGTAGGTAGACACCAAGGCCGGTTCTCTTAGTATAGCAGGCGCAGCACACTGGATAAGAGATAGATATGCAGATGATTGCAAGAGTACGACAAACAAAGACGGAGACCGCGGCCACTCAGAAAAGGGCGACGGAGGTGCTGCGTCCGACAGGAGAACAGCAAGCAGCTCGCATACCAGAGACGGCCTCCTGGCTCGCAAGTGGGCATGCGCAAGAGGATATAGCCGGGAAGAGTCCGTTGCTCCAACCGTCAGCAGTGACTTATCAAGCAGGAAGCGTCTTCCGATTGCCATTCGTCGTTGCGGGGATCGCGCAGACGTGGCGTTTGCTTGCTCTTAGCCCAATAGCTTTTGCATTAGTCGTCGTTGTAGTACTGTTTCAGCATTCACCACATGGCAACGTTTTGCGGGCTCTGGCAGAATCCATCGCTGATTCGTATGCCTTCCTTTGCACCACCCTCACGCTGCTGCTGGCTGTATCTCTGCACCCTCTCAGACGTCGACGCCATTCTCTCAGCACGCGTATGCATGTAATTCACGACTGAATTCGCATTTGGTCCATCATCAAGGAAGAAGACTTCTTCATCTTCATGACTACGCTAGCCGAAGCCTATTTATAACGCGAGGGCTGCTTCGCGAAACCCTCGGATCTCTACAAGGCCTCTGGTCAAGCAACATCTGTCAGTGATGGCGCAACCTCTATCATCGCCATCGTCGCTTCGATAATACAATCAAATCCTATCTGCCCGTTCGGCTCGACGGTTGCGCCTCCGAAGCTCGTTGGTATCGAAGAATTGCTTGCTATAACGGGGTGCAGTCCTTCCTTTTCGGCACTGTTAATCTCCCGTCGCGCCTTTTTTTGCTGCCAAGCCCATTGTCACTGCGAGTCTGCGACCCATTCGGGTAGATCTCACCTCCGATTGTGCTGATTTGTAGAGCAGTGGGGACATCAACTCACGGTCCATGTCCTCGCATCTTCCTGCCCTGCTTTGCAATCACCGACTGCATCAGCAGACCACAAGGATACTTCTGTCTTGTACCATGTGTCGTGTCTTCAGCGTATCAAGCACAATCGCATTATCTGCATCGCCTCTTGAAACCAGCACAGCCATCAGCTAGACCGGTCAAGCGGTTCAGCGGTTCAGCGTGACACTCACTGTCTGTCAGACAAGACGTCCCGGAGTTCCTTGCCGGACAAACCCATCTGTCTGTCACACATTACTCCTCGCGCAATAAGTCGTCCAGATCCGGATAGCGCAGGTCTGCATTCTCCTCGAGAAACTCCATCCAGCTCTTGAGGAATTTGCTGCCTCTGTGAATACCGCAGAAGCGGTAACCTATTAGCTTCAAACCTCCGCTGTCTTTTTGTACTTGCGCGCGCACGCATGTGTATGCAGGTACAGCCGTCTGCAAGGGTGGGATGACTTACCGGCCTACCGTCTCGGAATCGCCAACTATACAAAGATGTCGCTTCGGCCGAGTCATGGCGACNNTGTAAGCGATTTTTAGCAGAGGTCATCGAAACTGTAAATGCTGTCTCGTACCATTGAGTCTTCGCTTTTCAGCGAGGAAGCCAACTTCGTGCTCTGCATTGCTGCGGACAAGGCTGACAACCACAGCCTCCTTTTCTCTACCTTGGAAACCATCGATGCTTCCGAGTTCGATACCAATGAACCTCTCCTTGAGCAGTTGTGACAACACAGCAAGCTGTCCGTTGTATGGTGTGACGACAGCAATATCCTCTGCTTTGACGCCAGCATCGACCAGGCTCTGTACGTGCTTTTTGACGATGGCTGCTTCAAGTTCGTTGCTCTTGCTCTCTCCTAGGAGACTGCTCTTGGACTTTGGTACATCATCATCGTCGGTCTTCTCGTGAAACTCGCCTCCCTGTGTGTCCCAGAAGACGACAGGCTCAGTTGTATCTTCGGTCTCTTCGACATCGTACGGCAGGTCTTTCAACAACCTTGCCTTGACACTGTCCGCCGCCATGAGCTTTGACTCGTACAGTGCTGCTGATGGGAATGCATTGATTTTCTCGTGCATACGGTACTGGATGGTCAGCATGCGCTTGATACTATCTCCATAGAGGTCAAGCATTCGATCGGAGAGCGTCGTCTCTAGATTGACGTCGTCATCCTGGCCTGTCTTGGGTTTGTTCTTGATTGACTTGGAGTTCAAGCTCTTGATTGTGGGTGGGAGTTGCAGATGGTCTCCAGCCAGGACCAGTTTGCTAGCGCCGCTGCTCAACAGAGGCACCCAGCACTGTGCTTCCAGAGCTTGACTGGCTTCGTCGACGACGACAACATCAAACTTTTGATTCTTGAGGTGAAACCCACCGGAGCCGTGTAGTGTAGCAAGGACGACTTTGCTTTCTCGGACCAGACTGTTCACGCAGGAAGCTTCACGCTGTCGGTAATCCTTGCGCAGCTCCTTGATTTCGCCATATATGGCCTTGCGCTCTCTGCCATTTCTTGTTTTGCGTATGCTTGCTTGTTTAGCATCCATCTCATTGCGGATATCTTTGACCAGCTCAGCGGCATCACTCGTACGTGTCAAGATGTCGAGACTGTGGTTCAAGACTCCCGGCAAGAGACGAGCTGGGTGACCAAGCCTGACCATTGGCACTTTGTGTGGTGACAGCCTCTCAACAATGTTGTCGACTGAGATGTTGCTGGGTCCGCAGACCAAAAGTCTAAGACCTTGTTTCAGACATTGGCGTATCAACTCAATCAACGTGTGAGTTTTTCCTGTGCCTGGCGGGCCGTGGATCAAGGCAACCTCAGGAGAGGCGAGTGCGAACTTGATGGCTTCCTTCTGCGAGTCGTTGAGAGATGGGTCCAACCATTCGAGGTCCTTTGCCATGTCTGCAGGCTGGACTGCGACTGCCGAAGACTGACCAAACAGAACGCGCATAAGCGTTGAGTGTTCGCTCTCAGGCATCTTCAACAACTTTGTCATGGTTTGGTTCATCCTAGCCATGGAGCGATCAGTCATGAAAACTCAAAACTGGTACAGAACACTGGGATACCTCTTATATGTAACATCGTTTGCGAGCTTAANCACTATAGAGACACAAAACCTATCAGCCAACAGCATTCTTCTCCAAGACGAACATGCAGAGATCACAAACAGCCAGAGTTTTCCGCCTGGGATATCAACTTCATCCTTGTCCAAAGCAACAACAATGATCTCCCTCAAGACTTTGACGACCACACCCTGTATCTGTTTCTTCTCCATGTCCTGGCGCTCTTTCTTCTTCTCTGCGCCCTTTGGCTGCTCGGAAACACCGACGATGTCCCCCACGCGCAAGCCATGTTCGGGGAGCTGAGTCTCGGTACCGGCAATGGCGGGATCCAGAGAAAGCTCGACCAGAGACTTACCACCCAAACCTGTGCGTTGAGCGCTGACAGCGAGGTTCAGGACAGCCAGACCGGCGCGTGCGAGAGTGGACGGCGCATGTGTGGCGGTGAGCAGAGCGGTTTCTTCGAGCTCGGCATTCAGTTCTGCAGCCAGGAGCTGTAGTTGCTTGTCAGCAAAGCTGGGTACGTCGATGGGTGCCATTGCTGTGTTTCTGACAGTGCAGACAAGATGGAACTCAATTGTCGTCTTGGTGTCAGCGCTTTCACATGAAGATGATGACGTCGGGCTTGGCGGACGATAAGATAAGGAAAGTCCCTCTCCACGCGATTCAGCAATGGTCAGCATGTTAGCGTCATACACACCAGACCAATGCGAACTTCACGAGTGTCTCGAGAAACTGCGCGAGTGGTGGATGCTCTGTCGTCGCAAGGATCCAATGGCGATACGCCGAGACGCTCTCTACGTAACTTTGCTCATACCGCAGATGTGAATTACGCGCCAGATGAAGCGAGCTCAGATCTATCTTCACTCCCCTCGAGTGCTTCTCCGTCAAGTGCTTCTCCATCGCCGCCGCCTTCGACTCGCAAACGCAAGCGTACAGTCAAATCCGAAGTGCTCTCCCCGAATCCCTCGGCCGCCAATCGCAATACCAATTTGCCAAAGAAGACGAAGCGACAGCCTGCCAAACGCATCAAGGGCGAACATGGCCGCGTCGAGCCTCCTGCCAATTGGGAACAAGTGTACAACATGACTGCTGAGATGCGCAAGAAGGTTCTCGCTCCAGTTGACACCATGGGATGCGAATCGCTGGCCGAACATAATCGCTCTCCAATCGACCGACGACTGCAAACACTGATTGCGCTGATGCTAAGCTCGCAAACAAAAGATACCGTCACCGCTGTCGCCATGAAGACGCTGCAAGAAAATCTTGAGGGAGGCTTCAATCTTGCTGCGCTGCTCACAGTTGAGCCAGAGCGCCTCAATGAGTTGATCGCAAAGGTCGGATTCCACAACAACAAGACCAAATACATCAAGGCGACTGCCGAGGTTCTCCGAGACCGCTTCAATGGTGACATCCCAGATACGATAGAAGGGTTGGTCTCATTGCCTGGAGTTGGACCCAAGATGGCCTATCTAACCATGTCCGCTGCATGGGGTCGCGACGAGGGTATCGGTGTTGACGTGCATGTCCACCGTATCACCAATCTCTGGGGCTGGCACAAAACTCGCAACCCTGAAGAAACCAGGGCGGAACTTGAGAGCTGGCTTCCGAAAGAAAAGTGGCATGATATCAACAAACTCCTCGTCGGATTTGGACAAACCATATGCTTGCCTGTTGGTCGCAAGTGCAACGACTGTACATTGGCAACAGAGGGACTGTGTCCGAGTGCTGTCATCAAAAAAGAAGTCGTGAAGCGGGTCAAGAAGGTCAAAGATGAAGATGAGGTGAAGACGGAAGTTGATGCAGTCGTCAAGCAAGAGAAGGCTGATGAAGACGCTCCTCCGCTGGATGCTCCACTTGTTGGTGCCGGTATTGTGCCAGACATCGAGGGCATGGGTGCAGGTGTCAAGAAGGAGGAGACATGATCCTTCGGCTTGCTTCCCATCTCTTGCCCGTATGACACTACGACATCAATGACTATATACATAATGTACAAATCAATTCTTCATACTAGCCATATGTGATTATTTAAATTCAACCAGTCAATCGTCTAAGCAGTCTTGCATACTTTCCCAACTCTACCCAACTCAAAGAGGAAGAAACTGTGAATGATAAAAGAACAGAACACAAAGACCTTGTCCGCATTTATTGACGGACGCGAGAAGAATACCAACAAAACAAAAAAGAAACGATCCTGGCAATGGGCGGAATCGAACCGCCGTCGGGTCGGCGTTGCTGGACTTTAACCTCCACAACGACACATGCTACCACTACACCACATCACCTTAGCTTGTAAGGGTTGAATCCGGTTGGCCAGATTCAGGATCTTGAAAGCACGTTTGTTGACACTGAACATATACATATACTGCAAAACGTGGTGTCCGCCATCATCGCATCGAGCTATCTAACTGTACGCAATATGGATGGTCCACGTCTTGTTCAATGTTCAGTGTATTGCTGAGGAAATCTTGCACTCCATCCGATCTTGTATTGCACTTTTCTCTCTCTTCGTTATTATAATTATAACAAGCATGTGGTTGCTTGCTAATTTGTGCAATGTACCTCCACGGTTTCGCAAGATTTGATTAGGAGTGTCAAAACTCCATGAAGACATAGATACTTATTAGTGAACCACAAGTGAAGATTACAGAGAAGTTGTCAATGATTTTGGATCTCACAGTATTGATGTTCGGTCTACAGAGCATCATTGTCGGTGCTATATCATGGTGAGTTGGTGACAACCAGGGTGATATGCTCAGCAAGTAAATCGCATATGATATAGAACCACGGAATATGACAACCTTCGCAGCCGCGTATGGTGAACGAGAAGATAGATTTCATCAAGAGCAAAGGCTCTTTTAGAAATACGTGTAGCCAACCTGAGGCTAATTATATGGTTCTACGTTTGTTCAAAAAGCAACTGTGCTCTTTTATACCTGATGAGAGTGCCACACTCACTATAAAGAAGAGGTCAATTGAATATCATGGCAGTGTTGAGTACACGAGGGAGGTGGAGCGCCTGCGAAGATGGCGGCGAAGACGAGATTCCATGTAAGAAGTAATTGGACCGGATCAAATGTCTGTTTCAAGCAATATCTTTGAAAAGGCAACCTCGAGCAGCCAACTCTCAGTCCAGCCGATAGTTCAAGATGATATGTACGGTCTGTTTTAAAGGCTCTACATTTAGCCCTATAGTATGAGAAACACAGGTTTTCTATGACTCCTAGTCCAATGCTGTTTCATGCAGTATCGTGAATTCGTAATAGTATGAGGAGCTGAATGTGCTCAGAGAGGAGCATATGGACTTCTGTAAACATCCAGGGCAGAGGCATTCAGAACCATGACATGAGGGTCGGGATCTGCGTACAGGTCGTGGTAGACAGCAACGTTGTGGTAAGGCGGAGCAAGAGAAGGATCGAGGACATGTAGGTGGTGTGGTTGCAGCTGCGGATGGTGATGCGGATGCTGCGATGGAGGTACAGTCAAGTCCTGCCACGGGTCATGAAGGTGGGTATCAGTCGAAAGCTCGGCGAGGTGGTCGATTGGGACGTGTTGAGGGATATATCTCGGGAGGGGAAGCTGCTGTGTCAAAGGCTGGACGGGGTCCTTTTGGACGGTGACCTTGTTGGCGGCACGGCGACGAGGAGCGGCGGTAGAGGTAGATGCGGTGGCGCGTGTACGGACAGGCCTCTTCTCGGGAGCGATGCCTGCTCGAGAAATGGCGCGCGAGATGGTCGACATGGACACAGTCAGTTGCAGTTCCTTCTGCAGATGGCGGCGCATCTCGTCGAGCTCCATGTCTGGTTTGGCGGCAAGCAGACCTTGCAGGAACTTGTCGACGCCCTCGCTCATGGCACGCGGCCTGCCCAGCGTCTTTGTCTGCACGCGACCTACGGTGCCGTGCTTCTTGAACTTTGTAATCTTGAGATAGACGTTTGTGCGCGACACGTTGGGCACGGCGGCGCGAATGGCCATGGCCGACTTGCCCTCGCTCACCATGCGCTCGATCGTCGCATTGTCCTCGTCCGTCACCATCGTCTACATGGCCATTGTCAGTTACATGTCAAGACGACTGGCAGAGTACAGTCATGCAAGCTGGCCGTGTGCATGGCATGGCGTACGAAGATGCGCTTACCGACGTCGTTTGCTTGTGAAATAGTTATGGGAATTTGGCTGCATGTCCCATCAATTTTGCTCACTCGAGCCGCTTCGCTCTGCAACGGGGACCGAGCACGAGCACAAGCAGCAGTGAAGCTTCAAGGTGCCAACATCCCGTTTCTTTTCACCATGATTAGAAAGCCACTGCTCCAACTGTGCTTCGTATATCTTCTGTAATACTGCATTTGCAACTCATGCTGTAACATGCACACTTGTCTCTCCTCTGAGCTGTCCCTGTCTCTCTTACGCTGCTCGATCCTGCGTCTGGCCTTGTCTCCTGTGCACTCATTCAAATTCCAGTTTCAACAGTCTAGGGCGCCCTTCTCTGTCCGTTCCCAGACACTTGCGCTGAACCCGGTGTGGGCCCTCGTATCTGTTGCGAGCGAGGACGATCTGTATACCGAGGCCGCTCAGCATTGCGCCGTCTCCTTCGCGCCATGTACTCCTTCATATGAATGCACAGCCGGTGCGCTCGCCAACGGTTTCAGGGACGTCGCCTTCCATACCGTGCTGCGGGACGACGGCTGATTGCCTGATTACCGTTTCGCAATCAGTGCAAGGTGCTCTCCTTGCCCCCTCAGACGTCATATGCAAAGGTCAAGGAGCATAACAAGACTCCGCCAAGGCAGCATGGCTTGATGCTCGGTCGCTGCACCCTCGGCTCCTGCCCAAGACATGCTTCCCTTCTAGAGGCTCGAAGCCTCCGCCAGAGGTGCGAGCCCTGTACTCGGATGTCTTACTAATGGCAAGACAGAGACATCATGACATGAAACCTCTTCTGAACACACGTCAGAGGTATCGAGGTCGACAAATTCAAGGTTCTAGCTGACATTCCCATGCTAGCGAATGCAGAGTTTCACAAACGTTTTGCCAATACATACGTCTCCTTCAGACCCGCAGGCAATGGTCTGAATCATGAAGCCGTCGGCCTACCGAAAACAACAGAGGTCACAAGAGATCTGCCCTAGTCGACGCAACCATCCTGGCTGGTGGGTATGTCGTGAACTTGCAATGCACCAAGGGCGGACACATGGCGCATATAAGGATCATCGCTTATTGTTTGGCGACAAATCTGTGCAGAGTAGGTGCGCCTCTCGCTCACGGACGCCTTTTTCTAGAAGCAAAACCGAACACAAGGGAGTCAGCTTGGCGGGGTTTCTCCTTCCGAAATTGGGCGCGGCCGTTGAACCTTGCAACCACATCCACACAATCCAGCCCTTTCAATTTTAACGTATGCGTGACAGTTCGATAATCGAGAACGATGTACACGATAATACGTATCTTGCGGTTGACGGATGGCAACTTGTCCATGAGACAGCAGATGCAAACGTCTCGTGCCACGCCGAAAGCGTGCATCCATGATGGAAAGAGAGGGCCCAATCCTTTCTTCAGCGTCTGAGCATCCCGCAATCGAACATGCACGGTTGGCGTTCACCGATGGTCCCGGCTTTTGGGTTAATTATTGCCATGCTCCTCATGACTCCTGGGCACGTTGTGTCTGTGTCAGATCAAAGGGTATTTTGCATCTAGTTGCTAGGCTCTATTTCCTGCATAGACGTTTCGTCCCTCGTCTCTTTAATCGAAGGGGCCGCAAACATTAACATTCCACTCCCCTCTTGCCTTGCTTGCTCGCTTTTCCTTATACCACCCATCCCACCTTCCTCTCTCTCGACCACCCCCGCGTTTAGGCTCGCTTTCGACTCTCCTTTTGCTCGACCCAGCTGTCCGGATCCGCCATCGTCTTTGTAGTCGCTGCTCCCATCACCACCTCACAACCACCACGACATCGTCCGCTCGCGGCATCTGCACTAAATTCAATAACACGACTGGCGCCGTGTTTCTTCTGTTGAACAACTTGAACATACCCATAAATAATATCTGAACTTTTGGCTGGTCCCAACTCTGCAATAATACAACAACAACAATACTCGGCAGAAACAGGTCACCGCCTTCACGCAGAAGTGAGTATACCACTATCGAGTCCTTTTTCTCGACGTCAACCCCGAAACGGCTAGTCTACTCCTGTGCGACAACCAGAAGCTGATTTCACTCTGCCAAAAGATCTCATACATTCACCGCGTCGCCATTCACCGCGTCTCATCCCATAACGCTGCGACAACTCTTCTCTTACAACCTTCTTTCCCACAACCTCTCCTCCCACTTCTTTTCCAAAGATCTTTCATTTTTCTACTTGCATTCCCTCGTACCACACCACATACACAGCCATGGAAGGTAACGGCGGTAGAAGCGGTAGAAGAAACGACTCTATCAGCAGTGTCATGTCTCTGGGCGCTGACAACACCTCGCCCTCATGGGCAGACGACAACAACGCACCTGCCGATCAGAGATCTTCGCGTGCAGAGCAGAACCTCGATCATGAGGCATCTGTGCACATGCTATCACAATATGCCCACGAAGACCCTTCATATACTGATGGCTCGAACACCTCTGAGACTGATCAATCCGACATGATGAGCCCTCTGGAGATGCGCCACGCTATCTTTGAGTTGCTCGATGAGCTACCCGAGACCGCCGCAATTGACCTCGTCACCCCTTACCAGAGAGCCGCCATGCTTCCTCCTGTCACCCAGGACTCACTTTGCGAGTTGGATGTTGGACGCATCATCAACAACCCCAAGCTGCGCCACGATGTCAACTTTGACCGTGAACTCCACTTCAGACCCAACCTCGATGGATCAAGAGGCAAGCAAAAGCTCAAGTCGGCTGACGAGTACTGGAAGGCCTTGCTGGCCGAGCTGGAGATCTACAGAGCAGTCGGCTACCGTCTGATGACTAGCAGAAGCGCAGAGGAATTGGAGTACTGGACTTGCATGATCAAGGCCAACCAGATCAGACTGCCAGGAGTCTTCAGCACCATCTACGAAATCCTCAAGACTCTTGTGCCTGACCGTGACCAGGCCATCGTCGCAGAAAGACTCGACGTCGAGATGATTATGCAGCAGATCTGCAAGGGCGTCTTCGATCTTCTGGACCTGGCTCAGTGGTTGGCCACCATCTTGAAGGCACACTGCGCCCCTATGAGAGATGAATGGATCGACCAGATGGTTGAACAGACTACCAAGGGCGTCCAGGAGGGCGATCAGAAGGCTGTTGTTGTCGGACTCAGACAGACTCTGGCCATTCTCGAGGCTATGAAGCTGGATGTCGCCAACCACCAGATTAGACATCTGCGCAGCCTCCTGATCGACGACACTGTCAACTTCCAGCAGAAATACCACGTCCACAAGATCGCTGCAAACAAGTTCAAGGTTGATGGCGCACGCAAATGGTTCAAGGAAGAGCAGACTATCCTCAGCGGCTGTAACCTCGCCCCAACCCCTCTGGAGATATTCGCTTCGGCTGTCCTCCGCTCCTTGCTTTCTCCGAGCACTATCCCCCACTTTCCCGACACCTTCCACCTCGACTACGAACGCCTCCGCCTTCTTCGCAGTGATCTTCACAACATGATCCAGATGGAAATGTGCTGCAACGCTTTCGATGTTCTCATCAAGGACAAGGCTGACGAAATTACTCGTGCTACTGGTAAGAAGTCGCTCCAGGCCAACATTACTGATATCATCGGTGATTCCCGCCTCTACCTTGAGAACCTCGAGAACATCTCTGCCGAGATCGTTCGCCTCGTCCTCCAGCTGGAAGGTGCCAGCATCACCTTCGACTCTGATATGATGAGCATTGTCGAGCACCACCTTCGCGCCGAGCTGCCCCTTGCTTCTTCTGCTTTCAGCATCCAGCTTCAGAAGATCCTCGATACCGAGCTTCCCAGACTGTGCAACGCTGTCAACTCCAGCTCAAGACTCCCTCTCCTGGCTCTTCACGATGTTATGCTTCCTCCCATCCAATCTGCCGGCAAGCGTGCTCCTACCAAGGCCATCGCCGAACCACTCCTCGATGAGATCCTCAAGCGTATCACCCATCTCGCTGTGATTCACTGGCACGTTTGGTCGCCCATCGTTTACGACCCTCAGGTCGAGGCAGACTCGAGTCCTCTCGGTTCGCCCGGCAACAACCCAGACACATCTTCCATGAACACCACTGCTACCTCGCCTAGCTCGGTCGCCTCGACTCCCGAGATGCAGAGCCAGGGCAGTGGCTTCACTCAACCCTCTGGCCCTTCCATCACCAACGGTCGCTCCCAGAAGTAGACCAGCCACCACCCATCAATCCTTCGATTGATTGCCGCCTTGTAACATCACCACCCAATTAATTCTCGTTTCATTATTGTTTTTCAACCACCACCCAAGCTAGTCTGGAGCAGCGAGTTTCTTTCGCCTCCTGGGACATGCTCGGTGTGTGTGGCTTTCTGCAGATACCCCTTGTGTTTTTCGGTTTCTTTTCTCTTTTGTTGTCTTTACATCATCATCATGAAGCAGTTCAGCAAGGCGCTGGCGGAGTTATCAAGTCAATCGTTTATTTCCGGAACGGCGGAATCGTGTTATTAGCAAAGCAGTCACTCCCTTGTAAATAACTTATATCAAGTTCATCTTTTTCTCAAGCCTTTCTCATCTTGAAGCCTGTCGATGCAGTAGAATCAGTTCGATTTAAAGTACGAACAACTTCTTGGACGTTTCCCTGTGATAGAGCATCGACCTCATGAAGGTCAATGTCATGCTCTATAATTGGTTATCCTCAGAGCTTGGCCTCAGACGGGAAGGTGTCAAATAAATTAACCCCACGGCTGGGAAGAAGCTTGATTTGGGCTCTAGACCTGTCACGGTCAAGTGTTGGCTCTACCCGACGAGCCGAAGGTAGGCCGCGAACGTGGGGGTGAACGAGAAGATGATATCACTTTTCGACTGCCTCATTGTTACGTAGGGACGGCAAGAACACTGATCATGATGTGTATGCGCGGCAGGAGATTGAATCACAAATGTGCATGACTGCCGCAGCTTCCGTCAAATCGGATTTATATTTTGCTGTAGAGTCCGATTATCTTTCCTCTTCGTTTCCAGTGTGAATTACTGTGAGAGACGAATCAAATATGGACGCGAAGAACCCCAACAAGGAGTACAGATCGACTCCCGAGTACGCAGAGTACCAGCGAGACAACTTTTGGGCCGACAATGAAGGAAAAGTGCCACCTTTCAACACACGTAAGCAATGCAATTGAACTGGGCAGCGGATGCGATATTGAGAGATATCACAGATNCCCGACAAGCTCGAGGAAAGAGCAAAGGAGAAGCTTTCAGAAGGTGGCTGGTACTATGCCTCTTCCAATGCTGGCTACTCAACAACACACCTCGCCAACCGCCAGGCCTTTTACCGTCACCGTATCATTCCTCGCATGCTAGTCGACACCAACAAGCGCGACACCACTTGGGAGATTTGGGGTCATAAAACCAGCGCACCCATTGGATTTTCTCCTATCGGTATCAACAAGATCTACAACCCTCTTGGAGAACTTCCGGTCGCCAAAGTTGCCAAAGAACTTAATTTGCCGTATTGTTTGAGTACTGCTGGGTCGCAGCCGATTGAGGATGTTGGTGCTGCTAACGGAGAAGGTCCTCGTTTTTTCCAGTTGTACATGCCACATGATGATGAGTTGACCGTTTCGCTCTTGCAGAGAGCCATTGATTCGGGCTTCACCGCCTGTATCTTGACTGTTGAGTATGTGGTTTTCTGGATCTTCTGATTTGAGCAGCCGCTGACAAATTTATTACAGNNCACATGGCAGCTTGGATGGAGACACGACGATGTTGCACACAGCAACTACGCTTTCTACCATGGAATTGGTGCTGATTTGGGTCTGTCTGATCCAGTCTTCCAGAAGAGGCTCGCAGAAGACGGTATCGACCCTAAGAAGGAACCTAACAAAGCAGGTGCCAAATGGATCGACAATGTCTGGCATGGAAGAGCCCACAGCTGGGAGAAAATGCCCTGGCTCATCAAGACATGGAAGGAGATGAGTGGCGGCAAGCCTTTTGCTATCAAGGGCATTCAAAGTGTCGCCGATGCAAGAAAGTGTGTTGAGATTGGCTGTGATGGTATTGTCGTCAGCAATCATGCTGGAAGACAGGTTGACGGTGCCGTGGCGAGTCTTGATGCTTTGGAACAGATTGTTGATGGTATGTTCATGGAACCGACTCCTGGTGTTGCAGATGCTAACCTCATCTCTTCAGCTGTTGGCGACAAGATCTACATCATGTTCGACTCTGGAGTTCGTGGTGCCTCGGACGTCTTCAAAGCTCTTGCACTTGGAGCCAAGTTTGTATTCGTCGGTAGACTCTGGGTCTGGGGCCTGAGCATCATGGGAGAACATGGCGTCAGACACGTCATGAAGTCGCTTTTGGCCGACTTTGATATCCTCCTGAATGTTGCTGGCTTCCAGAATGTCGAGCAGATTGTGGGCAATCGCGAAGCACTCGAGTCCTTGCCCAAGGTATACACTCTCATTCAGGAGAGAGCAAAGCTCTGAGCAACTACTGCATACGAAGGATGATGAAATGATGGACATGATCAAGTATAGAACTAGTAATCAGAATTTTGAACGTTGAACCTTGATACATCGAAGTTGAAATCTGCTCGAAAACCATGTCCTTCTTATCGAAGTTGCGTGTTGCATTGGTAAAGAAGAGAGTTCTCTTGCAAGTTATCCTTCTGTTTTGTTATTGAGTCCGTGCGCACAGGCGGACTTGACGTTCAGCTCATGCACCAAGCATCCATCAGTCTTGCCAACAACCAACACATTTTCGAGGAAATTGTAAAACAAAATGGACAAATCGCACGGCTACGAGACAATCGCACACGAAACATTTTCGGAACTGCTAGACTCATACAGAGAGCTCGTCCCCAGCAAGCTCGATGAATTGGAGGAACAGCGTCTCCAAACCATCCCGAAATCACTATCGGAAAGGACCGACGACGCATGTTTGAACAAGGCAGAGGTGCAAAAGCTGGTAGACTGGAAACTGTACGTTTGAAAGCGTTGAGTTGTCCTCATCACGCAATACGAAAACTAACCTCTTTCTCCAAATCCTTTCAGCGGCCATGGCACTTTCAGACCCTCTTTGCGCAAGCTCGTCGACTCAAACACAGACGAGACAGTGGAGAAGTGCACACGAGAAGCGTTCGAGACCTACGACAAGGACAACGAGCAGTGGGACAAGGCGGTGGCGATGATGGCCAAGGGGCTTCGTGGCGTAGGACCCGCAACAGCCTCGCTCCTCCTCAACACTTACGACGGCGACAAAGTGCCATTCTTCTCGGATGAATTGTACCGTTGGGTCATGTTCTCCGAGGGCAAGGGCAACGGATGGGACCGAAAGATCAAGTATTCGGCAAAGGAATACCAAGAGCTGTACAAGAGAGTGGAGATGTTACGAGAGAGATTGGGCAAAGAGAGCGACCAGACGATCACGTCAGTTCAGGTGGAAATGGTAGCGTACGTGCTAGGACGGAGACAGATCGGGGGAACGAAGAGAAAGGAGATTGATGAAGAAGAGAAAGAGGTGGTTGATGAAAAGGCAGATGAAGACACGACTAGAAAGAGACGAAGAAGAAGGGTATAGATGCTCTTTTACCTTGAATATAGATTGAGCTTGCTCTTACAGGTCTTAAATCGTGATTTCAAGGGTTCTCAGGCCGTGATGAGCTGCCGATGCATGACAGACATTGACTGCCATAGGGCTGAGCACGCCATACAGGCATTGCGAAAGTACTGGCTGCTTCAAGCCACGGTCCTCACCGATACAACCTCTAGGGACGGAAGATAATATAGGCTCTTCGAGAGCAGGATGTTGTGCACCTACACTCATTCTATTGGCGATGTAGTTCGCATTACCCGAAGTAGTGGTGCCGTCTGAGTGTGCAGAGGGCAGCGGAAAAGATTGCCCGCTTCAGTCAAAGATATTATTAAGCATCAGCGTGTGCTTCGAAAGCAGCAGTGAGCCGAGGAAAGGCGGGGGTTCACAGAATGGTTCCCGCAACCTAATATGGACTAGTAGGCGGAGATGAAGAGCAGGGCAGAACAATACCAAGGTTACGAGTGAGATGATTCGAGGGGTCACAAAGCAGCAAGAACAATAGACTAGTCAGAAAACAAGCGATATGACAAACAAAAGTAAGGCGAGTGGAGTGGTCGCAAGCGGGACGAGGAGGAACAAGAAGGACAAAAGGGATTGACACGACTATGATGCCCTCAAGGAACAAAGCGGAGGCGCGGCAGAGCGCGAATCGAGGGCTGTTTCGGCGCACGTTCCAGCTTGCAAGTGGGCTCGCAAGCCCCCGGGCTCCCAACACTCGCAACTTCAGGACGTCGCACTCGAATTCGTCCGACTGTTTCCCTCCTGCCTCGCTCGACAAAACCACCCACTCACCCCCACTACCCTCTACCACGCCCAGCGACCCTTGGACACCACCCATATATCCCCGGACTCGCCGCCTCTGATATTTGCAACCACTTCCAGCGCCGCCGTGCGCCTGCCGCCCATTTCCGCCCGTCATGTCGACCTACAGCGCCCGTCGCGCCCCCAATGTGTCGCAATACATCGCCAACCTGAACACGGTGCCCTCGGCCGCCGACCTGGCCGCCCAGCAGGAGCTCGGAACCTTTGACGACGACCTGGCCATGTTCACCAACACTCAATTCTTCGACTTTGACGGCGACATGCCCGCCTTCCCCGACATGCCTCAGCAGCAGCAGTCCCCCGCCAACATGCAGCCCGACATGCACAAGCCCCTCGACTTTGGAAATGGTACGCTTCCTTTGGCACGTCAGCATGCCTTCCACAGCTAACCAACAGTAGCCAACAACAACTTCCAATTCCCCGACTTTTCCTTCCAGCAGTCGCGCCCTCACACCCTGCCGACCTCGCCGCCCAATGGTCTCGCCATTGCTCCTTCACCCTCAGCCCGTCTGGACTTCCCTGCTCAACATGCACCTCGCATGCCTCAGCCCCAACCTCAAGCCGCTTTCTCTCACCCATCCCCCCAAGTANNGGGAGACAAGCGCAAGTCGACCGTCGCCGCCATGTCGTCGCCTGCTGACCTCGAGGACGAATCCCGCATGGCTGCCGAGGAGGACAAGCGTCGCCGCAACACTGCCGCCAGTGCCCGTTTCCGTGTCAAGAAGAAGCAACGCGAGCAGGCTCTCGAGAAGACTGCCAAGGAGATGTCAGACAAGGTCCAGCTCCTCGAGGCTCGTGTCAACCAGCTCGAGATGGAGAACAAATGGCTCAAGGGCCTCATCACCGAGAAGAACCTCAAGGGCCCTTCCGCCGACTCAGAAACCACAGACGCCAAGGAGGCCGAGACAATAATCGACTCGTCCAAGAAGGGTGTCGGGACCGAAAACCAGGCTGAGGCTGTCGAAGCTTGATTACCATCATTGACACTCCCTCCGCCGTTCCCAAATCTAAAATGCCCTTTTGCTTTTCTGCCTTTCTTACGCAATGTCCGATTCTTGACTTTCTACCATAGTTGAGTGGATTATCTTGGTTTAAATTATATACATGCCAAATGCTAAATGCATCTACTTGTTGACTTCTACAAGCGTGCCGACCGCTTTGGTCTCCTTGTTGGGCTCCATTTAGCATAGGGATGATCCGCTGCGGTAGGCACTAGATGGTCGACGTCTAGACTGTTGACCAGACCAGGATGCACCTCTGAGAGGTTGTTGATGCCGACCAACTTCATGCTTGTCTCTAGCTCGTCTTTGAGGACTGTGGTTACTTGTCAGTGTCGTCTCTCCAAGAGTATGTCTGATGTGGGCTTACTGTCGACCATATGCTCCACCCCTTCGGCTCCGTAGTTGACTGAGTACAAGAAGGGTCGTCCAAGACCGACGGCCTTTGCTCCCAGACAAAGACACTTCAAGATGTCAGTGCCTCGACGGATTCCGCCATCGACATAGACCTCCAGTCGTTCGAAGATCTCTGGACAACGGCGTTGGCACTCGAGCAAGATCATGACCGAGGGTGGCGAAGTGTCTAAACTCCTGCCACCGTGGTTGCTCAACACGATACCGTCGACACCAGCATCGGCAGCCAGCTTTGCATCCTCTGCACTCTGGATGCCCTTGAGCACAATCTTGCCGTCCCAGCAACGACGCAGCCACTGCATGTCGTCCCAACTCAAACTGCTGTCAATGTAATTACCCATGATTCTGCCCAAGCCGCCGCCTTTCTTGTCATTGACGGCTTTGGCGCCCGACATTGGTGCGTTTGTGCTGGGGTCTGCAGAGACCCTTTCGTCGGCCTCGCGTTTGCCGGGTACGGGTGCGTCGACTGTGACGAAGACGGCCGAGCAGCCGGCGGCGCGGACTCGCTTGAGGAGTTTTTCTGATTGCTTGCGGTCCTTGTTTACGTAGAGTTGGAAGAAGAAGGGCTGGCCTTTTTGTACCGACGAAACGACTTCGTCGATGGGGTATGAAGCATTGCTGGACACCTGTGTTTTGTAATCAGTATAACTCGCTTCAATCTAGTCGCCTTCTGTATATGGTAGACTCACACAGTATGGCACATTTTCTTTGCTCAAACCTCTTGCAATCCCCTTTTCACCATCCGGATGCACCAACTTGACCAACGCGGCCGGATGCACCATGAACGGCACACCAACCCCATGCCCCAGAATCGTCGTCGTGGTATCAATCTCACTGACGTTCCTCAAGATGCGGGGTCTGAACCAGATACGGCTAAAGAAACTCCTGTTCCTCTCATAGGTATAGCAATCCGTTGCCGCCGAACTGTAAAAGGCCCATGTCTTTTTGGCGAGCGTGTTTTTCGCCACTTCTTCAAAGTCGTCGCAGTTGATCAGGGTGCTCAGTGGAGGCTTTTGGTAGGAGGGGAATGTGGATGGTGGGGGTTTTTGAAAGGTGTCGCCTTTGTTGACTCCGCCCTCGACGGTGGCATTGGTTTTTGCAGACATGATGTTTGCAGAGAAATGAAGTAAAAGCAGTACAAAAAGTACAGAGATCCGATGACTACTACGTCTATATTTCAAGTACACATTTCTTGAGAGTATTGCCGATGTCGTCGGGTATTGACGATTCGCAAAGAAAGCCGATTGCCCCTCGTTGATGTTCTCGGGTCAAAGCCTCCGAGATGTCGAGGTCATCGGCACGTACTTCCGAGATGGAGTATATGAGTAGAGTTATCAATCTACGCAAGAGATCTAGTAGCAGAACTTGTCGAGAAGATAGCTGATCGTTGTAGCGAATGGCTTTTGCAGCAGGAGTTGACGCGATGGAAAGACGAGTACAGTCACAATGTAGTTGTAGAGATGCACAGTACTTTCCGTCTCAGAGCGAGATTTACAGAGATATCGGCATCATTGGACATGTCTGTCAAGAACGCAACGGTACATTTCATAGCAAACCATAACACTACATGTCAGTGCGGAAGGAGTGAATCGCGAGGTCATGGCTGTCTCTTGCACGAGGTGAGAATGGAATCATGTCAAGTCGACAGATTTGGAAGGCGCATAGTATGGATGAGAGCGGAGTTTGTACGAAGAGAAGCCGACCAGGAGGGCCGTGCGCGGTCGTTGCCTTCAGGTGGTGTCTGCTAGGCAGGCGGTTGCCATCGAGGATTGACTGAGCTGTACCAGAGTCGACTCACCGCCCGCTCACCGCCTTGAGCAGCGCGTCATCTCGATACACACTCGACAAGAAATTTGTATAAGACGAACTGTGCTCTCCCCGGTGGAGTGACAGCGCGGGTCGTAAAGATGGGTCGCAAGCCGAACGCGTTGATCCTCGAGTTCTTCGAGCGAGGCGCAAAATTGGCCGACCAGAGCAACAGATACGAACACAGCTGCAAGCGATGCGGCCAGGTGGTGAGCATGTCTTGTACGAGCTGTTATGTGCTGTTACTGATCAAGACANNGTTTCCGAAGGGCAGACCGGACAGCCTAACACGCCACTTGTTCGAGAAGTGCCCCAACATCACCGACGAGGACCGCTCCCGTGCCTTGTGGCAGCCCGCCGACAACTACATTGCCTCGAACAACTCGACCCCCCAATCCGACGCAGACCTTCCCCTGATGCCACGCCGCGAACCTTCAGGCCTGGATGCCCTTGCCGAAGTCTCTCGCCAGCTCCAGGCCAACGGACAGCATGAAGAGGCTCTGGTAGCCCAGCTGCGACAGCACATGGACCAAGAGAACAAGGACATGCACACGCCTAGTGTAGCTGCCGACATGGCTCACCACATGCCCACCAAGCCGAGAAAGCGTAGAGCCGAATCAGATGCTGCTCCACAGCGCCAACCTCCACACCCACCAGTCGATCCACAACTCCAACACCATGACGACTACTCGTCCTTTGTCAACAACTCTCTGGACGACTCCTCTGCTCATCAGTCGCCTCAGCCTCCGTCTCAGCAATCCCACCAACGCCACCAGTCGCAACAACCACAACAGCTACATCAGCACCATCAATCACACCAACCTCTGCATCAATCCATCCAACAACCAGCACATAATCCTGTGCAGCAACAAGCCTCAGACCACGCTCCGAACGACACACAACCCACTCAGACGCCTCCACAACAAGCACAAGAGGGCGCCACTCCGAACTACGATGAACCACCAGCATTCACTGTCAACCACGGTGGCTTCGGCCTGCTGCAACGCGCCAACAAGAACAAAGTGCGTGGCAGATTTACCGAGGAGAGACGCAAAGAAGTCCAAACTGTGCGCAAGAAGGGTGCCTGCCTCCGCTGCCGCATGTTGAAGAAGCCCTGCTCTGAAGGCACTCCCTGCGGCACCTGTCAGAACATCGAGAGTGCAAGATTGTGGAAGAATGCCTGCATCCGCTCGCGTATCGCCGAGGAGTTTACACTCTACTCGTCTTCGCTCTTCCACGCGAAGGACCACCACACTGTCCTTACTGCGCTGCAGGGTGTCGAGCCCATGCAACTGCCCGGAAGAATCGAGGTTACTCTGTTTCCCGACACCAACATCTATGCCACTTTCCCTGCTCTCATGACGCCTCCTACAGCTCCCTCACTCATCTTCATGCTCAACTATAGACGCGATCCAGACACGCTGGCCGCCACCTTGGAACGCTATCTACACATGGTCATCATGCAATGCATCTCACACGAGCCCTCGACCTTTATGCGCTCCACCCTCGAGGTTGCCACTGAGCTTAGTGTTGACCACAATGATGTTCTTCTGGGGAAGCTCATCAACCTTTGGGCTGCCACAAACATCTTGATTTCGAACGAACCCATCTGGTCCATCTTCTACGAACCCAACCATCCGCCAGTCATGGAAGCCGTTCACGGCGAGCACGCTGCGGAAGGCGCCTCTGCTTCTCAAGACAAGAGCCACTCTGACCGCAAGGCCTTCCCTCAGGACACCACCGACTATCTTGTCATCTACGCACAGTTGCAACATGCTGCTGAGAGATACTGTCAAAAACAAGCCAAGTTTGTCATGAATGAGCTGGAGCGCCGTCTCCTGCAACGCCAACAATCGTCTTCCTTCCTCACCTTCCTTGCTGCTGTTATCCTGCTAAACTGCGTTGAGCGTATGACTGGCCTTTACAGATCGTTCGATCCTGCCGGACCTTCCTCAAACGATGACATTCATGCTCAGCTCACCACAGCCAACGACAACAATGAAGAAGCCTCTCATCAGCCAGCTGCCTCACCAGGCGAAGTCTCGGACCGTCCTGTAGACTGGCTTCTGGAAGAAGCACCAGGTCATTACTGGCCCCAAGGAGATTCGTTCAGCAACCTCGTGCACCTACTCCTTCGCATGCGAGGTCTCCCTCCTGCCACACTAGTCCGCCACACCGGCAGTCTGGTCGTCATCCCAAGCACACACAACAAAGCTTACAGCTCCGAAACCCAAGGCCCTGCCGCCGAATCCCAGCTGCAGCTGGCAGCAGCCTGGATCGAGCGCACCAATGTCTCGGCCTACGATCTGCTCAGAGCAAAGGACAGACCTCTAACAGAACTCGGACCCGATCCTAGAAGTTGGGATCTAAGGTTTATTGCTCCTTTGCTGTTGCCGCAGAGTGCTCAATAAGTGCTTCTGTTGTGTTAGCCTCCTCTCTTTCGCCTTTCTCTTCTTGCTCAACTTCTCTTGTCGAACAGATTATTCTTTTTATTTCCCCGTATCGTTTGACTAATTGTGTTCTTCACTGTCTTCTCCTTTGTTTTCGCTTTTGCTTTTCTGCACGGTATAGCGCGGCGCTGGTGGGCTTTTCTTTTTCCCTCAAAACACAGGATCGCTTGGATTTGCTTTCAACCCGAAGGTGGTCTCTATAGCTGTCTCCTTTTAACTTACTGCAAGGGGTCGTTTAAGCAAACAGAACGTAAAAACGGGAACGGCCTGAAACCCACATGTGTTTTTGTAAACGCTTGACCGTGAGACTGCCGTATCGTGATCTTTCTGTTTTCATAGTTTCCGAGGGGTTTTTGCTTCTTCCAGAATGTTTGCTTCTTTGTATCTTTGTGAGATTATTTTTGTAAGAGGATGGAAGAGACACTTTTTTTGTGTTGAGCAGATGGGAGTAGAGGTGTTTGGGTTTTTGTGTTGCAGTGAAAGCATTGCTCGCTTGTGCTTTTTTTTCTCTATGGGTTAGAATGTCTTTAGGAGCTCGTTGTTGAGTCGTAGAGGTGTTTCAAGATGACGACCTTCAAACCTTTGCTTCGCAACTTACTTGCGGTTTACATGCGGGGGGGTAACATCTACGAATCAACGATGCACGTGAGGAATGGACGAGCAAGACAAACGCATCAGACTTATAACAATGCCACGAGGGAGGAGCACAAAAGAAGGACACTTAGCATCATTGGGCAAAAAATTTAACCTGGACTCGGTGTCTTTCGATGGCTTTGCCAGATTCGTACAGTGCTTTCATGTTATGTATACAAAGCACACGTCGAACGAAGTCCTCAGGTGGACTGAAGGACGGCTCGGCCAGAGGCTTCGACTTTCAAAAGATATAACGAAGGAAGGAAATTTTGGCTCGATGTTATCGGAGTTTGATTCTCTGAAGCCAAGCTCTTCTTGATGAGCTTTTTGATCCTTGATTCCTGGTCTCGTTTTGTCTTTCGAGTCTGATGCGGGTACTCGCTGCACAGACGCCGTAGGGCCATGTGAAGAAGATTGTGATATATCACGATGTACGGCAGCCCAAGCCATTGCAACGTAAATGTGCTTGAGCGGTGAACCAAATGGGCAAGTTGCGGTCCTCGGAAGATAATTCAATGTATCGGATGAGTGATCGGTGGCGAGGACGGTCTGGTCACAAGCGTACACCACGAGGTCGTGACCGTCGTCGCCTCGATACTGTCTCTTTGTCGGCTGCTCCCAAGAAAGTGTTCCCGCGATCGATGGCATCGCTCTGTGTCGAACCCGGATTCTGGCTTTGCTCTTGTGGTGTTTGCATTGCGTCTTTGCTGGATGTTTCTGGGACGATGGTGACGTCGTTCAAACTGGACTCGGCCGTCCCAATCCATTGACCAGCACCCTTCCAGACAGCAGCAGCGACCTTGGATCCATAGTCGTAGTAGCTTCCTCCTTCCGGATCAATGCTCACAGCATCATAGTTGGGAGCCGTGAATAGAAACTTCGTCGTGAAGCCATAAAGAACTGTGGTCGCTATGATGAAACTGACGAAAAGAATAGCTCTTCTGGCCAGGCAGTCGCACTTCATGGCTGGATTTTTTATATCTCCTTTCCTTTCTGGCGGAAGAGGACAATATAAGTTTAGACCCACCTCGGCTTTGGACATCTTATTACATGGTTTGATCAGCTGCTCGGTGATTACAATACTCTCAGCTCCGTATTCAATAAATGTGATAACAGCAACTAAAATTGGCGCACGCAAAAGTGGAAGAATGCGAGATTGCGATGGAGGAAAGGGTTGTGTTTATGTATTGCTGGATCGTTGCATAAACAGCTTGCACAAGCAACCCCACAGATGCAGAAGGTGGCGCGAGTGCAAGATGACGTCGATGACGCTTGCTGTTCATTCAATATCAATAAAGATGACCAGCATGCTCTTGCCTTCTTTCACACATACAAACACAAACATATTTACAACACAAGCAACAAGCAAGACTCTACATCCAAAAACACACCACGCAACTCAAAATGTCGGACAACACTCAGCAACAACCCAGCCTCATCGGTGGACACGCACAATACGTCAAGGGTGCAGCAGAGGTAAGCTACACCACAATCTCCCCAAAAACCCCTAGGATTTCATAATCTGACATCGACCTCTCCAGNGGCGTCATCGGCAGCGTAACCGGCAACACAGCCTGGCAGCAAAGCGGCGAGACCGACAAGCAAGGAGGCATCGACGCCATGAAGGCCGCATCCCAGAACCGCGACCCCGCCACAGACGGCTACGGCAAGGTCGAAGAGGTGGCTGGCAAGCTCTCTGGTTGTGAGGGCATGGAGAAGGAGGGCGCCATTTCGGCCAAGAAGGAGTAAAGAATTCCCTGCAACGAAAGAGACTCTGTGGCACGAGATGATATTGGCATGAGGATGAAGTTATGAAATCAAGATTTAGATTGTCGACAAGCTTGTCAAAGACTGCCCTGTTCTGCATGTGAGGGTGACAATACGCAAGTCATGTATAGGAAACTGGTGATGAGAGTGCTGCTAGCAGCACAAGAACCAGAAGCTGCTCTTCTCTTTCTGATCGTGTGCCATCTCTCTGGCTTACTCAAGAGACACCAACCCTTTACCCATCTTGTACAAGAAAACAACGAAACACACTCAGCTCTTGTCTTCTCAACTGTGTGTTTGCGATCAGTGGAGACAGTGAAACCATACTCGCATGAAGTGACTCTTGACACTGTCACCGCCGCATTTCCTCTTGGCTGTCACATCCACCTGTTTCAGCAAATCCTGCTACTACACACGCAAAGAGTCAGTCGCAAACATGCTTCTAGAAGACCCAAGTCGTTCCCTGAAGCAAGTCCGTTTCTCCCTCGTGTCAGTTGCAAGAGCTCGGGTACAAGAAGCATGCAGGGTCAAGGGCAGAGTTCAGGAGGCTGAAAGCAAAGGCCAAGCTTTCTGGATTGAGGTGGAGTGTTTCAGGGGTTTGAAAGAAGCATGGGCCCGTTTTTGCATGTCCAAGTTTTCGATATTCGTGGGTGTGACATGTGATTGTGGATGGTTCTTCTGGAAGGGTTGGAGGGCTTGGAAAGGCGTGTGGAAGCGGATAGTGTGAGGGAGAAGCGGTGTAGGTGGCCGGGTTTCACGTTTCTGGTTATCGGTGATCAGAAGTACAGATTCCGGCGCCATCATGGCAATCAAGACGCGAAATCCACTTAGTGATCGATTTTGCATAGTGCACGCGTTTTGGAGACAGACGTATGTTCTTGCATCGGCACGGGATGGTGTGATGTGGACGAAACAGGTGGCAGGCGATTGTATGAATAAGAAGTTTCGTGTGAACTTGATTGACGTATTGAACTTGTGTCAGATCCAGGTCTAGATCATCTATGAAGCAGTGGACATACTCATTCGCCTCGCAAGGACGAAACCAGAAAAACGGCAGAAATCCCAGTGTTGCAACAAGATCGCTCCATGCCCGAAACGCCAGAATGCACATGTCAGCCCAAAAAGACGTGGCTTGACGGGAATCAAACAGGAAAAACAGATTTTCATCAGATACCAAGCGCGAGCTTGGCCCTCTCGTAGGCGAAGAAACTGGTGGCGACCATGGGGATGACCTTGATGTACCCGACACCTAGTCCCACAAAGAAGCCTTTGAAACCAGTGTCGCGATAGATGCGTGCAGCAACCTCCATCATACCCAGACGATGGCCGTCGCCGACCACGCCACCTACTTGCATGCGCCTTCTTATGACCTCCAGTGGATATGACACAGTTTGCGACACGAAACCAGCAAAGCCGCCGGTTGCGAGCTCGGCCCAGTACTTGAGCGGCACGGGTTTGTTGGGATCGCGCTTAGTGGAGGACTCGGATTCGGGAAGTGTCGTGTATTTTGCGATGCGTGGGTGTCGCATCAAGTCGCCAGCTGTGTCGTGGGTGAGGAAGGAGCAGCCGGCGTATGGGAGCATGCCCCAAAGGGTGGGGGTGAAGCCTCTGAAGAAGTTTACCATGCCCGAGGCAGGTGCCGCTCTGTTCAAGGCAGCAGAAGTAGCAGAGATGGACGAGGTAGCGGCGCGGGTGACCGAGGATGTGTCTACATGCTGGGTAGCCGAGCCGACCGGCGGCGGGCGTTCGTGATAGATTGTTTTGCATATTTCTCTTAGGCTAGTCTTGTGTTGTGTCTTTGTCTCGAAGGCTAGGCGCACACGAATGACTTCGAGTGGGTAGGTGAAGCAGACAGAGATGGTACCGGCCAAGCTGCCACTGAGGAGTCGGCGGATGGGTGTTTCTTTGTCTCTGGTCGGGATGATGACGGCGCGGATCTGCTCGTAGGCGAGGAACTTGATACCGGCGTAGGGGAAGATACGGAGAAGGGTTGCTGAATGGCCACGAAAGAGGCCTCGCGTGCCCTCGTTTGTGTGGATGTCGCGCATGGCGCGGAAGAAGCCAAACCATGAGCCCGTGTACTTTGCATACTGAGGGCTCGAAGCCTGGAAGAGGATCTTGACGCGGTCTAGCGGGCCTACTACCGTCTTTGCCTATACAGGGGGTGAGCAGTGTTCGTCGATGTGTGAGTGACAATGACGTACGGCGCATCCGGCTATACCGCCGGCCAGACCGCTGCGCATGACATAGTCCCAGCTCTGCTTGCTCACGGGGGCCTTTGTCTGCGGCGATGGAGAGGGCATCATACGGCGCGAGTCTGCTGTGTGGTCCGGGGCATGGTTGCCGCTGATGGCGAGGCTCGCCGGCATCAATTCAAAACTTGTCGTGCTTTGTCTTGCGGGGTGTGGACAGGCATTCGGCAGACGTCGCTTCTGTTCAGGACGGTGGATCTGGGTGTGTCGAGTCAGGCGCAGGCGAGAGCAGTCGGAGTGACGATAGGGTCGTAGGAGGGCGGCACGTGAGAAAAGTCAAGGACAGGAAGGTGCTGGAGTAGGTATCGTATTGATGACCACCGGCCAGCGACTTTGATGTGGAGAGAAAGCGGCCGCTGACGCTTCTCGCCGGGCCCGCATTGTGGGAGCCGAGGTCTGCAGAGACGCCCTTCTAGACCCGACCAAGACAAAGACAGCGCCTTCCACAATCCCGGTCTTTATCTACCACTCGAACAATTACACGTACCACCACGGCCAGCATCCACCACGCTTCGACATTCGTCGTCGTCAGTTACGGCCTTTCGTCTGCTTTTGGTCTTCTCGCCGCACTGCCTGGGACATGACTGCTGCTCCTGCTGTCACTGTGTAATTTGACCTCGTTCGTCCGTTACACCCACCATTCCTTCTACATTTCTCTCAGAATCAAGAGACAGTGGTTAGAATGCCATCTCCGACAAGTGGCGTGTCAGACAAGCAGTCCAACACTTCTGATCTGTCCCCAAGTCCATCGTCGCCGTCGTCATGCATCCTGTATTCAACAGACAGGGTCGCCCTCATTGATATACCAACTTCCATCGCCCATGCCCAGCGAAACTCTGCACGACACCCAACCTCGTCTCTCATCTCATGCAATCCTCGAACAACTCCTTACCCAAACCATGAACCAAAATCAGAAGCTGCCCGTCACAAGTTGCGCCAAAAGATGGCCACTGACAATGATGATTTATATGCCCAGCTGATCTCTTCTTCTCTGCTTTTCATCCGTCAAAACTACTCTGGTCCTTGGTTGTTACCGCGTACTGTTGTCTCCCAAGCAGAACATCATCTGCCGCAGAAACGCAAACTCGACGACCCTTCGGTCGATCCTGAGTCAGATAGGGATCATCTACTCCAACAACTTTCATCCGGTACCACACACTCCTACACCTTTGGCTGGAGACATGTGCATGATCAGCAGTCTGCGTGTGAACCCCTGCACGAAACATCCCCTTGGCCGAACTACTTGTGCAACGAATCGGATGTTGCTCGTATGCTCGACATCACCTCAAATTCCATGCAGACGCCTACCAGCTTTTGCGTTCCGCCAGGAGCCGCCTTCTATCTCGGCGATTGTTCAAACTCGCGCTCCTTCCACATGGCCGTTAGGGACGTCGCCGAGCAACTTGATACGCCTCGTCAATTTGATGTGATCGTGATGGATCCTCCCTGGCCTAACGCTTCTGTCAGGCGCACTGAGAAGTCCGGAAGATCGGCCTATCAAGTCTCCCCCACCGTCTGGGATGTCAGGCAACTGATATTCGAGATGGACATTGATGTTCTCCTGGCCAACGAGGGTGTGGTTGCCATTTGGATTACCAACAAACCAGCGGTCCGCGATCTTGTACTTGGCGAGGACGGCCTTTTCGACAGTTGGGACGTGCAGCTGGAAGAAGAATGGCTGTGGATCAAGACAACAACCGAGGGTGAGCCTGTCTCGTCGTTGAATGCTCTCTGGAGGAAGCCGTATGAGGTGCTCCTTGTCGGGCGGAAACGTGACCCAAAGAGAAGTGATCAACACGTCAATTTAACCGACAGTTCCAAGGTCGAACGCAGAGTCATAGTCGGTCTTGCTGATCTGCACTCGCGGAAGCCTTGCTTGAGATACCTGTTTGAACGCTTCGCGATCAGCCCAACGTCGACATCAACAAAACAACGCATCCTCGAGTGCTTTGCGAGATATCTTGTGAGTGGTTGGTGGTCGTGGGGCAACCAGGTGCTCAAATTCAACCATACCGACTGTTGGCAATCTAAGTCTTAGATCTCGCCAAGAGTCACATCTCGTATCAGTTCTAAAAGCATCATACCCGTCACCAGAGATGGGTCCCGACACGAGCATACGAGCTTCCTTCTCGACCTTCTCCAAAGCATTATTTCGCCCACCTCTTGAACAATCTCGCCAAGCTCCAAATCTTACTAGACCTCCTAGTCCAAGCTCCGACATGGGTCCGACTTTTCAGGATGCGCAGGGTTACATTTGATGTGCTCAACATCTTTCTGATGGTCAGCTTCTAGGTATCTGCTGGCCTATCGCGCTTCCAACGCTCGCATCATAACTCCACCTCCCTATCTCGTTCATGTGCGCGCGCAATACCCGAGCTCTGATTACACCGTCATCTCTTTTCAATGCAGGCACTTGGCACGATACTACCGGTGGCTGTTGGATTTATTATACCTTTTGCAAAGTGCTGGCATGCTGATCCATGTAGAGTCCCCCATCGCGTGGATGTCGTCAATCTGCGTTGACAGGTTTTTTTGCGGCCCGCGCCCCGTGTTAAGCTCAACAAATAGTGTCTGCTCCAGGCGGCATGATGGCATTTGATGATATTTGAAGCATCAAATTCTGCGGAGGGTATCCACAAGGACGTGGACCCTATGACGACACAGCAATTTTTCATGTGAAGTTGCAAGAAGCCCTCGGGATTCTCTTGGTCCGACAAACTCCCGTCGCGAGTGAGGTGGACACGTTGGAGCTTGGCCGACTTAGCCCGTTGATCCCAACCTCTCAAGCAATGCCATCTCCCTGCATCTTCCGAACGAGATGATGCCGCCCAGCCGGCTGTAAGAGTTCGACGACCAGCCCTGTACTCCACCATTGTCTGATATCGCACAATAGGAGATTGCACGTTAGGCGTATCAAGGAGGATGTGCTACAGGGGCACAATGGTCCTCGAGTAGCAACCATGTTGAAACACGAGTCAGAAACACAACAAACAGAGCACTTGTGCTCCCAGACCTCGATGCCTGGATGTGAAGTTTCATGGAGCAAAAGATCGCGACCTCAATGGCCCTTCCGAAACGTACTGGACCCCTTCTCCTGCAGCGGCGCAGTAGAAAATTGGGCCCTGTTTTCGTGCAAAATCTCAGATCTGCTCGCATTCTTTGACCATGTTGCGGAAATAGGGCAAGCCGAACACATAGCCGAACTGGTCTGCTAGCCAAAAGTGGGTCAAGCGTGCCAAGTCTCGTGGCCCAAAGCGGCTATATCCAGCACTCACACCGCTGGGCCGTCTATGACTCTTCAACACCGAGAAAGGCCCACCAGCGTCTCGGGACGATGAATCGAAATATACACTGGCGGTCGCAGCGCCCTCCTAGCGCTCTTTGACAGTGCGGAGATTTCAGCCTACCACGTAGCTGTTTGTTTGCCGGCTACCTTAACTATTAACGTCAATCTACCGGGCCATACCTCCAGAGCTACAAGAAGACCAGAGCACCCCCACCCTTGTTTCTGGAACACGCCCATACAACTTGACACCTCCATCGCATACCGTCTGGATCACGGTATAGCAGTCGCTTAGCAGCCGCCTCTCGCCTCGCCCCTCTACCTCAACCAAACTCTTCGACTCTCTCACAATCCTACATGTATAAAGCTGGCTGCGCTGCACTGCACAATGTCGACCTCTACTACCTCTTCCGCACGCTCCACAACTCCTAGTTGCTCGTCGAACCCGACTCAACCGATCCAGATGGGTTTCTCTTCCTCATCATCGACCATGACCAGACCTCGCAACACCAGCGATGCATCCATCATGTTTGGCAGCCCTTCCCCAAATGGACCCGCTGCCTTCCCTTCCTGGAAACTCGCTCGTCCTCAGCTCCCCCAAGGTCCCGCCAGCTCTTATATCAGCGACGAGGATCTCTTCGGCGATGACGAAGTTGCCTACCTCGACGAGGCACCTGAGCCGCCCAGAACTGCCGAACAGTGGATGACTTCCAAGCGTGGCATGGCAATGGCCGCAAACGCCAGCCTGGTCACCCTCGACAGCAGCTGCGAGAGCTACAACAGCTTTGGCTTCAGCAATGGCTACACCCCTAGCAAGCCCATCATGATGAAGAAATAGATATCATCTTGATGATAATTCTGTAAGTGTCATGGAATACTCTCCTTTTGTGCATGGTCCTGACATCCATCCAGACAGCTCGTTCCCTACCTTACGAATGCGGGATGTCGTCTCTGGACCGTTACGAATGGGCAACTTTTTCTGTTTCGTCTTTCAGTCTCTCAATTCGCCAATTACGACCCTACTCTTTCTTCTGGAGCCTGGACCTCACACTTCCGACTTCAATTACCTCTTTCTGGTCAAAGATTTTTAACATCTCTTTTGGCTGTCCACTCGTTTAAGCCCGTCCGTCAGACATTGGCTGGACCATCCGCGCGGGCCTTTCATGTGCTGGCGACACGCCAAGACGTGTCGCAGCTGAGAATCAAGGCCCAAACAGAGTGCCACGGATCACTCTGCATTCGCTTTGCATCATATCTTTCATTTCCTTTTTTATTTTCTTGTCCGTTAATTCCTTTGGAGTTTGCTGCATCCTGCATCGTCGGAGCATTGCGAAGTCCTACGCGATGGAAAGCGTTCTTCTTTACCTTCTCATTTTGATACCCCTTGGCGAGACANNAAGCCAATTTTGAGATAACCCCTTTTTTCCTTTACTGTATCTAGATAGCCTTTTGGCAGGAAGAGCCTGCAGAGGATGACAGCTTGTTTATCAGCATAAGCCCTACTGCAATAGGCAGATAGGAAGCGGAATTGTTGCGCAGCCATATGCAATCACCTTGAAGCGGGGCGCTTAAGGCGCGAATCCCATTTGCTCCCAANNCCTCTCTATCGTCCGTCACTTGCCACGAGTCACTCTCCTCTTCTGCCGGAATGCCTATCAAAGGAAATCGATCAAGTCCTCACCTCCAGCGGATTTGTCCTCCATCCTTTTGACAGCAGTACACACATATGTATGCCATTACTTGGGTCGAAGAAGAATGAAGCCTTCATCTCCACATCCTGCAACTGAATGCAGGCACTGTAAGAATTTTTGGTCTCATGCGTCCTTCGTTGGTTCTACAACCGCAAGCTCAAATGANCACGAAACTCGGCAACGTCCATCTCATCACATGCCCTGGAACCACGGTGAGAGTCAATGAGCTCGTGACGCCCTGTCGCATGGTCAAGTACGACGAAGANNGAAACGTGACCTGTGAACGCTGCAGTGATAACGCAAGGGACGTGAAGGTCGTCGAACCCTGAATACCAGTGAAGTGGTTCGAAGATTCCTATTTGATAATATGTCGCTTGCAAGTATGACGCTGTCGAGGTTTGGCCCAATAATCGATATATCTTGCTTGAGTCTAGCAGGATGCACAAGCTTGAGNGTCGAGATGTGTGTTGGGCACGCTCTAGCGGGGGCTTCTTGGGCCAATCACTCGACCTAACCCTCCCTTCTTCTCTCTGCATCCTGCTCCCCATGCCTTNNCGACTTGTTCGTGCGTGAACTTCCCGCCCAGTAATAGCAATGCTGGCAAGCCGTCTGCGCTGGAGATTGTCCTCCCTTAGAGCTCTAGTCCGCTCGCCTGTATTCGCCTGCCAGCTGGCATAGCATTGTATCCTCTCTGCGAATCGATAGGTCTCTGTTCGAGCCGTCAATAATGTCTAGGCGCTCTGCACCCCGATCGCTTTCCCGAACAGGTGGCTCATCACCAGAGGCACATATTACGCCAGCCGAACACGCATGGCTTTGGTATACGCGCCCGCTTCTGATTTGCTAATTTGTAACATGAGTACGCCTCTGTTGTCTTGTTTCTTTCTCTCTTCCTCCCTTTTCTCACTTTTCGGTCCATACCAAGGTTCCTATCAAGAACAAAATTCTTGCAAATTTTCAAAGTTTCAAGAGTGGTTGCTTGCATGCCCGAGCTGCAGGCCATCCTGGTCGGCCCTTGACGCGGACGACTTTTACCGTGGCACAAACCACTGCTTGAGGATATCTGTGCCTGTTCATCGTTCCACGCGGTGTGACTGCATCCGCTTGGCACAAGTTTCCGGTACGTCGATCTCGCGCAACTTTACAGCAGAAATACACAGCATCCCACACCTTGTTCTCCGATTACTATTCTGGTAGCCGGCCAGTTTGTTCACCAGGACCTGGCCCAATTCATGACCGCTTGATTCGCTGCCTCGAGGCCGATTCTAAGAGACCATTGTTCTGATTCTTTAAGACCTTACTCAGCCATGTCGACTGGTCGCCCATCCGGTCAAAGGTCGCACTCTGCTGTGAGAAGGCAAGCAGCTACTAAGCCCAATCCTTCCCAAGCTTCGTTCACGCCTGATCCTGACACCGAGTTTCAACCTTGTGCCGCGACCGCCTCATTCTTCCTCTACGCTCAAAGAAACATTGTTCTCTGTCTGCACCACGATACATTAGCGATAGAGCGACGCTTCGATCGACATCAAGAAGACGTACTTTGGATATGTGCAGACACTGTCAGTGAAAGAGGTGCAGGCCGTTTGGCTGTCAGTTATGATGCAGGGCATACTGCGATTGTTTGGGACATTTCAACAGGAGATGAGATTGCTCGCTTCGCATCATACGAACACATTAGAGTGGCAGCATGGATGAAAAATGGGAATATCGCTTTCGGTAAATGCGCAATGCCATCGAGTGTGAGAGGCTGTTCTGACAAGTATCCAGGAAACGCCCAAGGAAACATAATATTGTTCGAGCCTTCTACGTCCGAGCACATATCAGCTCGTACTATTTATGATCCTATCACGGCGATAGCCCCGGCAGCCGACTCGCGGACCTTTGCGATTGGGTAAGTTATTTCCACATACTGCGCGCGTTGCATTCACTGATATGTCGCAGTNTTCCTGAACGGCTCAATCTTGATCGCGACATTGCAACCGCTTTTCACAATTGTGCACAGTCTGACGACATCGAAAGCCCCTTCCCGAATCGCAGGACTTTCCTGGCATGGTTCTTCCTCGCGTCAAAAATCTGAAATGCTGGCTACTCAAACCGCAGATGGCGACCTTAGAGTCTGGAGCATACCAAAGACAGCTGTCGTTGGAGAAACACCAAACATTATTCGGATACTGAGTCGATTGGAGAGTAGAAGTTTAGGACCTTGCTGGTTCTCATGGTCGAAAAATGGCCGCATCATTCAATACACGGATNNGGGTAAGAACAATTTCGCTCCTGAACGTTGATTCTTACTAAACTGAAGCTTCTACAGAGAGACACGCTCTTGGGACGTCCGCACCAAAAACGTGAATTTCCAAACCGTGCCGACTGTTGATGCTATCATCGGCATTGCATGTTATGGACCGTCTTCAACACTATTCACCCTTGGACAGAATCACACGGTACAACAGTACGATGTGAACCCAAGCGAAGCCCCCATACAAGTCGCTAGTATACAGCATGCTCCTGGTCCACTTCCGCCATCNCCCACCGAATTCGATCGAAGAGCAAAAGAAGGAAGAGACGGCCAGAAGACAAGCCGCAGCGAGCGCTGCTCCNNATTATCTTTTGCCTACGTGGATGCAGACTCGAGCGAAGGCGAGTTAGGCACAATGTCTCCACTCGAGAAGATCGCAAAAGAGATGGATCAACTAGAGGACGAGAAACAAGACCGACTTGGCGCGCTCAGTCCAACATCTAGCAGAGCCTCATCGGCAAGCTCTCGATCATCCAATGGAGGACGCAGAGTGCCGTCATATCGTTACGACAAAGCACCTTCTTCACGAGCCTCCGAGGTTTCCTACAATGAGGGAACCGAGTTCTCNATTGGTCTACCATCGATAAAGCCTCGCGAAAGCATCTCTATCCGCTCAACATCTTCTTTTCGTTCCTCGGGCCTACGAAAAGAAGTCTTGAGAAGCCCAGACGAGGTCCAGCAGACGTCACAAATGGACCTTTTTCCTTACGCTCGGGCAAGACTTCGAGACGTCCCCTTCAGAACTCCTCATTATGGCCAAGCTGCTCGCACTTCCGACATATTACGGCAGGAGATGTTAAGTGTAGTGTTCGGATGGAACGACGACATTGAGTCTCTGGTGCGTGATGAATGTGAGTTTGTACCATTACACCAAGTTTTGTTGTTCGACCTAACACAGACAGTCACGAGACAAAGACCAGGATCGGCAAGCAGCGTACTTCTCTCGAAATGGCTTGGTGAATTTGGCGCAGACACAATGGCTGCTATGGTGGGCTCTGAAAACATGACTTCTTCCGACTGGATGTTACTCGCTTTAAGCTCTATGGGCCCGTCTTCTGGAAAACAGGTTGGCCAAGCATTTGTCCAGAGACTGTTAGAAAAGGGTGACATCCACCCTGCAGTTGCGGTGCTTTTGGGATTTGGCGAACACGATGATGCTATCGAAGTCTACGTCTCTCGTGGCTACTTTATGGAAGCAATCCTTCTGACTTGTCTAATCATGCCATCAGATTGGCAGAGACAATCCTACCTCGTTCGCAAGTGGGGTGAAGCTTCTGTCATGCAAGGTCAGCCAGAACTCGCGGTCCGCTGCTTCTCATGCACAAGTCTCGAAAGCTCAGATTCCTGGTCTTCGCCTCGAGCACAAGATGCAACCTTCTCCAGTACAAGAGAACAGGGTATTGGTCCTTCTCCTCTGAGCCCGCCACTTTCTCCGCCATTTGCTGTTCGTTCGAATCGGAAAATGACGCGAAATGGATCGCTCAAACTCATCACAACATTTGGTGAAAAGGGAGCCCCTCTCGTCCTGCCTTCCGCAGATCAAAGGACACCAATGGCAGGCATACTCGGTATGGGCGTTACACCGATAGCTGAGTCCGCCATCTCGCCTGGTGGTGCAGCACCTTGGCTTCGATCTGGTAGCAGATTTGACCGAGATCCGTCGTCCGCGAGAACAGCTACGCCTGGTGGATATGCAAGAAAACAGCTGCCTTCCAGGAGTGGAATATCAAGAACGCGAGATACGTCACAGACTCCTCTAACAGCCCGTAGAGAGGTATCAGGGCCAACACACATGACCGAAATATTAGAGCCCAAGCGAATCGGTCACGGTCGCCACTCTTCGTCTGTCAGCTCGAGTGAGAAGTTTCAAAGCTTGGAACCGGCGCCAAGGCAGCCTTCACAGCCAGATCGCTTACCATCCCCGAGTAATGATGTTTTTGCGCGCCTGAAGAATGAAACGCGTGCTAGGAACGGCTCACGAGAGAGAGCCAACAGCGATCTCCATGTACAAATCTTCGATACGGCCTACATGCCAACGCAACCATCCCAAAGTTCTGCCGCCCAGTCCGGCCATCCCGATCCTTTCACAGATTCCCATCAGAAGCAGCAGAATCACCCAGAGTACATATCAGATTATCGTGGACGGTCAGCAAAGCGATATATTGGTGCACCCAAAAGATCACCATCATCGCCGATCCCCATGTCACCTGACGAAGTTATGGCCAGTCGAGCGCTGGCCGCAGCTGCTAAGGCAGACGAGTCTTACTACAGGGAGCCGACGCCACAAAACAAAACTTTCGGTGCAGGCCACGCTCCGCGAGCGAACAGCCAACCCCTGAATAGGCAGAGGGACCCTAACCAGATGGAACAGCGACTTACGGTCAACAGTCGTGACAAAAGCGAATCTCGTACGCCCGCAACACCTTTCCCTTGTTCACCATCGGTTTCTGCTGCGACAACTAATGAATCTGTCTTCATGAGAAGTGGGTCCCGACAGAGACCACAAGTTAGCAGGAACAGAGCAGCATCTGTACAAGATGACATTGAGTCCCAGATCCAGACCGATATTGTCTCTGAATATCCTAGAAAGAGCCTCGATGAAGACAGCTCTACTTCTGAGAATCCAAATGAAGGAGTCGTGTGCCGCAGAGATCTCCAAAGTCTGACCAAGAAGCAACTAGCCGCTCGAGAGCTCGAGGAAAGGCGCGCTTCCTTAGCTAGGCGTCCGTCTGCACCAGCGATACCCTTGCCTAGCGATGTCAAGACGCCTACAAAAAGGCCTTTCATGGCTCCTCGACATCATACCGAGCTCGGAGATACTCCCAGCTCTTTCATGCCNCCCTATCCTGCCGGTCAGATCACTCGTAGTCATACGGCTGATCCAGAATCCAAGGGTCGCTTTCCACCTACAAAGAGCACGGGTACCTCAACGCCGACAGCGCCGATTGGACTACCAGCTACCCCAAGAGCTATGAGACATCCAAGATATATGTCTGCTGATCCCAACGAACATGAAGGAGTGCCTGCTGTTCCTCATATTCCTGAGACTCCACCTCAGCTTACACCTGCTACATTCCAACAAAGTTCACCTTCATCAACATCTGCTGAAGATGATCAAATCGCCCCTCTTCTTCCTTCGACGGTTTTTGGGCAGTCAGCACCTCTGTCTCCACCACGTTCTTCGTCGGCACCGCCCGAAATGAACATGGACGGCACTCCATGGCATTACAAGACGGTGCTGCCGCACTCTTCTCGACGAGGATCCGTCATCAAAGGTACTCACGTCCGTAAAGTCACACCCACAGAGAATACCTTCAATCCTCAACAAAGTCCTTCGTCAACCAGGCCTAGCATTGACCAGACTCTGCACGACGCCCAAATCGTGATCGTAGAAGACTCAGAGTTGATGCTGCCAGAACTTCAGCATCTTGCAGGCCCNCCACCTCCGCCTCCGCCTCCAATGATGACTCATGGACGAGGTAGCGGTCTTGGTGTTATCAACATAGCTATTGGAGAAGAAGAGCCCGTGATCATCGACGTCCTGCCAACCATCGACCGAGCGGGCGCATTGACAGCACCTCCGCTAAACAATTTCGCGCAAGCACAGGCACAAGCCCAGGCTCAGATGCAGGCACAAGCTCAAAGACGCGGTCGTGGTAGCATCAGTGAAGAGATAAATTCACGCCTGCGAAGTGTGACAGAGCGTATCCGCAACAACAGCAAGTCGCGTACCAAATCACCACCCATCGATGCATATGCGCCTTCACCCTATGAGACAGTACTACCTAGCATGTTCTCCAGACAACAAACCCAACCTGACGGTAGCATCTCTCGGGCGAAATCCCCTTACGAACCATCTCCCATCACAACCAGTGCCGCGGCTTCCGAAGCGTCGCTCTCGTTACAGAACGCAATGCCACCACCACCACCTCCTCCTCCTCCTCCGCCAGCACCACCTTTGTTCGTCGAACAGCCTGATAACTCTGGTACCCCAAGCCAAGGATATACTCACCCTCGGGAAATTCGAGCGAATATGCCATCCGAGACTCTCTTATCATCAGGAGTGTACCAACCGGACAACATGTTCTAGTCCACAGTGCATGTCTTTACACCTTCTTTTGTCATCTCGGGACTAATTCTGTTTTTGTCATCTTCAAAATATACCTCTCTGTGCGCTCTTATCGTTATTGTTGACTTGCTCGTACCTATATCACGATAGTAGCGTCCACTGGTTGGAATTATTTCGGTGTTTTCGGGACGAAGAAAAAGAAGAACGTACAAAATGTATTCATCTCTATCTAGTTTAGAATGTATATCAACCAAGGACTGACTCATAAAATTGATAAAGTTGCATTCTTCAGACTTGCTCCTGCTTGATAACATGATCTTCTGTCATAGTGGTCGTAGCTTCCTCTTGCTTGATGCCTGGATCTTCTTCCTCTTGCTTGACAACCAGACCTCCTTCTCGCTTGACCCTCTGTTCCTCTACCTCAATCAGTCGCTGACGGGCAGCTTCTACAGCCCGAAGAGCAAACCTAGCATTGCAACGAGCATCTCCAGGACGAGCAGAGCCAATATGGTTTCTCGCACCAAGTCGTCTTATGCCCTAACGAACTTGTTCTCGAAGTCGGTCTATCAACCACTTTTGCTCACAGATATCTTCGTTCAACTCCATCCCGATATCCAAAGTCCAACAACGTCTCTCATCCAGCGTCATATTCTCTCGGCTCTCCGGCCCGCGTGCGGGTATCGGATGCATGAGGGTACAAGTCTCGGCCTAGACGATACTCAGTCATGAAGTCAAGGTCAATATGTCCTAGACTGGCTATCTCGTCTTTGAGTTTTTGGATACGGATGGACTCTCTAGGCGTTACACTGCGACGGAGTCCCACGCATTGTTTTGTTTTTTCCATTATAGCAAGAATTGATGTAGGGTTGAAAGAGGAGCATGAGAAGTTGCGTGGATGATAACCGAGACAGGGTCGCGGCTTTCGTCTTCGCCGTGACAACATTTTCTTGTTAGACACTGCAAATCTAGTTATGTTCCATCACATCTCCATACGATTGCACGATATCTTTTCTATTTCTGGTTCTGTATACCGTCCGAAGATCTTTAGCTTCGACCACCAGCTCATGTTTACAATTCCCAGCCACCTCTGTTGACGTCCACGTCATGATTTTGCCCAACTTCCTGCATCTCTCTCCACGACATCTGCATATCACACTCCCAACCTTCGTATGGTTTGCAGCCTAAAGCTCTGCGGGGCAACCTGCAGTCGACTTGGGATTTCCACCAGTGAACGTAGGAGAGAGTCCGCTTCCTCCAGTCTTCGCAACAGAGATCGTCGCGTTCGGGCCATAACCAAATCGAACCCGGAGTTACACTCTCCGCTTGAACTTGTTTGCAACAACAAGCCTTCTAGTCTGATGATATGATCAAGGACGGTAGGTACACTCTGAACCCCGCTCAATCACTATTGTAATATAAGTACTTAGCCTCTTTCTGTGAGACTTCTCTTGTGCTACTACACATTCATTGAGAACTCCTTCTTTGCTTTGTTGTCCATCAAGATGCGTCTGTTCAGTCTTGTAGAGTACGCACTTGTACCTCTGCTCAGTTCTGCGACGATACTCCAGAATGGTCAGGTCCGGGACAAGGTTTTTCCTGATACGAGTATTTTATGTATCAGTAGCAACTCCAACTGGACCTCCTTCCTACCCAATGCCACCGAAATCTCCTACAAAGGTCGTTGGGATGCCAAACACATATCTTGGTGGTCGGCTCCAGGCCTCAGATTCGGCTTCACTGGAGATAAAGTGGCCGTCAGCTTTGGCCAATACACTTCTCAAGGTGTACTGATTGCGTACCGATTTGCTGGTCAGGATTGGTTGTTTACGAATGTGACTGCAAACTCCACACATCAACTTGTTGGTTCGTCGACCGTGGGAGTCAATCTGACGACTCAATCGCAAGAGCCTCAGACGTTCGAGCTCCGGGTTACAAATTATGCTTATGGAGTCCAGATCGCTGGTGTCCATCTCAGCAAGAACGCCAAACTCGTCAAAATCCCAAACTTCTCCAGGAAGATCGAAGTCATTGGCGACAGTCTATCTGCAGGCCAATATGGCACCTACGAGGGCATATCAAGCTATGCTTGGGGTCTAGCTGAAGGGCTAGGCAACGTCGAGTTTGATATAACTGCATATCCCGGGATCTGCCTCGTGGACCAAAACTGCTGGGGCAATGCTCACGGCCAAACCTATCAATGGTCTCGAGCTTCTGATACATCGCACCGCTCAGAAGTGATCTATGGAGACAATCCTCCACTCTGGGACTTTGCACATCATCAACAGTCGGATATTGTGGTTATCAATTTGGGCACCAACGACAATAACACCCATAACAATGTTACGAATGAGAAGTATCTGGACAGTTATATCGATTTTGTTGGTCAGGTGCACCACAAGTATCCGAAAGCTCAGATCATATTAATTGCTCTTTGGAATGGGTTCAATCAAGTCGGCAACACATGGCAGCAAGGTGGTGCTTTCATCGATGAGATCCAGCAAGTACATGCTCACTACGAACATACTGGCTTTGTGCATTACTTCAACACCACTGGCATCTTACAACACAACGACATTGTGAGCTATAGAACAAAGTATGAGTGGATGGGTTGCTGATCAGATATTTCCAGNGGACCTCAATATCATCCGACCGATGTTGGACATGTCAAGCTTGCAAGCCATTTGATGCAATACGTCAACTTGAAGTTTGGGTGGGTGTTTGGAGCCACGGGTCCAGAGGTGCAGGCAGATACGCTGTACTGGAACGACGGTACGTATTGTGATCTGTCAAGAACCAGCCCGAGCATGACTTAACGGAAATCTATAGAGCCGAACTACTGAGACTTGAGACGTGTTCTGGTCAACACGAGTAGTTAGTGGAAGGCAATAGCACTGTCTCGAGAAGTGCTGTTCATGTATTGTAATGTCAAGACCTAGTTGAGCGAATAGTGCCTCTCTGATCCTTCGCGATTGATCAAATGTTTCTCGCCTGTCCTTGTTCTAGATCTCAAGGTATGGCCGCCACGTTTCTTCATAGTATCTAGTTCAGATGCTCTGGAGAGCCACATCGTTATTCGATGGCATGAGGTATAATAGTGTTGACTCTGTCGTCAGAGTGGTCGAGTGGAGACCGAGGAGCGGGTATGTTTTGCATAAACTGGAAAGACGCAAATGAAGACGAAATATACTCCGTACATTGAACAACCGGGTTTTGTGACTTGTTCAATCGATGTATAGGCAGAAGTGCTGAAGCTTCAAGATCATTGTCTGCATCTTATGTCGTGCCATAACAATCAACCAGCACCTCCCCCTCACGACCAGAAAATCAAATTAAAGAACCCGATAACATTGTCGGTCCTTTGCAACATCAAATCATTGTAAACCTCTGATAACGGAACCACCGCCTTTTGGGGGGCCCGTCTAATTGCGGACGTAACCAATCTCGAGATAAGAAAGCAGAGTGATCTACGTAGGATTGCCAGCTGGACAGGGTTTCCGAATGGCCTTTGCTGCGACTAGACCTATTCAAGAATGTCTACGCGCAGCTCCGCATTTTGGCTTTTGGACGCTTCGCAAGGGTTTGTGGCTATCTCATCATGTGGACAGCGGTGCAAAACGTTGCTTGTTTTGCTGCAGGAAGCGGGGCTTGCTGGATGTGGTTTTGTGAAGTTATTCGTGTGTTTGGTGTCACAGCAGAAAGCTTCTAGATTGAAGAGAAGGGATAAGAATAGAGAGGGGATCTTGCATGGCACGGGAATCAGATGCAGCAGGCCGGCGGAAGAGGTGAGACGTCCGCAAGGGAGCGATGCTGAAGCTAAAAGCTCACTCGTGATGGCGCGGGCGAATCCGCAACAATGCGTGGCCTGGACTAGAGATACGTGGGGGAGGAGGAGGCTACTTGTTAGCTAATCGTGGGTCGTATCTGGGTTGCTCTATCTATGCATGCACTGACGAGGCGAGAAAGGAGCGTATGTATATAACGGCAGTCGGCCTCCAAGCCTTGTTCTCCCTTTGCTTCCTCTTTCCTCGTTTCATTAACAGAACTCGCTCCCCGCAACACTTTTCCGAGAACCATCTGCTCTCAACCAACACCTTCCCATCTCGACCACCCTATTCGAACGCCAAAGCATCACAGCTTTTCCCTTCAAGCCCTATTAGGCACATCGGCTACAGCCCAGATATTGATGTCGTTTTTCGTTGCCATCAACAAGAACACCGGACGCACCTTCATCCCCCTCAGTAATCACAGCAGCAGTACCCACAAACCCAATAATTCATCATGGAGGGCGTCAAACATCAAAAGACAACCCACGCCCTCAATGGCACTAAGCCAACCATGAATGGAAACACTGTCGGCCACCAGAAGAATAACTTCGACAAGCCCGTAACTGCTGCTGTTGCTGCTGGAGGGGATGGGGTCCGTCAGGTTACTCTGGCCGAGTACAAGCAAGCCGCCCAGTGTTTGGCCGAAGCCTTTGCCGACGACGATGTCGCCCGCTACTTCACCGAAGTTCCTGACCGTGTTCACTGGACCGAGAAGCAGAAATGGGACCTGCATGTGAGCATTTTGGAGTACATCACCTACGCTCACATCCTGAAGGGCTTGGTGTTGGCTGCAGGCCCTGACTATGGATGCGTTGCCTTGTGGTAAGTTTTGTTTCGATATGCGGTGGAGTGCTGCTGTTGTTGGTAGGGCTGATGGCGAGACAGGATGCTGCCGGGTCAGAACATGGATGACTACTTGACCATTCTGCGCAGTGGCATGTGGAGATTGTGGTACAAGCTCTCAGCAGAGGGAAAAACTCGCTTCTTTGACGAGTTCTTTCCTCTGCTTCACGACACCAAGCACGAGGTCATGGGTATGCGCGACGACGAGTCGTACTACCTGGTGTACATCGGTACAAAGCCCGCAGCCCGTGGCAAAGGCTATGCACGCAAGTGCATCGAATACGTGACCAGAAGCGCGGACATCGAGAACAGAGCTTGCTATCTTGAGAGCAGCAACGCTACCAACCCGGCCATCTACCGCAAATATGGCTTTGAGACAGTCAAGTCCATTCATCTCAAGCGCGCTGAGAAGATCGTGGACCTTGAAATCATGGTCCGTGAACCTCAGGCTGGCAATAACCAGTCGTCTTTGAGCCTTGAAAAGGTTGACAGTATGGTCTCCAATGTCTCGTCCGTCACTCGTCCGGTTTCTGTTTCGATGAAACTAGGACAAGAGAAGGATGCAATCGCCAGCATCTCTGTCATCTGAAGGCAGACTGTAATGTGTGTGTTTGTTCTGCTGTGTTTCGTGTTTTGTGTTTTGCGTTCCGACCCTTGTCACTCCTTTCTGTTAACTTGATTCCTGCAATTCGACCCTGTCACGTTCTGTTGTTGCTTCGATCTGCCGTGGCTCTCTTCTCCCCATCACTGTCATTACGACAAGGCCATTCGCGTTTGGATAGTATTCTCAATGTAACATTATCAACGCATATAGCTCATCTTAGCCCGCAAGTCGAAAGCAAAGAAAAATGCAATAATGGTATCGTACAAAAGAAGAGTTAGACATCAAATCGTGCCGCCTTGGTATCATTGTTAACTCCAGAGATGCTGCCTTCATGACGATGGATGAGATGCAGGCGAAAGCAAAACATGTATTCCTACAGGAAATAGTCCCTGACAGGATCCGAGCCAGGGTTGTTGTGTTGGTTTTGTTGCTCAATGCGGTGGACTTCGTTCTCGGGAGCTGCGTCAAAGACGTTCCATTTTCTTTCTCCAGTGGGGCTGACCTCGAGAACACTGGCCTTGTTTCCGCATCGGTAGCAGTAGTTGGGAGCGCTCCAGACGGTGGAGAGCCTGTCATCAAACATGACCATGTAACCTTCATTACAAAGTTGGTGAGCGCGGAGAATGTGTGTCATGGAGTTGACTTGAAGGAACTTCTTGACAACTTGGGCACCAAAGGTGTAGCCAGCGCCTCTTGGGCTCAGCGAGAATTCGTCGCGATCGGCGTCTGGATCACTCCAGACCAAGTCGGCCATGGGACCTTCGTGCGGAATCTCCCTGAAACGGTCGATGATCTTGATCTGATCGATGCTATGGATGCTGGGCGACAGACCACCGTGGACGCAGAAGATCTTGTCGTCGATGACGCAGGAGAGGGAGAGGTAGTCGAACATATCGGTGAAGTGGTGCCAGACGGCGGCGTTACCATACTTGCGACTGCATTCGGTGTAGAAGCCGTAGGACTGGGTAACACCTCTCGATTCGTGATTGCCCCGGATTAGGTGTACGCGATGGGGGTAGCGGAGTTTGAGACAGACCAGCAGTGAGATGGTCTCGACGCTGAAGAGGCCGCGGTCAACGTAGTCGCCTGCGCATGGTCAGAAAGATGCTTTGTTGGATGTCGCGTGCGCAGGACACATACCGAGAAAGAGGTAGTTTGTGTCAGGACATGGTCCGCTGATCTTGAAGATCTCGAGAAGGTCAAAGAACTGGCCGTGGATGTCGCCGACGACGGTTACGGGAGCCTGGATGTGGACGACATTGCTCTCCTTCATGAGCATCTCCTTTGTCTTTGCACATATGGCCTCGATGACCGACTCGGCGAGCAGCTCTTTCTGGTAGAGCCTCTCAATGCACTCGTCGAGATCGATGCTGGCTTACAAACGTCAGCTCTTGCCACGCGACGCATTCTTGTGACGAGAAATGTCCTACAAGGAAGTCCGGGCATGACGGCGGCGGCGGCAGGTGCGATGCGCGTCCGAGAGAGAAGCTTAGGGCGATGGGGAAGGCGATGTAAATGCCTTGGTAAGATCGACTCTTTCACACATGATCAGAGACAAAGACGAAGCTCGAGATGCATCTATCACAGCGACATGACGGCTCTCACGAGTGTGGTCTGGTTCAATCTGGCTCCCCCGAGAAGGCCGCCGCTCCTCCGCACCCGCCAAATCTGAATTTCCAAACCGCTGGCTCCATGCACTCACGTGACATAGGCGTTGATGATTGGCTCGACAGCCAATTTACCATTGTAAATAATCTTGCACCTTGCTTTCAACTCTTGCTGCAACGACCATCGACTACGGCCCAGGTAGAGGGTAGGTGACGAGACGCTCCGTTGGCAGAGACTGCAGACAAACAGCTCCTTCCTCGACTTCTGCCACAACCCGCATGCCGTCTTTGTCTGTGCGTGCACGTCCGACCTGATTCGTCTCTCCTTCCCCGTCAAACGACTGGCTCTTCCAGTTCCATATCCCTTGCAACCCTTCCCATCTTCCACTGTCCTTTCTGCTTAATTCTTTCTCGCAAAGCCCATGGCATCCCGATGATTCATGCTGCCTCGTCGCAAGGAATCTCTTCTCTTCTCTTCTCCACCTGTCATCAGACTTTTTGACCTAAGAGCAAGCAAACATTGTCCATCATGTATACTGCTCCCGCTGCTCAGCCTCACCCTCCTTTCCAACAGCCATACCAGAACGCTTATGGCCAGCCTCAGTATCCTGCTGTAGTTGGATACCCTCAACCTCCCTACCAGCCTGCTCCTACACCGGTGGCATATGGAGCTCAGCAATATCAACAACCTTATGCTGCCCCACCACAGAACGGGTAAGACCATCCTTTTCTGCCGCTTTCCCGTCTTTTTTTGTCCCCCTGCAGACCTGATTTCGTACTAGACCTCCTTTGGAAAAAACAAAAAGGCAACCCTGTGATCACACGCTATCCTCCTCCTCCTGGCTACAAGCAGCAACCGACGTATGCCGCGGCTCCGTATACAGCACCGGCTTATCCCACTCATCCTCCGGCACCCCAACCAGTTTATCCCCAAACGGCATATCAAGGATACCAACCTCCAGTCACCACAGCCTATCCTCCAACCACGACTTATTCTACTCCGCTAGTGTATGATCCAAACCAAGCTTACCAGCAGCCACCTTATCAGCCGCCGCAAGTTGCACAGTCTTATCCTGTGGCTGCATCAGCACCGGCGTATCCTGTACCAGCTCCTGCATATCCATCCCAGGAGTATTCGGGTTACTACGATGCAAATGGTGCCTATGTTGCGGCGCCTCCTGCCCACTCCACGCCCCACACTGATGCTTCTGCCTATCCTCCACCCATGAGTGAAGATGGATATGCTACATCGCACACACGACAATCTAGCCTCGACTTTGGCTTGGATTTCGACTTCGATGGCGAAGCTGGCGTCCCAGCTGAGGAGGTCGTGCCAGAGCTGAGCCTTGGTCTAATCACATGGCATCCAGCTCTACCAACCAGCAAGCCGTTACCATCCGTCTTCGACGAAGTCGAGCCTAAATGGACCGAGTCTGCCAAGGCAACTGAAGGTTCACACATCAGTGTCACGTCCGAGTTCTTCCCTGACGATATGTCTGTCGATATCCGACTTAGCGTACGAGACACAGACGAGTGGCAGAAAGTCAAGAATGACCTCATTTTCGTGGAGTTCGAGAAGACAGCTGTGACGGTTCCGCTTCTTACTGTCATCGCAAACCGCGACCGTCCCGATCCTGTCAGCGAGCAGTTGGAAACGATCCAGCAAAACGTCACTTTGCCTGACATCTTTCATCCATCGCACGTGCAGCAATCTGTCGCGGGAGCAGAGGATGAGCAGTCGGATGGCGACCAAGCTATGGACATGAGCGATGACGACGACGATGAACCTGTTAAGCCTGTCAACCAGCCGATCATCCAACCTCTCGCTCATCCCTTGCCCCGGCCAATGATACAAGCAGCTCCACCTGTGAAGAAGGTTACTATCCTTGATAGTCTTGAGCTGGCGCTGGGCCCCAAGTCACCTCGGAAGAACGATAAACAACCACCCAGAGCGTCCGCTCGCTATTCAAGGTCGCGTTCGCCAGAAAAACGCAGCAGACAAGGTTCGCAGCAACCCAAGGCTAAGCCCGCTCCACTTCCGAAAGACTCGGCGCAGGAGAATATTCTGGCTGCCCTTGGTGTTGAGGGTTCGCCTAAGATGGTTTATCCCACCCCACCTCCTGCTCTGGGATTGCCAGTCCCTCCAGGCAACCGGTATGTACAAGTTAAGGCTAGGAACGTAGCAGATCTGACAATTGATAGTAAAAGAACCACCCCACCTGGTGGCTTCGCACCTACGAATCAACGTTTCGCATACGGTCCTCAGTTTCCTCCTCCACCACCACCTCGCGAAAGTCGTTCGCCATCCTTCGATCCATGGCGTGCACATGATCCCGCTAGTCCCAAGTCGACCACCTCTCAACACACCGCGGTTGGTTCGGACTTCCACGGTGACGAAGTCATGGTTGACATGGATGCTACGCCTAAAGCCAAGGCACCGCTTGCTTCTGAGAAATCGGGCAGCGGCAGGAAGCGTACTTATGAGGAAGTAGCTGCTGCAGAAGGACGCCGCAGACAAGACGAGGACGATGACACTCCCCGGGCACGACGTGTTCGACAAAGTAGACAAGACGTTTACAGGTACGTTGAGACGCTGCACTGATACTTCACACAAGACTAACGATATCTTCAGTCGTTATCGTCGGTAAGCGCTCATCATGCTTGACATACTGTGCGACGTCGGGCGCAAGTTCATTTCTTGTGCCCTCTTTTTTCTTTTCCAATCTCTCCGATTTGATGTATGCGGTTCCATGTCTTTCGGCTATAAGACTTGCCTGTCTCAAATGCTTGTGTGTCTACACAGCCAAACACTAGGGGTACTTTTCAAGATCAAGCAACGGTCGTGGCTCAGGTGCACAAACGTCAGATCTGTCTCACGCGGGAGAGTAGAGCAGATCATGGTAACGCTTTCTCTTCTTCTCCATCCCTTCGTCCTCTTCACTTTTGTTCTTCTATCTCTTCCTTGGGTGAAAGATGCTTTTTTTATTTGACAGTTTTTTTATTACGGCCTTCACTTCACTTCATCTTACAAGGAAAAATCGATCCTTGTTTTCTTTATGAACGTGCCAATGGCACTTTTTTTGACTTGTGCTCCCGCTATACCGACCTTCAACGGCTAGTTTGAACAAAGGATGAACAACAAAAATGCCATAATCATGATGCTGAGGTGATTCACAACGAACGAGCTCTGCTTGGTTCGTGATGTGACTACGCTGGGCAGGTAGCGCGATCGAAAACAATCGCACGGCCAAGTCAATCTCAAGTAGGTGGTGAATCAATGGGAACCATCGTCTATCCTTGAAGCTCTTGACATATCGCATACTTTCATCTACGCAGAAAGAGTAGCACAGCAGCTGGACAGGCAATATGGGTAGATTGACCGTAGTCTAGTATGCATATATGGGTATCTTTTTATGTTCTACTCCTAACCAACAAGTCGCCTTTGTTCATCGCCATCCTCGCTCTCACTCTCTTCCTCATCTGATGAGTCTTCTTCATCGTCTTCGTCGTCCGTCTCTTCCTCTTCTTCATCAGTCTCCTCTTCCTCCCCAGACTCGTCAGTCTCTTCTTCTGATGTTTCTTCCTCTTCTTCATCGAGCCAGGCATCCAATGTCTTCTCTTTGGCAGGTGCGCCAGATTTTGACTTGTAAACAACGGGTACAGATCCCTTGAGTGCATCGTCGAGCATCCTGCCCGCCGGCACTGTTGAGCCACTTGCTCTATACTCAGTCTTTGGTTCCACCTCGACATTCCTGAGCTTTGCATCTGGTTCGTCTCCATCCTGAACCCAGTCAGGAAGAGGCGTGTAGCCACTAAGCCCATTCACGCCGCTTTCTTCGCCAATGACTAGGCTCGCGCTGCCGAGCACATATCCTTTTCGACTCTCACTTGGGCTCGGTGCTTGCGGCACAGGCTTTGGCGCGAGCAGGAGAAGCGAAGCAAGCTCAGTGCTCGAAGGCACGGCCAGCAAGGCGCGGAACATGCGGGCGCGGTCACGAAGATCGTATGATGGCGTGTAGCGAGCCAGTAGCAAAGTGTGATGGTACAGCAAGGATATCGGGTGCGACTTGTCTTCCTGCGATTCGAAATTCGAAGGTTGCTCGTCGTCGAAACCATGGTCTCTAAATCCTGCGTCCTCCTCTGCCTCGTCAGGAGCAGGAACAGTCGAGCTGGACTGACGCTCTAGTGCAGGAGGGCTCTCCTTCTNTTTCATCGCGTTCTCGGCATTCAGCCAGTGCAAGTATACCTTTGCCGCGAGTAGCACAATCTGCTGTCTGACTAAGTCATGCTCGTCGGGGTATCCGCGTACAAGAATGCGCAGAACGTCAGGTGCGATGCTTTGATCGGTAGAATAACCAGCGAACTCACCGACCAACCAAATGATACTGGCACGTGCAGCAGGACTAGTCAAGGTATCAAGGTTCTTCGCCAAGCGAATAACAGTTTTTGTGTGAGAGAGGGGATCGCGCTGGATCATGTGTCGAATGACTTCAAGGGCCTCGGCGACGAGATGCTGATCCGGACTGTGAATTTGACGAAGTAGTAGGCGCAAGCAGCGTGAGCTAGTAGTGGCATCCGAGTTGTGAGCGCAACGACCGATTGCTCGTACCGATTCACGAACCAGAGCGGGGCCATGACCTTGTGAAAAGTGTTCGAGTTCGGTGAGGATAAGACCTTGCACATCGGTGACGCAATGAGGGAAAACAAGAGTCAGGACCTCGAGTTTGAGGCGCCATGTTTGCTCACCCTCCCCGGATCTGAGGAGGAAGTGGCGGAAGTGCGGAACGAAGTGTTGTGGATAGAGAAGACAGATCTGAACGATGTTGTGAAGTCCGATCTGATTGATGTCAGGGGNGCCGCGCAGCAGGGCAGTAAGAGGACCGATAGCGTGGTGCAGATACTGTTCAGGGGCGAGATATAGGTAAGCTCTCGTGACGGCGATAACTACGGCCGAGGTACGCGATTGTAGAAGTGGTAGCGCGGAAGTAAGGAGCAGGTCAAGATCAGGGTCCAGAAAGGGGACATCTTCGTACTCGACTTCCTGTTCTTCAGCGTCGTCGTCATCGTAGAAGCCCTTTTGCTTTTCGGCTTGGGTGTTGGCCTTGCGCACACGTCGAGTTCTTCTAGGGAAGCAGTTTCGCGCATAGACTGTCATCAGCTGCAGAGTCGAAACTTGGCCCCATTCGTCCATGTCGACCAACTTCTTGACAAGGCTTCTGTAATGCGGGTGGATCAGATCCAAACGTTCGGGGCAAGCTTGGCTGAAAGCGGCAACTGCAGCGCCAGCGACAAAGTATTGTTTGTCACCAAGCAGAGTGGAGAGGTATTCCGTGACCTGAGGAAGAGTCGCAGGGTCCAGCTTGACGCACTTGACGCATGCAAAAGCAGCAGCCTTACGAACGATAGGACTCATGTCGGCAGTGCCTTTCTTGATGGCGAGCGAGACAATTTGGCTGATGAGCGGGATCCGAACACCAGCCATGGTCTTCAATGCCATGGCACGTACCCGAGGGCTGGTGTCCGAGAGCGACTTTTGAATTGTGTTGATGGACAGGAGAGCGGTATCCGGGTCTGCTTCGGCATGGTGCAGTAGATATGAGTAGACGAGCGGTCTGGTCGAGGAAGTCGGGTGCGAGAGAGTCTTGAGAACCGAAGGGAAGAAGGGGAGTGTTTGCGCCAGAGGAGCCGTGTATTGCANTCTGCCGTTGAAGAGGGTAAGTCGGTGTTTCGTGCCTTCCTTGTCTCGGACAGCACTGACTTCTATGACACGGCGCAAGCCTTCGAGCACTTCTCGTTCGTTCCTGCTGTCCAGCAACTTCTTTATCTGCGCTGGAGGCATCTGTTTGACCGGCCGCCGTCCGGCTCCTGCATCTCGAGCCGCCTCGAGCGTGAGGTCGCGTGCTGCCACGGGTCAGACTTGCACTTTGGTCGCAGTGAGAATCCGTATCGTACCTGTTTCCAGCATGCCCGAAATACGCGATATCGACTCCATCTTGGCTGCAATTTGTCGAGGCGCAATCGTGCACTTGCCATGATCAAATGGTCAAGCTCCAATGTTTGGCGGGGACGCAACTTCCGTCCCGGCGCGCACGTCACCGCCTACCTTCCTGCAGCCACTTTGAATCTCCTCCAACCCTGTCATACATTCTATCTTTCTCAACTTCTACTCCAACACAAGCTGCCGGGCGCGACACTGCTGCATTTATGTTCTGATACTCATGAAGAACTCCATCAAGCCTGTGTGACCACTTTTACATGCCACTCGAAAAGTCTCGACCTTCGAGACCGATTGCGCTTGAGCCCTGCAAAGCCCACCATGTTCTCCAGTTCTGCATGCGCCACCCTGCACCAAGCAAGCATTTGATTGTCTGCTCGACGCGGGATGCATTTTTGCAATCTCTCTTGTACGAGGTCTCTCGGGAATGTCGAAACGAGCACAACACTGCACTGGACTTGCTTACTCCGACGTTGAGCAACCTACACAATTCACGCAACATCCAGGTCACTTTCTGTTCAGATCTCACCAATCTGCGAGCCTACCTCAGGACACTGAAGCATCTTCCTCCTTCTCAAGCGGCACAACTTGAGTTGGAGCCAGAAGGCACATCTGCTGAAGACCGTCCACTCCTGATGATACTTAATCCAATTCGAATTCACGAACATACTTTGTCCTATTCAGCTCAGGGATTCAATCGGACATTTGCTTCTATCGCAGACGCGGCGCATGGTCTCGGCCACCAGCTCATAATGGCTGAATGCATCGATCCAGAAGACGAATACGATACTGGTGTTCAAGAAGACGAAGACATGCTCGATGAAAGTCGCCCGGCTACGAATCCCTGGGACCAAGATGTCTCGATGCTGAATATAACCACGAAGACTTTTGGTACTGGCGAACGAGGTTGGGTGGGCAGAACTGTGAAAATCAGACAAGTTGCTAGACGCTGGTGTAAGTTCCAAAAACTGGAGGATTACGGCGCGGAATGTAGTGAGCAGTAGGTAGGAGGAAAAGGCCGCTTGTGGTTAGGTTGAGAAACAATTCTATATCGATGTCATGGTATTGGAAAAAAAAAGAAAAATGTACAGAGGGTTCCGCCGTATGCTCTACTTGGTACGGATGTGCTTCAGCTTCTTTGGGCTGTGCATGAAGTTGTTGGCATAAGCCTTGGGGATGATTCTGCGCTCGTTGGGCTCCTGGACAAAGTATTCGTAACCTTGCTTGTTGGCAAAGTTGATGGCATCGTCCTTGGACTTGAAGTTGAGGTGAGTGCCCTGCATGTAGTCGGCAGATGATTGCCAGCCCATCAGAGGGTTCTCCCAGCGGTGGCCCTTGCTGAGCACATCCCAGTCCATGCGCCAGTGGTGAGCATTCCAATCGCCAGATTGAGTCGCGGTCTTAGCGGGACGGAAGATGCTGGAGATACGGTGTAAGTACAGACAAGATTAAACGACTGGCGAAATGCGAGGATTGACGAACCGAACGGTACGGGCTTGGAGGTCGGTAGGGGCGCCAGACACGACGGCGGCAGCGACGGTCTCGGTAGGCTCACTACCATCCATGACACGCTTGGGGACGGGAGAGAAGGCTCTATCAAGTCACAATAAGCCTACAATTGCTCGAGGAAGATGTCGCGTGTTGGACGAAGCTCACGAGGTTCTGTAGTCGACGGCAGCGCCGTAGTTGGGAGCATGGCTGGGTGTGTTCTCGACGGCGGACTCGCTTCCCTTGGTCTCTCCCTTGGTCAAGTGGACGGGCGAAGGAGGCTCATCGCGGGATTGGATGTTGTCGACCTCAGCCGAGTTGGGAGCAACGAAGGACTGGTTGCTGGCGAAACGGGGAGCCTGGCGCGAGAAGGCGGGTCTCGAGGCGAGGGCGAAAAGCCTCGAGGCTGCTGTCCTGTTCAAGGGCGACATTGTGTGGATATGTGTGAATCTGAACAGCCTCTTGTCGCTCTATTGGTATGCGCCCATGTAGGTCAGCACCTCGACGACGCAGCCGGAGTGCAGCCGGAGTCTTGGCAGGCGATTGGGGAGCCTTCGCAACGCCATGTCAAAGCACATAGCACCGGCACAGAAGAGTCACTTGTCGCAACCATGGTCTCTACGCTCATTCCTCCCAAGGTGCGTCCGCTTTTGATACTGCTGCTGATCCCGTTCCATGCTGACTGCTCTCAGATTGCCTCGCCCTCGGTACGTTGAGCTCCGTCTTCCGCAAAATCTACACCTCAGCACACCTTCAAACCGACCTCGACCGCCCGCGCAGCCCGCGCCATCGCACCATGTTGGAGAAAGAGCTATGAGAACTAGACTGACAGAGTCGACAACCAGGGCATTGGTGCTTCGGCCGACGCCGCCCGCATGCAGCGTGTCGTCTCGTTCTACGAGAGACTCCCTCGCGGTCCCGCTCCCGAGCACAAGCCTTCCGGCCTCCTCCAGAGATACCAGCACCGCTACTTCAACGGCAAGAACCCTTCGGCTATGCGTACGACCACCCCTATCTGTATATCTATGTTCTGGACTCGAGCTGACCTCGAACAACCCAGCCCTGGTTCACGTCATTGGCACCATGATCATCCTTGGTTACGCCCAGAACTACTACTTCCACTTGCGTACGTCTCCTCTGGACTGGTTGTATCTCGGACACGTAGCTAACGGCTGGCTTGACAGGTCACCACAAGAACAACGCCCACTAGATGGGGCAACGGGACGGAAAAGGGTGGTATGCAGGACGGCGAGGCAGTCAAAAGTCGAAGTCCCCGTCTTTGTAATTATACAGCATAAAACCGAGAGTGAAGTAACTGGTCTCTTCTGCTCTGCCTTTGATCTTGTGATGTGTTCAACGTTGTATGCAAAGCCATGGCAATACCGGGTATAGGGCACGGTCCACCTATTGGTAGTGAAAGCAACTGGAACCTCGCCGTCGTGACTAGACCGACCCGTGCAAGAGTGAACCGGACTGCTCCCGCAAGGCTTCCGAAGAAGATATTGTTTGCAAGGTTGACTGAGGTTTCTTTTCGGGCTGACATCCGTGGGCGCCGACACGTCTGAAGCCGCATCATCCTTCGTACTCCATTTCCAGTAACGCAACGCCTGGGAACACGAGACACCTCCACCCGTCGACCAACTACAAAGCGGGCGCGCAACTTGCCCACGATCTCACCACTGCCGACATATTCCTCGCCGAGTCTGGTTATGGCCGAGCTGAGCCCCCATAATGTGGTGATCAACGACCAGTCGGTGGACGAGCACGAGTCCGCCGGCGTGAATGCATCCATCCAAGACAACGAGTCCGCCGTCACTGGCGCGCAACCCGAAACCACCCAACATCAACTACCACCGCCACACGACAGCGACACGCTCTCACTAGACCCAAACTCGTCCCACGATCACGCACACCTCAACGGCACCATCAACAGAGATGTCGACAATGCGACTCCCGACCACCAAGGCTCTGACACAGACTCCAGCCGTCCAGACGCTTCCAAGCAAGCCCGTTCTGGTTCAGTCAAGAAGCCTTTGTCATTCAAGCCTGTTTCTATCACAAAATCCTTCCTGGCAAAGGCCGCTACAACTCCTGGAAATACCCCTCCTCCTGTCAAGGTTGCCGAAAAGCGTGCGCCGACCGAACCCAATTTCCACAAGTTCATGCTGACACCTCGNAAAGCGTCTCCTCAAATGGCCACACTACAGCTGAATGCGAGACCCCGTCTGATCGCGAAAACCGGTAGCAGCGGACTCCGCGACGTTCCCCGTGCTCACCCTGGCGATGGCACCAACACCCCGAATGGTAGGACTGTGTGGAACAAGAACCAGCGTCAGTACTACCCGCGCAATCACGCCTCGCCGCATACTGACCACAAAGCAGCCGCACCACCTGCCCCAGCCAAGCACTACACGGACGAAGAACTCAAACAAAAGTACGGAATTCACTTGGCCACACGTTTGGAATCCGAGGAAGCGACAGAGCAAAAGGCAAAGTGGGCCGACATTGACGAGGATGAGGAAGAGTGGACGCCCGAGACGGTCGAATGGATGGACGGAACCAAAACCACTATCAGTCATACGGATGCTATCCCTCCTCCTCAACCACAAGAGAAGCCTGTGGACAAGCCGCAAGAAGAGCTGCCTCCTACTGCCACTCCTACTCCTGCAGCCGTCCCCGTCAAGCCCTCCATGACTGCGCTAAAGCGTTCAAACCTTGCTGCGCAATCGCGTACCATCCTAAGACCTGGAGCTGCACAGCAAGCCAAACAGATTGGTGCCGATGGAAAGGCTACTCCTGACAACAAATCACCTATGCTGAAGAACACAGCACCTGCACCCATCAAATCTCCTTGGGCACCGCTTCCTCCGGTCGAGAAGGCTTCTCCAATCACGGTCAATCCACCTCCACCCGCACAGGCTCCTGCCAGATTCGCACACAGAGATATTCATGGATATGACGCCTTGTCTCAACCACTGCCTGCACGTGAGATGGCCACCGACACTTTTGATCGTTCTTGGAAGGAAGGTGAGAGAACGAATAGAGAACTTTTCAACTCGCAATCAGGTCGTTACGAGCCAGCCCCTGAACATCGTAGGGGCTCACGCCAGCAAGACCAATATCAGAGGCAACCCGCAGTCTTACAACGACCCGCTCCTGGAGGTGGCCCTGCAGAACCTTCGGCTGCTTTCCAAGCCCGTACGAACTCTCAGGGGGATGCCAGTTCCTGGGGCCGTAGAAGAGGTTCAAGCATCAGTGGAAACATGCTTCGTGATAGACGCATGTCTTCTTCTAGCAAAGTCTTTGATCCAGCTGAGCCTTCTTCTGACATGGTGCCCGAAGCCAAACCAGAGGCTCAGCCACCGGTTGAATCTTCTGAAGCACCGATACACCAGACTGATGGCGCCGCACCTAGTGCTTTGTCAATTGAGGAAGAGCGCGAGAAACAAAAGAAGCTCATGCAAGAAAAGCGTGAAGCAGCAATTCGACGCAGACAAGAGGAAGAAGCACGCGAGGAAGCTGAGAGGAGAGAGAGGATCAGAAAGAAGATGGAGGCTTTGGGAATGCCTCTCGAAAAGGTGCCATCCCAAGACAAGACCGAGAAGAAGCAGCCCGAAGCGCAAAAACAACCAGACGCACCTTCCGCTATTTCCAACGCGTCACCGGAAGAAATTACCGCTGTCCAGCCTGTCGCGTCGAGTGAAGAACCACCGCGCACAGAAGCGCACGTGTCACCGGTCAAGCAACTTTCACCTCGAAAGGAGAAGGCGGCCGACTCTTCACTCTCGTTCGGTCAAAACCCGGCGCCCATCACTCGCCCTGCGCACAAAACTCTTTCGTCCCCTCAGTTGCCTGGTCTTCAACAACACTCGCCTAATGGTCCGACGCGCAGTCCCTATCAACAGTCATCCTTGCAAGGCATGAACACGCCATCCTTTTCGTCGCCCAGCGATCAGAAGGCGCAACCTGCGCGTCTGCCATCGATCTCCAGCGGCGATTCGTTCACAACCACGCCGTGGGGCAGTGCCAGCATGACTTCCCACACTGCACCCGCTCTTTGGGGTCCTCCGCCTAGCAACAACAGACACATAGGAAATGGCACCTTTGACGCAGGCTACTCGAGCATCTCACCGAGCTCGCGCCCCCAACCCCAGAACGCGCCATTCAATGCGCCCTTCAACCGCTCCTACCCCTCGCGTGTCTCGCCCAAGGCGTTTGGCCAGCCCGGATCCACGCAGTCTGATCCCATGAACCAGCAATATGGCCCTCTGTCTACTCTCGACTCGCGCATGCCCGAGCCCACCAGTGCCTCGGCGCTCGCCGGCGCATCGCCCCTGCCTGAGCCCGCCCGTCTNGGCCTACCCTGCCCCTATTGCTCCCCCACAAAAAGCNNCGCCCCTCGCCAGCAGCCTCTACGTGATACTTCGGCATGGACCAATTTCTCCAACAATGCTCAAGCAGCCAGAGACGATGCGCAGACTGCCGCCCGCCTCCAGAATGAGAGAGCAAAGCCCTCCTCACCTCAGCAGCAATCTAATCACGCCCATTCCAACTGGACCGTCACTGAGACATTCAGACAGACACGAGGCAGTGAGAACCATTGGCTCGAGGGAGACACTCCTACACGCACTGCGGCAAAGGTTCTTGGCCCTCACAGAGCCGGCGCAATTGGTGCTGCACGCCCAGGCCCTCACAGAACCAGCCAAAACGTACCAGATCCTCATAGATCTATTCAAGTTGTACCGGGCCCTCAGTCTCCCATCGCCCAACAGTCGATGCACCATCCTCCTCCCCCTAGTGATGAACAGTTACACATGCCGGGTGAAGGCATAGTCCGTCTTCCTACCGGTCCCTCTAACTTCTCGAGAGCCTTTGGCAGCCCTGGAAATGTGTCCACTGGCACAGTACTGCCCCCTATTGGTGCATTCGTCAGTAACATCCAGCCTTCACCTCTACCCGTGCAGCCTTCCACACCCGGTGCAGCCCCACAACAGTCAAGGTTCTTCCCTTCGGCTCTTTACGGTGGATCTCCACCGCCTGAAGAGGCTGACCACCCTGTCTTTGGCGGTGACTCAAGACATCCTCTCGTCAACTTGCCGATTCCAAAGCCCAAGGTCAAGCTGCCGCCTGCCGCTGTCGCAGACCGCGAGCACCCCAGCTCAGTCACCATGCCCCGAAGCGTGCACTCGTACTCTGTTGGCGCAAGGCCCCTTGTTCAAAATCAGGACTGGCAAGCCAGGTTTAACGGACTCTTTGGCAAAGCTCAAGTCACGACCACGACTCCACCTTCACCACCCAAGACGCCCCCAAAGATACAAGCTCCTGCCCCTGCCGTCGCGCCCGTCTCTAGGACAAGCTCGGAGTTCGTCCTCGCGCAGAGTGCAACCATTGTCTCCCTGCCAAGATCAGCCTCTCCTGCATCCACTTACACCAAGATTGTGTCCAAGCCTGGTGTTGACGACATCTTCGATGGAGAACTTAGTTTTGGCTCCACTCCTAGAGTCTATCTGCCTCGAGGTGTTACATACCCTGACCCTCCTACCACTGTGTCCACAACTGTGAGACCAAACTCGAAACTCCACAGATTCGTCGAATCGCATTCAAAGCGTATAATGTTCTTCCCTGACCATGCCATTCATGATGTCACAGTCCAGATCAAGTTGCCTCAACCTTGGTTTGTCGCCAAACATGTGAGCATGGAACGCAAGAACAAGGGAGCACAAGGCCACAAGAACTCCAGCAGACCAAACAACAAGAACAAGCGCAATGCATCGAGCAATATCAACGCAGACTCGCCTGACACTACATCGACTTCTGCTACCGAAACTGCTAGCAGCAAGCCACAAAATACTGTTGTGCAGGGCGATAAAGGCGCAAAGACACCTCTGGCTGAGAACACTGTCCTCGCCAACGCCAACAGTGAACACACCGGTTCGAAGAAGACCATGTGGCCCAAAGTGCCTAAGGGTCCTCGTGGCCGCGGCCGTGGTGGATACAGAGCACAAGCCTAATTGATTCGTTTCGTATCACTTGGACCTCATGGATGGAGTTTTGAATCACCGGAGTAACAAGGAGCTTTCCGGTGGAACCAACTATTCGTTTTTCGCGTTTCGCTTCTTTTTACGCCCATCTGATGCCGTGTCTTTTACACTTTAGCCTCTGGTTTTGGGTTTGACTGCACGGTTACTGCTTTCACTTGCTAGGATGCGAACTGATGGAGGACCTCACTGTGGATTAAAGCAGTGCTTTAGTACTTTTCATATCCAGGTCCCTGGTAATGCTACGAACAGTCAATGATTGTGGTGGGTTCGCTTCCGCTGTCAGAAACAGACCATACTCGTAAGAATTAAGACGTTTATCATTGAACATAATTGTGCCACTTTGATGTGATGTGCGACATGGTACAGTGAAATGCCGGCCCGAGAGGTTGTGCCAAGACATAGATGTTTCGCCGTCGCGGTAACTCCGTCACCGCAAGCAGGCGCATTCGACTTTTGTACACGACTGACATGGCTGCCGCTTGAACTCGGTATATCACGCCGTGACAAAGACGCCCAAGTAGCCGACAACTAGTGAAGGATCTTCTCATCATGGATGACCTCGAAGCCCTTGAGCACTTGTCGCTCGTCTCAAAAGTGGCTTCCGAGATTCAGAACCACATGGGCATCAGCGACAAGACCATCGCCGAATTCGTCATTGCCCAACATGAACAGTCCAGGAATCTCGACGAATTCAAGACGAAGCTGTCCGAGTTCGACTTCTCAGCCACTCTTGCGACCGCAATTGATCGCCTGGTGCTGACCATGCACCCCAAGTACAAGTCGAAAGCCAAAACACAAGCGCATGCCGACCATGAGGACGAGCGAGATCTTGACGGCGAAAGAGACAGGAAAACAAGAGTCTTCAAGGGACTGGTGATACCGGACAAGGATGTCGCGTTCGACGATCAAGACGACAAGACGTTGCAAGAGGAGGATTCCAAGCTGGACGCAATGGACGACACTTTTGCTCTTCTCGAGGGACTTGCAGGTGGGGGCAAGCCCAAATCGAAACTCAGCGTTCCTCGCAAGCGTAGCGTGAGCCCAGTGGCCGAGGATGAATACGATGACCGCCGGAGCAAGAAGTCCCGAAGGAGGTCCCGCTCACCTGAACAAAGGCACGATGACTACGTATTCGAGGACGAATTTGGCAGAACCCTCCCATGGCGCAAGCCTGATCAAGACACCGATCGCAAAAGCAGGCATCGACAAAGAAGTCGTAGCGGGGACCGGCATCGACGCGCACCAACGCCTGAAATCGACGACTCGCCAGTGCTATACAAAATCTACGATGGTAGAGTTACTGGAGTCAAAGATTTCGGTGTCTTTGTAAATCTGTATGGAGTCAAGGGCAAGGTCGATGGCCTGGTACACATTTCTGCCATGGCCGAGGGTAAGGTCAATCATCCCTCTGATCTGGTGTCTCGCAACCAAGAAGTAAAGGTCAAAGTCATGAAGCTACAAGACAACCGCATCAGTCTATCCATGGCTGAAGTTGATCAAGTAACCGGACAAGATTTTGCACCCCACAAGCGTATTGGTGCAGCTACTGGTGCGAACGCTTTGGGCATGGACGGAGACGAACGCTACGGTAATCTCACCTCAAACGTACCTGTGATTGAAGGCAACATGAATCAAAAACGCAATAGNAAAAGAATGACATCTCCAGAGCGTTGGGAGATCAAACAGTTGATCGCTTCTGGAGCAATCTCGGCGCAAGAGTATCCTGACATCGATGAAGACTACAACGCAGCACTCAGAGGCGAGGAGATTGAAGAAGAGGAGGACGTTGATATTGAAGTCCGGGAAGAGGAGCCACCATTCCTGGCTGGACAGACAAAGCAGTCTCTGGAGCTTTCCCCTATCCGAGTCGTCAAAGCACCCGATGGATCGATGAACAGAGCAGCCATTGCTGGAGATGTCCTCGCAAAGGAGCGTCGAGATTTGAAACAACAAGAAGTCAGAGACAAGGCTGCGAAAGAAAACTCTGGAGTTGATTTGCAAGCGCAGTGGAACGACCCTATGGCAAATCCTGAACAACGACAGTTTGCCAGCGACTTGCGTCAGGCTCGTCAAAATGACGGAGAAGTCCCGGAATGGAAGCGTATTGCATCGCACAGCAAGACTCAATCCTTCGGAAAACGTACCAACATGCCCATCAAGGATCAGCGTGAGAGTTTACCTGCTTTCCAATTCCGAAAACAGTTTTTGGAGGCTGTGGCAGGCTACCAGCTTTTGATTGTCGTCGGTGACACCGGATCTGGAAAAACAACCCAATTGACACAGTACCTTGCCGAGGAAGGATACGCCAACTCGGGCGTGATTGGATGTACACAACCTCGTCGTGTCGCTGCCATGTCGGTGGCTCAGCGTGTGTCTGAAGAAGTCGGTTGCCGTCTGGGAGAAGAGGTTGGCTACACCATTCGTTTCGAGGACAAGACGTCGAGCAGCACCAAGATCAAGTACATGACAGACGGCATCATGCAACGTGAGATTCTCTTGGACCCCGAGCTGAACAGATACTCTGTTATTATGCTTGACGAGGCTCACGAGCGTACCATTGCGACCGACGTTCTGTTCAGTCTGCTCAAAAAGACGTTAAAGAAGCGGCCTGACATGAAGTTGATTGTCACATCAGCTACCTTGGACGCAGCAAAGTTCTCGGAATACTTCAACCAATGCCCCATCCTTACCATTCCTGGTCGTACTTTTCCTGTCGAGATCATGTACTCTCGCGAACCCGAATCAGACTATCTGGATGCTGCTCTTACCACAGTCATGCAAATCCACCTTACCGAACCACCAGGTGACATCCTGCTCTTTTTGACTGGTAAAGAGGAGATTGATACATCTTGCGAGATCCTGTACGAACGAATGAAGGCGCTGGGTCCGAGTGTGCCAGAACTTATGATTCTCCCTATCTACGGAGCCTTGCCAAGCGAAATTGCTAGCAAGATCTTTGAGCCTGCGCCTGTGGGCACTCGAAAAGTCGTCATCGCAACAAATATCGCCGAAACCTCCATCACCATTGACGGCATCTACTTTGTCGTGGATCCTGGTTTCGTCAAGCAGAGCGCATACGATGCTAGACTTGGTATGGACCGTCTTCAGGTCACCCCTATCTCACAGGCTCAGGCACGTCAACGTGCTGGACGAGCTGGCAGAACGGGGCCTGGAAAGTGTTTCCGCTTGTACACCGAAGCTGCTTATCAGTCTGAGATGCTGCCGACTACGATTCCCGAAATCCAACGTCAAAACCTTGCCAGCACTATCTTGACACTGAAGGCTATGGGTATCAACGACCTGCTTCACTTTGACTTCATGGACCCGCCACCGACGAATACCATGTTGACGGCACTCGAGGAACTCTATGCGTTGTCAGCGCTTGATGACGAAGGATTGCTTACTCGACTAGGTAGACGTATGGCCGACTTCCCGATGGAACCAACGCTTGCCAAGACGACAATCATGTCGGTCGACCTGGGATGTTCTGATGAGATACTGTCAATCGTGGCCATGATCTCGGCAGTGCAGACTGTTTTCCACAGACCCAAAGACAAGCAAGACCAGGCAGACAAGAAGAAGGCCAAGTTCCACGATGCGTCGGGTGATCATCTGACTTTGCTCAACGTGTACAATGCATGGAAGCAAAGCAGAATGAGCGATCCTTGGTGCTTTGAGAACTTCATCCAGCCACGAAGCATGAAGAGAGCAGAGGATGTGCGTAAACAACTGGTACAGATCCTCGACCGCCTTCGGCTTCGCGTGGTCAGTTGTGGTCGCGATACAACACGAGTCCGTCAAGCACTCTGCAGTGGCTTCTTCAGAAACTCGGCTCGTAAGGATCCTCAAGAAGGTTACAAGACGTTGATTGAAGGCACTCCAGTGTACATGCATCCTTCATCAGCGTTGAACCGCAAAGCAGCCGAACATGTCATCTATCACAGTCTGGTGGAAACGACCAAGGAGTACATGCACAATGTTACAGTGATTGAGCCCAAATGGCTCGTGGAAGCAGCACCGACATTCTTCAAGGTTGCTGGTAAGGAGGGTGGACTTAGTAAGAGAAAGCGAGCAGAAAGGATTCAGCCCCTCCACAATAGGTTTGCGGGTGAGGATGACTGGAGGTTGAGTGCTCAGAAGAAGCAGGGCAGAGGAGGTGGCGGAACTTGGGGTTAACAAGATATTGTACTCATCTTCTAAGAAAGAACAGACGCTGAAACAAGGATATCAATGTTTCTCATGAGCTTGACTGAGGCAGGTGCAAGTCGGCTTGTTCCGATGGCGGGGTTTGAGCGATGATGGCGGTTTGGATGCGGCGGAATTTTAGCAACAAGTCACGACCGGCAACCTGAAGTCAATACATTTCTCACGACAGCTCGTTCGAGCTCTAAACACTTCGGCCAGACTATCGCCTCTATACAGACACACTTCAAAACTCCAATCCATCTCAGTGATTACACACGTGCGCAACATGGCTTCCCTCGACGACAAGTCCAGAGCGCTTCTCCAGAAGGCCTACCCTCAGACCCCCGAGCTCGAGGGTGACATGATCAAGCTGTCGCAGTCGCTCTTCCCCAAGGCCGAGGTGCGTAGTCATCCGAAACACAACAACACAACATCTGACTTTGTTCAATCANNGTACTCGACCAACGAGAAGACCGAGATTGAGCAATGGCTCATCACCTCATCCCACATTGCCTCGTCCACCGAGGACGCTGCTAAAACTGCCGAGCGTCTGTCTTCGCTCAACACCCACCTCAGCACTCGCACAACTCTCCTCGGCTCCAAGCCTTCGGTCGCCGACATTGCTCTCTACGCACGTGTCGCTCCTGTCATTGCTTCCTGGTCGGACGAGCAGCGCACCGGCGAGCAGGGATACCACCACATTGTCCGTCACGCAGACTTTGTCCAGAACTCTCCTCTCTTCGCTCTGAAGGTCGAGGATTCCGAGAAGGTCAAGATTGACCAGGACAATGTCATCTTCAAGATCAAGCCCATTGACTTGAAGGCCGAGAAGGAGCGCAAGAAGAAGGAGAAGGAGTTGGCTGCCCAGGGCGCGACCAGTGCTGCCAACGCCGGTGCAACCGTCACATCGGCAGCTGCTCCCGAGGCCCAGCAGAAGTCGGTCGCCGAGAAGGCTACTGAGCAGGCTGAGAAGGTCAAGGGACAGGCCAAGACTGCTGGTGAGAAGGTCGCCGATGCTGTCGGAGCCGAGACTCCTGGCGTGAGCAAGAAGACCGAGAAGAAGGCAAAGAAGGAGAAGGCTCCCAAGCAGCCCAAGGCCCCCGCCGCACCCGAGAAGCCCTTCTCGCCCGCCCTCATCGATCTGCGTATCGGCCACATCCTCAAGGCCATCCGTCACCCCAACGCCGACAGCTTGTACGTCTCCACCATCAACGTCGGCGATGCTCCCGGCACCGACAACACCGAAGAGTACGAGGGCCAGACCTGCCGCACCGTCTGCTCTGGTCTCAACGGTCTCGTTCCCCTCGAGGAGATGCAGAGCCGCAAGATCGTCACAGTCTGCAACCTCAAGCCCGTCACCATGCGCGGCATCAAGTCTTGCGCTATGGTCCTTGCCGCCTCACCACGCCTCAAGGAAGGCGAGGAGGACCACCACGGCGGCCCCGTCGAGCTCGTCAACGTCCCCGAAGGTGCTGTCGCCGGCGACCGCGTCTACTTTGACGGCTACGAGGGCGAGCCCGAGTCCGTCCTCAACCCCAAGAAGAAGATCTGGGAGGCCTTCCAGCCCGGCTTCACCACCACCGATAACCTCGAGGTTGCCTTTGAGGTTTCGGCTGTGCCTCAGCTTACCGAGAAGGGCGATAGCGGTGTTAGACAACTCAAGACCAAGTCTGGTGTTTGCACTGTCAAGTCGCTTGCTGGCGCCACTGTCCGATAAATAGGGTTTTGGGATGGCAAGAAGCCAAAACATCAAAGTTGAACAATGACAAAAGACAAAAATAATGATATACTCAATGCGTGTGTTGGAATATGTTTGCACTAAATCAAGACAACTTTCAAGTCCAACATCAGTTCTGCATTGCTGGGCCCATGTGATTCCTTCCTTTCTTTCCTTTTTTTCTGCTCGGTCGTGGGTTTTTCCCCATCGCTGCTTCCTTTTCCATCGATCTGTTTCTCCGTTTCGACAACCCTGTCTCTATTCCATGCCATATATCCTCTTTACAATCCTTTTGTTCGTGTGTCAATTTTATGGAAAAAGCGTTTGAAAACGTATCCTAAAGCAAAAGTAAGGTTGTGTTGTTATGCCTGTTTGCAACTATGGTTGTGCTATGCTATAACCTTTGTATTCAGATTCTGCTCTTTTTTTTTCTTTTTTTTCTTCTTTTTTTTTGGCAATTTCTCGATACACATTGGTGTACTTGTGCTGAGTGGTTGGTATATGGGTGGTCCAAAGAACACATCAAGATGACAAGAGAAAAAAGTATTCTGGGAATTTTTTTGCGCTGCATGCATGCAATAGTAAGTACTATCTTCCCTCTTTTTGTGATCAAGCTGGTTTTTCGTGTACAATGCCATCGTCCATCCCATCATGTGCTGTGAATGCCTGTATACGCAGAATGATGGAAGGAGTGGCCAAGAGATAGAAAAAACAAAGCAAGGGAAAAAGGAAAGGAAAACGGAAGCATGAGGACAAGCAGACGGACGGTCAAAAGGAAGGACAAGAAGTGCGACCAAGTGGAGAACTCAAGGCAAGTCTCACCATAACACAACAAGTGTCCTTAAGCCTTAATTAGCACCACAAATCTGGCTCAAACGAGAAGCCGCCTCGGCAAGGTTCGACCCATACGAAAGATGCGACCCAGACCCCTGAGTCTTGCCGCTGAAATCGCACACAAAGTCCGACGAACCGCAGTACCGCACAACCTTGGCATCATCAACACCCTTGAAACCCTGTCCATTCATGGGGTCGCCAANAGCGGCCACGCCGGCAATCTTGGTGCCGTCGATGGAGTTGAGTGCGTTGTGGACTACCATGGCACCTTGCGAGTAGCCCGCCAAGATCACTTTGGTGTCGGGGCATTGTTGGAGGGCTTTGGTGGCTAGAGCGGCCATCTTGGGCCCGCCCGAGGCTCCCATGTTTGCGTTTCCGGCTGCGTCGGCGGGGTAGTCGACGCCTTGGACGGCGCAGGAACCGGTGTCTTTGATGAGGGCTGAGGCGAGGCCGGGCCCGACGATGGATCCTAGGGTGCCCATCTCGGTGGTACTGGGGAAGCAAGATGTTAGAGGTTTGGTCTGGGTTTGCTTCATGCTTGTTTCAACTTACCCGCGAGCGAAGATCAGTGTGACTTTCTTGCATCCAGTGTTGCCGGTAACATCATTGCTGGCCACAGCGCCAGCAGCACCGGTCAGAGAGCCCAGAGAACCAAGAGAACTGAGCGAGCCGAGCGAGCCGAGCGAGCCAAAGCCACTTGTAGCAGTACCAGATGAAGAAGAAGAAGAGTCAGAGCTTCCAGCAGAACCTATACCGCAATCAGCGATGTGTATTTGAATGCTTTCTACTTGGTGTATGCGCTACCTGAAGACGAGACGCCAGCCGATCCAGTACCAGAAGCATTGCCGCTGGCAGATGCATCCGCAGAACCAGCACCTGATCCACCGAGTCCTGCAGCACCACTTCCGAGTCCGCTCAAGCCTCCAAGAAGGCCACTGCCGCTGCCACCTGAGAGACCAGGAAGGCCTCCTGAAAGACCTCCAAGACCGCTTCCTCCCGAGAGGCCGCCAAGTCCTCCGGTCAGTCCACTAAGACCGCTTCCTCCCGAAAGTCCTCCAAGTCCACCAGTAAGTCCACCGAGTCCACTTCCTCCAGTCAGGGCACCAAGACCGCCAGCAGATGCAGAGCCTGAGCCCGAGTCGTAGGACTGACGCTTCTTGATGTATGACTTGTAAGTGCTGCCAGATGCGCCAGTGGCAAGAGGAGGGGCAGTGGCCTCAGGGGTAGAAGGTGCATCAGTGGGAGTTCCAGAGGCAGCATCAACTGCAGACTCGCTGGGAGCAGGAGCAGAGCTGTCAGAGCCGTACATGGGTGCGTTGGCAGATCCGCTTGCATCTGCGACAGAACCGTCCTCGCCGTAAGTAGGGGCCGAGGCAGCATCGCTGGGAGAAGCCGATGCGGCATCAGTCTCTGTGTCGGAAGGAGAGTCTCCGCTGGGTGCCGAGCTGTCGGAAGGAGAAGAGCTGTCGGGAGAACCGTAGGCGGCAGTGCCACTGGGAGTACCAGCAGCAGCATCTGTCTCGGTATCGCCACCAACCTTTCCGGAAGCATCGCCAGAGCCATTGGCACCAGCATTTCCTCCGATTCCAGCACCAATTCCGCCCTGGCCATTTGCGCCGCCTCCTAGACCAATTTCACCATGGCCCTTTCCACTTCCGCCCAATCCCAGGCCACCGAGAAGACCACCAGCGCCTCCCAGTCCTGCGCCTATGCCTCCTGATGCGAGACCACCAAGACCAGCTCCCAGAGATGCTGAGCCTGAAGGGTATGCAGAGCCGCCGAGGTTGACTCCGATCGATGGCGAGGCTGCTCCTCCGATGCTGGCTCCAACGGAAGGCGAAGCGGCACCTCCAATGTTTGCGCCCGCGCCCAGACCTCCATGTCCGTTGCCTCCGATGTTTGCACCAGCGCCCAGACCTCCGTGTCCGTTGCCTCCAATGCCAGCAGACAAGCCGCCCTCGTGCCCAAGACCAAGTCCAGCGAGTCCTCCGAGAAGGCCGCCCAGACCGGCATGTCCAGATCCTCCCAGGCCTGCCGAACCTCCTACACCTGCCGAGCCAGATCCGCCAACATCAGCTCCTGCATTGGCTCCGGCCGAGCCAGATCCGCCGATGTTCGCTCCAATTCCAGCCGAGCCAGAGGGAGAAACCTCAGTAGAGCCAGAGACGCCTCCAGCTCCTGTACCAGACAGGGAACCGTAGTCGCCAGTAGGGGCAGCGATAGAGCAGATGGCGAAGGCCAGAGCTGCAGTTGTAAGTGAGTATCTCATATTGTTGAGGAGATGTGTATGTCGTTTGAACGATTGAAAGTTGTAAAAGTGTAAATAAAAAAAGGGCAAGAACGAACGAGCAAACTGTCGAGACCGGCTTGAACAGTTGAATCAAAGAAAGAGGAAGGAACTGGATGCTGGATGAGTTGCTTCATGTTGGAGAAGTAGCAGATACTTATACCACTTCGTGGTTGAGCACGTCTGAGAGACTGACTCTGCATCGAGGTCTGTGAGTCTGGGATTGAGGTGATAAGCTTGAGCTACCGAGGTATGGTTGGAGGGTTCAAACAGCAAGAACCCTTAGCAGCAACGCCATGCCTGATGGTGTTACGGATGTGGAGCTGTATGTGGCTGAAACTTGAAGACTTCCTTGACTTGAGCTGGGGTTTCATGCTCTCGAGTCCTCAAAGGGCGATAACGCCATCTGCACGGCTTCTGAACAGAATTCTACTTCGTTAGTGTAGATCAATTAATCTCAATCATCTGATGTCGACTCCTTTTGAGAATGCAGGCGGCCGTAAGGGAAGGAGGTCTATTTAGAGAACTTCCGTTTACGGCCGATTAGGATGATTGATCATCTTATTGTGAGTTTCAAAATGCTGTTCGACGAAATTCCAGTTTCCTCTGAAAAGAAAACCTGTAAATTGTCGGCTGTTGTCCAGGAGAAGGACTGGACCGCCATGAGGGATGAGTGGTTGTCGTAGTAGTCAACAAAACGCTCGTCGAAGAGCATTGGGCAAGGGCGACCATCGAATTTAGTTGTTGTCACTGCTGAATGCGGACTGGAGTTGGAGCAAGCTTCGGCTTGGCACGTTTCATCCATCAACTTCAAACAGCCGCGGCTCCTCCCGATCTATTTTCCGACTTTGATCAGACGCTACTCCAGCATTGCTTGCCGGTCGATCGCATTTTTAAGAGGTGCTGAGAATTACCATTCTAGTTGAGATGGCATTAGGGCTTTCAAAGAAACACACCTATCCCAGACTATCCAGCGCTATTGTTCCATGTAGCGGGAAACCCACGAGCTGAACCTACGGAGATGTTCAGTGGCCGTCGGAAGAAAGTCAAAATCTGGACTGTCGTGTTTGATGCTCGCTGTTTCGAGATGGGCCTGGTTGTCTTGAAGCTTGTCGACATCTCACCCCAACCTCAAAAGTTGGACCTGAGTTTGTCCACCAAACATCAATTGGTAGGCCGGGATCTTGTTTCGCAACCCGTGTCTTCAGTCAAGGGGAATATCAACCATGCTCGAGAATTGAGATCATCCCGCTCATGGAGAGACTTGCATCGCAGAGCAATTCATCTGATACTCCGGGTACGAGGTCCAAAGTTCTGGATGCCCTGAGATCGTCCTCGATCCAAGGCAGAGACGTTGAGTCGTATACGAAGCGAATGATTTGTCTCGATCGACTGCATGATCAACGTCAGAAGCAGTCAAGGCGAGACTGAGCGTTTGAGGGTCAGGCCTGATCCCGAGGCTCTATACCGGCTCTGATCACCATCGCAAGTACATTTGCTCATGTACTTTGTCGAAAGTGGTCAGGTGGGTTGTCTTGTGTACAGCTCTGCAGGGCGACTGGTTCCATGAGTTGTGGAATGGTTTGCCGGACGGAAGGCGGGCGGGTTGCGATGGAGAACGAAGCCAAGCTGATGCGAGTCATTGAATTAGGCAGAAAAACAGGATCGCTTCACGTGGGCAGAGATCTGACAAGGAAGATTGACTGGTAGCGGAGGACGTTGTAGTGTCAGAGAGCGAAGTGGGACGTAGGTTGGTGGAGCACTTTGGCAGACTGGTGTAGCAGATGGTTACAATGCCCTAGCTGTCATCACTGAAGATGTACCTAGACACGGTCGAGTATGCGATGGCTTGGGTGAGCGACGATGCTTGACCTCAAGTAAATTCGGTCAAACAATCAACCATGTTGGTGCTTTTTAGGCGTGCTCGATGCCATCGTGCAGGTTCGCTGATGCAGCAGTCGCATACATGGCCGGCATCAGTAGGCAGAACAAACATGTACCATGAAGAGTTGGAATAGACACAGGAGAGTGGGGGTTGCAGAGTGTGGATCTAGATGAAAAGCAAAGTCGGTGGTTGTGGTTGTACTTGATGACGACGCGCTCAAGGAACGCGCTTGGACCCTTGAGGCCAGCGACACATCAACACGCGGGTACAGCAGACGGTCGACGACAATCAACATAATCCAAAAATGCTCGTGTCACTGACCGTGGGCAAGGTCGACGCCGGTGTGGCCGTCCTGCTCACCGAGGACAAGCGATTGGTACGAGCACATGGCGCTGGCTCAAGAGGAGGCTGTGACCGAGACTAATGTGCACGACAGATCGAGTTCCCGTCCATCCTGCTGCCCGCCGACATCACATCCGGTTCAATCGTCGACATCAACGTAGCACGCAACGAAGCCGCCGAAGATACGGCTGTCCAAAAGTTTGACGCCCTCCAGGAAGACATCTACTCGACCTTTGGCATCCACTCGCCCTCTGCCCCCGTCCTGCGCTGTCGCAATGCCACGCAAACCTCGGTCGTGCTCGAGTGGGACCCCGTCCAGCTAGCAACAGCAGAACTGCGCAGTCTGAGCCTGTACCGCAATGGCAGCAAGGCCGGCAACATCCCTCGCGACAAGCTGAGCACAAAGATCTCGGGCCTGGCCGTCGACAGCGAATACACCTTCCACCTTGTCCTGCGCACTTCGGCCGGCACCTACACCAGCGATCGCCTGACTGTCCGCACCCACAAGATGACCGATCTGACTGGCATCACCATCACTCCTGGCATCATGCCCCAGCAGCTGCGCGACGACCTGCAGGCCACCGTTGATCGCATCGGCGCGAAGATGATTGATACCTTGCGCATTGACACGACCCACTTTGTCTGCACCGAGGGTCGTGGTCAAGCATGGGAGAAGGCTGGCGACATGAACGTACCCGTTGTTGTTCCCGACTGGCTGAAGGGCTGTGAGCGCGAAGGACGCATAGTTGGTGTCCGCGCTTACTACCTCGATGCCGACCCCAAGCTGCGAAACATCGGTCCCACGAGCCAGCCATTGCCTTCCCCTAATGTCAATCCGGACTCAAGACGTCCTTCGACTCAAACACACCCCGCCACTCAACCACAGCCCTCGCAACAACATCTTCAGCTTCAGCAACAACAACTCAGGGTGAACCCACCACTCGCCAGTCCTCGTATCGAACACACACCACCAACCCCTGAGCAAACTCACAATCCAGAGATTNNCCCACTTCTCAGCCCGAGTCCGTTCCTGCACCTCCACCAAAGGATGACTCCCCTGACACCGCTCCTCCCACACCACCCAAGGAAGACCCTGTGCCTGAACCTCAGCAGCCTGATGCTCGACCTAACGATACCCAACAAAAGNCCTGCTCCCGTGTCCGATCTTCCTTTCCGCAATCTCCCAAGTAGCTTAGAAGAGAAGTCTGCACAGCCAGCATCCAAAGAGCCAGTCAACTCTGCACCGCCCGAGGAACCTTCCCCCTCTGCAGAGGCTACAGCAGAAAAAGAGGAAGCCCATACAGAGCCTCCCTCAGTGAACAATCTTAAGGCTATCGGTATCCCGCACGAGGAGGAACCATCGACGAAAGCACCAAGCGAGTTTGACGATGTTGCTCTGTGAAGTAGTCACCATATCTTGCGTTAGTGTTTATCTTGATTCGAGGCCTGTCCGTAGCCATACCCCTTCATGTATTCTTTGCAACTTTTTGATTTCTTAGCGTATCCAAAACAATCATCATGGCTAAATTGTTGTACGAGTTGACTTAGGTTCTTGTTGATGTGGTCATTCGCCCTGATGTCTTCGCAGAAGAAAAATTGCACATGCTTCCCATGTGGCACTGACGAAGTCCGAGCAAATATCTTGCCGTTTTGCATCTCGTGACTCATGCTTGCCTCGAGAAAACAGAGTAGGCTACATAATGTCGACTTTGAAGGAAAGCACTGCGTACGATCGCACCTCCCTTCTAAAGCATCACGCTTGTAATGCCCACTTCGTGACACTTCTTCGCCACTTTCCATTCAACACTCTTCACATCATTTCCTGCATCCTACTAGATGGACCTATCCTCAACTATCCTGGAATCCGAAAACAGTATCACGATGGACCAGTCCAGTGGCACTTTATCCGATGTTGACGATGATGATGTCTCCGTCATCGAGTACGCCAGATACTATGGCCTGAGCAAAGATTACACCTCCTCCTACCCTTTATCACCTCACATTGTTCGCTCAATTCTAAATTGGGAAGGATCTGATCTCGGTCTCGAACGGCTCCCAAAGTTCAGGCTTCCAAGCGAACTTGACCTTGACGAGAGATGGACCATTGACCACCAAAGCGCCTTGTTCCTCAAGCAGATCGCATCAATCGAAGTCGTACCTTTTCCTGAAATTATTCGTTCAAGAATCAAATCTTTCGAGTTCCAGATCGAGCCGCTATTGTTGGCGACAGATCCAGACCTTGAGCAGCGACGATTTATGCGGGCAAGACAATCAAGAGAAGACAAGAGCTTGCAACAAGCATTGCCAAAAGCTTCATGGCAAGATGATGAAGAAGCATCGCTATACTGGCCGGATCCCAACTTGCCATCAGTACTAATCCAACAGATAAAGCAAGAGAAATTGCAGCTTGACAAGAACGACATACACTTCTTACAGCAATGCATTTCGATCACCGAGAAGCCCAATATACAAGAGCTTGAAACACCGCCATACAAGAAGGTGAGTACTGTGTTGTGCTGACCAGATACGAGCTAACAGAACCAGGCACAGAAAGAGTACGAGGACGCGAGACATACATCACCACTCCTGCAGTGTTCGTCGCCATTCCAATTCAGCGTCCCGGATTCACCTGTTAGTCGCATGCCATTGGCGACCAGTCCCATTGATCCTGTTGCGGCCGAGATCGTCAGGATCGAGTCTACCATGGAGGTTGACGACGAATTCTCCTTAGACGGGCTTTCAGACATCTCAGCATTCGACATCGAGGCTGCCAGCGAGCTATGCACTAGCTCACCATTGAAACGCAAACAGGCTGAGGATTATAAGATGGAAACCCCACTATTGCCAGCCTTGGAGTCCTCGTCCCCACTGAAGAAACTAAAGATGGTCACCTTCTCAGACGAACTGTGTACTACAATTCCTGGATATGCCAAACCTTTTCCATCGGAGGATTCAAATGGTACAGATGGATTCTGCAACTTCTTTGAACAGGTCATCAAGCCTGGTGCAGAGTTTGCACGTCTTTCCATCAGTAACGAACAATTGACACAGGCGGACTCGATGCTGAGAGCAGAAGTGCCCGCCATCGATCAGACAGGCCCTCTGCCACCATGGGAACTTTTCGCTCGCAGGCAGCTAAGCTGTCAAACAGAACTTGAGGCTCAGCAGCAGTTGGTATCCATGCTAAAGCGCGAAACAATCAGACCCCGTGACTACTGGCCTAGTGTCGGTGATGTCGATAGGGCTCTGTCGCGTTGGCGACCTTTCGACATGCAGATGAGTGATCTGCCTCGAGAGAAGATTGAATGTAGTTATCTGGGCGACTTCAGTGCTGTGGAGCCTCAAGACACAACGTCCGGATGGAAATTAGACGGTCTGAGAATTTTGGACCCATGCGAAGATGATGATGAAGAGATTGAAGCTACAGACCTGTCAACAACTTTGGAGAATTTCGACCTCATAGAAGGCGTGCTAGCAACTGACGCAACCAGTAGAACTGAAGGCCTCAAACTCGCATCGATATTGCAGCCTCGATCGTCTNNTTTCTTCTCCTTAAGGAAGACGAACGAGAACAAAACGAATGGTCTACAGTCCCACGAGATTTCGTCAGCAGCTCAGTCTTTGGCACCTAGCGCGTTTTCAGTGAGTAATTCTTTGGATCGCTTCATGCAAATCCATACTGGCAAGAAGATGCGCATCGAGGAACCAAGGCTACAGACTCAGGCTATATCAAGAAATACCAACAAGCTCATCGTTGATCCCGCAGCTCATGCAGGAAGACATGAAGACCTGGAAAAAGTGACAAGTTCAACACCGGTTCATGTTCCCGCCTTGCCTACGCCAATGCCACCACGAACTGTCGTCTTGTCGTCAACCATGTTTGCAAGACGTATTTTAGTGAAGGAGATTGAGCGTCTGAACCCAATGGCCGAATATATCGAACGCGATTTCTCGTCGGCTCATCTATTGCGTGGGTTGTCGTCCCAGACTTCGGAAGCCGACGAAGCGGATATAATCCTCTCACCTGGACATGGGGTCATGCTGACCACTTTGCAAAAAATCATGCAAAAGAGCTTGCCAGGCGAAGTCATCCGTAATCTTATCCGTGAGCGTGTTGTACAACTCGCGCGCCGATACGAGCGTCTCATAATTATGGTGCACGAAGATCGGAGTAGCGATCAACACCATCCATTGGACAGCCGCGAATCTGGCGAACTCGTGTCTCTCATCAACTTCTGCGCAGCGCGAAGTCATGATATTCAGGTTATGTACATTCCTGGAGATGAGCCGGCATTGGCCACCTGGATTGTTGCATGTATGATTCGCTTTGGTCTCGACGATCCGGAGGTACAATTGTTACAAGATGAAACTTCGTGGGAACTGTTTCTCAGAAAGGCAGGCATGGACGCGTTTGCGGCTCAGGTGGTTCTGATTAACCTAAAGGCCCCCGATCCCATGCCCGCCCATTCAACTGACCAATGTTACGGCTTGCCTGCATTTTTAATGATGGACGAAGCCGAGAGACTGAAGATGTTCGGCACCCTTTTCGGTGGAGAGAAGATCCTGAGGAAGGTGAGCATGGCCATCGATGGCTGCTGGAAACGACTGTGGTAGGCGATGTAGAGAGCTGGAAGCCATGACCAATCTCTAGAAGAAATTTGCTAGGCCTCATCACACATACTGCTTAGATCGGCGCTTTTTGAGAAGTTGCTGGCGATGCTTAGAAATCGAAGACCATCTCCAAGCAATTGCTGTCTCGGCGTATTTGGTGAACGGACAGGCGTGCTGTTGTTCTGTCCTAGCAACCGTTAGAGGTGCAGTGAGCTCAGGACAGGCTTCTCGGTTAAAATTGCCGTCAGCGTTTTGACATTTCCTCCCACCACGTCCATACCACCACCATCGCACTCAAACCACACTGCAGATGCTGTTGATAAGACACGTGGTAGAACATCAAGGTGCTCGGCAAACAAGACCTGGAGAAGACCTGAGATGATCTATCTTGTACTCGTAATCAAGGCCTCCTCAACTCGAGTCCTCCGAATTTGGAGCGGCGATTACAAACCAGCGGGTGCCAGTCTCGGTTCTAGAAGCTTTGATGCTTCCACCCCGCGCAAGCTATGAACGTCATTGCTTTCTATGTTTTTCTTCGACCATCTCGTTGTCGTTGATTGATATATAAAGGTCGAGTACGGTACCTGTCAATTGACTTTTCACATTCCAGCTTTATCTTTGCATCCTACTTGATATTCACACTCCAATCTCACCACTTCCACACAAACATCACAATGGCACCTTCTACCCAAAAGCAGTGGAGAGTCCAGGGTACTGGATCTTTCGACAACCTGAAGTTCAACAAGGAGGCTCCTGTCCCCGAGGTTGGTGACAAGGATGTTCTTGTCAAGTGTAAGTCTCACCATGGTTGAGACAAATGCGATATCGTACTGATAACTTGCTGAATAGTCCACGGTGCTTCGCTCAACTACCGTGACTTGATCATTGCTGCTGGTGGATACCCTTTCCCTCAGGAGGACAACGTCGTTCCAGGATCTGACGGCGCCGGTGTTGTTGAGGCTGTTGGCAAGAACGTTCAACGCTTCAGTGTCGGCGACAAGGTGGTGACGCAATTCAACCAAGAACGTCTCTCCATTCATGATGATTATTGTTATGACAGCTACTAATTTTTGGTTTAGGGTCATATTGCCGGTCCTCTCGACAACAAGTCTATCGCTACCGGAACTGGCGGTGTCATTGATGGATCTCTCCAGCAGTACGGTGTCTACGACGAGCAAGGTCTCGTCCCCCTTCCCAGCAACCTCAACTTCATCGAGGGTGCTTCCCTTACCTGCGCGGGTCTGACCGCCTGGAACGGTCTCTACGGTCTTGAGGGCAAGAGACTGACCCCCGGAAACTGGGTATTGACTCAGGGTACTGGTGGTGTCTCCATCTTCGCTGTCCAGTTCGCTAAGGCTGCTGGTGCCCGTGTTATTGCCACCACTTCTTCCAAGGAGAAGGGCGAGAAGCTCAAGGCTCTCGGTGCCGACTACGTTATCAACTACAAGGAGGACCCCAACTGGGGCGAGACCGCCAAGAAGATCACCGGTGGTGTCGGTGTCAACCACATCATCGAGGTCGGTGGCCCCAACACTCTGGAGCAGTCTCTCAAGGCCATCTGCCTCGAGGGTGTCATTTCCATCATCGGCTTCATCGGCGGCACCACCGACAAGCAGCCCACTCTTCTTGACGCTCTCGTCAACATCTGCACTGTCCGCGGTCTCTACGTCGGCAGCAGACAGCAGTTCGAGGAGATGAACGCCGCCATCGAGGCCAACAACATCAAGCCTGTCATCGACGAGAACATCTTCACTCTCGATCAGCTCAAGGAGGCTTACCAGTTCCAGTGGGACCAGAAGCACTTTGGCAAGGTCGGCATCAAGATTGAGTAGATGGTCATGCTCCTGAGTTGAAAAGATGAAAATTGTCTGCTTCTGTTGTACATATACCACTTTCTAGAACGAATTGACGAACAAGTTTTTGATATCCACAGTTCGCTTGGGTGCCTATGTGATTGTGAACACCCAAGGGAGGGTAGGGACCCATGACAAACCCAAAATTGGCAACAACCAATGTATTTTCTTGTCGTGGCAGAAACACGGCCTTTATCATGGGTCGACGGTTGCTGTGACTGTCTATTGAATCTGTTGTTCGCATATCATGTCACAAGTAGAAGAAACAGAACCACAAGCGATGTCGACTTCTGAAACGTTGTCCCCGGATCGACGAAGCCACGCCACGTGCTGCACCAGAGTTCCACCAATAAGCAGAAGCGAGCCCTATACTGGGTTCAATATTACCCTCTCTTCTGTTGACCATCATGTTTCGGGGACATGCGACTTCGGGCACCAGTTTCGTTCATGACTTGTCAACACGCTCGATGTGTAAGAGCGCTTCACAGGAATCTGCGTCCAGAAACTCACTCACCACAAAAATGCTCCGACATGAAAATCTTGTGAGAATGGAGAGTAAAGTCTGATGATGTCGGGTCAGGGCTGAATTCTGTATAAGCGAGGATTTAGCCGTACGTTTCAAGCAAGCAAGTGCTGCTTCCTGTATATTAAGGGAATCATGCGGTTGTGCAGCATGACCTCTAGCGTACAATAAGTTGTTATAAGGTGTTGTACTCTCCTTCTATTCCATTTTTGTTCCTACTTTCGCTGTTTCCTCCTCCAAAGCATCATGTTGCGATCAAGCCTCCTTACCGTTGCGGCAGTCTTGTCCAACATCGCGCATGGCGCACTCACTTACAAGGTAGATTGTCCACAGCCAAATTCAAACACTTTTTACTAAAATATGGTNAAGGGAGCTGATATCAGCTCTCTCATAATGCTAGAGAATCAAGGAAAGACCTTCAAGACAACTGCTGGAGTCACTCAGCCTCTAGAATGTATGTTGACAATGCACTATACTGTGAGGGCTCTGTGCTGATCCACATTCGTTAGCNNTATTCTCAAGCAGTCTGGAGCCAATTCGGTCCGTCAAAGGGTTTGGGTCAACCCTACCGACGGCAACTACAATCTTGATTACAATGTCAAGCTCTCGAAGCGTGTCGTCAACCAAGGCATGAGTGTCTATCTCGACTTCCACTATTCGGACACCTGGGCGGATCCCTCCCACCAGACAACTCCGGCCAAGTGGGATGACAGCACCATCGGTCAGCTCAAGTGGACAGTATACAACTACACGTTGGCAGTATGCAATCGCTATGCAGCTGAAGGCATCAACCCAGCCATTGTATCGATCGGTAACGAGATCAGGGCTGGTTTGTTGTGGCCTTTGGGAGGCACAAGCTCTTACTACAATATTGCCGACATTCTTCACTCTGCTTCGTCTGCCATCAAAGATTCCAAGCTCTCCAAGAAGCCTCAAATCATGATCCACCTCGACAACGGCTGGGACTCTGGCACCCAGCTCTGGTGGTACAAAAACATTCTTGGCCAAGGACCTCTCAAGTCGAGTGACTTTGACATGATTGGTGTTAGCTACTACCCCTTCTACAATGAGAAGGCATACCTCGGCAGCTTGGAGTATTCGCTACAGCAACTCGCATCCACATATAGCAAGAAGTTGGTCGTTGCCGAGACCAATTGGCCTGCAAAGTGTAGCAAGCCTGCGTACAAGTTTCCTTCTGATGCTACCTACATACCATTCTCGTCGGCTGGACAGGAGGAATGGATCGAGGCTGTTGGAAAGATTGTGGCCGGCGTAAGCGGTGGAGCCGGTCTTTACTACTGGGAGCCAGCTTTCTTGGGTAATGCAGGATTGGGATCGAGCTGTGAGGACAACCTGCTGGTTGATGGCAACGGCAAAGCGACAGTCGGCATGTCTGCTTTCAAGAACATTTAGGTACAGCGTGCAAGAGATTTGGTTAGCGAACGTTATCTATTCTGCCAAGACCGTGGGGAAAACAGTTAGCGCCGAGGCCATGAACCCCTCGAGAGAACGCGGAGGTGAGATGGAGCTCGTTCACAAACACATTATTGTCCCGTCCGTCGCGATACACGCCACACTATCTCTAAATTGAACCAAGTCATATCGTTCGAATCGCGCAAGCTTTGCGATCAAGTCTTGTATCACCATGGGTCTTCCGTAAGTGTGCTGCCAGAACCTGTATGTCGAGGCTTCATGGAGGGCGACGCGCCAGAACGCGCTTCCAAATTGAAGCTCGCTCGTACTGCATACGAGCTCTCATATTCATGTCCTCGGACAGCAAGCATCTTTGTCGGCCATCGCAGTACAGCGAGTCTAGCCTAGACTGCCACAACCCACTGAGACGCTCCGAATCCTGAGCCACAATCAGTCGAGCTTGTCCTCTAGAATAGCTTGCGCGCCGCAATGGCTTCGACGGCTGCCTGTGGGGCATGAAAGAAGCGGGCTGCTTCATCGTAGACTGGATCCGAGTTACACTCCACGAAGCAGATTGCTGACAACCTCTGACAGAGTGTGGCGCAATCCCGAGGAAACACGCAGCAGCAGCAACACCAGCCCAGCGGCCATTTCTCGAGTTAAGAACGACGGTACTGCCACATCTCGCTCGCCCATCCGCCGTCTTCGTGCTTCTCGTCCGACCAGCATCCATCGCATTGGCCAACCACCACCTGAACCTGAGGCTCCTCGCCATGCACCCCTAAGCGACCGTCATTTCGACCTGGCCTACTACCTCGGCGACGACAACCCGTCGCAACAGCATTCCGACTCAAGTCAACGACGCTCACAACGGAGTAGCTTCCTGCCTCCTCCTCTTGAACGCGACCGTCCACAATCACGCAACGGCGTTTCCTCGAGTCTGCCGTCCCCTCCTTTGGACACATCAGAGTCTGCCGCTTCATCTCGCCTTGTCCTGCTGCGCACCTTGCAGTCATCACCACATCCACTGAGCTTCGCCCACCGCCCTGTCTCTCCTGAAGATGGCTTGGGCGATCGCAATCGCAGTCCATCGCCCATTGCAGATGCCTGGCATGTCATTGGCTCGACCATTACCCCTGACGACTCGCTGCCTTCGACCGACTCTAGTTTTGCTTCGAATGGAGCATCGGCTTCGTTCGCGCGTACAGAAGCCCAAGCGGATGCTCTAGCTGACGCTCTGATTGAGGACTCCAGCTCCAACGAGCCTCGCAACGATGACCGTCGCGCTGTCGAAGCCTTGTTATACGATTTCGCGATGCAAACTGCCGAGGGTCGAGCTCAGATCCGGCTTCTCCGCCGCATGTCGCCAGAGGATGCACGCTGGATGCGTCACCACAGTAGTGCCAGTCAAGAGAATGAGGACAACGATAACGACAATGGAGACGAAGCTCCTACCCAACGTCCTTCGCAATTCGATTCGGATATCCGTGAACGGTCTCGTCAAGTCGCCGCTTCAACTATGCGCTATTTTGGTAGCACAGCTAGGCAAAACATTGGACAACTACGCAGAGTGGGAACGCCTCCTCTTTCACGCTCGACTTCGCCTAGTGGCTCGGGGTTACTCTCTAATCCAGCTGCAAGACGCACCGAGACGTTCCTTGCGCGCAGACTTCGTGAGGCCGAGCAACATGCTCGCAACGAGAGATTGTAGCATGACCTCCGTGCCGTTCGACACCAACTCGCATACCCTCAGGGATGGTGGCGAACCAATTCTTCTTGAGTGGCATTGCTTTGCATTATACGGTTTACTTGAGCGTTGGCGTTCAGGTGTACTCTCGCTCCGTTGATGAGTACTAGGTATGTGTTTCTGACATGGTACAGCTGGACTGCTGGTCAGTCTTGCTGTCTGTCTCTTGGGATTCGCTCTTTTTGCTTTTGTCTCGTTCCTAGCTTTCATTGAAAGGAAATAGAGCATTCAAAAGAATTTTCGAATAGCACAAGCAGAGTCGTTATGACTTTACAAGAACAGCCCCCAATCTTGATCTCGTCTTGGACCGTAAGACTATGTGTGCGATGAGATGATTAGAAGAAGAAAAGCAGAGGTGTGGCTGAGGACCTGAGTGGTGCGAGGCTGAAGCGCAGGGCTGATGCTTTTTATAGCGGCTCGGAGAGCTTGGCCGGTGGCTTGTCTAGCGCGTCCCTGGCAAGGCGAAACGAGTTTGGGAAGGGGACGCGCATCAGCATGTGGATACGGCTATCAGAGTGTTGCGTACCCTCATTCTTATCGCGTTATTGTCCTTTTTCACACTCGTCTACCTCCCAACTAGATACCGTGCTGTAGCTGTCAGACTTATTGTTCCTCCTCGACAAACCCCTCGTTCAATCGCCCATCCCACCTTAGAAGAACAGCATACTCACCCGTTGGGGCACGAACCTAAAGTACAAGAAAGAGCAGCGCACATAATTAGGACAACCAATGCAGAAGGAGCAGCCCACGATACTGCGCTGAGGCAATGGCCGACGAATCGCCCACAGTCAACAGTCGGCGGCACCGCCGCAATCAATCGACTCCGCAGAACTCGATCCAGCTACAAGACCTGGGCCCCGCTCAACATGCTCCCATCTCTCAGGAACCGCCATCCCCGTCTGCCCAGGCTTCGCATCGCCGTACTTTGAGCGACCGTGGACGTAGCTTGTTCCGGCGCAATAGAGACTCGCTCTTGTCACACAGCCCTGGCAGGAACCCACCGCCTCCTAATACACGCGCTTACTCGCCAATTTCCGAGGATCCTCCCAGTCCGCCGCAGATCGATAGCAACTTGTCACCTCTTGCCTATGTGACGTCGCCCACTGGCCACCGGACACGGGTTGACGATGGTCAAGATGAGGACGAGCGCACACCGCTGTCTCCACATGAAGGAAGCAGTTTCCAACAGGCCATGGGCTTCGCTGGCCTTAGTATAGGCGCTCCTGCCCGTCCTTCGTTGCACTCGGGCCATGGTCGATTAGGCAGTGACCTTAGCCTCCGCACTGTCGACGCATCGCCTTACGACGAAGAGCCCGACGACCCAACTGGCTTCTTTCCACATGAGGAGGATATGGACACGGTACCCCTGACAGACATGAGCCGCCTCGACGCTCATTCTCCACAACGCAACGAACGTGGCAGCTTCCAAAGTATCCGCTTCTTGTCGCCATCTGTCTCGCACTCCAACAATCCTGATGTCGAATCTGGCAACCTGAGTCCTTCTGGTCGTTGGAGTCGTTCNCCCGATGGTCATAGTCGCTCTCCTGCGGACAGTCGTCGCTCGTTGTCGCCTATGGGGGACTCTCCTTTCCATCGAGCAGGAGACATGATGCGCAAGATGTCGATGCGTGTGGTCAATCTGAGTAACGAGCCTGAAGTCGCCGAGCGTATGATTAGACGCAAGTCGTCTGTGGGCCGTTCTTCTCGCATTTCCGAAGCTCCTGATTTTGCCAATGATGGAACNCCCCGCTCACCTGTCAGCGAGAAGATGCCTTCACCTATGCTTCATCCAGCCGATCAGCTCGAGCCACGTACTACTCCTGAACCAAATCCTTTCCGTGGCAAGTCACTAGGCATCTTTCCGCCCGATAGCAAGTTACGCCTGAAGTTGGCTGATTTTCTGCTTCATCCCTTTACCGAACCTTTTATCCTCGTACTCATTGTCTTCCAAACGATCTTGCTTGCTGTCGAAGCTCGCAATAACGTGAACAATGATCCACGATCTCAGCGTTTTGGGACCACCTGGATCGACATCGCGTTGCTTGCCTTGTTTACCATCTACACCATTGAGATCATGATTCGAGTCGTTGTATCTGGATTCATCGTTAACCCTATCGAGTACAGCACTATCGACCGCAAGGTTGGTCTACGGACTGCCGTCATGAAGAAGGCCAATGATTTGTTCGCTTTACATCGCAAGCCATCCGTCAGGAACCTCAATCCTCTTGCTCCAGTAGTGGCAGGACCTCAGCCCGGAATCCTGCGTAGCTTCACCACAAACACCATGATGGAAGTACCAGGTGGCTCAAAACAAGCTCAGCTGCAGCGACTAGCATTTCGAGCATTTTTGCGTCATTCTTTCAACCGATTGGACTTCCTTGCGGTCTGCGCGTTCTGGATCAGCTTTGTCATTGGGATTTTTGGTGTCGAGTCCCAAAAGCACGTCTTTGTCTTCCGCATGTTAAGTTGTCTTCGAATTGTGCGTCTTCTCGGTATCACCAGTGGCACGTTAGTTATCTTGCGGAGTTTGAAGAAGGCTGCTCCGACTCTACTGAATGTCGCCTTTTTGACTGGATTCTTCTGGCTGTTATTTGCAATCATCGGAGTCCAAAGCTTCAAGTCCAGTCTTCGGCGTACTTGTGTCTGGACTAACCCCGAGGACACTTCAGAGACATACACACAATCAATGCAGTTCTGCGGTGGCTATCTACTAGCTAACAAAACGGCAATGCCCTGGATACATCAGGACGGTACGCCTGGTGCAGACGATGCTAAAGGTTTCTTTTGCCCTATCAACTCCGTCTGCATTGAAGGTGATAACCCCTACAATGGGACTGTCAGTTATGACAACATCTTCCAGTCGCTCGAGATGGTGTTTGTCGTCATGTCCTCCAACACCTTCTCAGATCAACTGTACTACCTTGCTGACAGCGACTATCTATCTGCCGGAATATTCTTCGCTGCTGGGATCATAGTCTTCCCGCTTTGGCTTGTGAACTTGCTGATTGCCGTCATTACATCTTCATTCCAAGTCATTCGAGACGAGAGCAAAGCCAGTGCCTTTACGGCGCAAGAGCACGTCAAGCATCTCGAGACGGAAGAGGGAAGTGATGGCTTCAAGCAAAAGACGAGTACGCTGAAACAGTTTGTCAATAACACACGATGGATCTGGATTGCTGTCATCACATACGGCTTAATGGTACAATGTCTACGCAGTGCATATATGAGTCCAAGCCGGGCCGCTTTCCTCAGTAAGTTTATCTCTTTATTGTTGTTTGACAAATGCTTATACTGTTCAAGGNNCTCTTCAGAACTAGGTGTGACCATAGCCCTAGACATCGAGATCATTCTCCGATTCATGGCAGATTGGCGTCGATTCCATAAGAGCAAGCGGAACCTCGTGGATCTAGCACTGGCTATAATAACTACAGTCATCCAGATTCCGGTTATCAAACACTCTGGGCAGCCATATGCATGGTTGACGTTCTTCCAAATCATAAGAATCTACCGTGTCGTTCTCGCAGTCGAAATCACACGCACGCTGATCGTACGTATAAATTAACACGATCCTGAGCCCACAGTCGACTAACATGCTTCGCAGCTCACTGTGTTAGGTGACTTCTCGGGTTTGACCAACTTGATCATGTTCGTTATGCTGCTGAGCTTTCTCGCTGCGATTTTCGCGACACAGATCTTCCGTGGGCAAATCCCAGAAGAAAACGACGAAGGCGAAGCTATTCGTGTTCCGTTCTTTGACATATACAATGCCTTTTTGGGCATGTATCAAATCTTCTCGAGTGAGAATTGGACAGATATCATGTACGACGTTACTTCATACAACGTCGCTTACAACAACGGCTGGATTGGTGCGGCATTCTGTATTATGTGGTTCATCCTAGCGAACTGTAAGTCTGGCCTTTTCGCATTGAGCTGTCCTTGTACCCTGCTAACTTTCCAAGTCATTGTTTTGAACATGTTTATTGCTGTCATCCAAGAAAACTTCGATGTTTCAGAAGACGAAAAACGCCTGCAGCAGGTCAAAGCATTTCTTGCAAAGAGGCAAGTCAACGCGACGTCTGGCAGTCAAGGTTCACTGTCATTGTCGACGATCTTCAAGCTCGGTCAGGTCCGTCGACAAGACCCTCTGGATTATGGCTCGGCACAAACAGAAATGCTTCTCAAGGATGCAGTGGTTCGCGACTTCCTCGATGATCACGACGTCGATCCCGATTCGACTTCCCCTGGAGCATCCGAAAACATACCTCATAACAGCCAACCCGTCAAATCAGGCACTCTGGCTCAGCGTTGGGAACAAATGCTCAATCGCCTCTTCAATCGCGAGCCCAACCCGTTCTACTCGAATGTAGAGCTTCAGAAGGCTCATGAGGAAGTGGACACTCGTCAGATGGTCAAAGAGGTCGTAGCAGCGAATGAGAGGGTCAAGAGGGCTCAACGCGAATACTTGAGGAAGTATCCCAACTACAACGTCTCGCTCTTCATCTTCAGAGTCAACAATCCTGTCAGAAGATTGTGCCAGAGAATTGTAGGTCCAGGTCGTGGCGGTGATCGCATAGAGGGTGTCGCGCCCTCCAGACCCATCTGGTATGGTTTCTCAGCATTCATCTACGCAGCCATCGTAGCAATGGTGCTCTTGGCCTGTGTTACGACACCTTTGTACCAGAAGGATTATTTCAGAACCCACGACTTCCAAGCACTGAACTGGTTTGTCTACAGCGACATGGGCTTCGCAACTCTGTTCACCATCGAATCTGTCATTCGAGTCATTGCGGATGGGTTTTATTGGACACCCAACGCATACTACCGCAGCTCTTGGGGCATTATTGATGGCATCGTCTTGGTCACACTGTGGACTGACATCTTCACCACGATCTATAACCCAGGCGGTGGTTCAAGAGCTGTTGGTGCCTTCAAAGCTTTGAGAGCCCTCCGATTACTCAATGTCAGCGACAATGCTCGAGATACCTTCCATTCTGTTATTGTCATGGGTGGTTGGAAAGTCGTCTCGGCAGCGCTCGTCTCGATGAGTTTGCTCATTCCATTTGCCATATATGGCTTGAATCTCTTCAACGGAAGGTTCATGGAATGTAACGATGGTAATGGTGTCACCTCGTCACTTACCGACTGTACTGGCGAATACCTCAGTACACCTTACGATTGGAACGTTCTTGCACCACGTCAAGTCGCCAATCCATACTACGACTTCGATAATTTCGGGTCGTCGCTGTTCATCCTCTTCCAGATCGTTTCGCAAGAAGGCTGGATTGATGTCATGTGGAGCGGCCAATCCATCACTGGCGTTTTTACACAACCTAATCCTTTCTCGTCTCAAGGAAACGCCGTCTTTTTCGTCGCCTTCAACTTGCTTGGTGCCGTTTTCGTCTTGACGCTTTTTGTTAGTGTCTTCATGCGCAACTACACGGAACAAACTGGAGTGGCTTTCTTGACGACCGAACAGCGATCATGGCTTGAGTTGAGGAAACTACTCCGACAAATCTCACCGTCCAAAAGACCCTCATCTAAGGAGGTGCGGGAAACTTGGAGAGAGTGGTGTTACCGTCGAGCAGTGACAAAGAATGGCAGGTGGCAGCGCAGCGTCACCATAGTGCTCGTGTTCCATCTGCTTTTGCTGTGTTTGGAATGGTACCCAGACAACAACCGCTGGGACAGAGCACGAGACTACATTTTCCTGGTGCTGACACTCTTCTACATTGTCAACATCGTCATCCGTATCGTTGGTCTTTCCTGGACTCGATTCCGAAGAAGTGCTTGGGATGTGTACTCGTTGTTTTCGGTGTCTGGCACATTTGTCACGCTGATATTGCTTCTGACCAACTTCAAGAACAGAGACTACGTCCAAGTACACAAGTTGTTCCTTGTATCGATCGCATTACTTCTGATTCCTAGAAACAATCAGCTGGATCAACTCTTCAAGACCGCGGCTGCCAGTCTGACTTCGATCGTCAATCTGTTGGCGACTTGGTTTGTCCTCTTTCTCGTTTTCGCCATTGCCTTCACTCAAACTTTCGGATTGACTAGATTTGCCGAGGGTGAAACAGACAACCAGAACTTCCGCACAGTGCCCAAAGCTCTGGTTATGCTGTTCCGTATGAGTTCTGGAGAAGGTTGGAATGAGGTGATGGCGGACTTCGCATCCGTCACCCCGCCTTATTGCACGATCGGTGAGCATTACTATGATGGCGACTGTGGTAGCGAGGGATGGGCTATGGCTCTGTTCATCTCTTGGAACATCCTCAGCATGTACGTGTTCATGAACTTGTTCATTTCGTTGATTTACGAGAGTTTCTCGTATGTCTATCAACGAAGCAGCGGATTGTCCGTCATCAGCAGAGAAGAGATTCGGCGCTTCAAGCAGGCTTGGGCAGAGTTCGATCCAAGTGGCTCGGGATATATTTCGAAGGAGAAGTTCCCCCGCTTGTTAGGAGTGAGTCATCTTTCTGCCGTGTCCTTTCGATGTATACTGACTTTTGCANNGGAACTTTCTGGTGTGTTTGAAATGCGAGTTTACGATGGTGACTTCACAGTCAGTAACATCATCGCGGACTGCACTTCTCGACCGCACCGTGCCCATCCTCTAGGGCTGGACGGTCCGCAGGATGGTCCTCAGGTTGATCTCGAAAAACTCAACGAACGTCTGTCAGAGATTCCGATCCTTGAAATTCAAAGACGCAGGAGGCGTATGAACATCTTCTACGAAGAAGTACTAGTCTCGGCTGATCCTGACCGTGGTGTCGAGTTCAACTCACTCTTGATGATTTTGGCCCATTACAAGGTCATCAATGACAACAAAAGTCTACGACTCGAAGAGTTCTTACGTCGTCGCGCTCGTCTGCAGCGCGTCGAGGAAGCTGTACGCCGTAATGTTGTCGTCGGTTTCTTCGACACTCTTTATTGGGCCCGTCGATTCAGAAAGGCTCTGGAAGCCAAGAAGGACGCGCGCATGACCATGGTGCCTCAACTAGATGTTCCTGAAATCTTCATCCAGGATGATGGCGAGGACCTTGCAAACTCTTGCCACAAGACTCCCTCAGCCCCCTCGACACCAATCGATCACCAGACTCCCAGCTGGACTATTGGAAGCGATCACGGCAATCCAGCATTAACCATTGACCCTACAGTGTCTCGACCTAGTTTACGCAACCGCAGTGATTCTATCCAGCTCTCACCATCAGCCTCACCAACGCGTTCACGAGCAGTCTCACACTCAACCCTTTCGGAGATGCGTGATATTCCTGAAGACTGGCATTTTGCGGAAGCTCTGATTGACGGACACAATCGTTCTAGATCACCGTCACCATCACCACAGCACCTCGATCCCGATGCCACATTAGATGCCTACGGTGGTTTGGGCCTTGGAGCAGGTCCTCGAAGTCGCGCTCAAACACTGTCTGCCTCAGGCCCAGAGTCTCGTCCTCGAGAAGGCACTCTATCAGTCGCCGGTACACCTAGCATGGGCGGTCGTTCGCGCGCCACTAGCTCTGTCAACGCACAGAATGTCCTCGATGTCTTGGATACCTCGGCATGGGGCGAGAGTATTAGACGAAGCTTCACTACTCGTGGGTCTTCATCCGGACCACACGATTCTGCTTCGCGGGATGCAAGTGCTGAACCCATGCCATCCATCTCCGACACTCAACCTTCGACTTTTTCACACACAGAAGGACATGATCATGAACACCCGCATGAGCGATAATCCTATACCGCTCCTAATGTAGATAGACGCGCTGGAACACAGGTCTAATTTTCTACCTGTACTTGCATAGCGAAGGCGTTGTTCTTGATACGATTTCCATAGAAAGGCTGTATTGCCGTATGATAAACAAATCTTTATTCCTTGTTCACAGTTTGTTGTTCACTTCCAGATACTGTACCTACTCTCCATGCTGTCGCGCGGGCCACTGACAATGTTCCCACTTGTTTAGATCGGACTCATGATACCCAAAAGTCATTATAAACTATATTGTTGTTCTCTTCATTGCACAAGAGCAAAAAATCCACACCGCTGAACAATTCCAAATCAAATATATGGATACGGACAAAGAAGAGAAGAAAAAAATTGTCGAAAAAAAAAAAGAATAGCTAAGCTTGGTTTCGATCCAAGGTCCTCCGGGTTATGAGCCCGGCGCGCTGTTATGGGTTAGTATGGTGGTTTGGGTGGGTGTGGAGTGGAGTGAAATGTTACGAACCTTCCGCTGCGCCACTCAGCTTTGTGGATGTGGTAAAATTTGCTTGGGAACAATATGTACAGATAAAATCTGCGGTCTTGGCATTTTCTGCGCTCATTGCCGTTTATCGTATTCACTATGGAGCTCATATATTGGAGCTTGAGGCCTGGTTCGAATATAGTATATATATACCTAACGGACCATCTTTATAGATAAGTCTCTTGCCATGCATAGTTATCATTTGACAGAAAACATGGATTGTGTGTAGTGTTTATTGATACTAGCATCTTGAAAATTGTGATCAGGAATATATAAAATCATGTCTTGCCATCGACAACAAGCACCTGACAGTAAGTAAAGCCTACAAGTACAAAGCGATCATGGTAGAGACCTCTCTAGTCTTGCTGGGACGTTCATACAATATGATGTGGTCGTGTTATACGCATCTCGGCTTCCGAGGTAGTAGTTGTGGGTGCCACCCTGGTCAAAATACTGATTGTATACCCAACACAAGGATGGCTACCACTCGGGAGGCTTCGCGAAACGAATAGGTGTAGCATATCGTTATCTTACGCTTTGTATCTGAGTGCTCTTGCTTGATCCCGGTGACTTTAGCGTTGATGACTTGTCGACCAGGCTCGAACTTGAATTCTTGGTTACGCGATGGGGACTTGGAAACGGGGCCAATATGGATACGGTAGAAAGCTCGCTACATAACAGGACCCATGACCAGAGGAGGGATACAGGATCTTCAGTAAAAGCGTTCCTCCTTACCCGCAGGAGGATAGTATCCAGCGCCAAACTCAAGACTGCCATTCTCGAAATTGTCCTCGTGCACAAACTCCCAGGGACCCAGCACGCCAGCGTGATACACCTTGACATTGATCGAGGCACGGAAACTCTCGGCCAAAAAGTTGAGACGATGGCCGTCTGGGAATGGCGAGCTCAGGGTGAAGAATGAACNCATGGGGGCCCTCGCCGACACGACAATCTTTTGTGTAAAGCTTTGGATGCTGAGCTCGAAGGTACGTGTGTCCCAGCTGTGTTCGACGCTCATGAAGGGGGCGATACCAGCGGCTTTTACGGCGAAGGGTGGTCGGAAAGTCATGTTGTACCTCGGGTCGCTGGCGTGGTAGCCCAGTAGGTAGGCCTCCATGCCGAGGATCTCGCCGCCGGCAATACAGATGCCGCGGTCGCCGTCTCGGGCTTGAACCCAGTGGTGAGCGGAAGGGAAGCTGTTGGCCCAATTTTTTTCTTGATGGACGGATGCAATACCCTTCTTGTCATCCTCAGGTAGGTCGTAGTTTTTGATCTTCATTTCGAACTCGCAGTCCGAAGCCACAGAGTGCACGTGCCAATGTAGAGGGAGAGGTAGGTAGACGAGTGCACCCTCTGGAGTATCCATATCAGGCATCCATGGCGTGCGACTAGTCGTCTTTCCCTTAAAGCTGAAGCCCTCGTCTTCGAGATGATCAATGCAATACTCAGTCGTCGAATCGTTGTAAACCTTGACGTAGCCTCCCTTCCAGTGTTGCTCAAACGCTACGTCGCCTTCCCCATTGATCATTTTCAATTCGTCGACAAAGACCTCGCGTTGGAAACATTTGGTCACGTCTTCTTCCGGTACGTATGTGAAGGTGATATTGTGAGGTCGCTCATTGGCTCCTGGAACTGTGCAGATGATCAAAGCCAGATGTGCGCCGGATGGAAATCGAAACTTTGAGTAGTAACCCTCGAACGTCGAGCCAGAGTGTGGTTTGTAGTGCTCCATGTTTGATTTTCGATGATGTTGATAGATTGGATCAGGTGGGAATTGCAAGGTTGATGGTTGTTCGTTGGTTATCGTTTCATAGTCGTGACATCATCTGCGCGCGCTTGGAAAGTTGGAGGCTGGTAGCACCACAGCATCAACGCTTGCACAACTTGTACATCAAGGACACTACTTTTCTTGTGCTTGGTCGCGAGTTGGGCTGAAATTACTCTGAAGTTGTGCTGCTATCGAGTCTGTGAGTCGTGTAAGGTCCTGGGGAGGGACACGCATCCTCGTGTGCCAGAGTATGTAACGCATGTAGCTATAATAATACACGATTGTCTCACGGAACACGGCAATATTCGCTGAGATGCGACACCATATCAGCTCTTCCCAGTATCTAGATATTACACCGAGTATGTTGTTCAGAAGTTTGTCCACATCCCCGTCAACAGGGAGTGGTAGTTAGTACGAGCGAGATATCGCAGGATGATGGGCAGGGTCACTATCAGACTTGGAGTTTCATGCTCGACCAGCCCCACACCCCCACTTGCCCGATGTGGAGCAATATAAATAGGAGCAACCAACCTCCTGCCCGAACGTAACCAGAACAACATACGAATCATAATGCCGGAGCTTCATCACGAAGAATTGAACGCTACGTTCGTCGGAGTGGATAACAAATCTTGTTCGCAGTATCGTGGAGTCCAATATGGAACCATCAGCAAGAGATTCGAACAACCGACATTGAAGGCCGATTGGGAAGGAGAAAGAGTGGACTGTCAACAATGGGGACCAAGGTGTCCTCAGAACAAGTACGATATTGGTCACCTTCTCCGGGCTCCAGAAGGTGACATCTTCTACGACGAGACCGAGGACGAGTTTCGATGCTTGAATCTGGATATCACTATGCCTGCCGACACGCCAAATAATGCACGACTGCCTGTTATGATCTGGATCCATGGTGGCTCTCAAATCGTCAGCTTTGGAAATGGCGCGAGCAAAGCTGGAGATACAGACAGGATTGTGGCAGAGTCAGCACTTCACTCGAAGCCTATGATTGTGGTATCTGTGCAATACAGGTTGAACATGTTTCATGTTGGAGATGGTAACGGCAACAAGAATCTCGGCTTCAAGGACCAGCAATTAGCCATCCAATGGATCAACCAATACATTTCTGGATTTGGTGGCGATCCAGATGAGACGACGCTTGCTGGAGAGAGTGCAGGAGCTGTTTTCGTACATGGATTGATCGTGAGTGGAGCTCCTGTCAAGCGTGGTATCCTCATGTCTGGCTCTTTGCACATGTCGCCACCACAACCAGAGGCAAGAGCAAAGACTATGCTTATAGGCCCAGTTCTCGCGAAACTGAAAGCAAAAGGATACACGTCTCTTAAGGAGGCCCCGGTACAAGCACTACTAGAAGCACAAGCCGAGATACCAATACCGTCAGTGTTCCTTCAGGATGATGAGTGCTTTGAAGACTGGCAAAACAACACGGGCAATATCCATGAGCTGGTGATCGGAGATTGCGAGTTTGAGTCCGTCCTCTGGCGTAATGGAGTCGAAGCAATGACAGCAGAGCAAATCATAGAATGTTTCGACAAAGCCGGATCTTCTAGCAAGCAGCTGAAGGAACTCTACCATATCAACAAGTCGCGAGCGCCACAATGCAGACATGGTGCAATGGACTTCATGAACGACATGCGATTTGCATCGCCAATACCGCTGATGATAGAGAAGCACAGGGACAGAGGGAAGAAGGTATACAGGTACTTGTTCGACCAGGCAAATCCGTGGCAGGCTTCGTCCCGAGCTCATCATGCGGTTGACTTGATCTACCTCTTCGGCGGGTTCGACATGGCAATGAACCCATCGGCAGAAGAGCTTGGCAAGGAGATGAGAAGGCGGTTCATCTGGTACATCAATGGAGACGCACCATGGACGATGCACAAAACTATGGCATTTGGACCGTTGGGGGACACTAGAGAGATTGATGATAGAGGGGTTGCAGCACGCAGACGCACACGACAGATGGAGGAGGTGAAGAAGCTAGAGGCTAGTGACGTGGCTGCGGTATTCGGAAGCCTCGCGGCTGGAAGAATCAGCCTGCACAACTAGAAGTGCTTTTAGTGTTTATGGCCGGGGCAGGATGGACTGCAATACATCAGGCCAGCAGAGGTCGCAGTGCAGAGCACCCCCGCTTTTACTGTGTGGCATGCGTCGCCGAGACGCGGCCATGCTTGGCCACGGATTGTCGATATGGATGAAAGCAGAGAGGTCCAGTTCAGGGTTGTGCTGATTTGATAAGCCGCTCGGCCGACCAGGTATTGGCGGTCCTTTTTGACAATGCTGTATCAATCAACAATATGGCAGAACTGATGGTATCAGCCATGGACGACCCTTGCTTCCACCGCGTCCAATGACACGACAGACGCATGTAAGATGCACGTCAACGCACGTGAGTAAGACAGCCGAGCCATCGTCCGGCGGCGGGGATGTCTGTTCGATACTACAGCCTGGGACCCGATGAGCAACATGCTGGGCGGTGAGCAACCGTCTAAGCACAGAGTTGCAGTGCGAGGACAGCAGCAACAAAACGAGATGTCGCCCCTGGACTCATGCCCCGCCGCCCTGCCGCTCTTGCCACATACCTGTTCGTTGACGTTCTGCACATCTGGGACCAGGTGTCTGCTCATGAGCCGGCCGCTGCCGCTGTCTGCCCCTCACGAAAAGTAGCCGCTGTCTTGCTCGGATCGGCTTGTCGCGCTCACCGAAGCAGAAGGTCTGTGCCAACCGCGACTAGGCTCGGAAAAAGCGCAAACGCCTGCCTCGAAAGTTGCAAACCATTACTCTGACGGCCTGACTGTAGATTTTTTTGCACTCGCTTTCTGCGGCCCGAACAAAGTGACGGAGCTGGCTCGCTGATTGTTCGCCTTCGTCTGGAGTCTGGTTGTATTCTTCTCTCGCTCGTCCAAAAGTCCTCTCAGCTTGAAATCTTCGTCCCAATTTCGACCGAGCTCTNTGTACGTGTGCGAAGCCAACGCCTGCTGTGCCGCGTCGCATCTGGAGCCTGTCGCCCAACACCACCAACACAGAGTCCCGACTGACGTCTCCTGTCAGCCTGCGCCTGTCCTTGTCCGAGCCCGAGTACTTTGCCCTGGTGTGTATCGTGCGGGAGGGTCGGCCTTGAACCTTCCCGGACAAGTTGAGACTGCGCGACAGCTCTCAACTACTTTCTTTGGAACCGCCCAATCGGGCCCAAAGACAAGCTCAGAACACGACGAGAGAATTCTCTGACTCTACAGCCATGTCTTTCTCATACGCACAAGCTGCCAAGGGCCGCTCTGCAGCAAAAGCCTCTGGCGCAGCAACGCCGTCCTCCAACTCGGTAGCCGAGGATGCCCATGGTCTCCCAGTCGACTCAAAAGCCGAAGCCCATGCAGGAGGAGACTCGTCCAGTGTCACATCTGCTAACAACAACGACGATGGCTCATCTACGCCGAACAGAGCCTCTTCCGAATCCACGTGGGACACCAAGTCGCAGAACTCAGATCGCCCAACTAGAGCAGAGGCCACCGATTCCAAGACCGACACAACCGAGTCCAAAGGAGAGACACCCAAGCAACAGAAGCCCAAGCTCCGCGATGCCCCTCCACCGACCGTGAACATCTGGCAGCAAAGAGCATCGACCATGACTCATACCAAGCCGACACCACCGGCTCACACTGCCACCAACGGCAAGCAGGAGAGAAAAGCCGAGAAGGCGAAGAACACAGATGCAAAGAAGCCCGTCGCCGTCAGCACGAGAAATCGTGAGCAGCGTCAGACCGCAGAGGCGCCCAAAGCTCGCGCAAATGCTTCAACTCTTCCTCCGACCAGCGATGTTGCCTGGCCTACTATGGAGACCGCTCGTGAGGAAGAGCGCAAGAAGACACAAGTGCAAGAAGAGAAGGCGTCAAAGGAGACTAGCACTGCACCGGTTACCAAGAAGACCGAATGGGTTAACATGCCTTACGTGCCTACAGCTGTCTTTGAGACAACTCTGCCCACCAGAGGAGCTCCTCGCACTATTCGTGGCGGCGCTCGTGGTGGAAGCAGTCTCACTGGTCGCACGACTCACCAGAACGGCCAAAACGGAGAGAAGCCCGCGTCAAAGCCTGCAGATGTCACCCAAGAGCAGATTGCTGTTGCAAATGCTGAGGCAGACCGCGAGTCTATGCCCCCACAGCCCAAGCCTGTCAAAGTCGAAGAGTCCAAGGACGCCTCGACCAACGGCGTGTCTCATGATGCCCCTGTCACTAACGGCGCTCCCAAGCGTCACCCTTCGGCTCGTCGTAACAAGTCTCCTCGCAAGTTCGAGACGACCGGTCGTCGTCAATCTGCTGCTTCGGTGAACGCTGATGCTCTCAGTGGGACTCACCCTGAGGCTGCAAAGACTGCCAACAAGGAGCGTACCTTAGACAACCCTCCATCGTTCCGCGAGCCCAAGGCAGGTAAGCGCGGAAGAGGCGGCCACCGTGGTGGCCTTACCAACGGCCACTTCTCTTCCCAGAACTACACCAATGGCTTCCCTGGTGATTTCACTCCCGCAGCTCCTTCATTCCCTCCTCGTGGCGGTCATTACCCTCAGCAGAGCCGTGGCGGCTTCCGTGGAGGCATGCGCTCGCAGTCCATTCCTTTCGATTATGGCCGTGGTCAGTATCCTGGCTACCCTATGATGGTGCCTCAGGGCTTTATGCCTGAGTACTATGGCGGATACATGCCACCTGTCCCTGCCTATCAACCTGGCGCAGAGCAGATGTACCTTGTCCCTGCCATCTCACAACAGATTGAATACTATTTCTCCTTGGATAACCTGGTCAAGGATACTTTCTTCCGCAAGCACATGGACTCTCAGGGATTCGTCTTCCTGACGTTTGTTGCAGACTTCAACAGACTGAAGTCTTTGACCACTGATTACGAACTTCTGAAGTATGTTTGTCTTAACTCGCCAAACATCGAGCTACGCACTGGTCAAGATGGAAAGGATCGTCTACGAAAGGCCGGCGACTGGGAGATGTGGGTTCTACCCATGGCCGAGCGTGACATTTCCGCACAGAATGACGGCCCAGTATCGTTTGAACGCCCTCCTATTCCACACATCGGAATGGTTGCACCGTTCTACCCTGGCGGCATGGAACAGTTTGCTGAAAACGCTGGCTTTGAAGAATTCAGAGGCCGTCAAGCGAAGTCGCCTCACCGCGAGAATGGTCTGTCTCCTTTAGGCAGCTACTTCATTCCTGCCGAGGACATGGGTGGTGAGCCAGATAACTTCCCTAACACACAGATTGACAACTTGACTGTTGTCGTCCGCAAACACGAGGAACTTCCTCGTCGTGCTCCGTACCACACTGCGGGATCCAGAACTTTCTCTGATGGATCTATCGACTCAAAGAACATCTACGAGGAAGTTCAAAAGACAAAGGTCCAGGAGAAGAAGCCTCAGACCAGCGAGCCCCAACAGCAGGTGGCCGCCAATGGGGATGCGGCAGTTGCAGTTGATGGTCCTGCAGTGACACTATTCTGGGTCAAGGACCAGAATTCACCTGTCGATACGCTCCCGGAGGACACCACACACGAGATGTACAGTCATCTTCGCAGCAAGGCCCTATCGCAGCGTGAAGTTGCAGCCACAGGCACTTGCCCTTACGACATGGACGTTCTTTACCAATTCTGGTCACACTTCCTGATCCGTAATTTCAACTCGAGCATGTACGCCGAGTTCCGGCATCTCGCTTTTGCCGACGCAGCTCAGCGTCACAACTCTACCGGCATTGCCAACCTTATCAAGTACTACAGCGAGGCATTGGTCAGCCAGATTCCCATGCGCGAGCGTGTGGGACGTCACTTCATTGAACTTCTCCAGTCCGAAAAGGCTGGCGGTGAGCGTGTAGCTTTCAGCCAGCTTCGCGAATCATGGCGAAGCACTTCGTTCAATGTCGCCAACCGCAAGAAGTTTGGTGACATGGTGGATGCAGACCTCAAGGCTGAGCTTGAGGCATAACTCCATTTCCACTTTGATTATTCTTGTTTTTCAAAAAGTCACATATGCTACAGGCGTTATTAGGGGTGTGGGTTCAAGCATGGGACAAAAGCCGGCGATAGATGATCTTCCAGCATGGGCGGGCAAAAAGGCGCATCTTTGTGCTTCACTAAAAGCAACGTTTAGCTGCAGGGATGGGTCGGGAGATGGGGTTTAATCGCTTTCTTTGCACACGCCGACATGGTTAATTATTCCACGGTCATGGATTTCTTCGTTTTCTTCTCTTCTTTCTCTTTTCGTTTTTCCTTTTCTCGATGCCGTTCCTTTGCTTTCCTTTTCTCTTTTGATCGGATCTCCCTTTTCAGGCCGCACTTCGCCCTGTTGTATTCGGGCAAGGTTGCTGTTGGCAGGAATAGAAGGAGGGCATGGGGCAGAAAAGCTATGTTCATGATTTGTAAATACACACGAAACCTTTGCTCGATTGGATGATTCGAAGATGTAGCACATAGTGTGAGGACCCTGAGACACCCGAGATAAGATTGAGATGTCCCGTTATCTCCGGAAGTCGCCACCCGCGTGCGCCACCTCCCCGCATTCCGACGATGACTACTTAGGCAGCCGCTCTCCATTGACCTTTCTCTCTCGCTCACACGTCTGCTCGACGAATCACATCCATCATGCCGCCCCTAGTAGGCCACTGGCATAGCCTCTTGACGAGGCATGTCAAAACATGGAAAGCAGCTGCCAAACAAGTCCAAAAAATCGTACAGAGCAAAGTAGCCCAGTCGGCTCGCGCTGAACTCGAGCCTGTCTTGGTCCGTAGCTCTGCACGGCAACCACTCCACCCTGCTGCTCGCATCAGACAGCAGCAGAGCCGCTGGTTCAGTAGCTCTTCGCGTTCTGCCTTCAGGGACACGGTTCGTCGCTTCACTTCGCTTGCCGAGCAATCGTCAGGACACCAGTACAAGCGCAGCTCTCTGCCCTCATCCAGCGTCGGCAATGCCGTCATCCGTCACTCTGGTCGCGCTCCTTTCGCCTCAACTCTGCGTCCCAACCTTACTGGAGGCACCCTAGGACGCACATCTGGAGGATATTCGCTTGGAGGTGGTCGTGTCGGCGGCCAGAGGTACTTCTCCCATGGTCCCGCCAGCCAAGCACAAGTCGTCCAAAACGTTTCTCAGGCTGTCCGTGCCTTTTTCGTATCTGGAAACAAGGCTCAATTCAACGGCGTCAACCCTCGTGGAGAGAAATCGTACAAGACCGTCACCATCACCCAGGACGACACTGCCAGGAAGCTGCGTTCGCTTCCCAAGCAGACCCCTGGCTCTTACATTTCCTTCCCCATCAACCCCACCATCACTGCCTTGACCTCACTTGATGCTGTCGTTGGCTATGCCGACGCTGAGCACGTAAACTCCGACGGTCTCCTTGATGGTCTCACTGTCGACTTCTCCCGCTCGCTCAAGGATCTGACCGCTGTCCTCAGCGATCTTAGCAAACTCTCCAACTTGGGTGACCTGCCCATTACCTACGAAGGTTCATCGCTGCGCATCCATTTCCCGGGCTGCGATGCCGATACTGTTGACAGACTGCGTGATGAGCTGCAAATCCAGCGAGGTATCACTGTCCAAGATGAAGACTTTGATGACTTTGTTGGATCCGAAATTGCCCTGCTCTTCCCTTTCGCTCCAAGCACACACGAGTCTGAGAGCGGCAGCGAGTTCTACGAATCACCATCTGGAAGCCACACCAAACCCATCGAATGGCAGACGATGATAACACCCTCCGAGAGCAGTATCGGTCGCGAACTGTCGATGAAATCTGATACCTTGTCAGAACTCGACTTTGAGTTTGACAGTCCGGCCATGGCTTCGGATTACGAGTCTCTGCATTACTCTAGTTCTGGCGAACGTGAAGATGCTCAGAGTCCTCTCGAATACCAGAACTTTGAAGGCATCTACAGGTTCATTGAACAGTGCGATTCGCACCGACATTGAAAAACTTGATCCTTTTCACTCACCTATTTCTCGGTTAAGACTGTAACGATACTATACCCTTGGCGTTGGATTTGTCGCTTTTTCCTTTCTTCTTTTCTCCAGAGCACACCTACGTAGTGATCACTATCGAATATATTTGCATCATCGTCAACACCAATATCTCGTATCGTGCCAGGTCAACTTGATCAACAATGCCGCCTAACCAGATTGGAAATCATACTCAAGCGCGAGCGAACGAATGGATCGTGCATTCTGCATGTCTGACCATCTCCGACTCGGACCTTGTTCGGTAAGCTGTCAAAAGCGTCGCCTTGCGGAATTAATATTAAAAAGGAAACCCCCCTCAGGGTCCTCTTTTCCGGGGAGCGCTGTCCCGGTGTCTAATCATCTCGCTTGTTCGCATCCTTGACTCAGCTCCGAATGGGTAAATTGTTGCCTGGGCGCCTGTTATATGAGGTTGAGGTGACAGGTCGAATGTACATCCTTCGAGGTACTTACTGTACTTATTTGGCTATCTTGTTCCACTATACTTCCCCCCGTTCTCGATGTTCCTTTTTTCTTCTTCTCTCTCTGCACGAATACAAAGTAGACATGTATGCGTGGAGCGTGCGTATCGGGTACGGTGTTGCATCTATGCTCGATGGATCTGGGGCTTTATTGGTGTAGTTGCACGGGCAGTAGATCTTGTGGCTTGTGTGAATGAGGCGATGGTCGGTACAGGTATGGTGTATCGTTTTCGAGTCAGTCGTGCATTCTACATCATGGCCCAGGGCTGGCTGGTATGGACTTGGCTCGGGCTGCTTCTTCCGCGACTTGCCTGTGTTGAGATATACTGGATAATAGACAGCGTAGTGCATTGTTGAAAGCACAGGCACTGTAGATGGGAATGAGGCGAAAGCTGTACTCGTAGCACGCCCAGGTATGATTGGATAAGACATGAATTCATAAGATATGCTATAAAGCCCAGAAGTTGTTGATGGTCATCTATGTGGTGGTGACGGCCATTCGGCAGCCTCCTCGTCAATTTTGACATGCCTGGTCATGAGGACTTCGTCGTCGGGAAACCAACTCTTGTTCTGCAGTGATCCGACAATGACTGGCCCAGATAGTGCCATACCAATGTCTTCACTCGAGTTTGACCTTGTGCTTTCCATCGAGTTTGGTCGCTCGGCGATGGGATCCAGCTCATACACTTGACCGGGTGGTGCGCTCTTCAAGTCGCCAACTACACTGGTGAAATTGCCCATCTTGTTGGGCTTCTTGTCGTCATCCATCTGCAGATATCCACGGTCGCTGAACTTGGCGCCAGAAAAGGCTGCTTTTCGCTGTAATGATCCTCTCGAGTTGTGGCTCAGAGATTTGCTGCTGTTGCTTGGGTTTGTAGAGTTGCGTGCCTTCTCCATCATGTTCTTGAACAGTGGTCGAAGGGTCGCCAGAGACGCGGCGACTATACCCAATCCTGGCTCTATCAAGCTCCATACCCCAATCGTTATCGCGTTTGTGAAGAACGCAGGGCCAGTCTTGAGACCTGGGATGTATGCGATACGGATGAGAGAGATGATGCTGCCGACTGCTCCGAGACTGAGCAAGAGACCGGAGGAGATCTTTGCGGACCGTGGTATCTTGGCATTCCAGAGCACAAGGACTGGCAGACAGGCGAATGTCCAGTCACTGATGGCGTTGAGAGATGCGTGTACGTAGTTGAGGGGCTGTAGGATGTCGTCGCTGATACAGACGCCAGTGGCTTCCTTGATCAAAAAGTTGGTGGGTATACCACACTGAAAAACAGCAACGAAGGCGAAGGCAGTGGCGTAGACTGTGTAGACTCCTGTGACAGTGTAGATAATCCTTCGTTGCCAGGGTCGGATGACAATCCTAAGGAAAAAGATAGCCAGGCTGATCTTCAATGAAATAGTGGTCAAGATGTACAGCCCCATCAAAGAAATGATGTACTATCAACTAGGTCAGTGGAGATCAAGGCATTAGCAGGTGAAACCAACCTTCATCAGATCATTGAGCAAATCCAATTGAGCATGAATGCCTTCTTCTAGTGCTTGTTGAGGTCTGCTGCCATGCTCAATTCGTTCGATGGATATTAGAAGACCGCAACATGTTGTGGATATGCATATGGTAAGAAGCATCATCCAGTCGTCTTTTCCAAAAGAGCGTATCATGATTGCTCGTACGTAGACTCGAAGCGCAAACGAGGTCCATGAGATGACGAGAAAGACCACGGCCACAACCAGCATGACGACTGTGCGAGGTCCGAGTGCAGCCACTCTGTGTGCAGCATCTGCTATGACATCCATGTCGAAGGTGATAGAGAAGAACGGACAAAGGAAAGATCAATTGACAAGATGTTGTTTGTGGTTCCGGGCGCTGATCATAAAGGAGGGCCTACGTAGAGCATTGAAGGCAGGAAGGAGCGCGGAATCAATGTGGGATGACCTACGATCTACGACCTACAAATGACTGAGTTGATGTCTTTTAGCATGGGAAGGAAGCATCCCAGCCGACTGCCTCTAGACCCGGCTCCATGGTGGAGGATGCGTGGCTGTTCAGCGGGCTGATGGCTTTCGATTCGACCTTGAGGATTCCGCTACCTCGCTTATTGAGTACGCCGCCAGCAAGCCTTAATTACGCCAGCACCTCCAGTTCCTTCTCGAGTAGCATGCAGATTTCCGTGTGTCTGTCGATGAATTCGTCCACAGGCGAAAAGTGGGATCAGACGAGCAGATTGGGTTATGGACCTCGGGCGCAGCTGTGTGGAGCTTGTTGAGTGACCTGCAGGCTGCTGTAGAAACTCGTGTGAATACCATGGATGCATGTTCCGACACGAGCCGATTGACGAGTATTGGGTTTTCATCTGGAACCAACCCCCTGGGTCTTTTGTTTCGTACTTCAAGTAAGTAAAGTTTCCAACAGTCGTGTTTCAGTCAGCTCCAAGTGACTTGAGCCCCTCAAGGCGGCAGTCCCAAGAGAGCGAGCTGCGTGTTACAGAATATCAGCGAAGGTTTGGAATGATGAGGTTCCTGACGGGAAGATAGCTGAACCTTCGACCGCTGTAGGCACCTGCAGGCTGCGACGCCGCCGGCATTTACCTCGGCGAGACACTCGGGAATTCTTGATACAATTATTGTGGTATAGTATTCTGCCTATATAGGCCGTATCAGGTACTTTATCTCTCAGCTGGCAGGTGTCTATCAATATTGACCATGACTCTTTTCGGCATGATGAAGAGCTCGATCTGCTTGCCGAACTCGTGTTGCTTCTCATCCAATAAGTGTATCTCATCATTGCAACATGCACTGCAGATCTGGCCGTTTGTATTTGTGCCCGCAAATGGAGCCAAGAGTAAGGCATGGATCTCTGAAGTCTTGGTTAGGGTGGGAAGAGCCGAGTTTCATGCCATCAAGCGACCTTCACTGTTCTGAACACCGACTCAGGCAGCTGTGTAGATGCGCAATCACTTTCAAGCCAGAGATGTGCTCATAGAAGCACTCCGAGACGGCTGCCTCCTTCTGGGAAGTACACTTTTGCGTAGATTTATGGTTTCTATGAGAAAGACGTCTTTCGACAATCTTCAGCACACAGTAAGATGAGGGAGGACCACTTTGTCACCTCTTCGAGCAAGCGGGGAGGCTGACAAGATGCTTGCGCAATTCAGGCGCACGTCCTAAATTAGTCCCCCACTGCTGAATGACGAAGAAGAGCAGATCGAATGCTGGCGAGTTAAGACGCAAAGAAGATGTGAAATGGTCAGCCAGCACTTTGCGGCCTGCTTGGTGTCAATAGAGTCACGTGGGCTCGTGTGGCTACCACATGTCAAACACGTTCGCTCTTGCCTTCGATTGTGGCGACTTCCCCAGAACAGAAAGGCTACAATCGCGCTAGTCGCGTCCGCCTTCAAGGATGACTTGACGATAAATTGTTCGCCTCCTTGTGACATCCTGCACTTCGACAATTGCACTCTCAACAATCATATTCTGCAAGCAAGCCGATACACCATCACAATGAGTGCCGAAGGACAAGAACTTGCCTCCCAGTCTGGCTACGAAGATGGCGCTGCTGGTGGCCCTGGTGCGCCCACGCCACTCTCAGCTCTAGAGGTAAGATATTTTGGTACATCTCTTCATACAGCACAAGCTAAGACTGTCATGTCAAGNGGAATGGCGGGTCTGACCAAACGAGACATTCAACTGTTTGTCGAAGGCGGATTCCATACTGTCGAGTCTGTGGCATACACTCCAAAGATGGTGCTTGAGCGCATCAAGGGTGTGTCCGAGCAAAAGGCGACGAAAGTCCTTCTAGAGGGTAACACCAGTCCAGTTTCTGACTGCTTGACCGAGAACTAACGTAACTCNCCAGCCGCCAAACTTGTGCCTATGGGCTTCACGACTGCCACCGAGATGCACGCACGCCGCAGCGAACTCATTTCTATCACGACTGGTTCCAAGCAGCTCGATACGTTACTCGCAGGAGGAATTGAAACAGGATCCATCACAGAAGTGTTTGGCGAATTTAGGACAGGAAAGAGTCAGTTATGTCACACGCTGGCAGTGACCTGTCAGCTGCCCTTTGATATGGGTGGTGGTGAAGGTAAGTGTCTCTATATCGACACCGAAGGCACCTTCAGACCAGTCCGTCTGCTCGCAGTGGCGCAAAGATACGGACTTTCGGGAGAAGAGGTTCTCGACAATGTCGCATACGCGCGCGCATACAACTCGGAGCACCAACTTGATCTTCTCAACCAGGCGGCTCAAATGATGACGGAAACACGCTTCTCGCTCTTGATCGTCGACTCGGCAACGGCTCTCTACCGCACGGATTTCTCTGGACGTGGTGAGCTGTCGTCAAGACAAACACATCTGGCAAAGTTCATGCGCACGTTGCAACGCCTGGCAGACGAGTTTGGTATTGCGGTACTCATCACCAACCAGGTGGTGGCACAAGTGGATGGTGGACCAAGTGCCATGTTCAACCCAGACCCAAAGAAGCCCATTGGTGGCAACATTATTGCGCACGCCAGCACAACGCGTCTCAGTTTGAAGAAGGGTCGTGGTGAGACCAGAATATGCAAGATCTACGACAGTCCCTGCTTGCCTGAGAGCGATGCCATGTTCGCCATCAAGGAGGACGGCATCGGCGACCCCAGTCCCAAGGACCTCGATAACAACTAGACGATGCAGAGAACAGAGTGTACATGAGGGGACGATATTGCTTTTGAGCTTGCTTTTGTGTTTTTAAGATACCAGGAGGCTGGGAAACGGACTGCTTTTAGGCTTGGCGTTGGCAGGACGAGCAAGGCAGCATCACAAGAGGTGGCTCGGAGTCACGGAGAAAAGGAGATACGAAAGTACAATTACCATGTTTTTGATTATATGAGGTTGCTCCGTGTTGGATGTATTGCAAGTGAGGGCTCGTGATGAGGTGTGAGTGAAGGTCGAAAGGTCTCGGTCACAGCAAAAAGCTGGGGGCAGCTTTTGGCCGTTTGGCGTCCTTCAGTGGCAGCTCGGCGCCATCACAGCAAACGCGCATCGACAAAGTCATCTCCTTGCGCGACAGTCTCTACCTACTCGACCATCGGCCATTGCAGGTCGTTGTTACATGGAGATACAATGGCAATGACCGTGACAGCTCCACTGGCGCCATGTCTATACACCGAGGCCCGTCTGAACATCGAGCCGACCTACGCCAACTCGACTCTACACATCCCCACCGAAGGACCGTCCTCGTTCTTTTCGCGCAAACGTTCAAGGAGCAACGACACCCTGGCCGATGCCGACGAAGACGCATACGCGAAACGTCACCTGGCCACCGAGGCGTCCATCTTCTTTCGTCGCCAGAACAGAAACCCGCGATGCTTCCTCTGGCGCGTTCTCGAGGANGGAAAACTGCTACACATCCAGAGCGTCGACCTGATCCAAGCCCGCAGAAACACTCAAGAGAGTGTCATTACCTTCGCCCTGAGCTTCGCCAACCCCATTCGGTCCAATGGTGTCGCCTTTGCTGATGCTGTCGAGCGCGACGCCCTCGAAGTCTTTGTCTTGACCACCTCCAACGAACTTTTCACCTTTACCCTGCGCAAAGACCTCCTCCTGCGTGGCTCGCTGCCCTCGCCTGCCGACTTCGACCCCACCAGCTGCTTCAAAGTCCACCAGTCACCTTCGTTCAGCTTCCGCTCCCCCTACAAGCTCGTTGCTCTTAGTTCGATGGACTTGCTTGTTTCCCTCAGCGACGGGGGCTTGTTGCGTCTGTCAAGAAATGTCGGCCAGGGTCAAGGATCATGGCACGAAACTGCGTTTAGCGAACCTGGTTGGGGCTCATCCTTCAAGACCTTCTTCTCCATGAGAGGCCACAATACCATCAAATTCAACGGCCTTGACCTTGAGCCCTCGACTGCTGCTGCAATCGCCTTGTCGCCCGATGCAACACATGTCTTTACTGTGTGCCTCGATCATACTCTGAAGGCCTGGAACACCCAAACCGGAAAACTGGGAGTGCAAACTGACCTTCTCAACGAGAACGACAAGGATATGCAGTCTGCCTCAACGCAATTTGTGATGAGTCCTGCTCAAGGAACTCTTCTCAAGCTTCTCCAAGTTGATGGAAGTCCCGATGGCGACATGTACTATGCTGTCACGAACTCACCAAAAGACCACCAATTCAAGTTTTGGGCAGTCATGGATCCTGACGATGTTGAATTGGGCCTCCGCGACGTCCAGCCAGACACCAAACTCATCCCTCCTCTTGATGAACTAATGAACACGAACGCCTGGCAACTTGTCGAATATCATGTTCGTCCTTCAAAGGGCTGGCGCAGTACTCAATTATGGATCAGAGTCAGATCTGGTGCTATCTGCAAGATCTTTACTCTGACCTTCGATCTGCTTGCCGTGTCTGACGACCTTGAAGATGCATGGCGCAACAATTGGGCCTTTGTTGACGATGGGTCTCTTACTATTGAGGCTCTTATGAACGACCCCTCATACCCAGGAGACGCTGACATTCAACTTGCGGTAGAAGACTACTCGAGTCTCAGCGATCGATGGCTCGACTTCTTCTTCTACCCCGGCAGGTTTAGTGTGCCTATGCTGGAAAGTGCATTGCACATCTACAAGAAGGGTCTCAAGCTCTCAACCGAATCATCCCGATCGACCAAGGAGAGCCCGCTCAAGGGTAGAATCTGCGATGCTATCGCCGCCAAAATCAGTGTTGACCAGGATGCTGAGGGTCAGCTAGATTTCGACAAGTACCAATCCGAGATTGCTGCACAATGGCATGTGTTCTTTGGCCTCGTGCGACACCTTCATACCAGACGTGGCGATTCTCTTTCTTTGGCATTCGACACGGATACGGACCTTGCCTGGTCAGTCAGAGCAGATCAAGTCGGCCCTGTCAGGCAATGTAGTGAAGTTGAGGTTATGAGTCTCAACAAAGATGTCTTCCTTGCTCAAGAGGACTCGTTCATCAACAACTCCATGCCCCTTGCCAACCATTTGAGCGACGAAAATAGTGTGCATATTGGTCGTCTCCTTGCGGGTGCGAGAACGTTCAGGAGGGGATTGTCTGCTGACTTCCAGAAACTCTTTGAAACGGCAAGTGCCGCAGATGCTCTCAAGATTGGTATCAATGATACAACTCCAAACGGTACCCAGGACAAGCATCTTGAGGACTTGCGACAACTCTACGAAATATGCGCTCTTCATACCGAAGTTACGGACGAGGACTTCAATCAACTAACAGACTCGATGCAAGAGCTCGGCGGCCTTGGTGATCTGGACAACGAGTTGTTCTATGTCGCTATCGAACGTCTCGCTGAACCTGAACAGGGTGCCGACGGAGACCAAGCACTCACTCGTTACGGAGACAAGGCTACTATTCGCGGCGCCCAGGACACTCTTTCTATGACAAGGGACATTATTCTTGATCTTCTCGCTTTGGTAGTTTTCATGGCTGGCGATCTTGAGGAGGAAGAACTCTCGCCTGAATTCAGACCATCAGAACTGTACGAGCAGCTGGTCGTGAAGCTGAAAGAGCACAATGTTCTACTGTGGCTCGCTAGCAATGTACGAGAAGAGCCCACAAAGAAGGCCAAAGACGCTGTCGACAGCCCCGTCTCCAAGTCCAACAAGTCTCAATCTCATCCCACTTTGACAGTGCTTGAGAGCATCTTCATTGGAGATTGGCACAGCCTGCGATTCCCAGCTTCGGAGGCTCTTCCCTTCCTCATCACTTACTGGTGCCGTGCATGGACATATGGAGCTAACATCTCCAATGCTTACAAGGGTGTTGTCGAGCACGTTTTGGGCAACCTCCTCAAGCATCAGGACTATGATCTGGCTACAGACTTTCTCAAGTTTGTGTCAGATGGACCTTGGTCGTCTTATCTCCGAGGAAGACTAAATCTCGCAATCGGAGAATACGCCCTGGCCGCCGAGTATTTCAAGCAGGCATCGGAGCCCCTCGCCGAGAAGAACATTAAGAAACTCAAGATTGATGAGTTAGATACGTCGAGCTTGATTGATCCCCAAGCACGCAACTTTTTCAACGATGGATTGCCCCGTTACTACTTACACATTTCATACTTGTTTGAGCGCAGTCGACTGCACGCATACACAGCCGATTTCGCCTCGCTCGCTGCTCAGGAGTTTGCAGTGAACTTTGAGAACTTCGACGACAACTCGTTGATCGATCTAGACACACGCAAGCAGGGCATGCACGGCAGCCCAGCAGCCACGAAGGTCAATCTGGCAATGGAAGAGATCAAACTGTTGCGCGTGCGCGAACTGAAGGAGGACATCTTGACGCGTGTATTCAATGCTTCGTTGCAGATCTGCCGCTACAAGCCTGCCTTTGATGCTTTGCTTGTGCTGGGCAACCCTGTGCTACGCAAGACGTCACTTCAAGCACTGCTGCAATCGCTCATTGCGACCAATAGGATGAACACGCTTCTTTCCCTGCCATTCCCAGAATATCTCCTTCCTGAGGTTGACGATATACTGCTATCGTTGGCGCGCAAGCACCTATCTTTCTCCCCGACGCCGACACCTGGCCAGCCTCAGTACCATCAAGTCATGTACACATGGCGTATTCACAACAACGACTTCCGTGGAGCTGCCGAGATATTATTTGAGCGTCTGCAACGTCTTAGACATAGCACGGCCAAGGTGTTTGAACCTGATGACGAGACGTTGGTCGAGGCGTACTTGGTCCTCATCAACACGCTCGCTTGCTGCGGTAAGGACGAGGGATGGATTCTTGCAGAAAAGGTCGAGGAGGAATACCAGCGTGGCAAGAGCGTGTCAGCCAGCCACGGCAAGAAGCGCAGAATAGTCACGCTGGAAGATGTGCGTAAGGAGTACCAGGCAGAGCTGGACCGCAGAAGTGAGATGCAGCAAGGCAGATTTGCGCTGACTGCAGGTGATGAGATGGATATGTTCTAAGAGTAGTGATTTCTAAGTGGTGTTGTTTTTTCTTTCACTCGGTTGTGAAGGTGGCTACAAGATGATAGGATCTGGGGATGATAAAAAGAAATGGGTAGGAAACTGGGCATAGCGCAGGAGTTTATGGCGTATAATAGATGTAAAGATAATCAACTGCCAGCTTGTATCAAGAGAAGACTTGCATGTTTTTGAGCGACTGTCAGTTCTTTACCAAGTGATTGCAGAGCAGTTTGCAAAAAGCAGGCGAGTATTCACGTGTATATGCTACTGTAGGTATGCAGGTAGAGAAGGAGGAAGAGTATGACGAAGTCGAATAGGGCTGTGCCGAGACGGCCGAGGGTGAGATTGGCGGAGGTCACATCACCGGGCAACAACGACAGGCATCGAGCTGCTCGACAGCAACCAGACGACAACATGTCCAAATCGACCTTCTGTCTCGTGTCGCTACCGACATCCATCTCACCGTCAAATGACAGCGACGAAGCGCTCACGGCCCTGAGGTCGGTCGTGTCGACCGACAACGGCACGACGTATCCGTTCAGCATCCCGTCCTTCAAGATTGGCACACTGGACGCCCTGGTGCAGCAGGCCGACGACCTGCAGAAGCTGGAGCAGGGATGCAAGGGTGTCGTCGAGAAGGTGGCCGACTCGCTGAAGAACATCCTCGAGGGAGACGAGGACAAGATCGCCGACCAGAAGAACGTCAACGACAAGCCCATCGACCACTACCTGCAGAGCTTCCAATGGAACAAGGTCAAGTACCGCGCCGAGAAGCCCATCTCGGAGCTGGTCGACATGCTCCAGAAGGTCGGTTGCTTGTGCTTCTGGAAGAGTCGTCGCAATGGCTGACAATAGCGCTACAGNGACATTGCAAGCATAGACAACGACGTCAAGTCCAAGTTCAACCAGTACAACTCTACAAAGACTTCTCTAGCCACGTCGCTGCGCTCGCGCACCGGCAACCTGTCGCAAAAGTCGCTGACCTCTGTCGTCAATCCCAACAACCTCCTCGCACCAGACGCCTCGGAGTATCTGCAACAACACCTGATCGCCGTGCCCAAGAATCAGGTCAAGGATTACCTGCAGAGCTACGAGTCTCTGTGCCCCATGGTCGTGCCCCGTTCATCGCAGGAGCTGGCCAAGGATGACGAGTTCAGCTTATTCGCCGTCACCGTCTTCAAGAAGCACAGCGCAGAGTTTGTTCACAAGGTGCGCGAGAAGCGCTGGACGCCCCGTGAGTGGAAGTTCACCGAGGGTGGACGCGAGGCCGAGGAGCGCGAGCAGCAGAAGCTTGAAAAGGACGAGCGCCGTGTTTGGGGTGAGGCTTTGCGTCTTGGTCGCACCGGCTACAGCGATGCTGTCATGGCCTGGATCCACGTTCTCGCTCTGCGTGTCTTTGTTGAGACGGTCCTGCGCTACGGTCTCCCGCTGAGCTTCGTTTGCGGTCTTGTCAAGGTAAGAAGTATGACCATGTTGAGCTATGCAAGAATGCTGACACACAAACAACAGACGGACAAGAAGGTCGTCGAGAAGGTCAAGAAGAACCTGGACGGCGCCTACTCACACCTTGCAGGAAACGCATTCGGCCGCGACAAGAAGGGCAGAGTGACCAAGGATGATGCTCAAACAGCCAACGAACTGCAGGCGACGGGTCATGCTGGTGGTGAAGACTACAACGCCTTTGTCTACTACCAGTTCGAGATTGCATGAGCACAAAGCATATTGAACTGTCCTCCTTCCTTGCCTTAGTCTTTTCCGGCCAGCGTTTCCTGCCCTTTTGTTTTCCTGTCCATAGACACTCTATACCCAGCCACATTTTGCAGGTTGTCCATACAGAAGAGAGAAAAAACATGATCGAGTTCGTATACTTTTATAGTAAGGGTCCGTTACATGAGACGTTATATACAGTTGAAGATGCAAATGGGTATCAAAGAAGACCATCTAACCCTGCTTCAGAAGACCTTTCTCCTCGAGGTACTTTGTGATGATGACGACAGCCTCCTCGACGCTGGTGTTTGCCGAGTCGATGTGGATCTCGGGCTTCTCGGGGGCCTCGTAAGGAGCGCTGATGCCGGTGAAGTCCTTGATGACGCCGGCGCGAGCCTTCTTGTAGAGGCCCTTGGGGTCGCGCTTCTCGGCCTCTTCGACGGAAATGTCAACGTAGACCTCGATGAAGGGGAGAGGGGTGTCGGTGTTGGCGGCTTGCTCGTGGAGCTCACGGGCGGTCTGACGGTCGGCCTTGTAGGGCGAGATGAAGGAGGTCAGGGCGAGGCACGACGAGTCGGCGAAGAGCTTGGCGANCCTGTTGTATACCATGATCAGCTTCACGACCTCATTTCCAAAAAGCAGAGGGAGCCAAGATACCTCTGCGATACGGCGAATGTTCTCGTTACGGCTCTTCTCGTCAAAGCCAAGGTCCTTGTTGAGACCGAAGCGGACATTGTCACCGTCAAGACGGTAGGCGGCAAGACCCTGCTGGAGCAGGTGCTGCTCGAGAGCAGTGGCAATGGTCGACTTGCCCGAGGCAGAGAGACCGGTGAACCAGATGGTAGCACCCTGCTGCTTGCGGAGCTCGCTACGCTCCTTGCGGGTGAGACCAGCGTGCCAGGTGATGTTGCTGTTGGCCAATTCATGTCAACAATCAAACTTTACGTGGCACACCAAACGAACGCCCAAACTTACGTGGACATTTTGAAGATATGAGAGTGTGGTATAGAGGGGTTGAGGAGGGGGAAAAAGATGGTTGCTGTATGCAAAGATTCGGAGGGGCAGTTTGGCATCAATAATCGCCGATTGCGTATGGCCTCTCCCCACCGACACCGCCAGCACGTCAACACAACCAAGCCACAGACTTCACACTGACTGAACTCTCGGGTCGGTCCGGTTTCGCGCTAGCCTGCCCCTCGGGGTTGTCGTCGGCGATGGTCGGGGAAGCTCCTTCCTATGCGGGCGTGGTTACACGAAAACATGTGGTGGTGCTTCTTCCCGAGAGCCTCAATTCTTATCGATTACTTGTCAAAGTCTGTCCTCTGTTGACTCGATTCGTTCTCTTTCTTGTAGACAAAAGAATATACCCGAGGGTTTGCACGCGTTTCCCAGTGCTCTCAATTACATTCACCTTCTCCACCTCACTTTTCCGCTACTGAGGTTACTTCCGCCCAACATGTCTGCTATTCGCTCTTCGCTCAAGATCGCAAGTCCTTTGCTGCGTTCTTGGAAACCCAGCTCTGTCTACCGAGCACACACTGGAACTTGTGCATCGACTGCGAGACTACAAAGACTACCCAGCAGACTTCACCAAGTCATACCAGCGGCAGTACGCTGCTATGCTTCGTCCACTGAACAAGCCAACTCCAAGACAGGCCTCTATGACCTTCATGTAGCCAAAGGAGCGAAGATGGTGCCCTTTGGAGGATACATGATGCCGGTCCAATACAGTGATCTAGGCGTTGGTGAATCACACAAATGGACGAGAGAGAAGGCTAGTCTGTTCGATGTCAGCCATATGTAAGTCTTGATCTCCGTAAACCATCTCTTCTTCAATCTGTGTCATGCCGACCAACACGAAATTTTTACCTCCAGGGTGCAATATCACTTCACTGGACCTGGAGCAACTGCATTCCTAGAGAAAATCACACCTGCGGACCTGCAAGCGCTACCGCCTCACCAATCCACTCTCTCAGCTCTGCTGCACCCTGAGACTGGTGGCATTGTAGACGATACCATCATCACCCGCCTGGGCGAAGACAAGTTCTACGTGGTGACCAATGCCGGCTGTAGGGAAAAGGATGCTGCTTTCTTGACCGCAAATCTGGATGCCTGGAACAACGCGAACCAGCCCCGTGTGGACAAGACCGAACTTAAGAACCAAGGTCTTATAGCTCTGCAGGGACCTCTGTCGGCCGATATTTTGCAAGGCGTCCTCGCCCCCTCCTCGGACGACATCGACCTCAAGTCCCTCTACTTTGGCACTTCCAAGTACCTGACTCTCAGATTCGCATCTGGCGAAACTTCAAAGCCTGTTCTGGCCTCTCGCGGTGGTTATACCGGTGAAGACGGTTTCGAAATCTCCATCGCGCCCGAAGACACAGTCGCCATAACAGAACTACTCCTCACCGCCGGCGGACCCGAGAAACTGCGTCTTGCCGGCCTGGGCGCCAGAGACTCGCTCAGACTGGAAGCAGGCATGTGTCTATACGGCCACGATCTCGACGACAGCACAACACCCGTCGAAGGCGCTCTCGGCTGGATCGTCGCAAAATCTCGCCGCTCGGCTCCTCGCAACGAATTCAATGGTGCAGAAGTCATCTTGCCGCAACTGGTGCCCGTGAGCAAAGGCGGCAAGGGCGTTTCCCGTCGTCGCGTGGGGTTGCTCGTCGAAGGCGCTCCCGCCCGTGAAGGCGCACAGATCGTAGATGCTGAAGGTCAAGCCATCGGTGTCGTTACCAGTGGCTGCCCTTCCCCTACGCTGAAGAAGAACATCGCCATGGGATACGTCAAGGACGGTCAACACAAATCGGGCACCGAGTTGGGCGTCGTGGTCAGGGGCAAGACGAGAAAGGTCACGGTGACAAAGATGCCGTTCGTCGCCAGCAAATACTGGAAGGGAGGCATCTCACCAGCTTAATGATAATCAGCCTAAAGACAATCTTGTCGAATGTATATGAAACAAGCTTCCCGCAATCAGCTGACTGTCCTACTTCCCATGCTTCTTCAAACCCTTATATACCAAATTCATCACGTCTTCTCTGACCATGGTATTGTAGACCCGGTAACCCAATGCATCTCGCAATACTCGCTCTCAAGGAACAGAAGGTCGCGGACTCTAGTCCCTACTCCTTACAACGCTTCTTCCTTCCATGCTTCCTTTTTGCTTCCAAGTACGAGACTAAAAAACGACATTTGAGCATAAACCATATCCTACCTACTAGGGAGCATATCGAATTTCTGCCCTAGAGACACAGAGGACCACATGGTTCGTGAAATAAAAGAGTGTCTGTACATTATAACGTTGATTTCAGGTGATATCATGATCGGGTGTCCATAGTAGTCCAATCATCTAGCTCTTGAGCACACCATCAGTCGCAGACACTATGAGAACTTCCAAATATACCCGAGCTGGAATCGTCGAAACATTGTTTTTGATAATTCGAAACGCAAAAGAGCGGATCAAAGAGATATGGCGAGACACATCACCCTACCTTGGAAAATACAACTCAGACGTGATTCAAATGTTTTGATAGAGCTAACAAGAGCAAGCCACATTACAAGTTATGTTCTCTCGCTCCTAGCTAATAAGAGGTTTGAAAAACCAAGAAATCGGGTTTGGAAACACTACCACCACGAGGTGAACAAGTCATGAATAGCACGTTAAGATTTACTGTACATATATCTGACTAGCGTAGGTTCATACTGAAGCAAAGTATTGTAAGGGCTAGCAGCAATGGCTAAGATGAAGAGGCCTCCTGGCCGCAATCGATAATTGGAAAAAGCAACAGCGTCCAATCCGAACAGTGATCAGAAAATGCAACGATACAAGGGATGTGCTTGTCAAGAGTGCATTGAGCAGAGGTCAGTTGATCTTCTTCCGAAAGCGAAAGGCAATTTTCAGAGCGATCTCGTGCGGAAGTTCGCCAGTGTGAGCAGTTTCAAAGCTCTTGTCGCCAATCGCAAAGCTTGTCAAGTTTGGAGCAAGGCCCCGTATCACCTTCATGTCTCTCAAGGCATCCTCATCGAGAGTTGCTTGATCTTCTTCATAACCATGGTCTTTTATTCTGCCGAGGCGCAGGTGGTCTAGGTTAGGAGATAGTGGTGCTTCGAGCATCGTCCAGGTGTTCAGATNATGTTCCCACATGAGTTGGCAACTGAACAATGATGGACAACCATCAGCGAGGAACTGCAATGAAGATTGCGTGATCTTGGTACTATCAAGAGCCAATGACAGGTCTTGAAGCTGTGGAAGCTTTGAGATCCAGCTCTTGAAGTATCTATCTGTGAGCCAAAGGCAGTCATTCGAAGAGTCCGGTCCATAGTGCATGGGCAATGGACCTCTCCAGTCGATGTGACATTTCTGTAGTTTGGACAGATCCGAGATATAGTCCAGATCCGTACGAGAGAACTCTCTGTATGCATCAAATAGAATTGTCAAGCGCACAAGATTCGAGAGACGGCTGACGCTTGGACAAATACTGTCCTGGTTGTCAGTAATGTCAAGGTACATATCGACGAGGGTTTGAGGTGCGCTGGATAGAAGAGTCTTGATGACAGGCGCCGACCCGCACAATGACAAGTCCTTGATGCTCAGGAATGGATGCGAAGCTGTACTCCCGCTGAGAAACCGCTCTTGAAGCTGCTCACCAACAGTATCATCCAGCCAACGATCTATATGGAGAACTTCGAGCAAAGGGTAACCTGACAGGCGGGTAAGTGTATCTGCAGAAAGGTCATCTCCATGCTCTAAGTACAGCTCGCGCAAGCCTGTACAGTGTTTCAAAAGGTTGTTTTGAAGCGTATAGTTCCTGTCAGGATCCCAGCCTTGGGTCCAGGATAGTGTTTCAAGCCGAGCAACTGAATCGCCCTCCCAAGAAAAAACTTTGTGCATGATGTTCTCCGCAAGGTAGTCGAGTTGGAGGTGACGCAGAGCTGGAAAACTCCGTAGAAAGGTGATGAATCGATCAGGTGTGATTTCGCTTGTATCAGGAGATGATATAACAAGCTTCTGAAGCTGTTTACAGCAGGATGCTATCATCTCCAGAATAGCTGTGTCGAAACCGCATTGTATGTACCGGAGCGTGTGCAGTCCTATCTGCAAGCAACGACGAAGGTGCGCGACAGAAAGAGAACCGCCGGAGAATGACAGGGCCTTCAGCAGCGGGAAATCAAGACCATCGAACAATTCCCAGGAGGCGTCATCATTGAGCTTCCAGTCATGAATCATGTTGGCGTAGTGTTGACGTCGTTCTGGTGTTAGTATTTTGCCTAATCTTCTCTGTGTAGACTTACGCCACAGCATGCCGATGCAGCAGTTATAACATGCTCTACTCACCCTGATGGCAGCGAAAAGTGAGGTCTTGTCTGCCAAAAGGTGATTGAGGATGTTTTGTTGAAGCTCGGGTGGCAAGCTGTCGAAGCCAGCGGGGCTTTGTAGCTGCGATTCAAGAACCATGTTGAAGGATCTTGACAATCAGAATGCTGATCAAGTATGATGTGTGTTGAAGTGCGTGTGTCAGTGTGCTGATATTCTGTCTTGACCTTGATGTCTGGATGATTGTCGGAATCGAAAGCGCGCGGAAACAGAATCAAAGTGAAGCGTGACAAGATTGTAGCACAGGCGTAACGCGTTCTGTTATTGAATTGTGACTCAGCTCGATAGTGTTTGATTGATGACTCAACGCAGTTGAACGCGAGTTATGGTGAGGAGATGAGCACAGAAGAAAGCGCGAAGGGTTGAACTGCACGTCTTCAATGTTGAGCGATCAAATCTAGGTTGATGTTGGGATGATGGTGAAGAGGTTTTGGAGGTTGATACGTGTCAGAGCTACTGTGACGAGGTAAAGGTAGGAAACGGTTGTTTGGAAGTCGCGAACGATGTGATAAGCAACGGCTTGGCGGCTTTAGCCGACCAACGTCTGCAACAACTGCAGCACGATCGTGCCAAACAGCCTCGGGATGTGGAGGAAGGCGCAATGAACAAAATCACTTGAGAGTAGCAAGTCAAAAGATAAGAAGTAAATGTTCAAAATTGTGGATTAATGATTAAGGTACTAGGAGTACATTGACCTTTCCGTGGTATCTTGCAAGAGAAATAGAAGCCGAAACAATAGAGAGATACGAGAAATGATAAAATGGCTTCGTCGGACACATCATACAAAGTCCCCCTTTTGACACGACTCGCTTACAGAGCGAGGACGGCGGCGGCCAAAAGACCAGCAGCACCGGCACCGATCTTGGCGGCGGCACCAGTGTACGAAGCGGGGTGAGAAGAAGAGGCGCTGGCAGCAGAGCCAGTGCCAGCAGCCATGGTGCCGTTGGCCATGGAGCTAGAGCCGGCCATGGTCGAGTTGCTCTTGGCGGGCTTCATGGTGGCAGGGTAGGCAGCGCAGGTGGCCATGGGGGCGAGGAGGCAGGTTTCATCCTGGCAGATGCTCTGGAGCTGAGCACCCTGGGCAGGGATGACGGTGGTGGNGGGAGCGCAGCGGACGTTGAAGATGGTGTTGAGGGCCTTGCCGACAACAGCAATGTCGTCCTGGGTGACGCCGAAGGAAGAGGCGGCGAGGGCAACTTGCTCGATGAAGTAGCCGACCTCTGCAGCAGAGAGGTCCATGAATCTGTGGACAGCAGCCTGGGAGCCGAAGCCGGCGTAGCTGGGGAAACCAGTGGCAGAGCAGCCAAGGAGAGCACCGAAGTACTGGTACAAGTGGGTCATGAGCTTGTACTGGTTGGATGAAGTGCCGTTGGAGGGCATGTTCATGGTGAGAGGGACGGCACCGCCATCGTCGAGGAAGTTGATGGAGACACCAGAGCTACCGCCACGGTTGGATGAGGCAAGACCGCCGTTGAAGTAAGGAAGGAGGTTGACCTCGGTGCCCATGTAGTTGCCCTTGGCAAGGATACCGGGGACAGCGTTCATGTTGGGCTTGGTGTAGTTACCAATGACAACAGTGTTGACAAGGAGGGTCAACAGGGTCAATTGGTTGGCGCCAGTGTTCTCCTTGAGCAGAGCAGTGGTGTACTTGTCACAGATGGATGCGTTCTGGGCAAAAGCAGGAGCAGCAACGGCAGCAAGGCCGGCAACGAAAGTGGAGGGACGCATGGTGAAAAAGTGGTGAGTGTGTGTGAGGTCGAAGTGTGAAAAGAACGTGGATGAGCAAGAGAAGAGAAAGAGTGGTGGGCTGTCTCAAACTTATGTGGTTCTTCATTCCTCGAGCTGTCTGTGGTCATTCCAAATTGAGCTCGTCCCCTTGGTCGGGGAAATAAGACACAGCAACGTCAATGGCGCATGAATAGGAACAGGAATGACACGCGGGAGAGCAACCTTCTGCTTTCATAGAACCACTGAAGCCGTTCGTTTCTCCAACGTCTGGCTGTATTGGCCCATCGGAACAATTGGTCGTGATGCTCCTTGCTTCTCCCATACACAGAACATCTTTCTTTTCATTCGCATATTTCTGGTCGTCGAGGAGTTGAATTGTTGTGAGGCTGTGTTGTGTAACCGATGGGAATAACCTCAAGACCTGACAAGTACCCCTGCGTGACCTAACGGCGATCTTGGAGATCATGAACGTAACTGGAACGGGGGCGCATGTTGCGGGAAATTTTTGCGAACGGTCATGAAGCCAAATACTGATGTTTTGGACTCACCAGCCAATCAAGACGAAGATATTACGGTCGAAGGACGTTGAGATGGCCGTGCACGGGTGCGGAGTGCGCGGAGATTCAAGCCTTGGTTTTAAGCATACCAGTAGCCTACCATTAGCGCTCTGTAGCGTGCCGTTCGAAAGAGCTAGACCACGAAGGCAAGCATTCCACAGCAGAAAACAGGAGGGGACAGGAAATTGGGAGTGGTTGAAGAATGCCAGATTGGTATTTTGCCTGCTTGTTCCCGCGCCCGTTGCGATGACCCGTCCCAAAACAACGCCAGTGATTTGCGACCAGACCGAAAACAAACAAGTCCCCTCGTAATAAGACTGGGCAGTGAATGAACTAAAACGTGGTCAGATGATGGTGCTGAGGGTCGTGAATAATCTATCTTGTTGCGAAGGCGCTCTTCTTCAACCATGTCTCCATGTCCATCAACTGCGGGTGGATAGAGCGTAGGTTGGAGATGTCGGCCTTGTATCCATCAGACGCAAACCAACCGATCATATGGCCGAGTTCAGTGACCATGTAAGTCAGGACAGAACCAAGGCCCCAGAAGGTGGTTCCTGCAGGGGAGCCGGTTGCGTTCTCGAAAGCCTTTGAGATTTGAGGGAAGGTGAGTTCGTCGCCAGCCAAGCCGCGGGCTTTGTGGTTCCATTCCTCGGGGTGGGTGAAGGCCTGTGCTGCGAAGAAGCCAATGTCTGCGGTAGCGACCCATTGCAGAGGCTTGGTGTCGCCAAGGTGATTGTGCAGGGCGGTCAGGAAGACCTTGGTAGGGAAGCCCGGCTGCAAGTTGTCCATGAAAGCGACGGGTCTCAAGATGGTCCAGCCCATAGCTTGGGCCTTGTCGCGCAGGTGGATCTCAATGAGTTGCTTGGTCTGGAAGTGGGGAATAGGAGTTGCATTGTCCCAGCTCTTGTCGTCGCCACCGCGCTCAACACTGCTGTAGACAAAGTGCTGGACGTTGTTCTTGATACTCTCGTCGATGAGGTCGGTGCCCTGCTTGACTTCACCCTCGAAAGTCACGCCCTTGCCCATCGAGATCTGCACCGAGTAGACGCCCCAGATTGGTTGTTGGGCGATCTTGCTGGCGGCTTCGAAAAGGGCAGGAACATCATCGAGGTTGCCCTCGACAAGCTTGATGTTGTTAGCTCTTGCGGCGAGCTTCTTTGCACTACCGCTGCTAGAGTCTCTGGTGACGGCCAGAAGAGTAAAGTCATTTGCATTAGGCAATGCAAGGAGGGCGTCAATGACTGAGCCACCCTGCTTTCCAGTAGCGCCGGTGATGAGAAGGACGCGAGACATGATGGGTTTCTGTGGATTCAGGGATAGTCAGGGAGCAAGAGGTGCAAATGCAGAGAAAGAGGCAGAGGCAGAAGCAGCAGGGCCGATGAAGGACATGGCTACAGCAGGCTTGTCACATGTTACTGTAGGTGCAGCAAGTCCGTCATGATTAGGGTACCTCATTGACGGACTTGTCGAGGGTTGCGTGGTGGATTGCAGATTCCGAGCGGGCGCGTCTGTCGTGGTCCGACGCTTCGGCGCTCGATTTGTCGCGAAGCCTGCTGGCCGATCACCGGATCCCCATTCACCATCTATTCACCACCTGTGCTACATAGACGGCCACGGTAGTGCAAGATGCAGCGCTTCGGAGAATTGAGCGCTGATCATAGACGTGCGAAACACTGCCCTTGTAGAAACCATGCTGTGCTGCTGCTGCTATTGCTGCTCTCACCACATCACTGACCTCCCTTGACAAGAGCTTTCTCGCCATACAGACCTCAGTCATGGCCTCTGAAACCAGATCAACGCGGCTCAACACGGCCTACTCGCTGCTTGACGCCTATGGCTCCCTCTCGCCAGACGCCATCCTCGACCACCTCGATGACAGCTGCACACATCAGGCCCTGCCCGCCTCGCTGGGCATGCCTCCTCGCTCCAAGGAAGAGTTCAGAGGCCACGCTCAGGGCATCACCTCCATCTTCACCACCTTTGCCATGGTCCCGCAGAACATCTACGAAGACGAAGACAACAACGCCGTCGTCATCCACGCCATGATGGACGGCCAATTGAACAAGCCCGGCATGGGCCCGTGGAAGAATGAGTGCATAATGCTGCTGCGCTTCACCCCCGATGGCTCCAAAATCATCCAAATCAGAGAGTTTGTCGACAGTGCAAAAGCCATGGAGATGCGCAACAAGGTCAAGCCCAAAAACTTCGACTCTCACAGCGGAGGCCTTCTCTCCACAGTCGGCTGGGTGGTATCCACCACTGTTCCGGTCGCTCTGGCCGGCGCCGCCGTGCTCTTCTTGACCGGAAGAAAAGACTTGCTTCGCTTGAGATGAGGAAAGTCCCGTCTGCATGCCAATGCTTACGCTACATGTAATGCCCCGAATGTCTACAATACAACTTGTCTTGTCTACATGTCTGTGCCGTCTTCGTGATACAAACTCGTTCCAAGCGAGCATCGCACAATCTCCTTGCATGTCGCCGAGGGCTTCCAGAGCTCCTGTCATGCTTGCATACATGTCGCGTGGCGGAAGATAACAAGAGCTGGAAAAAGTCGTTTGTCGTAGAGACATGCAGTACATATGTTGTCGATACCAAGTACATCTCCCCTCAAAGCCAAGCCGAGCCTCGAAGCTGGCTAGTCCATCGATCGTGCTGGGCATGCTGCATGAACCATGAAGAATGCCGATCCCTACGATCAATACACTACGAACGCCCATAGGGCACCACCAAACCACTCCCATAGAAGCCAGCAAAATCGATTGTCTTTGCATCAAAAATTAATTCCCATTAGACCCGAGAAACAAAACCATCTTCCACTCTGACTTTGATGAAAACAACCTTTCTCTGCACTCACCAACAACCATCCAAAAGAATCCAAAAGATAACATTACGAAAAATCCTAACCAACCATGCAGAAGCTTTGTAGAATATCCATGCAACTGTGCATGCAATGCATCGGCTCTCCTCACTCCAAACACCGAAAAAAGATAGTAATTGGCCAAAGAAAACCCCCCAGTGACGCGTCGATCTTTGCCCTGCTTGATATCACCGGCAATCCCGTTACCCCCAGAGCAAAAACACCCTCGCATGTCGTCAAGACTTGCTTGTCAACACTTTTCCCGCCCGCTCGGGAAAAACCAAAACATCGTCTCACAGAAGCTGGCTTGAGATTGACAGGGGCAGATCCCTTGATACTTTTTTGCTGCTTCACAATTATCCAGCAAGGGCGGTTGCCTGCACTGGGACATATGGTGTACGGAAATCCGTGATGCCGGTGTTGTCGCTCTGGTTTTGCGGCCGTACGACCATTATCTGGTACACCTTCGTACGTGTATGCATAACCAAGGATGAGAGGTGGAGAGGGTGTGAATGAACAAATAACGTTGATATCTAAAGTTGATCTGTGAAAACAAACAGAAGAAGAAAATCTTTGCTCGTGGAATCAAGACATGAAAGAAGATAAAAAAACCTGATGTAGCGAGCAAGAGACACATACAAGAAAGGGGGATAGTAGTCTGAAACATATCGAGAAGCAGAGAGGACAGAAACAGTGAAACAGTGAAACAAACAACGAAATCATTACTATGCCGCCCTGAGCCATTAAATGGCAAACACGACCGCCTGCGCATCGCGGACACCAATCATCAATCACCTCCTCCGGGTAAGGACATAGTCCGTCGGACATTGTGTGCATGTTGATCTAGACAACAATGTCGTCAAACTTTTGCGTCTGTCCAAGCGCGGCGGCCTTAGCATACGCAGCCCGCTCCTCGAGATCCTTAGCTTCGGACATCTTCCACTCGCGGATGACGTCTGCCTTGCGGGCCTCGCTGCGAGGCTCAAAGGCCATCTCGAAGGGGTCCGGCTTGACGATAAGGAGAGAGTTGCACTTGTCGGTGGGCACCTCGATCTCTCGGCCGGTGGCAGGGTCGACCTTGCGCTTGAGATTGTACGCCCACGCTAGCGCACCACAAGCCACAATGAGCTCGTCCTGCGTCAATGACATGCCGAGACACTGTCTTTGTCCAAAGCCGAAAGATGTCATGCCCTTGATGTTGGGGTGTTGTGTCAGCGGCTCTTGGAAGGTTGGCCATCCGGCCTCAAGCCAGCGTTCTGGACGGTAGCTCTCTGGATCGGGGTACTTGACTGGGTTCAGGAGGAATGCACTAGAGACAGACGTTAATATGTGAAAAGCCAATGGGAGCACTGTTGAAGCTTACTAGTCGAGAGGCAGGATGCGAACACCCTTGGGGATGAAGTAACCACGGTAGTAGTCGTCCTGCTCGGCTTCGTGTGCGACACCAGTGGGAACATTGGGGCGCCAACGCATAGATTCCTTGATGCATGCGCGGAGAGTGGGAAGCTTGGGGAAGTCCTCGATGCTGGGCATACGTCCTTCGAGTTGTTCGTCGATTTCCTTCTGCACCTTCTTGAGCCATTCAGGGTGGTGGACCATGGCGACAAGGAAGTAGTTGAGAGGGCCGGCAACAGTGAAGATGCCAACCAGTGCGAGCATACCGAGAACAGAAGATGCCTCGTAGTCACCAGAGAGGTTGTTGGTCTTTTCGGTTTCAAGGAACTGCTTGGTAAAACTCCAGCGAGCGGTACCTTGCTTCATTTGAGTCTTGACGCGAACAAGGTTCTCCATCCACCAGCGCTGCTGTTCGTCATGACGCTTGTGTTCGGCCTTCTTCCAAGGGTTGATGAATTCGGGGAGTTTCCACAGAGGTGTGATGATGTTGGTGATTGGGCCAGCAGGAGACATCTGAGTAAGCAGACCCCATGCACTACCGATACAGTATTCGCTCAAGCTTGGGTCATCCCAGTTGAGTGTGCACATGATCTTGGAAGCCATGTCCTCGAGAGTGTAGTTGAAGGCGTCAGGATTCTCAAGGAGACGGAACATCCATCGCTTGACTTCGTGTTGCATAACACCATAGTAGCCAGCGTTGGTGGCTTGGGTCAGGTAGCCATGTGTGAAGCGACGTTGTCTGGCCCAGTATTNCTGTGACGTGTTAGTCCATGAAGGAAGATATAAAACTGGGCATGACTTACGGTTCTTGCCCATCAAGGGAAGGTATTCCATGGAGCCATGGGTACTCTTGGAGTCGAATAGCGAGGGGACGGCAGGTCTGTCAGAGTTGTACTTGGCTTTCTTGACAAGAAGTTCTTCGGCAATCTTCTCGTCGGAGACGATGATGAAACTCGTGCCAAGCATCTCGGTGTAGTAGATGGGACCATGAATGTCTGCGAACTCCTTGAACTTGATCCACATCTTCTGGATGGGCATGTCGTGGATTCGTCCGATGATTGGGAACAACTTTGGCCCAGGCAATTGGTGCTCTGCCTCTGCCTTCTTGGGACGCCGTACATTGTTGAGGATGGAGATGGCCACGAAGGCCACAAGGGCAATACCGACAGCGGCTAATGTGAGGGGCTGCATTGTGACTTACAGAGAGAAAGGAACGAGAAGGAGTCCAGAGAGCGGGAGGACAGAGATGTTAATCAAGCAGAGCAGACGATCGAGACTCAAACGTGCCGTGAAGCGTGAGCATGACAATGTGCTCGAGTCTAAACTCAAGTGGTAATGATGGGACGATCTGCGATGAGACAGTTCGGAAAGGTTCCAACAAGGGGTTTTGGGTGTGGGCATGCAAGCCCAAGAATCGTCGCTGCACGATGATTCATGAGATCTGCTCGCACGAAAGCGAGCACACGCCCAACACAGAACCGCGAGGCTGGTTCCATGATTCGCAGCAAGTATCGGCCTCGTTGCTGACAGAGACAAGCATGACCGTGTAGGAATCGGAGAAGAACAAAGAGCTTGAGAAAGGACGTCCTCTCTTACCAACATGTTGGTCAGATTCTGGAAGTCTTTCGCAACATGCTGATGAGATCCTCACATGCAGCAACGATAAATACGAAAGGTGATTGGGCGAGAAAGACGGAAAGATCTGCCTTACTGCATGATGCGTTGCAGGGTAGAAGAGCAGTTACGTTGACACATACCAAAGTCGACAGCCAGGCCTTCCTTGGAAATAAATTGCAAGGCTGGCAATAGCCAAGGGAGGCTAATTTCAAGGTGAAGCTTAGCTAGGATACCGACGCTATGGAGGCCACACCCGCAGCGAACAAGTCACTACTGAGGTGCGGCACAACTCAATCTGCTCGGTTATCTGGGGCCAGGCAGGGCCAGTCGTGGGTACACCAAGATCGAAACATCATGTCCCATGGGAAATGTGGGGGCGAGATATGTGGGTAGTACAGCACAGAAACAACAATAGCTGCCTCGCACGGCGTTCTCGTGGGCGATGCAGTGTAACAGCGGTCGAGATAGCGGGTCCGGAAGCAAACACTGTGGTATGATAGTCCCGCTCAAAGCTCGAGTCCGAGACGGAATCTGAGAGCTTGAGCAAGTGTAAATGCAAGAGTTTGGACGATCAGGAACGTGTGACTGGCGGGACGACTTTCGGAGTTGCTAGGATTGCGTGGGATGTGAAGAGGGAGCAGCGATGAGCAGTGCTCCTCACAGGACGTCGTCGTGTCCCTCGGCCCGCGCCGACGCACGGACAAAGCATCAGGGCTTGTCAAGCAAGGGGTTGTTTCCACGCCCAGAAAACTTGTTGGCCGGGGAGATGCTTGGAGCATTGGGAGGCGTCTGGAGTGACAAGGTGGTTGTTTGTGTGGCTTGCTTCCCGGTCGCAATGTCGAATGTCGCCGTCATGGGCAGCAGCAGCACTAGCAAGGCATGTGTGAGCGTTGATCACGTCTATCATGCTCGTCATGAAGCTCGTCCGTCGGACTCTCTTGGAGACCCGAAACCATTGTCACGCTGCTCCGGCATGCCCAAACCACCGACTTGCGACCCTCTCGTACCTGTCCTGGGGCTGTCGGAGATTTCTGAGTGCGAGCAAGAACTACACAAAAACATGGTCATATCCCGTTGAAAAGATGCATCTGCTCTCGTTCCACCAAGATCAATTCTCCGAACTGTCATCAACATGACGACCAAGATGGAAACTAAGCCTCTGGGTTCTTACCCCAAGTCTGGCATCGACGTTCTTGTCGTCGGTACTGGTCTTGCAGGTTTGACTGCTGCCCTCGAATGTATTCGCAAGGGCCACAATGTCAAGGTCCTTGAGCGCAATGCAACAATCAACACCGCTGGAGACATGTACTTCATGGGCCTCAGCGCTACCCGCTTCTTCAACCACTGGCCCGAGATGAAGAAGGAATACGACTCGATTGGTCTCCACGATGCCTGGATTGAAACCTTCCAGCACTCTGGTCAGCAAATGATCAAGCCCCTCAGAGTCGCCGACCGCCTGAAGGCTCAGGGTCTTGACCCTGGCACTCCNCCCGGTACCTTCCAGATGCGTCCTCTTGTCTACAAGATGTTCGTCAACCAAGTCGAGTCTCTGGGCGTCAAGGTCGAATTCAGTCGCCGTGTCGTCGACTACTACGAGGATATCGAGAACGGCAAGGCTGGTGTCGTTTGTGATGACGGCCAGAAGTACGAAGCCGATATTGTCATTGCCGCCGACGGTGTCGGTTCCAAGTCTCAGAAGCTTGTCGGTGGTCAGGTCAGAGCGGTCTCCTCGGGCAGAGCCATGTGGAGAGCCGCTTTCCCCATCGAACACCTCGACAAGGACCCCGAGGTCAAGGAGTTCTTCTCCCTAGTCAACGGCGAGAACCCCATTGTCCGTACTTGGCTCGGTCCCGGCACTTACGCCTTGACTCTCACCCGTCCTGACACCATGATCTGGATCATGAACCACGACGCCACCGGTAGCGAAGCCGAGTCCTGGAGCAACACTATCGATCACGAGGAAGTTTTGGTGGGCATGGACAAGGTCCCCGGACCCAACAAGTGGGCGCCCATCTTCAAGAGACTTGTGAAGTGCACACCAGACAACACCATCATCAACTTCGAGCTTCTTTGGAGAAACCCTCAGCCTACCTGGCTGTCGCCCGGCGCTCGTGTCGTCCAGATCGGTGATGCTGCTCACTCTTTCTTGCCTGCCTCTGGTAACGGTGCTACTCAAGCCATTGAAGATGCTGTCACCATTGCTTCTTGCTTGCAACTCGGCGGCAAGGACCACATTGACGAGGCTGTCCGTGCCCACGTCAGAGTTCGGTAAGTCACACAAGCACTTCATTCACGAGTATCTGTCTAACATAGATCCTAGNNTTTCATCCGCAACTCTTGCGCACAGAAGCTCGGCTTCAGCAACGCAGAGCTCCTTCAGGACACCGACTGGGAGAAAGTAAAGCTCAACCCTCGCATGGCTGCCCCCAAGCTTCCCAAGTGGGTTTGGAGCCACGACCCCGAGCACTACATCCACTCCAACTATGACAACATTGTCGATGGTATGAAGAAGGGTATCAGACACGAGGACGACGAGCGTGTCCCACCCAACTACCCTCCTGGCTACCGCTACGAGCCATGGAACATTGACGAGATCATGGATGCCATGAGAAACGGCAGACCTGTCGAGCTCGGTGCTGGTGACTGGGACTAGACGTTATATCGGCCATGATGTCGACTGACGCCAAAAGGCGTATACGCGTCAATCAAATATGTTAATGAGGGTCTGTTTTTACTAAAGCGAAGCATGGGGACTGAAAGATGGCTATCATCACTGCAACTAGTACCCGGGCGTTATATATCATGAATTCACGTTATAATTTCATTCCGCCTCTCTGCCTCTGAACCATACTCAATCAAGAATCCAGTCCTTTGCCCAAGATCTCCCAAGCAGTTGCGGCCTTCAGTATGTCCATCTCATGCCATCTCTTGCCTACGAGCTGCATACCGACCGGAAGCTTGCCTTCGCCATCGCTGGTTTCTGACCAACCACATGGAATTGACATCGCAGGGTGCCCAGAACAGTTGAATGGTGCAGTATTCAGCGTCACACCCACAGCCTTTTGTGCAATCTCCATGACACTAGTATAGTTACAGTGCTTGTTTGCCACGGTAGGCGTTGTCGGCGTGATCAGAATATCGACATTCTCAAACACCTTGTCATACTCTGCACGCAGTTGATGGACAAGCATGTGAGCCTTGCGTGTAAGCGAAGGTCCGTATTTAGTCTCCATGTGCTCGGCGTTGAGCACAACATTGATGACAGCCGGGTTCCTGTAGACCAACTTGTCGTAAAACATTTGATTAGTGGGGTTCGGTTCCAGCCCTGGCAAGGNGTGAGAAAGCAGGTCAGAAGCCCTGTTCTCGAAGAATCGCGGAATGGCCTCGCGACCTGCAACGGTCCAAATCGACGGACCTAGCAGATGCAGTGGCACCGACACCTCGTGGACCTCCGCCCCGAGCTTACCAAATCTCTCCGCTGCAGCCCTGACGATCGCGGCCACGTCGGTGTTCAGGCCGGCGATCTCCCATGCTTCTTTGAGGATGCCGATCCGGAGCCCTTTTGCTGCAGCTGATGCGGTCCATTCGCCGGCTTCCTTTTTGGCTGCCTGCCACTCGGCAATGAGCCCAGTGTAATCGGGTACGGCCTGACGAAGAGGCGTTTCTGGAGTCTGACGAGGGTCGATGCCATCATAGCCTGCAATGACGCCAAGCAACAGTGCGATATCCTCAATGGATCTTGCCATGGGTCCTGCCGAGTCGATCATTGGCAGAATAGACACTATGCCTGTGTAGGGAACCAGTCCTGTTGTAGGCTTGAGCCCATAAAATCCACCAAACGATGCTGGTGCACGAATAGAACCTCCCTGGTCTCCACCGATCGCCATATCCACACCCTCTTCTACAAGTGCGGTCGTCTTGAAGGTCAATCCGTTCTTTTCCTTCCAGTCTCTGACGTCCTTGGCCGAAACCAATGAGGCACAGCCTGAGCTACTGCCTCCAGTCATATAGCCTTGGGCCCATGCATTGTGGACTGGTCCACTATCTGCTGAAACAGAGGTAGGAAACAGACTGAAGTTTTCGCATACTGCTGTTCCAGTGATTGTGCCAGAGGCTTCGAGGATTCGTTTGACCACTGTGGCGTCAATTTCACTGATAGCATGTTTTCCGCCCTTGAACAACTCTGGAGCAGTGCCCAAGCGTAAGGGTGCTCCAGATACACTGACATTATCCTTCATGGCAAGAGTCTTCCCGGCAAGCGCTCTGCTTGTAGGAGAAGATGCCTTGAGATCCGNTCTGATGATGCCGTCAGAAATTACCCAGATTCAAAACTCGACAGCCCACCTCACCTTATGCGACCAAGCATTAAGAGGATTCTCCTCAGTGGTTGGTTTGTTCCATTTTCGCTCCCCACCTTCTACTGGTGTTGGCTCAAGTCTTGGATCGATATAGTCGGGAAGAGCTGCTACGGTCGAGGCCACAGCGTCGAAGCTGTTTTGCAGTAAGAGAAAGTCCGTCTCATCTTGACTGCCGGTCGGGATGGAGAAGCCTCTTCCTTNTGCAGCAGCATGTAACTCCTCCTTGGTGACCGTGGGCCTGAGAAGTTAGATTCACTACTTCCGCTCGTATCTTAGTGTGTGGAAGTCTTACAAGCTACCCTCTGCAAGCGACACTATGGACATGTTTATGTGAGATGGAAGTCGAGCAAACAATAGAAGGAGCAAACATTGTGAGAGACATTTTGATGAGGATGTTACATCGATAAGCGGCCAAGTGGTGGCCGATGGGGTAGGACCGGCCGCTTTTCGCTGTTGGGGTCACTGCCCTAACCCCGCCCCCACTTTTGATAGCCGACAAATAATCGGCTATCAGTATGGAAGCCCATGTCATAACACCTCGGGAAGAGAGACAATGACTATAATCCATCTTGCTCGTTAAATAAGCACAATCACAACAAAGTCTCGGCAGACTGTCCACGGAACTTGACATGCTGCTCTCGGCGGGCAACTTTCATCCGCATGTTGCTCTGCATGGCGAAGAAGTAAGTCCTCACCGAGAATGGATGTGCCTCATCTACCAGCTCGAAATTAAATCTCTTGACCATCTGGGCAACGAACTTGTACAGCTCAATNNCTGTGAACGTTAGTACAGATGAAGGAGCCCATAACTTTTGTCGCCTTACCATTGCAAGATCTCGACCTGGGCAGGAGCGTGGGCCTGTGCCACCAAAGTTGAAAAGCGCAGCCTCCAGATATCGCGCTTGAGATTCGTCTCCTAGCCATCGGTCCGGATTGAAAGTAGTGGCGTCTTGACCAAATATCGCAGTGTCCCTGTTTTGTGCCAGGCTGCTAATACCGACCACTGTTCCAGAAGGGATTAGATGGTCATCGACTGACAAGCCGCTATCAGGAACAATTCGATACAGCTGGGCTGGTACCGAAGAATACATTCTCAGACTCTCCCTTACAACAGCTTTCAAGTAAGGAAGTTTTTGTGTCTCTTTGTACGAGAGCGGCTCGTCAGAATCGACAGCATCGACCTCTTCCCTCAACTTCTGAATTACTGCTGGGTTGGTGCTCAGATGGTACAAAGCTGAACGCATCGCAATAGCCACAGTGTCGGCTCCAGCTCCNNGCTACAAGCTCCTAGTAAGTAGACGTCGTCAAGAAGAACAAGGCGCATCTCAACAAACTTACGTGACTGCGAAAGCACCCTCTACGACTTCGAGATGTGTTGTCGGCTTTCCTTGAGCGTCCTTGTAGCTGAGAAAGTAGTCAACCATATCAGGTTCGACGCCACTTCGATCAGCCTCCACATGCTGTCGAACCTTCATGGATGACCATTCGAACGACTCCTGAACAGGGTTCTTGACGCCAAGAAGACGTGTTAGGGGATTGTCGAGCCAGAAAAGCTGGCCCCAGACGTGCCCAAAAATCGTGGATGCCGTCAACAGACTGTTCAGAATACCTTGAAGATTCATCCCCTCGGCACCAGCGATTGAGCCAAGGGGCTCTCCATAGCAAAGCTGGCCTATGATGTCCCAAGTTACGGTTTCTGTATAATGGCACATATCGATGACTGTGCCGTCAAGAGCAGGCTTCTCGAGCGATTGCCAGAGTTTGTCCAAGCAATTTTGCATAGCACCTTCCTGTCGCAGCAAAACAGTCATCTTGAAAGCAGGAGCAAATCTGCGGCGGATACCGGCATGAACTTTAGGATCTTGAGTGGCCAGTTGATTCGGTGCTCCTTCCGGACTCTGAAAAGCAGAGTACCATTTGCTCTTGATAGCTGCTGTGTTATGACCATAGAGAGCTTTCATGGCCGACTCGTCCACGACTGATAGTTCATTCGGTGCCAGTCGAACTATCCGGCCATATTTCTGATGCAGGCCGAGAATTATCTCGGACCAGTCTCCAATAGCATAATGCCAGAATCGCCAGAGGCCTGTAATTGAAGCAAGTGGAGGACCTGGGAACCGAGCGAGGGGGTGGAAGAAGGCCCTATAGCACAAGAGCCAGATTCCAGCTCCGAGGATCGAGACCGACACAGCTGACCAGTAACTAACACCTAGCATGAGCATCGTATCAGGGTAGAGTATGGCCAGCACAAAGTGAATTATGAGAACGTCGACTTTTAGGTGCCACGTCTCGATATTTCCGCAGGATGCGTTCCTTTGTGGTTATCTCGCGAATCCTTCAGGTTAATCTATATTATGCAGTCAGCATCTGACCCCGCTATATATGAGCGGCTAAAGTCTTGGACACAAATACCACAACGCAACAATTCAATACCAACCTCTAGTCTTTTGCACGTATAAATATTTGAGACCACAGCAACATTAACGTATTCGCAACTCTGTCAAATTCAGAAGACTGACTAATTTTGTAATGCCCTACGACAGGGGGCTACTTTTCTTTGTACAAGCCAGTGTGAGTGGTCATCCTTCATTATCGTTCCAAACATATCATACAGATTCGACCGTAGTTTCTGATCCAATATCTCTTCTTACTGCGGTCGCCTAGAAACTGTTCACCAGTGTGACACCCGTTGTGTAGATCATCATGGCGACACCAAGCACCATGAAGATGATGTCGCCAGCCTTTGCGAGGCGTGACTCAGCACAACCCTTGTAATGCAGCAGAGGAGGGTAAATGTATACCAACGGTACACATGCAAAGGATCCAATCAGAGCAACAAATCTGTCCAGGTTGCCAGCACCTGCGATGGCAATAACGATGCAGACACCCGTCAAGAAGGTTCGGAAAGCATTCTTCTTCCACTTGGTAAGCATATCCTTCTTGCCAGACAGGTGACCGAACAGCTTTCCTTCCATGATACGCATGGCGGGGAACAGCTGAACTGGATTACCAAAGAGGACAGCCATAGAGTACAAGAACTGAACGGCATTGACAAACTTGCTGTCTTGAGGGAAGTTTGTGATAATCTCAATCTGCGTGTCGTCTCCGAAGGTGGCGTAACACAGGGCGCCAACCGAGGTGAAGATGACGGTAATGATGAGCATAATCACAGCCAATAGCCACTCAAAGTTCTGGGGCTTCTTCATGGAAGACTGAATAGGAAGGATAAGTCCAATGCCTTCGAAGGTGAAGATGGCTGATCCAATGGTCAAGGTAAACGAATTGGGGTTGAAAAGTCTAACCGTTGGGGCGATGCCATCTGTAGCGAGGGTAGCGATATCGAAGTAGTAGATGTAGCCGAGACCGATAAGGATAAAGACATCAGCCAGCAAAGCGACCGGGCCGAGCTTGGAGATGTTACGAATGAAAGAGAGGGGGACCAGGACGACTAGCTGTATCGCGATCAAGGCGCGAACTGACACAGGCATGCTACCTTTGACAACAGCCTCAAGGAACGAATGAAGATTCTCAGCCACGAAGACGACACCAGCACAGACGAAACCAATTTGCGAGATGGTGACCGAAGCAAGAATGAGGGATCTCATCTTGTCTCCAGCAATGGCTTTTCCAAGATCACCGTAACCACCGCCGTACTGGTTGCGACACTTGAGCAAGAGGTGGAAAGCAAGCATCGAGACGACCGAGATAGAGACCATGGTCAAGGAAGAGAACAGAATGCCGCCGTTGCTGAAAGCTTTGGGGAGGAACATGATGCCGGTACCGATAAAGGCCTTGAGGAGTGTGAAGAAGGATTTGACCATACCAGCATCACCCTTGGGAGCTGCTCGCGATGACTTGCGACGGCCGAGAAGTGGTCTGCTCTCGGTCGCAGGTGCTTGGTCCTCTTCGTCTTCATCATCGATGGCTTCGTCATCAGACTCGTTAAGATCTTCACCAGCAAAGCTTCCGTAGAGGTTCAAGAATTCGACGAAATTCCGGGTAACAGGCATTGTGGCAGTGTTAAAGGTGTTGTTTCTCTGCATGTACTGTCGGCGGAAGGCTCCAGGAGCTCGCGCTTGAGATGCTGTCAATTCATCATCCCAGCTTTCTCTGCGAGCCCGAGGAGCAGAGAATGTCGCTGCTCTTTGGTGCAAGGTCTGGCGAGGTTGGGCGTTGAGCTTGAAAATATCTCTGTGTATATCTCCTCCCTGCAGATTGAGAGAGTCTTCAACCCCAGAGCCATTGTTGCCAGTGAATTCGGCAGTGTAGCCCGAAGGGAGGTGCTCAGAGACCACCTGAGCCTGCTGCTCCTCTTGAATCTCCTGTTCGTCTGACATGTCGACAAGTTCCTGATGAAAGAATCCTTGGAAAGAAAATGTTCACGACATTCGCATATTTCAAAGCGGTGAGTTTGAAGACTGTCTCGAAAACGAAATTGCCCCTAAATGACGTCGCATTGGACAAGCCACCCGATATCACGTGCCGGCGCACAAACCAAAACCGGGAAAGTTGGAGCTCGTACCAAGAAAGGGCCCGACCATCCCCAGAATTGGGGGACTTCACGCCTTTTCGCGGCTCACGGTGACATCTCATCCACAATGACATCTGGTGGTTGAAATCACTACCACTGTACCACAATCCAACTCACACGCAAACGGGCCTCGCTTCCGGTTGGTATATGTCGCTTGATCTGATCATAAAAGAAATCGTCGCTGAAGTGGGCTCTACTTGTACTTAACTGGTTTTAGAACAGTACTCAGTACAAGTCCCACCTGATCTATACACTATAGAGGGCTCAAGTCATTGTGTCTCTGTGACACCAGCTTCTAGCTCCTGCCGTTCTCAACTATGCTTCGAACCCCATAACCGACGTTCATTGTCTCTACAACCAAAGACTAACCATGACCAATATGAAGCATCTAAGACCACCACCGCAGGTACAAGGTGAGTAGCAAGAGTCACTTTGTCAACGAGCTGGCTCTGCGACACCAAAGCCGGGCTGCTTTGGTCAGTCTGCTTGCGGTCTCCATTGCAGTAGTGCTCTGCACTTCGACACCTTCAAGACCTTGCCAAAATCGTTTCGAAGTCATGTAGGGGACACTGGCTTGAACAGCGACCTTTCATATGTGTCAGACACGACGTAACTCTATGTGAAGGTCTCACTGGTGTTGGCCCCCTGGCTGGTATCTTATTCCATTAGTGAACGAAGACGTGGAGCCCAGCCAAATAGAATGTTCCGGACTCGGGCTAGATTCGCATTCACATCGCGAACAGCCCAACCCTTGATTTTCAATCATTGACCATCCATCTCTTCTTCTTGACACGCAACCAAATTTCGTCAAGCAAACTACTCCACTCTTTGACCATGTCTTCCAGTGGTTTCGCCATGCAGAACATCAAGCCTTACGATGTCACGGCTTGGACTCATGACATTGAAGTAAGTAAGATTATCAATCCCATCCACCGGCTCTGCGTCGCGCGCGCGCTCCCAATTCTCGACTCCCGTATACTACTTGAGTCTCCCCGGCCGTCACCAGCATGCTGAGGGGTCGTGCGTCGACGCAACCTTCATCGAATGAGATGGTTCTCTACGAAGACACTTGCTAACCATCTTGGCAACAGATGCAGATGCTCCAGGGAGAGATTCTCATGCTCAAGAAGAATCTCACCGAGGCTAACATCAAGCAAATCGAGGAGAAGGAGGAGAGTATCGCGGAGAAGAAGACTGCCTTGGAGAAGCATTGCCGTCAGTTCAGCATGACACATGGCAACTACGGCACTGAGAAAAGTGAGGTCAAGCTTGAGGCTACCAACGGCGAGGTAAGTGCAATGCTGAGATGCCTTCCTGTTCCATACTAATACACTATCTTAGCATTCTGGTGCNNAATGACCAACAGTGGTGTCAAGAACGATCCTGCTTCGGCTGATGTCAAGATGGATGAGAACACCATGCCCATCGATGCCGCCGCCGACGCTGCTGCCAGCGCCGCCCTCGACGAGATCAAGTTCCCTGAGTCGACCGAGTCGACCGCTATTGACATGCCTAACAACATCAATGTTCATCAGGAGACCAGCATGGCTTTCTCTCACGAAGCACCTGCCGGAGTCGACATGAATGACCCCTTCATCACTCCTGCTGGACACGGCGCATCCACCAATCTGTTCCATCCTTCTACCGGAACCTACAACAACGATCCCTTCGCTGCCTACAATGGTGGCTACGCGCCAGCCTACACCGACAACGATCCCTTCATCAACCAGAACTTTGGTCACACTGGCTCCACTGCTCAGTCTGCCACTGGTATTGACGACTTCCTGAACGAAAAGGGTGATGAACCCAACTACACTACTTCGGCCGGTCTTGGTGATGCTGGTATGGGCTTCGGTGAAGATGAGATGGACATGGACACTATGGCTACTCATGCTCCCATGCCTGACTTCGAGGAGCCTGTCATTCCTGGCATGGAGAAGTACGATAACGTCTAAGGAGAGGCTTGCAGATCTGAGATCATGCATCCTTGTAACATAGCGCGCGCAGCTTTTCAGGTAGACACTTTCGCGCATACAGTATGAAATGAAGAACGCTGGTCATGCTACTACACATCTCCTTACCTTTTTCCAATGTGAATGATCCATCTATGTGAGAACGATACTTGCACATTTGGGGTTCTGAGATGGCATAATACCAACTTTCCAGCAAACGTTCCTATGTAGATGTGTGCGAGTTCAGCCCATTTTCCGAAGAGCGAGATGTGAAAGCAGAATTTATCATCTCCTGAGAACACCTGATCATGCAGCAGTCTCATGTATCCATAATACACTTCAAATGACCTAGAAGCCATACCAAAGATGTTGGATAGTCAAAATAAAGGGAGGCGGACCCGATAACGTCGTTGACCCCTCAAAAGTCGATGCTGGAGGAGCAACCCTGGCTAAAAACATCCTCGATTTTGCCTTCCTCCAGAACCATGGTAGTCTTCCAAACCCCACAGCAAGTACAAGAGTTTACAAGACCAACCTAGTGCGAAACAAAAGTCTTCATGTAGGTTCCATTTCGTATCATGTCATCGTAATGCCTATACACAAACCCAACAATCTCACATCTCGCCAACAAAGCCAACCTCCACCAGCTTCTCCACAGGCACATCAAGCTGTGCAACCTTGGCTCTGGTATTCTCCCTGACAAAAAGGAAAGCCGCGAGCAATGTTTTCTTCAACATGGCCGTATCCTCATAGACCCTCAGTTGCTGCTTGCCAACCAGATACAGTGTTTGCGTCTTGAACGCATCATCCAAAGCGCGCAAACGACGAGAAGTAATCAATGCCGTGGCCCCCGAAGTATGATTCTCATCGCCAATCTCAACTTCTGGGGCAAAAGTGGTGATGGTGGAAGTGGCGTGCGGATCACCGTTTTCGTGGATAGTGTTGTGTACACTTTGAACCACGGTTTCTGGTACCGTGGGCTTGGGTCTGTTGATCACTGTACCACGCACAATGGCCATGCGCACTTGCTCGTAGACGAGTCTGCCGAGATCGGGGGTAACCACTCTGTCGACATAGCCATAGCGGATGGTCATGCGGTAGACGTTTGGTAAAGGTGTGCGTGCAATGGTATAGCGATCTTCTTCATGCACATGAGGTTCTGACAACGCGCGCAGGTGCAAAAACACTACGACCTGCATCTGGGCTTCAAATTTTGTGATAAAATGCTCGTAGACCTGGGGGACGTGAATGTCGGTGCCGGATTTGTCGAAGAAGATGCCCATGCCTTTTGTTTCTGTCAAGTCGCCGCCTCCGTGTCGCCAGGAGAGATGGAATGTCTTTTTGGCTGATGGATCAGGGGTGGCAGTGGAGGAGGAAAGGTTGTTTGCAGAGTAGGCTACCAATTCGGAGAGCTGGGCTTGGTTCTTGGCTTCGGTGGTCCATTGCTTTTCTTTGCCGTAGCGCCAGAGGCTGAAGAAGGAGGCGAGAAGGATGGCGAGGAGAAGTGTAAACCAAGCACCATCAGGGACCTTTGTGAGAGCCGAGGAGAGGTAGAGACCATCTAAAGTGACCAAAGGCAACCACACAGCAAAGACGAGGAAGGGGTTCTTCTTCCAGACGATCAAGGCTACGAGCGTTACCAGATTTGTGGTGATGAAAGTGACGAGGATGACGCAGACACCATATGCGTGGCCAAGCTTGGTAGTNNCTAGAAGCATGTTAGCTGTTATGTACTTTCTGTCGATAAAGGTTATGCTTACGTTGCTGTAGACAGCAGTGACTATGACAGTACCAATCATCATGAGCCAGTTCGCAAGGGGAATGTAAACCTGTCCATGAAAGGCGGTACTGGTGTATACGGCCTTGATCTGAGGGAAGTAGGAAGAGTGCATAAGTTGTATGAGTAATTGAAAAGTGCTGGTGATGAGCGCTTGAGAAGCAACGATAGCGGCGAGAATCGAGAGGACGAGGGAGGGGTAGAACATGCCTGGGGGAACCGTCTCAAAGAAGGGGTTTGAGTAAGCCGATGGGATGCGCGAGATGTATGCCGCTTGTCCAATGTATGCTAAGAGCAGACAAGGGAACGTGAGACAGAGCCACGAGATCTGTATGGCTCNTGTTGACTGTCAGATACACATCTCATGGTCAGGGATACATAGAGCTTACCGCTTGCTGAAAGCACCAAGATCAGCGAATAGAGCCTCGACACCGGTAAAGCATAGCAAAATGCCACCAAGCGACAGCCACCCTTCCTTTCTGAGACGCATAAAGTANNAAAGTCCAGCAAAGTATGGAGAAAAGGCTTTCAAGACTGTCCAATCGTGCATGACAAGATTCTACCGCGCTTGTCAGAAGGATTGCCTTGAGTACACAAGACGAGCAAGACTTACATAGATACCGAACGATGCGTTGAACAGAAGCCATAGTATGACGATAGGAGCAAAGCAACTAGCCAGCTTCTGGATACCGAGAGGCTGTAAGAGAAACAGCAAAACGAGAATAGCGCAACTGACACCGATGACGGTTGAGCTACCAATGTCAGGGTCGACCACTGTCAATCCCTGGATGGCTCCGAGCACGGATTGCGCTGGTGTAAGGATACCGTCTGCGATGATCAGACTCACGCCAAAGACAGCCAATATCTTCAGGATTGCATGTGCAACTTTTGACTTCTCAAGCCAGTTTCTGATACTGCGACTCTGTCTGGGAAGCTCGGCATTAGGGTATCGTTCCATCTTGATCGCATGGTATGTTCGAGGATCTCTCTTCATAATCTCGCTCTGAGTATATGGTTAGGCTGAGACGAATTCTCTTTCTCGGTCGCGGGACTTACAAAGCGGGACAAGAGGGTGTCTAGCATCAATGTTAGAAGATGTGTTTATGTGAGGAGGGATACATTGAGGCTTACATATAGCAAAGGTGCCTCCCTCTCCTTCATCATCGGCGGCTAGGACAATCAACACATATTTGACTGTGACGATCAAAGTCAACGACCAGATGATCAACGATAGTGCACCAAGAAGGTCATCTCTCGAGGGTTCAGAGCTGAATGTCGACGAGTAGACATAAAGAGGACTGGTGCCGATATCTCCATAGATCACACCCGTTGACTGATACGCAAGGTATAATAGAGTCCATCCTTTGAAGGTNNCTACGCTGGTCAGTAACGCTTGCTACGACTTACGCATGCGATAATCACAAACCTGCTTCTTCTTAAAGTCGCGCTCTTCCAAGCCATACGGTTCGTCAGACCAGACAGACTCAATATCGGCTTCCTTTTCAGCGACAGACTTCTTACGCGAACCCATGGACTCTTTCGTCCTTTCTCTCTGCAGAGTCTTGTCGTCGAAATGTGCGTGACAGTTCTCGCTCATTAGGTGGGGTTGGTAAGAAAGGATATGGGTGTCACAAAGCAAAGAAGAGGGGCAGAGACAACAAGGAAATCCAGGAATGCAGCTCAATCACCTACTTAAGAGCAAGGCTTCAACTGGGTGACGATAAAACAGCAAGTCGGGTCATAGCAGCGGCACGTGGGATGCACAGCAAGATTACCGGATAGGCAGGCGGATGCAGGACCGTGATAGTGGTAGCAGGAAAATACCGCAGTGATGGTGGTGGTGGTGGTGGTGGCAGTGCGATGGGTGATAAATCGCGCACGATACAATAGAGAAGACGTTGGAGGGATGGGAACTGTCATAAGTAAAGGGCTTTACAAAGAATTGACATACGGATAGCTATCGGCGGGGTGCCATACAAGCACATGTCAGCCACGGCCGGTGTCAGATGCATTTTGTGTCGAATCGAGCGGTGTACATGAAGCAGGTCAGCGTTGCAGCGCGTGCAGTGGGTGAAGGTCGATCAAAGGGTCCCGACGATGGTGGAGCCGCGCAATGGGGAGGCTCACACATTCTCGTCGAATGCGTTTCAACACAAAGGCTTCTCCCTGGAGACAGAGCTCTTGGGCATGGTATGAGATTGCATGTAGGTTCAGGGAGAAGAGTTGATTCCAGCTCGTACGAAAGCAACAAGAGTGTGGAGAAGGGGTTCAACCCAATCAGGGGGTCGCCTCGGTGAAGCTGCCCGCCGTTGCACGACATTGGCGCAGACAGCAGCCAACATTCGACTGCTCCTCTTCCTTCTCTACTCGAGGAGCTTCAAGTTGTCGCCAACCATCATCACTACTCGAGTCGACGAGTGCTTTCCTTTGTCATATTTCCAGCGCACTCTCTAAGCTATACCGACCTAAGCACCTGATCATGCCTTCGCAACGCCGGGTCAAGGTCTTTGCCCTGTTGGCAGCCCTGGCCGTCCTCAGTTTCATCTATCTCTCTTCAGCTGCCTCGTCTACGCGATCGAGCCCCTTCTATACCAACACGGCAACTGCCCTCAACACAAAGCACCAGGAAGCCTTGGACCTGCAAAACCACCTCAAAATCCAAGAGGCCCATGAGGCCGCCGAGAAAGAAAAAGAAGCCGCCAACATCCGTGACCCCGATCTTGCTGCCGTACCAGGCCAGAAGGTCGGAAAGGACCAAAAGCCGTTCGCCGTCGACGTCGAGGAGGCCGCCGAGAAAGCCCAAAAGGTCGCAGATACCGTCAAGGAGGGCGTCAAGGATGCTGTCCACGGAGTTGTCGATGCCGGCGAGAAGAGCGTTGCCGGCAGGAAGATGATCAAGGGAGAGAAGGGCTTGAAGGACGACGGCGTGGCAAAGGTTGGAAACACAGGAGCACAACCCGCGCAAGCCGAACATCCCGACGAGTCCGAGGAAGAGCACAAGGTCGAGATTGAATTGAACTCCATCTTGAAGAAGAGCCCGAGTACGTATATAAAACTTGACCAATCTGGACGTCCACTGACATGTGCATATNNAGTCGTCATCTTCTCCAAAAGCTACTGCCCCTACTCGAAGAAGGCAAAGGCTATCCTGCTTGAGCAGTACAACATCGTGCCCGCACCTTATGTCGAGGAGCTCGACCTTCACCCCCTGGGTCCTCAACTGCAAGCGGCGCTTCTCAAGACAACAGGCAGACGTACAGTTCCCAACGTTCTGATCAATGGCAAGAGCATTGGTGGAGGCGACGATATCGCAAGTCTACACGAGGATGATAAGCTGATCCAGCAGATCAAGGANCTTGGGGGCAAGCGCATCATGGAGGTGTCAAAGGCCGAAGCCAAGGCAGCCGTCAAGTTCAGAAGCTGAGTCTTGTGACAGACATCCTAAAATCAAGGTAGAGTATAATACCTTCTTTTGTTTATTTAATGTTACTCGACCACCTTTCTTATTTCGACATGGGAGGCACAAAGATTCAACAGACATCACCGGGACAAGGGATTTGGAAGCAAGAAAATGAAAAGGGTATCAGTTCGCTTTTTGAAAGACCATGTACAGGAGGATACATCAGGCGCAAAGCGGGCATCTGCTGCTGTGCATCGAACGGGTANTGNGTGTTTATGAGGCGTAGTTTCGGTATCGAACANAATACGAAATGATTCAAGACACTGCTGGGCGCTCGAGTCGGCGGATGGTGTGGACGAGACGTTCAGTGAACAGAACAAGGAGTCTTTCTNTTTGAAGTCGTTAATGAAATTTTGGTCCGCGAAAAATCTGCCCGTTTTCATTGAAGCGCTACGCAGCCCATAGTGCAGCAAAGTCCCCTGATCCGTCTTTCGCCAAAGTTGATGAAACAAGTTTTCGCTTAAAGGTCCTCGACAATGTTGCCACGCTCCGAGACGTAGAGACCGTCCAAGAANNCTGTAGGATATGTTAGCCAGGCGTGTTCCAGATTGTGTTGATGTGCAGCAGCCGTCGAGGGTGCGCAGGCGGGAGGTAGAGGTAGGCGCACCTTTCTGATATCCTTGTTGCGGACTCTGCAGATCTGCTGGATGTCGGCAGCGGATTGCGAGACCTTCTCGAGGTCGTTGCCGGTGAGCTGCAGCTCGTCCTTGACGTTCTTGGAAGCCTCAACCTCGACACCGTCGGCCATGACGACGCGGCGGACGAGCTTCTCGCCCAAGAAGTTTCTGATCTCAACCTCCATGCGGCCAGTCTCGTTGTTCTTCTCGAGGTTGACGTTGATGGGGAAATGGGCGTAGACGTAGCGCATCTTGTACTTGTAGCCCTTGGTGACACCAACGATCATGTTGTAGATGATGGTGCGGACGGTGCGGAGAGCGGCGACGTTCTTGCGGGCACCGTGGTGCATCTCAATGTCGATGATGTTCTTCTCGGGGTGCGAGAAGGAGACAGCCAAGTGCTGGAGCGACTTCTCGAGGACACCACGGGGGCCAGTGACGGTGACATGTCTGGTCTTGATGTCGACCTTGANCTGCGCTGCGTGTCAGTCCAAAGCGCTCATTTCTGTGTGCCTCCCTGCCTCTCTCTCTCAAAAGATGCAGAGGGTCTCCTTCGCAAGCGCAAACGTACCACCGTCGGGGATGGTGAGGGTCTCCTTCGAGTGGATGTACTTCATTTTGGCGAAATAACTGGATTGACGGGTGTCGAAGGGAAAGTTGTCGTCGTCGCTGGTCGTCGCTTCCGGATTGGAGATTCGTTTGCCAGAAAGCTCAAAATTCGGATTTGCAAGCGAATGTGGCCTTGGCGAGCTCGGACCACGCCCTCACTTTGGGCTGTCGCGACCATCTTCTTGTCACAGCGGCACAACAAAAACATCAAGAGACGGTAAGAAATACTTGAGAGTTGGACACTACGAATGTTCTTGTCTTGAGAGCTGGAGATGTCCTCCCATGCTATTGTCGTTGGAGAAAGTAGGAGCGGTTGACCCTTCCGTTCTTTCCCATGCTGTTCATCATCTACGACGACTCTTTGAGACTCTGATCATGCTATCCGTCCCGATAACTCAGAGCTAAAAATGTTTGCTATAGTCCTTGGAAGGGGAATCGTGTTTCCTCTAACATGGTGTTGAGCGACGATAGTTGTCCGTTGCCTTTTCATGGTCTCACGTGCCTAGCTGTGTTGCGTCGTCGTTCATAAGATAGGTATCGTCAAACACCCAATGAACAAAGCTTTGATTCCCTGTCTCAAGACCATATGACTTTGACTTTTGCTATACAAGAGTCTACTTGTCGCATCCATCCTCGCTGTGTGCTAAAGTCTGTAACTCCACACCTCTCCGACAGAGCACAGAGCGAAGTGCACACAATAGAAATGCACTTATCTTTCGCAAAGCAGGGGAGTCGCCCGCAAGAGAGGCCAATATGTCGGCTCTCAGTGGATAGTGCCCTGTTTCTTGATGGCACTGTGTATTTTCACAACACGCATTACATACTTTTGCCCATGGGAAGGATATGGGAGTGGATGGCTGGAAGTTCGTGAAGTGAGTCCGGTGGCTGGGAAGGTCTGTGCTGGCTCGAGAAGCGGAGTATATAACCCGCTGCGTTTCCACATCGCGACCTTGTTCTTTCTCCTTCGCGCGTGCGAACTCGTCTTTGGCAGAGTGTTGAGTCTCGGCTCCCACTTGAACGCCTTGAGAGATGGAGAACGCATGCGTCAGTTTCAGAATGCCCAAGATGACGCCGAGGGACGAGTATTCGTGCTCTACTCAATCCCGGCGTATGAAGGTCACCGTCGGTGGAGGAGTATCGGCAGACAGCGCTCTGCACGAGAAGATCCCGACGAGAACGTCAGCAACCAGTGTTGCGAAGCGATTCGTTGTCATGGTCCTTGCGCGACACGACTCGAGAAAATCGATGACTCTTGGTGTTCGACACCTTCTTGGAGGACCCTCTTGCGGACCACTCGAAAGTGTTGAGCGGCCTTGACGTCCCTCTTTCTTCTGCCTGAAGACGTTCAGCCAGTTTACGAGTCGCTGTACCAGGCATGCAACACAAAGGATGGGCTGTCATGCCCAATACGGCTTCGTGCCAGGATGGCTGTCATGCCTAAATTGGTCTCGGGTAGCAGAACACAAGGCTGCCCCTTGTTCGTTCGCTTCCGACAAAGAATTCAGAGGACAGGAGCGACTTGTCCGGTGTCCATTTGATCGCAGATCACTTGGAACCGACGGACACACTGGTCTGTCCTCGCCAAATGTCAAACGGTCGAGGTTGCGAGCTAGGCTTGCCCTCTTCGAATCAAGAATTGAGTGGTCATGCTGGATCGCCTCTCGCGAAGACGTTCATCCTTCGACACGACGAGAGAGCTGAGCCATGTCACTCCGAATACGTCAATGCAAGAAATGCAAGACAGAGCCGTTCCTACCTGCGGAGAGAAAGAGAAAGTCGTGTTCCAAGGTCTCACCCGCCATGCGCTTCTTTCGGGATCTCGGTCGAGGTATACGCTCGTACAGGTCCAACCTCGTTATAGCCAGCGTTGACTCTTTTGAGAGTCCGCGGCGGAGTGTTGATGAGACTCGCTAGCCGACTAACAGGAGTTGGACTCCGATCAGTCGGGCACATGCAGTCGAGCAGGAGTCAACCTGTCTAAAAAATCACTTCAGCGAATGCTCTCACACCTTTACGCGGTGCTGAAGATGAGTACGCCAGTCGAGCGGAAACAAAGATGAGCAGCATCCCAATACATCAGTATCGCTTGCCAGTGTGTTGTGCTACCAGTATTCATAGCCATTAATACAAAGTTCTTCTGCATGAGGTGATTTTCTTTTTCTTGTCCCTGTGACGTGTGTTGTTGACCCTCTGTATTCCATTCATACGCGACTCAAACATGCCCCTTTCATCTTGGAGTTGACATGACAAGAAACCAATCGTGATCTTCAATCCCTGACGGATTCTCACATGCAAGGGAGCTCTTTCCCATGTCGAGTTCGTGTCAACCTCGGCGGCCGAAGCCGCATGTTTTCAAGCAGCTACTTCCGCATAACATTTTGTTACTCGAAGCATTTTGTAAAACAACCATGACCTAACGCGTACTATTTAGCAGTATTAATATGGCGAACAAGAAGGGCACAAATGCGCAGAACGCACAGCGCAATTCTGCGTCGGGCGCATCCTCAGCATCTTCTTTGATCATCTGCCGCAACAAGTGAGTAGGTGCTGTCTTGTTTGCTATCTCGAATCTTACGCGCTATCCTACTCTCTGAAGCTGTGGCTAACACTATGTACAGNNACACTGGCGATACATATCATCTTTCCATGGCCCGTGGCTACAACTACCACCCGAGATCCTGGATTCGCTCGCTCACCAGAACTATACCCAGCCACTACCGAGGCTGATCGACCCAGCTGTCTTCTACGATGTGGTCAAGATCCGACGCGCGGTCGATGAAGCAACAGAGGATGCCGTGCGCGCTTCTAACGGAATGTCAACCACTGCCATGAACGCCTCGCCGAACTATCTGGATCCATTTGGACAAGGCGGACCACAAGCCCCCAAGATGAGCAAGGAACGAATATACAAGATCCGCCAGAAAGCCGCACGGTTGTTGTCTAAGGCTTATGCATTGGACGAGGTTGCCGCTAGTGTTGCGACCATGCAATCTACAACATCTCTCGAGGAAGTTGCTCTACACGTCCTCAGGCGCGATCAGACTGACACTGAAGCCAAATACGTTCANTTTTTTCACGAAAAGATTCCTTCTAGATTGATGGAGCAATACACACCTCTGGAACCATTGGACGACGTCATCCTGAATCTGCCCTGGGAGAAACAAGCTGCCCCTTTGCGCACTCGAGCCCTTGTCCAGATATTCAAAAAACAGTTCGAAGGGGCTGCGAGCGATTTGACGCTCGGACTCAGAATAGCGCAAGAGCTCAAGAGATTGCACAAGCCTGGTACTGATCAACTGGTATTGGCCAAACACTACAAGGAGGAGCAAGAGCGTTGGAAGAAAAATGACAGAGATTGGAGGCAAGTGCCGCAGTTGAAAGAGGAAGACCAACCGAGCAGTTTAGAGCAGCAAATGTTGTTCAATCGAGCTTGTGTCTATCTCAGCATCGCATGTCAAAACGTTCACGCTGCTTTGGACGGCCTGAAAGATGCGCCATCCAAGGACGAGTACGGGGCTAAAATTTCCATGTCACCAAAAGAGAAAGAAGCTCACCAGGCTAGACTGGACGCGCGCAAGATTGTCAAGACCAACGCGAAGAAGGCTCTCAAAGACTATCTTGCGTTCCTTGGCTACTTCGACTATACGCCTGGCCTGCCTGTGGAGATTATTGATGAGATTACTCGCAGAATTAATGATCTGGCGAACGATAACAAACAGACAACTATTCATCGTAATCGCTTGCTAGAATGGAACAGCCACTCATCTTCAGGACGTAGTAGCCCCACGGTAAGCTCTCTCTCTTCGCACCAATCAACACAAACCTCGGATTCTGGCTTGGAGTGGGATGCAAATGGGTGGCCTCGGATCCCTCATAGAAAGACTTATCCTTCTTCAGCTCTGTTTGCTGAAAAGCCATTACCTGATCTTCCAGCATTTCCTCTGGAGCACACTAGATCGGACGACAGCCCATTATCAGTAAGCAATCGCGAAGCCGTCACATATCATCCGCTTCTTACCGATGCTTTGCATTCCCTGTTGCTTGCTCACGCTCTGATTCAAACTTCTCCAACCGAGCTCCTAAGACATGCCCACAATGCAGCTCGTCTCGCAAGTCTTGCAGATGGCTACCCTATTTTCCAAGCCGCTCGCTCTCCAGCACGGGCCGACTGGATCGAGATTTTGCGACGTGCCAACAATTGGATTGGACTGTCGCAACCCTGGCAAACTCTGTGCCAGTCAGCTCCTCTCACTTCTCAGGCAGAGCCAGATGTTTCAGCAGGTGCACAGAACGGTACAGTGACCGTGAAACACAGCATCACGGAGACAGAAGAACAAAAGCACGAGCGTAGAAAACGAGACGCCATCTTTGAAGCAATGGGTGATGAACGTGTAGTCGACGAAGAAACCTTCCAGAAAGCCGTCCGCGCTCGCGAACGCAGGGCGACGGAGGATGAAGAAGGTTTGAGCGGGCCTTTGCACGACATTAATGGCAATCGCGCTCCGGCTCACAAGCGTTGGGCGCAGGACGATGATAAGGAGTATCCTATCTCAACCGAGAGAGCCGAAGCAATTTGCCGTTGGATCAAGGAGGCACCACTCAGCATGGGTGTCAGAAAGAAGCGACCTATGAAGAAGAAGAAAACAGCTGTCGCGAATGAATTGAGTACAGTGACAGAGGGAATCAAAAGTATGGATGTGCAGGAGTCCTCTGAACAAGTCGACTGATTGAGTGTCGGTTAACGCTACAATTCGTTTCTGGATCATTGGAGTAGATACTCTCTTTGCGCTAACCAACTGTTGTAAGACTAGAAAAGTAGACTCGGGGTGCCTGGATCAACCCATTTCTCGATGTGCATAACCTATCGAGGTAGTGTACATAACTACTTAACCACCGACTAAAGGAACACCGTGACGACTCATGGCAGCACAAAAATCGTCTGATCTCCTAATGTGCCAAAGCTTGTACCATTATCTCGTCCCACAACACGGTACTTTCTAGAAGGCAGGGTTGTCCACAAAGAGAATAACATTCTGGAAGGTTTCCATGGCCACGCTCTAAGCATGGATGCTATTCTGTATTCCCATACCTAACTGTGTTACATACACTAGCACGTGGGAGAGGGGGTGTATTGACATTGCTGGTTATGATTATGGTCAACAAACTTGAGTTGACTACATGATTATCCAAAAAAGGAAAGAGAGAGAGAGAAGAAAAGGTACGTCTCACCGGAAAGCTCCAGGCAAGGCAAGTGCGATGGTGGCTCTTTCTCAACCAACTACGATGACGGCACTTCGAGGAAGAGGAATCCCAGCTCGCCTGACATGTCAATCATCTTCGTCAACGGACGGAAAGTTCACCTCAGGTTATTGCTGTCTACCACGCATCATCATGTTGCATCTTATACTCTTGTTTGGCTTCTTCTACCAAACTGTTTACTCGCAGTCAGCTTGCCAATTCTTCAGCTCTGCAGGCCACAACTATACTGCCTGGTCAGAGAGCCACATAGCCACTTGGTGTAAGGACCACGATCCATCATCAACGTCTCAATGTGCCAGTCAGTTTGATGTACCCGGTGTTCAGTCTGATAGCTGACACAAGAAAGCCATTGTATGGCCACCATACATCCAGTACCCCGGCNCGTGTCGACTTCCGCCGCAACTTCAAGGAGTGGGTCTTGCAACTCGAACCTAGGATTGGTACACGGAAAGACTGCATCGCCCGCTCGTCCGCTCTCCATCTCAACTCCACCAGACACGCAAACGGCTTGAGCGAAGCTGTCACCTGCGACCTCTATTACTTCCACCCCAAACGACCAGACGAGTGCGTGTGCTTTCCCATCTACAACGACTATGTCACCGAAAGCTCTACTACTGTCAACGGAGCCTACAGATTTCTCGAGACGACATCCGTCTTCTACCCTCCAGCTCAGGTCGTAGAGAGCTGCCTGCTTGCAGCTGCCACCCAAGGTCCACCTACTGCCTGCAGTTCACGCAGCTCGAACTGTCCTCAGTCTGTTGAGGTTGTCCGTCGAGAGCCGAGAATTCTGGGAGGCTTTCCATATTGTCCCACACCTGGCCTGGAAGCACGGCAGCACCTACCAGTTCGAACCGCAAGACCAGGGGATTATTACAACACCAGAACGACGGCTGATACATCATCGACAAACACTTGGGGACCGTTGCCAACCGATTCACACTGTGAGAGGGAGAAGAACAAGGAGAAGTCACTGTGCCAGAACGACATGTGTATGTGGGGCTTTCTCAAGCCCTGGGAGTCTCCGACTGTCAGAGTGGTCACTGTCACGTCTGCTGGCGTCAAACTCTTCGCCTCCGTGACAGAAAGCATCAATATTACCACACCGCACTGGGGGTTTCTCGCCCCGACGGGAAAGGAGGCGGAGAAAAAGCAGAGCAAGAAGAGCAAGATCAGCAAGACGGGCAAGACGACCACGACTTCGACTAAATTCCAGAGCAAAAAGCCCAAGTCATCGCCCTCTCTTAGCTCTGCGCCATTCCAAGTATGCAAGGACGAGCTCGACTGCCGAAAATACTGCGACAAGAGAATCAAGGCACCGATGAAGCACATGATGACACTCTTGGTTGGTGGTGGTGGCTTCACTGCTTTTGCAGTATTGGCGATGCTGCTGAAGATATATGGCCGACATCTCCGTCGTTGGCGCAGAGCTCGTAATGAAGGTCATACAAGCGCAGAAACAGATGCTCAGTATCTGATCGACAGTCAAAGTATGCATGGCACAGAGCTTATGCAGGATCCTTCTGTTCAACCAAGAGTCAGAGCAAAGGTGCGGTTCCAGGAAGCTGATACTGATAGTGCCGCTGATCTTCCCGATGGTCCTGACCATGCTCTCATGAGAATGGCCGGTGATGAAGTGCGATCTTAGTCGAGCTCTGGCATTGGGTGTGTGGTGAGATGATGAGTGCGAGGTGGAAAGCGTAGGACACGCGCCATTGTTAGACGTGCAAGCAGTGTAAAATCATGTAGTATCCTCTAAGTCACAGCGATCCTATTCGTACACTCGTGTTGTATTCGTGTGGATGATGTAGGTAGAATCAGATTAGATGCTATCAGTCAAGTATCTCATGCTGCAGCCTTGGCGAGAAGTTTGTCCCGAGTCTCAAAGCTCCACGTCATTTATCTTGGGCGCATGCATCCCACTTGCGCCGCGAACAAAGCACCCTAAGACAACCGTCACAGCAGCGTCGGTCGCCCAGCATGGTGTCTCTCTTGCTCGCCGTCTTCTTGCTGAACGTGGTAACTCACCTCATCAACACACTTGGAGCCGCGACCATCAACGAACTGGTATGGACACGACGGACGCTTTTTCGAATCCGCGAGTACTGAACGATGATANNGCTCTGGGTCCTCTACAACAAGCTCCCTACACCGACGGCGAAAGATGCACACGACTCGGCACGACTTAAGAAGGAGGTGGTGCGTCTCAAGCGCGAGATGAATGCTGTCAGCGCGCAAGACGAGTTTGCCAGATGGGCCAAGCTGCGCAGAACACACGACAAGGCTGTCGCCGACTACGAGAAGAGCTGTAGGTCAAGTCTATACTACGCATGTACACCAGAAGACAAAATCTAACATCAACAACANGCGAGCTCGGTTCAAGACACCAAGGCCAAGTTCGACAAGACGGCCAATGTGCTTCGCTGGCTGGGTACAAATGGCATGCGCTACCTTCTGCAGTTCTGGTTCTCACGTCAAGCACTGTTCTGGCTGCCGCAAGGATGGGTCCCTGGCTACGTTGAATGGCTCCTCGCATTCCCGAGAGCACCCAAAGGCAGCATCAGCATCCAGCTCTGGGGCATTGCATGTGCCAGCGTCATCTCCCTGGCAAGCGAAGCCATCGTCGCCATGTATGTCATGGTCACCAAGCGCCCCGACATGCAGCCAGGCAAGCAAGAGCAAGAACCACAAGCATTCAAGAGCAGCGGCACAGCAACCACAGCAGGAGTAGACAAGAAGGAATTGTAAATAGTTGTACAAACAAGAAACATTTTTGTATCACAAGAGCATGATGTCTCTCAACATTTTGACGCAAGATCTTCAAAGCAAAGCTCAGAAACTGCAACACGAGTGAGATGATCTTGGCAGATCGTTGGGCTCGATATTGGCGTCGATTTTGAACTCGTGACCTTGGGAGAGGTAGTGGTCGCCGAGTCTTCGAATCCGCCTTGTTCTACATGAAGATTTTGCACCGGGATATTAGTCTTGATGGAAGATGCATGAAGCTGCGCAAACTGGCGTCAGGGTCTTCAGACATGATCGATCGTGAAAGAACATGATGGGGTCATTGCAAAAGTGCAAGACTGTTGTTTGGGAAGAGTCGGAAGCGTCGACAAGGAAACGAGAAAAGAAAGTGCTGTTGCTCAGGTGCTTACTAAGAAGAAACGCGATCATTAATTGGAAATGGAAGCCGTGACGCGCTAACCACGAACGCGCCTTCCATTTTCGCGTCTCGTGTTTATTAGAGGTCCCTCTCCTTCCTCTCTCTCCCTCTCTCATATCTACAATTCCACAGTCTTGACGACTTAATCTGCTTCTTCTTTGATACCCCTCCTGCATCTACATCTTTAGTATCACCTCATTACCCTCCTCTCACTACCCCTCATTGCCTGCCCCTCGACATTTACGGTCTCCTACCTTCTCCTTCTCATCTCTCACAATCACACAACGCGTCACAATGTTCGTGTACAAGCGCGGTATGTATCCTCTAACAGCTACTGTCCACTGAGAGATGCTAACAAGCCCTTAGACGGACGCAAGGAGCGTGTCCAGTTCGACAAGATCACAGCCCGCGTCTCAAGACTGTGTTACGGCCTCGACCCTGACCATGTCGACGCTGCTGCCATCACCATGAAGGTCATTGCTGGTGTCTACCAGGGCGTCAACACCATTCAATTGGATGATCTGGCTGCCGAGACTGCTGCATACATGACCACCACCCACCCCGATTACGCCGTTCTCGCCGCACGTATCGCCGTGTCGAACCTCCACAAGCAGACCAAGAAGCAGTTCTCTGCCGTCATCTCAGATCTGTACCACTACGTCAACCCCAAGACCAGAAAGCGTGCTCCCATGATCTCAGAGGAGACCTACAAGACTGTCATGGACCACGCCGAAGAGCTCAACTCGGCCATCGTCTACGACAGAGATTTCAACTACCAGTACTTTGGTTTCAAGACGCTAGAGCGCTCATACCTCCTCAGACTCGAGGGCAAGGTTGCCGAGAGACCTCAGCAGATGATCATGCGTGTCGCCGTCGGTATCCACGGCGAGGACATCGAGGCTGCCATCGAGACCTACAACTTGATGTCGCTCAAGTACTTCACCCACGCTTCGCCCACTCTCTTCAGTGCCGGTACCCCTCAGCCTCAACTCGCTTCATGCTTCTTGATCGACATGAAGGATGACTCGATCGACGGTATCTACGACACTCTCAAGACCTGCGCCATGATCTCCAAGAACGCTGGTGGTATTGGTCTCAACGCCCACTGCATTCGTGCCACTGGCTCTTACATTGCCGGTACCAACGGTACCTCGAACGGTCTCGTGCCCATGCTCCGTGTCTTCAACAACACCGCCAGATATGTCGACCAGGGCGGTAACAAGCGTCCCGGTGCTTTCGCCATCTACCTCGAGCCTTGGCACGCCGATGTCTTTGCCTTCCTCGACCTCCGCAAGAACCACGGTAAGGAGGAAGTTCGTGCCCGCGACCTCTTCTACGCTCTCTGGATCCCCGATCTCTTCATGAAGCGTGTTGAACAAAACTCCACCTGGACCTTGATGTGCCCCAGCGAGTGTCCTGGTTTGGCCGACGTCTACGGTGACGAGTTTGAGGCTTTGTACGAGAAGTACGAGCGCGAGGGCCGTGGTCGCGACACCATCCGTGCCCAGAAGCTGTGGTACGCCATCCTCGAGGCTCAAACCGAGACTGGTAACCCCTTCATGCTCTACAAGGATGCCTGCAACCGCAAGAGCAACCAGAAGAACCTTGGTGTCATTCGCAGCTCCAACCTGTGCACTGAGATCATCGAGTACACTGCTCCTGATGAGGTCGCCGTCTGCAACTTGGCTTCGCTTGCTCTCCCCACCTTCGTCGACATGAACGAGGAGAAGTTCGATTTCAAGAAGCTCCACGAGGTTGTCCAGGTCGTCACCAAGAACTTGAACAAGATCATCGAGATCAACCACTATCCTGTCCCCGAGGCCCGCAAGAGCAACTTCCGCCACCGTCCCATCGGTCTTGGTGTTAGTGGACTTGCTGACGCTTTCCTCGCTCTTCGTATGCCTTTTGACTCGCCCGAGGCCAGACAGCTCAACATCCAAATCTTCGAGACCATCTACCACGCTGCCTTGACTGCTTCTTGCGATCTGGCCGAGAAGCTTGGTCCTTACGAGACCTACCCTGGCTCTCCCGTCTCCAAGGGCGAGCTTCAGTACGACATGTGGGGTATCACTCCCACTGACCTCTGGGATTGGGAGGCCTTGAAGGAGAAGATTGCCAAGGACGGTGTCCGCAACTCTCTGCTCGTTGCACCCATGCCTACTGCCAGTACTTCGCAGATCATGGGCTTCAACGAGTGCTTCGAGCCTTACACCTCCAACATCTACTCTCGTCGTGTCCTTGCCGGAGAGTTCCAGGTTGTCAACCCCTGGTTGCTCAAGGATCTTGTCGACCGTGGCCTTTGGTCTGACAACATGAAGAACCGCATCATCGCTGACGGTGGTTCCATTCAGCGCATTCCCAACATTCCTGACGAGCTCAAGGCTCTTTACAAGACTGTTTGGGAACTCAGCCAGCGTCACATTGTTCAGATGGCTGCTGACCGTGGTGCCTTCATCGACCAGTCTCAATCGCTCAACATCCACATGCAGGCTCCTACCATGGGCAAGATTACCAGCATGCACTTCACTGGCTGGAAGCTTGGCCTGAAGACCGGCATGTACTACCTTCGTACCATGGCCGCCGCCGCTCCTATCCAGTTCACTGTCGATCAGGAGAAGCTCAAGGTCGCTGACACCAACGTTGCCCGCAACCCGGCTAAGAAGCGTGGCATTGCCGGCGCTGGTTCTCCCGCCACCCTGTCCCCTACACCTCAGCCCATGTACGACTCGAAGCAGCCTCAGAACTCGGCTGTCGCTAACGGCGTCCCCACACCCTCAACTACTCCTCCCCCAGAGGCTGAGGCTAAGCCGACTCCCAAGAAGGAGCTTCCTATGAGAGCACCCCCATTCACCGCTGACCTTCCTGAGGGAAGCAGCCCCAAGTTGGTCGCCGCCGACAGCACTGTTGGTACACCCGATGAGGAGGTCAAGAGGACTGTCAAGCAAGACGAGGACGCTGCCGATGACAGCAAGGACCGCGAAGGTGATATCTACGCCGATGCCGTCTTGGCTTGCAGCATCGACAACCCCGAGTCTTGCATCATGTGCAGTGGTTAGATGAGGATTGTTAGACGGGAAAATTGTTTATGTATTATGAGGGAAGGAAGCGATTGCATTTTGGTGCGGGTTATATCAGTTGGACAATGGCGTACAGGTCGAGACATTCGAGTGTAATGATAGATAGCTTAAAGAATCGCAACAGATTTGATCTTTATATTGGCCTTGACTCTTTTACCTGTGATTGATGTATTGTTTATGAGCTATGCGATGTCCTCAATCGAGAGGCCAACTTTGGCTTTATTAAAGAAGGGGGGCTCCACTTGCCTGATAGGTTCCTGGACAGAATAGCCTTTCTCAAAGGGACATCGGGACAAGAAGATAGACATTGGTCACCCTTATTACAACGAGGATGAGATGGTTGATGAGATCAACAATAGATATATACACACAACCCAACCCATCCATCTATCCTCCCTGCTAGATAGCATAATTCTCCGCATGCAAATACACCTCATCCCTCCCAGGCATATTCCACACGGTCCTCTGCAACTCGGCAACCGTATTACTGACATCAACCCTCATACCGGGCGGCCCGCAGACAAACACACATGTCCTTCTCCCCGTCCACTGTGTACTCATTTCCCTGAGCATAAACGGGATATCCGGACGTCCGTATTCGGTACTCCAACCGGATTTTGTGGACTTTACGGCGGCGGGCAGGAAAGCGAAGCGCATGAGGTTCTTTTGGAATTCTGTGGGTGTGGAGGGGAAGCCAAAGTCAAAGTCCGCTTCTGTGGGTGGTGTGTTTTGCCCAAGGTAGGCGGGTGTGTTGGCTGGATCGGGGAGTGGGATGGACATTTGTTGGGAACGTCGTTTTTCTGCTAGGGTCAGGGGAGGAGATGTAGAAGCAGGAGGAGGAGGAGGAGGAGAAACACGACCATTGCGAGAAGCACTTCTCATGGGCAGTAAATGTGCTTGTGGCAATGGTCTGATTCTATCTTCATTTTCGCGACGGAGTGCTTTTTCTCGTTCTGGGTCTCCGGCTGCTTCGTCCATTATCAAGGCGGAGTTTCTGTTTGTGTTTGCCGAGATGGTGGAGAGTCTGTTGTGCGCAATGTTTTGAAAGGCTTCGTTGACTTTGTTGTGAAAGATCATGCTGATGGGCCTTGTGGGCGTTTGTGCAGACACCAGTGCTCCTGTTCTGGCTTGCCGTTTTGCAGCGGTAATGTAGAATTGGCATTGTACGGTATCTGGAGGGGCAAATTCCCTGCAGATGCGCAATTCTTCTTTGAACCATTCGAGTGTTTCGGGGCGTTTGAGTGCCCAGATTACCTGGACGGTTTTTGTTACTGCTTTGCCGTCTCTGAGCCGCTTGATTAAGTCGAGGAGTTGGGACACTAGGGCTGTGATGCCACTGCCGCCTGCGAATAGGACAACGTGGTCGAAAGAGTCCATGCTTCTTCTCATACCACCATAGGGCCCATCAATGAATGCACGGTAGGTGTGCCAAGGACCATTCTCCAATGCACTGTCAAGGACTTTTTTGGTGAAGCCGCCGAAAGGTCGAAAGACCAGGACCATGTCTCTATACTCTTCGCCATACTGGGACGGAAAGTCATCGCTCCACAGAGACGCGATTGTGAAAGGATGATTCTCGAAGACTGAAATACCCGGCATCCTCAGATAAACATATTGTCCAGGCTTCCATTTCACCTGTGTTGGAATGGTGACTTTAATGGCATTTTCGGGCATCAACATGACAGCTGCCTCCTCGCCAACCAACCATGATAGCCGGAAGTAGTTTGTCCAATTGAGGAAGAACAAGCGAACGACGTACGAGATGAACCAGATAGCTGTAGTCGCCCACAGATAATGCCACGAGGTGAGAAAGTTCTTGCAGTGCCAAAAGAGCATGGCGAGAAAGACAATAGAAACAGGCACATGCAACGCCACAAACAGCTCGTACATCTTTCGGCGAAGCGGAGGCAAAGAATGCACACAGAGGAAGAGTAGAGGCACGAGTGCCGCGATGCCAGATCCGTAGACGTAGATGCCAGAATTGCCGAAAGCCGATTGGAAAACACCTAAACCGCCCTCGGACCAGATCGGTGTGACGTAAAAGGGAATGGTGTGAATCAAACTGAGAAGCAGGCAAATATATGCAAGCCATCGATGCAAAACATTCAGTCGCTCGTGTCCAATCCCAGTGAGGAAAGAGATGATGTTGGCTTTCATGCTCAAACCGACAATCCATGGCATCATCGCAACTGCAATCATGCCTGCTCGAATGGCCAATGGAGGAGAACCAAATTGAATGCTTTGCCAGTATAGAGGTTGAGGGATGAAGCAATAGAGTACGACGAAGATTAGTGCGAAGGAAACAATCACAACCGCCCCGAGCGATGGAAATATAATTGGCCTCCATCCTTTCCTCAATCTGAGGACTGGTATAGGCCGATAGAATGCAAATCGGAAGATCGCTATGGCATTATTCACCGGCCACATGGAGGAAACCGACGATTGCATCTTCGGCTGTTCGGGTAATGGCCCTTCGCGTGGAAAGAACTTGTGTGTCGACCTGTCGGTGCTGAGTACTGACAACTCGTAGTCTGTTGCAGGCGATTCGATCATCGCAGATGCCGCAGCGTCTTCCTTGTAGAGCGCCGTCCGTATTCTATCCGTCCAGATGTGGTAGAGATGCAACAGGCATGCAAAAACCAACAGAATGATGCAAAAGTAGACCCAACCTAGTGCATACTTTCCAGACTTTGACCACGGATCTCGAGTATTGGCTTCGATCAAACCGGCCGGACTCGTGCTGTTTGAAGGTATGTTTATCCGTCTCTCGAGTTCCTGAGAGACGCTTTCGTGGACGATTTGGACTGTTTCTTGCAATTGCGATAGTGCATCGCTCGCTGGCCTTCGGGCGGCGCTCGACATAATGTGTGAAGTCACCCAGGCGTGACACACCTATCTGTGTGGTAGGTTCGGAATGCAGAGACACCGTCGGTTGTAGGGTCCACGCTCGAGATTCGTCTGAACAGTCACATTCGTGAAGCTGGACAAATAAGATCGAGACAGTTTTGCGAAAGTCGCTTTCCAGATGCTGAGATGCACAACGATTGCGCAACAGTCAGATTGCGTAGGGCCTCTAGCATACGTGGGCCTTGTACCAGGCTGATAACCTGGATATAGATGATGTAAGACCCCACTGTATTGATTATTACTGCTGTCGTCGCAAGTGAGAAAGAACAAGATACAGAGTAACGTGGAAGAAGAAGAAGAAGGTACCTTGAGCATCGGCAATGCAGGGAATAGTGACTTTAGATATCTGCCTCTCGACTGCCATATCAGGGACCCAAGCCGTGCTTCCCAGATGCAAGTGGGGATTATCACATCCGAGGTGGAGATCTTTAGCACAAAGAACCTTGCCAGGCGGTCTTGGATAGTGTGGTTACATGCGAACGGGACGCTGTGTGCCACACCAATGAAGCGATATTGGCTGGGCTCGGGCATGATCGTTGCCGAACTACTGTGAGCGAATGGCCGGAAAATATCTTGCTGGGTCCTGCATGTGCACGCAGCCGCTCAAGAGATGCAACTACTCGACGCGACATTGAATGGCGCTGGGGAAGGGCTAATACCAGCTGTTTCCGCAGACCCTCGACAAAGAGTTGACTTCAACATCAGTTCTCTTTGACCTACACCGTCAGCAGGCTCGAGGTCAGCACCGAGGCTACGATAAATCTGATAGCATCGTGCCTGCGTTGCGCAGGTCGACTCGTGGACATCCTAGGCTCTGGGCAGCACATGGAGGCGCCGCCAATGAGATGTCAAGAAGACATGCTGTGCATTGTGAATCGCTGACTACTGCTGCATGTTCGACCTGTGAAGTTATGGCATTACGCGCCCGCACCACTCCGTTTTGGGGTGTTGTCTCGATTCGGTTGTAGTTGCCAAAAATTTAGAAGCTCGTTGATAGGAAGACCCTGCTTGCATCTTCGTTACGAGCAAGCATCATAATTATAGCTATCAGGAATGATCTCAGCCTCTGTTTATCAGTCACGAACGAGCCTGATGAGGCTCAAATGATCTGGAGCTTGTTCTGTTCAAAGTTCTTGTATTGTCTGATCCAAATGCTAAATACAAGTTATAATCCAAGATTTTGTCCAAGATCTGATTTTCCAAACATTACACCGCACCTCGATCGTATGAAACATGTCGAGAGGGAAAGAATTCTAGATGGAGAACTGGTTCAGAGGTCCATTTGGATGCAAGAGGACCTTTGTGTAACCGTCAATTCTCTTGTCAAACTTATCGTAAGCATCAACAGCGTCGTCGATGTCGACTTCGTGGGAAACCACGAAAGAAGGCTTGGCACGGCCAGAAACAATGAGGTCGCGGAGTTGACGGTTGTAAGCCTTGACATTGCATTGACCAGTGCCGAGGAACAAACCCTTCTCGAAGAGCTTGCCGAAGGAGATGAGGATTTGTCCTTTGGCAGATTGCGAGTCCGGAGCACCAGGGTCCTATTTTTCAATTCGTGTTAGCTGATTGCAAAGGAAACTTTGGATGCTGCGAGAACTTACAGAGGGGACGTAAAGACCGGGAATACCTAGACCTCCCGTAGGTCTGGTGACCATAATGAGCTGGTCGAGAACAATGTTGGGTTGCTCCTTGTTACCACTCTTGTCGACAGCCTGGTAGCCAACAGCATCGACGGCACGATCAACCATCTCTCCACCATTGAGCTTGATGATCTGCTCCACAGGGTCGCTCTTGGTGAAGTCGACACCCTCGCACCCGATCTTTCTTGCAGCATCCAATCTCTCCTTGACTTGATCAACGACAAACACCCTACTAGCTCCACGCAGAACAGCGGAGTAAGCAGCCATCAGACCTACGGGTCCAGCGCCGAACACGGCCACGCTGTCACCAGGTTGGAAGCCAGATAGCTGGAGACCGTGCCAGCCGGTTGGGAAAATGTCAGCAAGGAGAGCAAAGTCGGCTTCGTGTTCAGTGCCAGGTGGTAGGACCAGAGCGTTGAAGTCGGCATATGGCACGCGTAGGTATTGTGNCCTAAAGAATTGCAACAGAAATTAACATGTGCAAGAAACATGTGATTCGAATACTTGACCTACCTGGCCTCCCTGGTACTTTCCCATAGCCACATAGCCATAAGCACCACCTGCGAATCCGGGATTGACACCTGTAGATGTTGTCAATACTCGAATGTTGCCATCAGGGATACATCGTGACTCACCAGTACAGAAAGCCGTCTTGCCCTGCTCGCAATTTCTGCATCTGCCGTCTGCCACGTTGAAAGGAAGCACAATACGATCACCCTTCTTCAGCAGTGTCACTCCAGAACCCACTTGGGTGACAATTCCCATGTTCTGTCCAGAGTGTCAGTAGATTGTAGTATACCACTTTAGGACGAGATGATAGCTTACCTCATGACCAAAGACAAGACCTGATTCGGCAGCTGTGCGTCCTTGATACATGTGCAAGTCACTGCCGCAAATCGCNNTGGGAGAACAGTGAGTACATGATGACCCTGCAAGGGAGTCTCTGGAAGAAGGCAATGGCTTACCGGCAGTAGTCACCTTGATTATAGCATCATCAGGATGTTCCAGCTCTGGCAATGGAACGTCTTTGACCGACACCTTGAACGGGCCTTCGTAATGCACAGCTTTCATTTGCTTGTCCGACATGATTGGATCAGAGTATCTTGCAGTTTGGTATACAAGTAAGAATATGCAAAGAAGTAAAAAGGAACTGGGATCTGCAATGCCTTGTTTTCAGCGTGCTTATATAGGTATGATATAACAAAGGACCCACTATCGATGGCTGCGGGGCAATATGCGGGGATCCCAGCTCATGCCCCTCCTCAGCATCATAATGGCAACTGCCGAACGATACCTGAGGGGTGCATGGCCCAGATCTTCGGCGGCGCGGATAGTATCCAGGTTGTTATTGCTGACTTGGGAATAGGCTGATAAAGAGTGTAAGGATTCTATCATTGGAAGCGAGAAAAGGCCGAGGAAGACGAGTTTCCATAGAGGCAAGAAAGTGGTCTTCATCATGTGCAGGTATAGGCCGTGATCGTATTAAATGCCAGGTAAAGAAGAATCGAAAAAGAAGAACGCTGGGATATCACTACTTCATCAACTTATCTACAGCCCAACCAACGTTCAGGCCACGCAAATCGCCGTAGTGTTGACCTACGCCCAAGAAGACAACGGGTATACCCGTGGCATGGACCATGCTGACGAGCGTACCGACCATGTCGCCGACAGTATCACACTTGGAGATGACAAAGCCGTCGAGTCCACGGCCTTTTCCTTGGCGATCCACGAATTGCGCAGAAAAGTTGCGAGCTTGAGCAACCGAGTCCGTGCCAACGAGAGCCTCGCCGACCATGAAGATCTTGTCTGGGTTTGCGAGCTGTCCGAATTTGGTAAGAGACGACATGAGTCGGGTGTCATTGTGTCTGCGGCCAGCTGTATCGACTAACACGACATCGTAAGCGTGTTCAGCAGCATAGACAACAGCCTCCTTGGCAAGTTGAGCAGCGTCTTTGCCGTAGCCCTTCTCGTAGAGGTCGACATGACCGAGATTCTCACGAGCAGTCAATTCGGAGAGATTGCGTACGTGAACGCGTAGTTGCTCAACGGCACCGGAACGGAAGGTATCTGCGGCACAAACCAGGACACGGAAGTTGTTCTGGAGGAAGAAGAAGGCGAGTTTGGACAGAGAAGTCGACTTGCCGACACCATTGACACCAACAATACTGATGACATATGGCCTTGCATTTGAGCCTGAGGTAGTGGATGTGATTGAGCGCAGCAAGTCGAGGGAGGAAGTAGGGGTCAGTATGCGGGTGAGAGCTTTGGCCATGGAGTCGCGAATGGTCTGGTCGATGGTGGTGAAGTTGCTGGTCTTGAGGCCAATCAGATCGCGCTCGACAGATTCGCACAAGCGGACGGCTGCTTCGCGGGCAACGTTCTTGTTCAAAAGATGGTCCTCCATGGCTTTCATCGGTTTGACCAGGTCGGCAGCCGTTAAAGTCTTGCCTCCGACCATGTTGCGGAAGTATCCACTGATGGCTCCCAATCCGGTTCCCACCAGTCCTTTTGATGCGTCCGTGTCGACCTCCTCTTTCCTAGACTTTGACTCTGCGAGAATGGCATCAACCTCGTCGTCGAGATCCTTGAGCACAAACTGGCNCTTGGCCGTCCTGCTACCCATGTCGTCAGTGCGAACGGGCTGCAGTGTTGATTGAGCGGCAGGAGCATCGTCCAGACTTTGTGTCGAGTAATCCAGAACCGTGTCCTCGTCTTCCTCGGCGCCAAAGCCGTGAGCATCCCATGTGCGCTTTGATTTTGCAGTCGGTCTCTTTGCGGCTGCGGCTTTGCGAGAAGGAGACTTCTCATCGCCAGAAGAGGCGGGGGCCGAAGAGGCAGCAAGTGCGGCCTTTCGCGAACGGCGCGAGCCTCGGGGACTCTTTCCTTCAAGCAACTGGCTGACGGCGGGGGAAGCAGGTCGTGATGTGTCTGGTGTCGGAATGGGGGTGGCATCTGTGGAGGCTGAGATGGTATCGGCGATCTGTCTCGGGGCAGGCTTCTTGAGGGTGGGCGCAGGAGGCGGTGGGTGGTCCTGATCGTCGCCCGCAGAGCTCGATGGTGGGGTCAGGTCGGTGGGCGAGTCGGTCTCGAGGTCTTGGTCGTCAGGTCGCGGGGCCGAGGACTGAGTCTTGTCGAGCTTCTGGACGAGGGCATCGAAGGTCGGGGTGAAAGTCGAGCAGTCGAGCTTGGTTGTGTTCTTGATCTTGAGGTCGTTCCCGTATTGCTTGACGAAGAGGCCACGGACAACGTCAAGCAGGTTGTCGACCCATGACAGGTGCAGGATGGACTGATAGACGGCGACAAAGATCAGGCCGAGGTCCTTGGCGTGGGTGTATTTGAGCGTGTACTTGTCGGTCTTGAAGGTGGCATTCCGCGGTTGGCTCTGCAGGCTCTGGGCGCGCTCCTCGATAAAGACGTCGTTGATCAGGCTGTTGACGACCTTGTGGGCGACGGGGGCGTATGTGCGGCTCCAGACGACGACACCCGACGTCGTGATGATCTCGAAAGCGTCCAGCATGTTGGGCGGGTGCTTGTTGGACAAAGTGTGACGAGGTGTCGCATACCGAATGTGTGCATTGGCCGCGCCTGTGCAATGCGACTGCCAAGATTTGGGGAAAGCTCGGTATGCGCTGCCAGCGGGTCGAAGACAAGAGGACAAGTCACCTCCCAACCACAGGTTCCTCGCCATCACCCTCTGACCATGCAGCGCGGCCCCTACTCCAACATGGGCCCGGCTCAATCGCCTCCCCTGCACCATCCTGTCCCCCAGCACGTCTCGACCGTCCCGCAGTTGCGCTCTCCCCCTCCGCCCATGACACAACAACAGCAACAACAGCAGGCCCAGCAGCAGCAGCAGTATGGCTATGCCCCCTCAAACTACGGCCAGCCTCCCTTTGGCGGCTTCATCAACGACCCCACCGCCCAGATGGGCTTTCAGATGGGCAAGACGGCCGTCGCTGCTGGTCAGGAGTACATGGAACAAAACGTTCGTCAACACACTGTACCCCCCGTTAATGAGAAGACGTACTGATGCCCGCTCAGNTTCAACCGCTATGTCAATGTCTCGGCCATGAAGCACTACTTCAACGTCTCGAACAAATACGTCGTCAACAAGCTCTTTATAGTCCTCTTCCCCTGGCGCCATCGTCCCTGGTCGCGCCAACAGCAGCCCATGGCCGCCAGTGGTCAGTCCGGTCCCATGTTCCTGCCTCCTCGCGAGGATATCAACAGCCCCGACATGTACATTCCCGTCATGGCCTTTGTCACCTACATTCTCCTCTCGACCCTCCTCGCAGGTCTGCAAGGCGCTTTCCGTCCAGAGTTGCTCGGCCTGACTGCTACCAACGCCTTTGCTGTTGTCATCATCGAGCTTCTGCTTCTGAAGCTCGGTACCTACCTCTTGAACATTTCAAACGAGTCTCAGTGGCTGGATCTGGTTGCTTATTCGGGCTACAAATTTGTCGGCATCATCTTCACCATTGCTCTGGCTACCATCATGACCGGCGGTAAAGGTACCGGTGGTTATGTTGGCTGGTCAGTCTTTGCCTACACTTATCTGGCCAATGCCTTCTTCCTCGTAAGCAACAAATACCCTCCCCTCACCTGTCTGTGTACTAATCGNAGGCAGCTCCGTTCACTCAAGTACGTCATTCTCCCGGATACTGCCTCGGGCGCCCATAACCCCATCGCCCGCTCGCAAAGGACCAAGAGGACTTACTTCCTCTTCGTCTACTCGTATATCATCCAGTTGGCTTTCATGTGGTGGCTGAGCAGCTTGTAATATGCGCATAGCTTGAGCCTTCCAAAATGCATTCATGATTTTTCTTCCTGCCGCTTGTGAGCAGGCTTCTTCGTCGGTCGTCTTTAGTAGACTTAGCGTAAAAGAACCCCATCAAGATCTTAACCTTCCGTCTGAGGTCGATATACAGAAGAACCTCCGACGCTCAAGCAAACCAGAGACCTGTTTCGAGGAGGACCACAGAACTCTCACTTTCTAGACGATGATCCCTCGATTTCAAAACCAATGCCTTTTGTTTGATTATGCAGTAGATTTTTTTATTTCATTCTATGATTAGATATGATAGCCTTTTGCACATGGTAAGAGCAACGATGTTAATATCATCAAGTATGATCACTAGGCAATAATGAAGCAAAGAGACAGACTCAGACAGATGGTTTGGTAGTTTCTAGCACGGAATTTGACCACACGTCTTCTTAAGGCCCCTCTGTGACAGGCCTCAAACGAAATTCTCCCGACAGTTGCCAGAAATTCACAAGAGATGCATGAATCAGAGCAAAAGATTGTTTTCTGTTTGTAAAAGCCGAAACGATCATGACCGAGAAAGATGGAGGTGGCAGTGCAAGCAATAAACCATCACTAGTCCTGCATTACTTCACTTTGCGATCATTCAACAGCCAAATTCCTCGATAATCGTCTGGAGGCTGCTCTTGCATCAATGATTCAATGCGCGGTCAAATCGGCCCCAGGGGCGCAGTCATGAAGTGTTGCGCAAGACTTCAAAGACAGGCATAATGATGCAAGCCTCGAAGCGGGAAGTGGTCCAAAGCATAAAAAGGACAGCACGTGAAAAGGTCGGGAGTAAACAAGCAAGGTTCATTCGAGCGGGGCTTAGAGCATGCGACACACGTTTCTATTGGCGGGTCCCTTGACCGGTGAACTCATATGCTCTGCAGGTTTTGGCATTCTCGTCGCACTGCGCTGGTCGCCGGCAGCAGGAGATTGCGATGCGAATTGATAGATGGTGGAATTGATTGCGAATAAGGGGAATCTATAGGCAGAGCAGGTGATGGAGATTGATCTGACAATCAACAGGAAACTGCATGAGTCGGGTGGAGCGCTTTGGGCTGCTGTCCGTCACGACGCTTTGACTTTGGTTCGGTTCGGTGCATCCCAAACCAATCGGCGGAAGGACATGCCCAAAAGTCGGCTTGGGCTGTTGCTTATTACAGGTAGGGTACCTAGGGTCGTTGGCAGCTGCCTCGTTCTGGCTTTCTGACACGCGCGACTTCCTGGCCAAAACTTGCCTTCTGTTTCTTCCTACCAGTGTCAATCCGCATCTGCATCT